TTTTTAAAATAAATTAAATTAAATAAATTAAATAAAAATCTAATTTTGCTTTATTTTTGTCCAGTTTTTAAAAATGCACACAAGGATTTTTATGTTTGGTTTCCTAGAATTAATCGGCTCTCGAAAATAAGGGCCCCGCCCCATCGTATCCAGGCCGGCTGGTTAGTTTAGTTTTAAATGGGGTCGCGCGCTGTTGCCCTCTGGCTGGGTGAATGTTTGTGGGGATATTTATTTAGGATCGGCTGGATGGAATGAAAGAAAGAGGAGAGGGTCTAGAAAAGGAAGGGTCTGGAAGGGTCTCTAAAGGCTAAACGACGGCTCTCAAAATAGGACGGGAGTGTGTTCAACGTTTTTAATCATACAAGGGGCGTCCAATGCGCAAAAACGGGAACAAATTTGGAGATTTATAGAATGTATTTGGGGTAAAGGGAAAAGAAAGATGTTGATCTTTTTAGGTATGTTGGTTGATGAGTTGGGTATTGGTGGGGGGTTAACTCGAGGAATTCCAACTCGTCAAAAGACAGGTCGAGGAACGACAACTCACCGAACAGACAACTCACGGATTAACCAAAATACGGAATAGAGATTGTCCGTTCCGTGACTTGCTATTCGGTGAGTTGTCCGTTTAGTGAGTTAGCCCGACACGGTTGGGTAGGGGTAGTTGTTCAGTTGGGCATTTTGGTTAATGAGTTGGTGGAGGTGGCAGAGTGACCCCATGAAATAAATGAAATGATTGAAGAGAAGAAATTGAAGGAATGGGAACAAGCAATGAAGAAAAAATGAAAAAAATAAAGAAAAATGAAGAAAAAAAAGATCAGCCAAAAAAGGACCGCTCAGTAGCACAATTAAAAAATATACTCGCGCGCCAGCCGCTTTTTGAGAGAGGGCAAAAGGATAAAAAAAAAAGGGCCGAAGCCGATTATTTCTCTCTAAAAAGGCTTGGATCTCTGAAATACGGGTCAACTGAAGAAAAAAAATTTTTTGCACGTTTGGAGGGGATCACACATTTTTTGAAAGTCCGTGGAAGGGAAAAAAGGAGAGAGGTCCGTAAAATGGACGGCCCTGTGTGTGAGTGAAAAGCGGCAAGCATTCCCTCTCTCTCTGGGTTAATTTGATGCCCAAAAAGTGCAGAATTTGAAAAAAATAAAATGGGGAAAGAGCATTTTTTGAAGGTAGAAAATTGCTTGAAGACTGTAAGGATTAAAAAATGGACAGGGAAGAGAGGGGAAAATTAACCTTAAAAAATGTGTGCCTTTGTCCTTTAAATTGGCAGGATTATTAAAATAAATAAAGAAAAATATTTAAAGTTCACCAATCAAAGGACGAGGAATCAAAGATGGACGAAAAGTTGAAAATTTGGTGGGCAAATATTAAGGAGGAAAGGAAGGATTAAAATGCCGACAAAGAAGAAAATGGAGAAGGAAAATATGTGTAGATTAATTAATAAATTTTGAAGACCCTCCAAATTAATCAAATTAGTAAAATTAAAATAAAAATTATTTTGAGTAAGAATGAAAAGATCAGATATAAAGGATTGATATAGAGTGAGGTGATCTTGTGGACTAATTACAAAAGAGTAAATTAGGTATTTAATGTTTTAATAAACTTTCCGGAAAACATCTATTAAAACACCAAAACAGATGTTTAAATGAACTTTCCGGAAAATGTTTATCAAAATATTTAAATGTTTTAATTAAAATGTTCCGGAAAACATTAAAACATCTAAACAAATGTTTAAATAAAATTCCGGAAAATGTTTTTAAATGTTTAAATTAAAATTTTCCGGAAAACATCTATTAAAACAATGTTTGAATGTTTTTATTAAAACCTTTCCGGAAAATTTTAATAAAATAATTTTAACGAGGAGAGAGAGAAGTTTAAAATACTATTAAAAATAAAAAAATTGTCCACCTCAATTTAATAAAAAAAATAAAGGTCATTAAAACTTTTTTCTTTAATGTATATAATTTTCAGGATTTTTCACCTAATTTATATAAAACAAAAATTCTTTTATAAAATGCTTTTGCTAAATTTGGCGATTTTTCCTTCCTTCCAATTTTAGCAAAAATCATCGTTCTTTCATTCTTTACGTCTCCGGTCAGATGGTTGCCCCAAATCCGGGAAGGGCCTTCGTCGATTGGAGGAATGGGGTTAAAGAGAGAAAAAGCCTTTTACTATAATTTAGCTATTTTATTAAATTAAGCAAAAAAAGGGGAAAATATGTATCTAATAAAACTTTCCGGAAAACATTTTATAAAACATCCATTAAAATGTTTAGATTAAAACATTTCCGGAAAGGTATAGAAAAACATTTGTTTAGATGTTTAAATAAAAATTTTTCCGGAAAACATTAACAAAACATCAGTAAAAATGTTTATATCAAAGCTTTCCGGAAAATATCTAATAAAACTTTCCGGAAAACATTTTATAAAACATCCATGACAATGTTTTAATTAAAACATGTCCGGAAAGGGTTAGCAAAACTTTTATATAAATGTTTTAATAAATGTTTTCCGGAAAACATTGACTAAAACATCAAGAAAATGTTTATATCAAAGCTTTCCGGAAAACTAATAAAACTTTCCGGAAAAATTAAAATGTGTATATTAAAACTTTCCGGAAAAACATCATTTAAATAATAAATGAAATAAACATCTAACAAAACATTCCGGAAAAAGTTTATTTAAACAAATATGTTTATTCACTCCCAGAAATATCCCTATAATTCTTTACTTAATGTCGCGGCCGTACTAACTACGAGAAAAATGGAAGGAGGAAGAAAAAGCCTTTTTTTTAAAGGAGAGAAAGGAGAGATATTTTCAGATGCGCAAAAGTGGACAATCTCTAAACAACCAGCCGGGCACATCACAACAAGCCTAGTTAAAACACACAACTTGCAAAAAAGGGAAAATCTGGGTCAAACACTTGGGCGAGAATAGAAGAAAAAAATTTTTTGGAGCAGCGGGAAAAAGAAAAGCAAAAAAAAAAATCTTTTCTGTTATTAAAAGAAAAAGCCCCCATTTACTTGCCGTCACGGAGCCCATGGATAAAAATAAATTTTCTCGTCCTTTGAAAAGCTTTGAAAAGAGGAAAGAAGGAGAGTGAATGAACCAAATCGGGAGGATAATATAGAAAAAATCTAAAAAAATATTTTTATGCCGGGACTGGTTATTTTGTGGACTTTACACTAAATTAAGGAAGATAGTTGTGACCCGTATAAACTGGCTAAAAATTTTGTTTTAATTAAGATATTAATTAGAATTTTCCTGAAAACATAAGCTAAAACTCGCATAAACATGTTTAGTATATTTATTAAAACCTTCCGGAAAACGTTTAGTAAAAACATCCATTAAAACATTAGTTTAAATGTTTATATTAAAATATTCCAACAAACATCTACTAAAACATCTATTAAAATGTTTAGATTAAAACATTACGGAAAACATTTATAAAACACCCATTAAATGATTATACATATTTAATTAAAACTTTTCCTGAAAACATTTACATTAATGAAATGTAAACATCAATGAAAATGTTCATATTAAAACCTTTCCGGAAAACATTAATTAAACATCTATTTAAATGTTTAGATTAAAACATTCTGGAAAACATCTGTTAAAACATTCATTAAAACATTAACTTTAAAACATTCCGGAAAGTTACATTTGAAAGTTAATGTTTTAATTGGCGTTTTAATAAATGTTTTCCGGAATGTTTTAATCTAAAACATTTTTACTAAAACATCTAAAACTTTCCGGAAAGTTACATTTAAATGTTCTTTCAAAATAAAAACATTAAGGCAAACAGCCAATAGGCGAAAGATGGGTGAAAAGAAATGAGACGGATATCTTAGGATGAGGACGAGAATAAATGAAAGAAGAGAGAGTAAAGAATAAATCTCGGGACAAAAAATATTAAAAAATTTAACCAATCAAAAATAATTTTTATTTATTTTTGTGACTTTGATGAGCGGAAAAATAAAAAAAGTTAAAAAATGGGGAAGAAAAATTTCCAAGGCCAAGGACAAAAATAACCCTTTTATTTTAATATAATTCCAAGGCCAAGTTTCTTCCTTTTATTATTTTACTCAACACCAGCCGCCACGAACTAATACACCTTTTTAGGTAAATAATACAGCCGAACATTAAAAGTAATAAATAGTTTAAATTTAAAAACAATGAAGGATGTTTATATGAACATGAAGATTAATAAAACATGAAAAACATTCCGGAAAAACATTTATGAATTTGGCTGAGCGGAAAAATAAAAACACATGTAAAACATTGAATATTAAAGTTTTCCGGAAAACATTAAAGTAATTTCCGGAAAAACATCTAATAAAAACATCCAAAAACATCCATTAAAACATTGAAGTAATCTAAAGTTCCGAAAAAACATCTAATAAAAACATTAAAAAACAAATAATTTTCCGGAAAATGTTCATAAAACACTCAAGAAAATTTAAAACATTCCGGAAAACATTTATAAAACATTCGGTTAATATTAAAGGTTTCCGGAAAATGTTTATTAAAACAAGTAAATATTAAAGTTTTCCGGAAAAACATCTATTCAAAACATCCAAAAACATCCATTAAAACATTAAAGTAATTTAAAACTTCCAAAAAAACATCTATTAAAAACATTCAGAAAAACAAACAATTTTCCGGAAGGTGTTCATAAAACATTCAGGAAAATTTAAAACATTCCGGAAAAACATTTATAAAACATTCCGGTAAACATTAAAGGTTTCCGGAAAATGTTTATTGAAACAAGTAAATATTAAAGTTATCCGGTTAAAACATAAAAATAAACATTTTGTTTTTCCGGAACAGTGTTTGTGTAAAACGTTTTCCGGAAAATGTTTATGTAAAGCATTTTCCGGAAAATGTTTATAAAACTTTCCGGAAAGTTTTATCATTTATTTCAACAAATAATAAAAATAAGACAAATCAATATACAATATCGGCATTTTTGTGCCTTTTTCGAGTATTAAAAAAGAATTTTTTTGTAAGTGATGGGTGAATAAAAGGTGGACTTTAAGAGATGTTTTGTGCATGTGAAAAAGGCCATATTACTATTAGGACCATCAAAAATGATGGCCTTCAGCTCAGTCTCTCCCCCAACCTCCTCCCCCTTATTTTACTACCCCCATATTTTGCCTTCTTCACACAGCATGTATTAAATAGTTATATGGAAGGGGATGGCCAGAGAAGGAATTTTAGTCTCATGAAAAGTGGTGGTGGCGTTGATGATGGCCAACCCATGAGAAATAAAACTGTGGAGAAAGTGAAGGTCAAAGCAACATAAAAATAAGAACGAGTTTTGGAAGAGTAATTTCGGCCAAAAGAAAAAATTTTTTAAAGTCCTGCGCATCTCTGACCATTAATAATAAAATAAAAATAAAAATTTTTATAAGGGAAAAGAGAGAATTGTTGCTTCCATTTTTCAGCTCCCGCCGCGAATCACCAGCCACATTGCTAATGCCTGGTCAGGCCATCACTCATGGAAAGGGCCGTAGAGGGCAAAGAGGAAGTAGTAGTAGAAAAGGGGAGTATTTGATGGAATTGTAGGGGGAAGAGGGAATGACAGTCACAAACGCGCATCAAGGCCAAAAGAAGCATTTTAGGGTTGTTTTTGTTGTAATGACTCTAGGACTGTAATAAAATGAGTAGTAGAATACTTTTAGTAGAATGGACAATTTAAAAATTAAGAGAAAAAACTAAGATTTGGACATAAAAAAAAGATGGTGGCATTTTTGTAGGCAATGGGAAAAACGTCTGCAAAATGTTGTCCGCAAAAATAGATGTTTAAAACTTGTTGTTAAAACTTTCCGGAAAACATAAATTTAATTATAAAGTTTCCGGAAAACTTTTATAAATGTTTCTAAAAAGTTTCCGGAAAATATAATAAAACAAATTAATTACAAAATGTTTTTCCGGAAAATGTTATAAAATTTTCCGGAAAACATAAATTTAATTATAAACTTTCCGGAAAACTTTTATGATGTTTTTAAAAAGTTTCCGGAAAATAAAACAAATTAATTACAAAATGTTTTTCCGGAAAATGTTTATAAAACTTTTCCGGAAAACATTTATGATGTTTCTAAAAAGTTTCCGGAAAACATTTATATTTCTAAAAAGTTTCCGGAAAATATAAATTGTTATTAAAACATTCCGGAAAACAAGTTCATTTAAAAACATCACAACAAATTAATTATAAAATGTTTTTATTTCCGAAAAATCAAGAATATGTTTTTCCGGAAAATGTTTGAGGAAATAAATCTAAATAATTAAATAGTCCAAATGCCACTAAAAGTATAACTATTTACAGTTAATATTTAAGAAGCCAAAAATAATTATTTAAAAATATTCCCCATCTAATAGACCTTCCTCCCCTTCATTTTCTTGCTTTTTCCATCGTAAATTGTTGAACACTTTCAAGGAAATGGTTATACAAAAATGGCAAAACGGCAAAATAATGGGAGGAAGGGACAAAGGAAGAAGTAAAAAAGTAGAAAGAAGATGGTCTTGCACATGCAAAAAGGTTGAAGAGATTAAAAAAAATAAAAATAAAAAAATAAGGGGACATTTTGGGAGGAAGTTGGTGTGTATGTATGTGTGTGCGTCTGTTGATGTATATGGCCAAAAATTAATTTTTAAATTTTTAAAAAAATTTTGAAAAGAAGAAGAAAATTACAAATATTATTAAAAATAAAATAAAAAATTAATTTCTTCTCCCCACATATTTTTGTTCTAAAAAAGTGAAGGCCTAGTAATGATCGACACACCAATTCTCGGCCAAACAACAAATAATAAAAATAAAAAAAATATTTTCTGTTGACTAAAATAATTTTTCTGTAAAAAAACAAAAAATGGCCAAAAATTGGAAAAAGGGGGAGAGAGGTGGAGGTAATAAAGTTTTGAGAGAGAAAATGAAGAAATTAAAATTACGTCAAGTTTGCAATAAAAATGTGTTTTTAAATTAACTGAATAATGTTTTGATGTTTTTAATAACATTATGTTTTGTTTGTTGTTCTGGAATGTTTTTAATAAACTTGTTTTGTGATGTTTTAATGAACAATTCCGGAAAAACATTGAGAATTTGTTTATTCCGGAAAAACTAGGTTTGACTAATGTTTTCCGGAATGTTTTAATGTTTTAATGTTTTGATAGCGTTATATTTTGTTTGTTCTTCCGGAATGTTTTTAATAAACTTGTTTTATGATGTTTCAATAAACAATTCCGGAAAGACGTAAAAACATTGAAAAATTGTATATTCCGGAAAACTATGTTTGACTAATGTTTTCCGGAATATTTATTCATTATCTGGAATGTTTTAATGTTTTCCGGAATTATAATGAATAATTCCGGAAAGAGATTGCTAAAACATGTTTTTAACAATGTTTTCCGGAATTATAATGAATAATTCCGGAAAGATATAAACACATGTTTAAGTGTTTTTCCGTAAAGTTTAGAAGAATACTCTCTAACTAATGTTTCCGGAATGTTTATTAAATAATTTAAACAAGTTCCGGAAAGTTGAAAATTTGCGGACAACTTTTGTTTGCGGACAAATTTTGCAGACAATCTTCTTTCCACTAATTCTTTTGTTTTTAATTTTTGTAAAATTACTTTTACAGTTTTACATCAAAATCATTTAACTATATCTACAGAAAATATACTATATTTTCTCGTTGACACTCTTTTTTGGCCTTGACGAGAGCAACATATATAGTTTGGCTATTATTTCTAGTTTATGTGTAGGTGTGCCAGGCTCAGGCAGGTATAGAAAAATAAATTTATTTTTTAATTTTTTTAGAGGGCCACGCATTTTTGCATTCGCCGAGTGATGGCCAAGGCCAACAATTTGTTGAACTGTTCCACGTACTTCTTTTTTTGTTTGTTAGTGAAAGAAGGGGAGAATATTACAAAATAAATGGCCAAAAAATATATTAATTTTTATTTTAAATAAAATAGAAAATTTATTTCAGGTTCCGGAAAGTTTTTAAATTAATTAATTTATTCCGGAAAGTTTTTTAAAATAAAGATAAAATGTTTTCCGGAATGTTTTTAGAAAAATAATTTTTAAACAAGGTTTTCCGGAAAGTTAAGACAATTAGAAACCATTTTAGAGATTTTCCGGAAAGTTTGATTTAATTAATTTATTTATTCCGGAAGGTTTATAAAATAAGATTTGTTTTCCGGAAAGTTTAGGAAAATAATTCTTAAACAAATTTTTCCGGAGAGTTTTTCCGGAAAACAAAACAATTTTAAATAGTTCCGGAAATTTATTAAATTAATTAATTTATTCCGGAAAGTTTATTTAATTTCAGGAAAGTTTGAAATTTTGCGGACTACTTTTGCGGACTACTTTAAGAAGACTATCCTTAAAACCCTCTAAAAAAATTTTTTTAGAAAATTCAAAAATTAATTTTAAAATTTTAATTAACAATCTAGGACATCTCTTCTTTTCCCCTCTCTTGTTTGATCCATTGGATGAACTACAAAAAAAATTTAGGTCAGGCATCAGTATATGGATATATTCTGAACATTAAAAAGCAACAAACCCTCCCCACACCTTTTAGTAGTTTAGGGGCAGATCGCAACCATTCACAAAATTTCTTTTTTTCTTTAAAATTAAAAGGAAACAGAAAATGTGAAAAACATCAAAATGGACGAGAATTGGAGAGAGATTTATGTCAAAAAGAGCCGAACAAATCGCCGCGCAGCCAAAATGGAGGGGAGGAAAGAATGAAGGATATAGAGGAATTGGGTCATAAATTCAACTAAACTCCCGGTTCAATGCTCTCTTAAAATTTTTGAAAAAAGTTAATGCCTTAAAGCATGGAAAATAGGGAAAATAGAAGAAAGGAAAAGAGAAAAGAGGGATCTGGAAATAAAAAAGAAGCAAAAAATAGTGGAAATTTAATTAAGTACCCCTCAAAAATTTAAATAAAAATATTCGCGGCTATAATTAAAATAAGCTAGTTGAGTGCCAAAAATAGAGTGTTCTCAACAGAAAAATAAATGTTAGCACCGAACTGACCTTTCAAGTTTATTTAAATTAATTTTCTTTAATTGTCTATTTCCCCTGTCTTTTTTACTTATGCTTCTCTAATTAATCAAGCTTTTAGAATTAGCTTTTCTCGCAATTGTCATATTTCACCAATAACACATTTTGCCAATAAGGACAAAAACTTGCGTTTTGTCAACAAAGGGCTTATTGGCAAAACGTTAATTTTATTCTTATTGGCAAAATGTGGTATTGGCGAAATATGTATAAGCTTAAAACATACAAAATAGGGATACTCTGACTTTTTTTTTCAATTTAAAGCTTTAGCTTACCAATTTAATTTAATTTGCTTTTTTCCTATCCCATTTTTAATTGATTAACCCAATAAATCAATTAAATACTTGCTAATTTATTTTAATTTTGATTAATTTTAGAAATGTCGTTTTTCAATAAAGAAAATCTTCAAAAACTTGGAAGAGCCGCTAGCGTCCTAAATTCAGGCATTCAAGCAGTTACAGCCGCCCAACAAGTTTACCAAGCCGTTAACGGAACGGGGACGCAAAATGGGACGACTAATCAACAACTCCAACCTTCCCAAAGAGAAATTACTTTTGTCCAGCCAAATGCTGCGGAGAAGGGGGATAAAAATAAAAGTTTGTTTGGAGAGTTTAATGAAGAGGTTTTTTGATTAAATTTAATAGAAAATGTAAAAAAATTTTTTTTTAGTTTCTCAAAAAGAATATTTCATTAATTAATCAACACCGTCCTTCTGATGGTTTTACTCCGCTAATTTGTGCTGTTTTGCGGAAATGTCTTGATTCTGTTGTTTTGCTTTTATCTAATGGGGTAAGTTTTTTATTTTACAGCTGGACCTCACTATGGGATATCCCCACGAAAAAATCAATGAGATGGTCTTTTATGATATGTTGTCTTTTTAATTGAGGGTATTGTTTTCTATTAGACAACTGCCCCTTCCACCACTGGCCAATTTATTCTTTTCCTACTCACTGACCAATCAATTTTTAAATGGAGCCGAATCTACCAGGAGTGTGTCAGTTTCGCCGGATTTTGCCTTTTGTTTTTTTCGTCTTTCGGCCTATGTTTATTGGGTCTATCTTATAATAAAGCTCGAATATCTTTTAAATTTCTTTCAAAAAATTTCCTTTTTCAGGCGTCTGTAAACGCTACCGATTCAAAAGGAAATACAGCCTTGCATTATGCAGATACTCCTCTAATTGTGAAAGCATTAATTATTTTCAGAGCTGATTTGAATATTAAAAACAAAGCTGGGGCTGATTGTTTTTCTGGTAGAAAAAGGTTTTGTTAATTTTCTTTTCAAATTTTGTGGAGAATTTTTGGGGGAATTTTTAGACAATTCAGTTTTTAGAGTTATTTTTAAATTTTATTTCGATTGAAAAATTTTTTCCCAGTCGAAAATCCTTTAAAAATATTTAAAAATGAAAATTGAGGCAAAATATTACAAATTAAATTAATTTACCAAGACTGGGGATCGAACCTTCGTGCCTCTGTTAATTTTTTATAAGAAATCCAAAATTTTTCCGACTTAACCATAAATTACGTAGTTGCTAGGAAAAATAATTTTTAGGCAAAAATTTACCAATTAAAATTTTTTACCATGACTGGATATCGGACCTTGGTGTCCTCTTAATTATTATACAAAATCCAGCAAATTTCCCACTTAACCAAAAAGACCATTTTCTATAAAATTTCTAAAATTGCCGTGTTAAGGCTTCAATAAACATTTATTTTTTTTATTCATTTTTAGGCAGGAAATTACTCAAATTTTATTAAAAGCCAAACTTTGGGATGAACTAAAAATTATTGAAAATGCAACAACAACAACAACTTCCCCTTCACTTCAAACAAAAATAAATGAACATAAACAACAAATAGCCGTTCAATGTCAATTTAGAAAAGATTTAGAAGACAAAAAACGATCCCTTAGATTATTGTCTTTGGATGGGGGAGGAATTAAAGGGCTTGTACTTATACAGGTTTTTTTGTTAAATTTATTTTTATTTTACGAGGGGTAGGGGTATAGTTTAGTGATGCTCGGGTATCCCGATCCCGACTCCCGACTCGGGAAAATTTCCCGAGTTTTTGGCCTCCCGATCCCGACTCCCGGTGTCAATTCCCGATTAAGTCGGGAAATTTTTACACCCCTAAGAATGGTTTTTCTGACAAAATTATATTTTCATTTATAAAAAATGAAGAAATCTGGCCTCTTGGTCTCCTAAAATTCCCAAAATTTTCGCCTGCGGCGCTGAAAAGGGAAGATTTTTGGCTTAAGGATCTTCCAAATTCCTCAAAATTTTCGCCTGCGGCGCTGAAAACTGAAGAATCTGTGGAGTTGTAGTATAGAAGATTTCGGTGATTTACTAGGATTATGGTGAATTTGAAGAGATAACGAGGGATTTGCAGTAATAAAGAGAGATATGAATGGATGATTGATGTTGCACAGGGGGTGTTAATACTATTGAGGGATATGAAGATATAAGTGGCTAGTTCACCAAAATTCCACCAAAATTGAACGTAAAAATATTTTTCTCTGTTTCACTCTCTTTTCCTCTATTTCACTCCAATGGAGAGATTCAAGGACTTAAGGTCAATGACAACAAATATAAATCAAAGCTGGGCTCTGGCTCAAAGAAAAAGCCCCCAGCAACACCCAACACTGATTATCTCTACGGTTACTAGGTTTTTTGGACAGGCTGTTGACTTATCCTTCAAAATAATCGGGGAAATAAACTCTTAAGTTATTCTTAAAGATCTTTCACTATAGAGGGATATGAAGAGATATTTCACTCCAATGAGAGTCAAAATTTTTGGCTGCGGCGCAAAAAATGGAAGAAATCTGACTTCAAGACCTAAAAATTCTTAAAATTTTCGCCTGCGGCGCTAGTAAGGCTTCTTTACCTTCCAAAATTTTCAATATTTTTGCCTGTGATGCAAAAAATCGGAATTTTTGGCGCCGAAGGCGCCAAAAATTTTTTTATTGCTAATTCCCGACTCCCGATCCCGACTCCCGAGGTCATTTCCCGACCCGACTCCCGTTTCCCGATTCCCGGGTTTTTTCTTCTCCCGAGCATCACTAGTATAGTTCGAACCCGTGACCGGGTTTTCCGGGCCAGGAAACCGGGTATTTTGATAAAATCCGGTTTTCGGGGGTTTTAGCCCCGAACCCGGGTCCGGTTGGAAGAAAAAACCCGGATACCGGGCCCGGTAAATTGTAAAGTTCGAACTCTAGTTAGGGGTAGTGTTTGGCAAATTGGGTTGTTTTTAGAGGGGCTTTTCTAGATTTGATCTTAGGGAAATCTTTTTGGTATATCAACCGATAGTCGTTTTTTTTTTTGAAAAAGTTCATGACTGGGTAGCCAATTTTTGCCTCATAAAACAATTTTTAACAGATATTGATGGAATTGGAAGATATTTGTGGAAATACTGAAAATTTTGTAACAAAAAATTTTGATTGGATTGCTGGGACGAGTACTGGCGCGGTTTTTATTTTTTTATATTTAAAAAAAAAACAAAATTTCTTTTCTTCAGATTTTGGCCCTAGCATTGGCAGATGGATATAAACCAATTCAATGTTTACGTCTCTACTTGCGATTAAAAGACGAAATCTTTCTAACTCGTTCAAATCCTTTGGTACCTTATCCTGATGAAAAAATTGAAAAATTCTTGAAAGAAAATTTTGGAGAAAATCGAAAAATGGCTAATATTAAGAATAAAAAATTGAAGTAAGGGAAAAGGGTTTTTGTACTATCGAACCTCGTTATATAAAATGTCGGCCACTGGGTGGGGGAAATATGGACATATTTAAAGGGAAGAGGGAGACAAGGTAGGGGAATAGGGTTGTTGGTTCCTGGAAATTCTTCGTATATCCGAACTGAATCGAAAAAGCATCGGTTCTTTGGTTTGGTCCAGAACCGACAACCCTATAGAGGAGCTATAGACATGCCTATGGGAGGGGGTATGCCGTCTGTATACTCCTTTTGGAGAAGCTCCATATAAGGGACCTACTTAAGATACAGCTCATTATAATGACAATCTTCAGTGTAAATGGACTTCTCTTAAAAATTAATTTTTAAATTTTAGAGTTTTCGTTACAGCAACAAAAGCAGATCAAATTCCAATAAAAATGATACTTTATCGAAGTTATGATACTCCATTGAAGAAGCCAATAGATCCATTACCTCAAAATGTAAATATTTGGAAAGCAGCTAGATGCTCTAGGTTTTTTTCTTTTTACGGATATTTTTAATAATTTTATTTTTCTTATTTTTAAGTGCCGCTCCAACCTTTTTTAGTAGCGTAAATGGAGTTATGGATGGAGGTATTATTTTTAAGATTATCAAAAAAAATGTGGGTTTCATTTCTTCACATAATAAAAATCGGGTCATTTCGTCCACATAGTGGAATTTTTAAACATTTCGTCGCTTAGGAGATTGAGATTTCATCACCCAGTAGAAATTTAACCATTGCGTCATGTGGGGAACTTGAGCCATTTCGTCACATAGGCCAGATTTACCCGTTTTGTCACTTGAAGAATTTTAATTAGTGTATTATTTTTACTGTGAAATACAACACTTTTTCAGGCCTTATGGCGAACAATCCTGGAGTTACATTACTTTTGGAAGTTTTTAAAAATATTGATTTTCAAGCATTAAGTGACAAAAATGAAAACCCTGTGAGTGAAAAATTATTAAAAAAAATTTCTTTTAATTTTTTTTTAATTTTTAAGCCTCCCGATTTGGCTTTTATGCTTTCCTTAGGTACAGGAAAAAGCCCCGAAGTCGCTGTACCAATACCAGAATTTTCTCCTGAATTGGGATTACAAGGGATAATTCAAACAGTGCAGTCACTTAATAATTTGAAGTCAATACTTGTTGAACAGGTTTATTTTTAATTTAAAACTCTGTCCAATTTTAAATAATTCTATTTTTAAAGTTATCAACTTCTGACGGTCAAGTAGTTGAAATAGCTCGTTATATGTCGCATACTCGCCGTGTCCCATATTTCCGTCTTACACCTTCATTAAATACAGATATTCAATTGGACACTGTGGACAATACTTTGCTTATTGAAATGCTTTGGACTACCAAGGTTTTTGAAAAAAAATTTTTGGGGATTTCTGGGGGGGGGGTCCCTTAGGTTTCTGGGATTCCCAAAAAAAATTTTCGAATTTTTAGAAAATTATTTTTGGTTTTAAGGAATATATAAGAGAAAAATGCTCAACTGACGTCTTGTCTTTGTTGGAACTTTTTTCTGCATTTAATAGAGGCAACGAATAAATTTAAAAAGGAATGATTCTAATATTGACGTTAAAAGTGCAATAGGTACGTACATTTTATTGTCTTATTTAATTATACTACATCGAAATACTAATTTCTGAATACCTAATTCCTAAAAAAAATCTTCCTTATTGTGCCGCAAAAAAATAATTTTTTGGAATATTTAGTAAAGTTAGAAAATTGAACCTGAAACGAAACCCGGGAGTTGAAAACAGGCAATAACCAAAAACCATTGAAAATCTAAAAATAATATTTTTGCGGCACAATTTTCTTATTTTAATATGCCATTTCAAAAATGCTTTAACCCCTTTCTTTTTTAATTATTTCCTATAGAATTTCCTTTCTTAAATAATTATTTCGCATGGATTCCTTTTTTAAATAATTCTAAAATCACTAAATTTTTATAAAGTATTTATATTTAAACAAACTTTTAAAAATTTTGAAACTTGAAATATGTTAAAAATTTTCGGTCATTCATTTTTTACATTTAATAAAATTCCTCCTACCAAGAAATTGTTTAACCCTAAAATTTAAATTTAATAAATATTAAAAAAAATATTTTTTAATACCTTTGGTATATCAGTTTCAGCCATTCTTTTTGCAAAATTTTCAATTCGTTCAATACCAATAACTTTAAAAAAATTTTTATTAAAAAATCTCTTGTCCGCGAAATTTTTGCGGATAAAAAATTTGTCCGCAAATTTCTTGCGGACAAAAATTTTTTTTTTAATTTTCAATAAATTACAAAAATTAATTTACCCGGATATTTTGTCAATTCTCCATCCGTTACAATTTTTACATCTTTTTCGCTTCCCTCACTCGTTAAAATTGATAAAAACAATGTTTGTTTATCCAACAAATTTTTTTCTTCCAAAAATGCTTTTAATTCAGAAAATAAATTCTTTTCAGATTCAACTTCATGAAATAATTTAATTTTGTGGTCAGTTACTGAACCTTGAATCCATCTTTAAAAATAAATTTTTTAAAATTTTTTAGTGAAAAACGACTTAAAAATTTGGTTGTCCATTGGGTGATAAAAGCTGTCTAAGCGATACCCTCTATCTAAGATACACACCTCTTGGACAACAGTTAGACATCTCAATAAGGTACCCCAAATATTAGATACGCCTCTATTTAAGATGCTATCTTTTTTGAAGATTTTTGAATGACCACAGAGCTTGGGGAGGGAGCTTATGTTAGGTTTTCCCTCCAACTATGAAAAACCTCATTATAAAACACTTACAGTACCAGATACATTTTTTTCTACTTGTTGGACATAGGATAGAAAAAACTTTCAGATTTGGCATCTTATAATGTTTTTAAAATTAAATTTAAAACCTAATAGCTTCCCTAGCATTTGCACTATCCTTCTTTAATTTATCCAATTTTGCCAAAACTGAACGTGTAATGATTGTATTTTGTTTTGCAGTTTGACAAAGTTGATCCATTAAAGTTAAACGTTCTAATAATACGTGGTGGTCAGGCGCAATATAAACAGGGATTTTGCTAAGAGTTTCGTTCTAAATAAATCAGAATTAATAATCAGAATTTTTTTTATAATTAAAAATACAAATTCTGATTTTTCCGGAAAATACAAACCTTTTAAATAAACTTTCCGGAAGAATCAGAATTTATTTTAAATTAAATTCTGGTCTAAAAACAAATATTAAAAACTTTCCGGAAGCGAAATTCTGATTTTTCCGGAATTGAAAATATATTATTTTTATTCCGGATATTATTTAAATTTCCGGAAGGTTTATTTATTTATATTTTTGTATTTTCCGGAAGGAATCAGAATTTCGTTTCCGAAAAGTATTTTTTCTACTAATTTAAATGAGTATGGTTGCCTATGTTGCCTATGTTTTCTGACATGTGCAGAATGTAAAGCGTTTCCGGAAAATTATTTTTTTAATCAGAATTATATGTATTTATTTTAAAATAAATTCTGATTCTTCCGTCAAGTTTTATTTTAATTTTATAGTCCAGAAAAATTCTGATTTTTAATTAATTAAAAAAAACCCCCTTACAATTTTGCTGACATGTGCAGAATGTAAACGAGAAATTCCTTCCATTGTTTTACGTTCCTTTTCGCCAATGTTGGATGATGCCAATTTAAAATATTTATCAAAAACAATACCAGCAAAGCGTGCAGAAATTATATTACGTATATAATACACCTTTATTAAATAAAAAAATTTTTTGAAAATCCGCAAAAAATTTGTCCGCAAAAAATTTGCGGACAAATTTTCTTGTCCGCAAAAAATTTTTGCTGACATTTTTTTTCGAATTTTTCTCATTTTTAATTTTTAAAAAATTCTAAAATTTAAAAATAACATACCAAAACAACAACAAATAATTTATAGCCTTTATTTTCATCAAATTTGTACATAAACCAATTTACAAGGGCACGTCTTTCTGAAGAGTTCGAATTGTCTTCTGCTTCCATTAAAGGTGAAATACGAGTAATTAAATCATTTAAAAGTTCCACAAACGTTTTTAAAATGTTTTGGTATTGCTAGAAAAATTTTTTGAAATTAAAAAAAAATTAAAAATCCGCAAAAAAAATTTGCGGACAATTTTTTGCGGATTTTTCTTGTCCGCAAAAATTTTTTTGCGGATTTTACCTAAAAAAATTAAAAAAATCTTACAAGTTTAAGTGAAACAGAAAGTTTTTTTATTGTAAAATATTCAGCACAATTACTAATAAATTCAGAAACTATTATTGCTGATTGCCAAACAGTTGATAAAAAAGTAATATCGTCCTCTTCTTCATTTTGTTGGTTATTTATTAAATTATTATTTTTAATTTTTTCTTCCTTTTCATTTTCAGAGTTTGAGGAGGAAGAGGAAGACCTTTAAAGAAGAAAAAAATAAAAATTTAAAAAATCCGCAAAAAATTTGCGGACAATCCGCAAAAAACTTGCGGATTAAAACTTTTGCGGACTAAAATTTTTGCATACAAATTTTTTGCGGACTAATTAAAAACCAGGGGTTACTGACTAAAAATCGGCATTATTTAAAAATTAAAAAAATTTTTTCCAAACCTTTCATTCTTTTTTCTTCTCCTTTTATTAATTTGAACATCCTCTTCTTCTTCATTTTCCTTTGCAGCAAAAAGTCTTCTCGCCTCTTCCAAAACATAAATTAATTTTTGACAAGTAAAAGAAGTAATATAACGAAAATGTTCATCCGTGGCTAAAAAATTTGGAAAATTAAAAAAATAATTTTAAAAAATCCGCAAAAAAATTGCGGACAAAAATAAAAATCCGCAAAAATTTTTGCGGACAAAAAATTAAAAAAAACGTTGATTTTGTAGAGCAAAGGAAACAGCCAAAGTGCAACAATTAATGTGTTGTAAAAATGTTTTAAAATTATTTGAGGTTTTAAATGATTCAAAAAGTTTGTCCATTTCTTTACGGGATTCTTCAAATTGTAAACGACTAGAAAAAAAATTTACTTTTATTTTAATTTTTAGAAAAAGTTAGACATCATAAGAAACCCCCTCACCCTTGAAACTGAAAAATTTTTTTCACTTATAAAGAGGTGTTTATTAAATAGAGTATCACTCAAGCAGCTCCTTTCACCCAGTCCAACTAAAAAAACGTCTCCTAAATAGAGGCGTATTTAAGATTGGAGGTATCTATACAGTCAGACCTCTATATAGTGTATATACATCTCTATTTAAGAAACACCTCAGTATAGGCGACGATTTTTTTCACCTCCATGTGGTATCCTATAGAGGAAGTTTAATAAAAAAATTTTTTTTGTTACCTAAACTCAAAAGCCACAATATTAACAAATTTCAAAGTAACATCAAATTCAAAATTAGCAGAAGAATTGTTACTTGTTCCCTCTTTGTTGGCCAATAAATTAATATTATTTTGTATACCATCAGAATTTTTGTCAGCCTTTTTGTGTTGAGCGAGTGAACGTAGAAAGAGGAAAAAGGCTAGGTTTGGGTCGATTTTGGAGTTTAATAAGGCTAACTAAAAATTTCAAAGAAATTTTTGTGAAATTTTCTGTAAATTCAAAAAAATTTACACAGAATTCATAAATTTTCAAAAAAAAAGTTTTTAAAAAAATTTCAAAGAAAATTTTCAAAAAAAGAAAATTTCTAAAAAAATCAGAGAATTAAAAAAAATTAGAAAACTTCAAAAAACTTGTGAAAATTTTCACGGATTTTCCAGTAGAATTTTCGAAAAATTTTTTCAAAAAAATCAAAAATTTTCCAAACCTGACTATAAGGCTTCCAATTTTTCGGGTCACGAAACGCCGCATTAACATAGCACTGTTCACAAATTGTAAAATCTCTTTTATCCTCTCCACAATAAATAAAAGAGTATCTATACAAGTCCCCCAGCCACAAAAGAAGGGAATGTTTGAAATCTTGGAATTTTGTCAGAAAAGAAGAAATATGGGAAATATTTGATGAAATGAAGATTTTTAGTAATTTAATTGTGTCCGCTTCCTTCTTAAAAAATTTAGAAATTTTCAAAAAAAATTCAAAAAATTTTTGTCCGCAAAAAATCTGCGGATTGTCCGCAAAAATTTGCGAAATTTTCTGCCTGCAAAAAAATTCAAAAAAATTTTTTTGCGGACAAACCAAACCCCGAAGGATTAAAAAAAATTATTTTTATTAACCTGACTAGTTTCTTCAGTCAAAAATTGTTTGAAAACTTGTTCCTCGTTAAAAAATTGTTTGTAGGCAGCAATGGGTTTATAACAACAATAAATCCAAAATATTTCCAAAGCTTCACGGCGAAAAGTAGAATATTGGGCGAGAGATTCACATTCTTGGGATAGGCTAAAATAAAGTAATTGAATTAGGAGAAGAGTCAAACTTCGATTTTAGATAAACCCAAATGAGTGAGGGCGATTTCAAAGTCAACCCCTTGTTTAAAAATTTCAGGGACATGGGCAGAGTTGGGCCGGGCCTTCACAATTTTCTTATAATCAGATTGGAAGTCCGAATCATACCTTGACAAAAAAGCGAGGGTCTTAATAGGGTTCAGTGGCATTGGGTTTTAGAAACACCCAATAAAATAAAAAATATATAATTAAAAAGTAACCTTTGCCTTAACCTCAAAACCTTCTCATCTTCCAGCATTTGTTCAACTCCATCAATCTCATTATACAGCCTTTTAATTTGACTCATACGATATTTAACACACCTAAAATTGAAAAAAAATTTTCTAATTTTTAAAAATTTAAAAAACCGAAAAAGTTGAACAGCTTCCTCTGACGATTTGTCATCTTGAGGTATTTTAAAGTCCATTTCGAAAAAAAATTAAAAATGAATTTAAGGAGAATTTTTAAAAATATTAGAAATTAAAAAAAATAAATTTAAAAGAACACAAGAAAGTAATATCAAAAATTTTATTATGAATCAGAAAAACAAATAATAAACCAAAATAACATTTATTTAATATGTATTACTGAAAGGATAGGCGACAAATTTTCGTTTAAATTCCTAGAAAATAAGAATAAGCAAAATGACATTATTTGCGGACATCTTTTTAGCGGATTTTTTGCGGATTTTCTGCAAATTTTTTTGCGGAATTTCTTTTTGGGACAATTTTTGCGGACTTTCTTCTTGTGGACATTTTTTGCGGACAATTTTTTGCAATTTTCTATATTCCCCTCATTTTATTTTAGGCATCCACTCAATCCATCAATCTACCCTTATTTTTTAGGGAGGCCTGAAAAAATTTCCTTGCTCCTCTAAAAATGCGTGTAAACCCTTTCAGTTATAAAATACACATCAAATAAAAAATTTTTTTTAACGGCACAATTTAATGAGCATTCTTAAATAAAAAATAATATTATTAAAGCCAAACTTCCAACAATTAAACATCGTCAAAAAAGCTTTTTCAATGACAACAAGGCTTTAACTGCTTCCCACGCCATTTGCAAAATGCAATTCCAGCAACCACACTAACAAGAATCACAGCTCCAGTAGTAATAGCAATTCGACGCCAACGATTACGGCCTCTCTCTGTCTCGTCAGAAATTACCTTTAAAAAATAGATTTAATGGAGTTGGATTAAAAAAGTCTGGGATGAATACTCTTCGAATCCACAAAACTGGGCCTACTCCTGGGTATGTATAGAAGCCCAAGAAACGACCAGGATAAAAATTAAAAAGCCCAGGAATGACTGAATACAAGAAGCTTCCCAGAAAGCTGAAATATGAGGCTCTAGGTAGTGATAAGGATCCTGGGTGGGTCCTAAGCTACTCCTAATCCTAACTATAAGCTACTACCTGTAAGAAGAACCAACCAAGGAAAAAACAGGGGCCGAAAGATGTCAAAAACTGATAGAATATGGGTTAATAGGATTTACTATTAGACTTTGCTACAACTCGCTAAGAAATGATCGGCTTTGGATTCAGGGAAACCCTTTAACTTTCCCTATCTAGATTTTCAAAATCCAAACCTCAAAATCTTCCGGAACCGCAGTCTTCGTTTTCTGTCCTTGTTGCTCCTTCCCAGCCTCCTTCTTCACTTTATCCTTTTCAGTTAACATTGAAGTATGCTTAAGCGGCGCTGAATTTTTTTTAAATTTTATTTAAAAAATAGAAAAAAATAAACCAAAATCCTTCCCAACATTGTCGAAAACCTCTGGCGGTTCAATAAAAGGCTCAACATCCTTCTCTTTTTTAAGCATAACTGGAGGCAAAGATTTGCTTTTGTTGTCGTCCTGGACATTAGAAGAAACTGGAGACAAAGGTTCAGGAGACAGTTTGGCTTTAGGAACCGACGGCAGCTTCGGGAACTTTAAATTAATCTAGAGAGGAATTTATAAAATTCAATTTTAATGAGGGGACCGGAAAGAGAAAAGGAAACTCGAGTTCGTACCTCCCCTGCTTTCCCTCCCACGAGGTAGTAAAAATGGTCAGACCTTGCTTACTTCTTCAACTTCAGTCTATTCCACCTATGGCATACAATCAGTCAATAAGAGGATAGAGGCACCTATGAGACAACTTTTAAGTTTTTGTTAAGTGGGACAAAATGTCTTTTTTTTAATACCCTGAGGAAGAGAAGGAAAAGGGAGACGAACTTGAATTTTCGAATAAAAGCAAATTTTACAGTCAAGATTAGATTAAATTTTTATAAAAGTTTAGAAAAAACCTTAAAGTCAATATCATCCGTTGTCAAATTTGTCATTTGTGGTGGTTGAGCATTAACAACATCTTTACTGTCTTGATTCTCAACTCTTGGGGGAGTTTGGGATTGCTCAGACATTGAGAATTATTATTATTTAAACAAAAGCTAAAAAATATAGAAATTTAAAACAAAATAAGGAAAAAAATTTCTGAAAAACTTTTAACAAATTATAGGAAAAAAATTGAGCGCTCCATTTGACAAATTGTAAGTTTTTGTTCAGTGTGACGAAATGTCTATGGACGAAACGTAATCCCCTAAAGTTATTTAGGGTAGGGGACGATTCATCGCCAATTCAGTATCGCCAATTCAGTATCGCCGATTCAGTATTGGCCGATTCAGTATTTGGCTTTTTTGGCCATAACTTTTTGCTCGATCAATATTGTGGGAATTATTATATATGATTTGATAGGCCTCGGAGTGCTGCATCTTTTTCATAATTGGACTGACCTGATCTTATCACTCTACAAAAAGTTATCACTGATAAACGACGTCACAGGCATAAAGAATCGGTTTTCACGCTGTAACTTTTTTTGAGATCATCAGATCAGATCGGGCCAATTATGAAAAAGATGTCGAATCATGAGACCTTTCGAATGATATGAGAATTATTCAAATCGGTCGAATATCAGGAAAGTTATGGCCATATACTGAATCGGCGGATACTGAATCGGCGATACTGAATCGGCTATACTGAATCGGCGATACTGAATCGTCCTTAACCGAGTTATTTAACATTTAATTTCTCTACTAACAATAATATTTTATTAATCTCTTTCTCTAATTTCTTCACTTAAATTTTGTTATGGGACAAATTGTAAGATTTAGTTCAATGTGATAAAATGGCTTTAGACGAAAAGTGTGTTTTGTCGAATTTCTTTTATATTTTACTTCTCTACCAACCATAATCTTTTTCATATATCCTTCTCTAATTTCTTCAGTTAAAAGAAGACTTTCTCTAATTTTTCATTATGTCAACTTTCAATTTGTTTGGATTTATTAAATTGTAAACAATGAATTTTCTCTCCTTTCCTCAACTATTTTTTGTAAAATTTTCGTTAATTTAATCCTTTTTTGATTGTTTTTTAGGCTTTTTGAGCTTTATTTTTTTAATAAATTTAATAAAAATAAAGAATGAATCGAAAAGAAGATCAATCTACTTCTTCTCTGCCAACCAGAAGATTAGTAGGAGCTCCACCAAGTGCCGCGGTAATGAGAATTGCAGGTTTCTTTTGGGTTTTTTCTAGTTTATTTAACTTCAAGTTGCAGCAAAAGAATTAAAAGTTGAACAAAAGAGGCGTCCAATAAATCCAGTAGAAACTGAGGAAAGTGCTGATGATGATTCTGAAACTGAAAAAACTGCGGAGGAAACGGAGGAAGTTGATGATTCCAAAACTAATGAGGAACAACCTCCTGAAAAAAAGCGAAGAAAGAGAAGGAAGAAAAGAATAAGGCTTACTGATACGGGGTTGAAGACAAAGAAGAAAGTTGATAAGAAAGAGAAAATGGTGTCAGAACAGAAGGATAAGCGGTAAGGGGAATTTTAGATTAAAGTAGGACCTCAGTTTTTGGTGCACCCAATGGGGCTAGAAATTTTTTTGTGTTCTTTTAAGAAACTGATATTGATTGAGAACCTTTACCAGATTCTTTATCTTGAGTCAAGTAAAAATCAGTGAACTTGGAAGTGACTTGATTTTGAATTCAAGGAAAAATCAAGGGCTGAATCCAGGCCTTGTCTCACATAGAGAGGTCTGACCTTATTTAATCTTTGCTTTTGGCTATATAAAAGTTTTTCTTATGTTAAAATCATTTCTTTATGTTTCAGAATAGAAGACGATCAAGACATGGACAGCGATCCTCCTAGTGCCAAACCAGAACCTCAAAAAGAAGAGCCACCTCCTCCAAAGCCTAAAGAACGACCTAAACTTGAAGATTTGTCACATTTTCAATTATTTTGTGACAACATATTAAGAAAACTGGTCATGAAGGATCCAGAAGGATATTTTGCTAATCCTGTTTCTGAGTATATTTCAAATTATATTTTTCTTTTTGGATAGCCCAAAAATGAGCTTGGTGCCAGTTATGGTTTTTTGATTTTCATGGACCTTTCTTGGCCCTTTGTTGAGTCTTTGGCTTAATTTTGGCGGTATTTGACTCAGCTCGCTGAGTTCTTTTAAATGATATAATAATTGCCCGAATCGGAATAGGGGACTTGTGACGGAATTTTACCCATGGGAAAAATAGCTGACATGAGAAGAGGGAAGGGATATCCAAAAAGTACCTTATTTTTCTTCAAAAAATTTATTTCTGTTCAGTGAAGAAGCTCCAGACTACAAAAATTTGATTCAAAATCCAATGGCTTTTGCAATAATTCGTGATAAAATTGAGCAAGACGAATATCCCAATCTTTCCGATTTTCGTTCAGATGTTGAATTAATTGTTTCAAACGCTCAAACTTACAATCCTGAAGGTTCTCTTTTTTATTTGGCAGCAGAAAAACTTTCAACATTAATCAAATATTATTTTTCTGAAAAATATTTGCTTTATTTAATTTATGCGTTACCTTTTGGAAGAATGGTCCCAATTGAAAGAGTTGGGGTTAAAATACCTAACGAGAGAAAACGAATTCAAAAACAACTTATTGCGAATACGAGAGAAAGGGAGAGGATGAATGCTTTGATAAAGTAAGAAAATTTATTTTTTTTTCAAGTAAGCGGTTCTAGTTTGAAGGCCGAGGTTTTGGGATTTTTCTATAGCCAAACAATTTGGTGAGCTTTTTTGGGAGTTTTTCGAGACTTCAGGCTAATGAGCTTGGACACTGATTAAAAAATATTAATAGGAAATGTTGAGTGAGTTTAGATGAGCCAAGGTCTGGGAGTCCAGACTAGGAACTTACTTGCACTTCCTGAGATTTTTCTGGACTCAAAAACACGGACAATATCAGCCCGGACCTGAACTTTTTTAAAAATCCCAATCTCTAGAGAATCCATTATTGACGAACTTTTTGTAGTAATTTAAACCCTTTTTATTTAAATTTTTCCATTTTATTATAGAAATTCTTTTTTAGAGATACAGAAACTCCACGAGCTATAATTGAATCTGCTCCAAAATTTATTCGAGTATGCTTTTTTTTATTGAATTAAAAAAATTTTTCGTTAAAGAGTCGTTTAACTTCTCGTCGTCCAAACTGCAATTTAGTTTATTTTGACAATAAAAATGGAGCCTTGGCATTAAATTTGCTTACTTCAAATAATTTGGAAGACGAAGAGGGATATAATGAAGAAGGAGGAGGAAATTTCCCACAAAAATTAAAACTTGGAGATTTGGTAAAACCTTTGGAACAAGGCAATCCTGGAATGTTAATTGAAGCTTTTGAACCTAAAATAAATCAACAATTCCCCTTAATTTCGTACACAAATCCGGGACCTTTTGCTTCATTTGCACCACAATGGGATTCGACTTGGGCAACGCTTTCTAAAAGAGGTTTGGTAAAAATTTAATTTAAAACTGGCTTAAAAATCTTGTTTTTAACTAACAAGCTTTCCTTTTCATTTTTTAATTTTTTTTTTGAAATTTTCAAGAAATTTTTTACAGATAGTCAATTGCTTTTATCTTGTTATGGTGACCAAGACAATGTCAGCGATGCTTTTTCTCTTCGTCAAATGGTTGAAAATGTGGATGATGGTAATTTTGTGGATGATATGTTTGATGTAAATTTTTTTTGAAAATTAAAAGAAAAATTTTTTCAAGGGTCTTACTGATGGAGAACATAGCAAAACTATAGCGGCACTTGAAGGAAAGGAAATGGAAAAGGTTTAAATCGAAATTTTTTTGGATTAATTTTTAGTATTTTTTAGTCTAATGTTGTCGCTTCCAATCCGCTGGATGAAAAACTTGAACAAACTGGGAATATGTTACAAGTAAATTTTTTTGAGGGTTTTTTCTGTTGAGGGGCAAGGTAAAATATTCGCAAGTTTCAAAATCAAAATTCCCCCAAAATGTCCGCAAAATTTTTTGATTTGCGGATAAATTTTGCGGTCATTTCTTGGCTGTGCTCTGTTTTACTTTCTAAAGTCCGCAAGTCTCAAATATGTCCGTTTATATTTTTGACTTGCGGAAAACAACTTGTAGACTCATTTGTGAGCATAAAAGAGAGGTTATTAATTATTTAAGCAATTAGCTGCTGTTCAAAATAAACGTTTGAGTCAACCACCGCCTACAGCTATTAGTTATGCTTTGGTACCTGATCAAGGTGTTTTTCTAAAAAAAAATTTTTTTTAATTTTTATAAAATTTTTAGAAGAAACTCATTTGGCTAATTCAATAGCTCAAGATCTCACTAAACAAATACTTGAATCAAATGTTCGACCAGGCGATATAGTTTCTCCAAAAATGGTCCATCAAGCATTGGGATTGGATGCTGATGATTTTGATGTTATTTCTGAATTTTTGGATGTTTAGTTTATTTTTTGATTTTTTAAGCATTTTTTAAAGAATTTTCTTTATTTTATTGTCGGACCGAGTCATACTGCTAACATTAAACGTGAACTGCCAAACCCCAAAGGCCGTCAAAATGACAACATTGGAAAAGTATGGGAATTATCAACAACGGGAGATGTTTTTTGGTATTTTTCAACGGCTTCCTGGGGGGTTTGGCATTTCAACGGCTTTGGCATTATGAAAGCATACTTTTTATTGTACCTCTTGGAAAATGAAATCTTTTGATTTTTTTAAATTTTTTGAAATAAAAATTTTTTTTAGAATATGGTGGTCTATTGATTAATTTTTTCTAATTATTAATATTTTTAATTTGATAGAAATTTTATTTAAAAAATTTTTAGATCTCTATAATCATTAACTTGAAGGTTTCTTGTATTAATCTCGTGGATGTGCAATGTCTTTAGTTATGCTGCCAATCAAGGAAAATGAACAGCCTCCGTGTATGCGTCTTTTTTTTGCTTATTTTTTTTGAAAATTTTTAAGTGGCAGGCCGGTCATTAAGTATTTTTTTGTGAGGGCTAACTTCACATTCCCTCGTTCCTCTCTACCCGAAACTATTTTTTTCTCTTGTTAGTGGTTAGTGTTATGTGATGAACTTCTGTTCAGATTTTTTTAGAATTTGGCCCCCTGAGCCTGTGATTTTTTGGTCCGTTCCATTTTGGTTCCTGACTCCATGGGGGGTTGTTTAAAATTTTTAATGATTTAGGCTTTATTGGTGATGATTTTTTAGTAATCTGGAAAGAAAATTTTTTCATTTTCCTGAGGGGTTTCACTTAAAAACTGACAAATTTTCCTCTTAAAATTTTTTTTCAAGTGGATATTTCAATATCATCAGAAGACCAAGAAGATACTAGCTGGATTGATTGCTCAGAAGAATTATCCAAAAATTGTTTTTCACAATTTGGAGAGCTCCGAAAATCTGGCCATTTAACAGATGTTATAATTAAAGTTGATGGAAGAGAAATTCCAGCACATCGAATTATTTTAGCTGCAACAATTCCTTTTTTTAATGCAATGTTTACTTGTGAAATGATTGAAGCTCATTCTAATGTTATTACTTTACCTAGTTTGTTTTTTTTCTAATTTTTTAAATATTTATGGGGGTGGGTGGGCGAAGGTTTTCTTAAGGATTCTTGATCCGAGGACGTCGTAAGTGGTCAATTTCAGGGGTCTAAAATGGGTTGTGTGCCAAAATTTTGGCGTTTTATTCACTTACCTTAACGTCATTTTTTATGATTTCCTCAAAGAAATTAAAGAATAATAAAACAAAATTAACTGATATGGTTTTTTCATGGATCGCACGCATCCCCTGAAACCCCTAAAATTCCTGAACCGGAAGCTTGGAATCCATTTAAAAACTCGAAGTTTTAAGATGGATCCCAAGCTTCTAATTATACTTTCTTTCTCCTTTCAGACATTGATGCAGACACAATGGAGTCAATTTTAAATTTTGCTTACTCTGGTCGACTCAAATTTACATTTAAAAATATTGAACGTTTATTAAGAGCTGCTGTAAGGAGTTTTTTAAATCATTTTTTTATTTTGGAAATATTTGTCATATCGCACATACTCCGATTTTTCGGCTCTGTATCTTCGGTATACAGACATGTTTTAACCAAAAAACCTTGTAACCGACTCAGTTCGCCGAGCTCCTTTATGTTAGAATTTCTGACCGTTATGAGACCATGAATTGACAATTGAGTCCTTAACTTAATTTTGGGGTCAACTGTTTCTATGGGCTATCATTAAATTTTTGAATGTTTGACCCTTTAAAACCTGCTTTGCAATTATTTATTTATTTTTTTTAATAAAATTAGGATTATCTCCAACTTACAATTCTTTCAAATCGTTGTGCAGAAATTTGGAAATATCGAATAAGTGAGAAAAATGTATTTTCTATCAGACGTTTTGCTTTAATGTATAATATACCTCAAGGTTTTTTTTTTAATTTTTTTTAAAAGAATTTTTTTTCTTCTCTTTTATATAGCTGTAATCGATGCAGATTGTTATATTCAACAAAATTTTTGTTTTATTTCCAAAACTACAGAATTTGCTCAATTAGATTTTACAACTGTTTTAAATATTTTAAATTGGGATCAATTACATGTTGATAATGAAGGAAGGGTGTTTGAAGCTGTTTGTCATTGGATTGAATTTGATATTTCTAATAGACTTGTTTTTGCTCCAAAGTTTGTTTTTTGAGAAATTTTTTTGGGGGGTTTTTTGTATTTAGCAATACCAGAGATTTTACGTGTTATCCGACCCCAATCCGAAACCCAACCATATTCTCTGCCATTCACGTTCCCCGCATTATTTTCTATTTTTCCAAAATATTAGTTTGCCAAAGGTTCATAATGGTCAAAGGATTAAATTTATTTGAAAAACGGTCATTAGTAGATAAGGGCAGGTTAGTAGCCAGAATATTTTTCGTGGGGAGGGCAGGGGAAATAATTTTTGGCACAGATGACGAAGATTTTGAGAATTTTAGTAGCTCTAGGCGGAGATTATTCACTATTTTTCTATCCCTTCTCCAAACTTTTTTCCTTTTCCCATTTCCGGGGAGGGGAGGGGAATCCCCTCCCTCTAGCTACGTCCCTGGATTGAACCATTTTCTTAACCGAATAAACAAAATTCAATTTAAAATTTTTTTCTTCTTACATTTTACAGACTTTTACCTGCTGTTCGTTTACCTCTTTTACGCCCTGCCTACCTTATCGATAAAGTTAGTCGTAATCCATATTTTTGTAATTCAATGGAATGTAGAGATTTAATTGATGAAGCAAAAAATTATCATTTAATGCCAGAAAGACGCTCAAATTTCAATTCAATATTCAAAATAAATATAAGAGTGTGTACAGAAATGCCAGGGAATATTTATGTTTTGGGAGGATTAAATCAAATACAGCCTTCAACTGTTGAATTTTATGACCCAACAATTAAAAAATGGAAGCCTAGTAAAGTAATGACTTCTCAGAGGACTAGGTTTGTTTTTTTTTTGAGGGAATTTTCTATATTTGGGGTTTTGTCCGCAAGTTTGAAAAAAAAGTCCGCAAATTTGAAAAAAGTCCGCAAGTTTAAAAAAAAAGTCCGCAAGTTTCTAAAAGTGTCCGCAAAGGTCTAAAAAGTGTCGTAAATTTTCAGAACATCCTCAAGTTAAAAAATGAAATCAGATTTAAAAGGAGTCCGCAAGTTTTCAAAAATCCGCAACTTTTAAAAATAGTCCGCATGCTCTAGAAATCCGCAAGTTTTTTTAAATGTCCGAAATTTTCAAAAAAATGTCCACAAATTAACCTAATTTTTTAAAGAGTCGGTGTTGCTGTTTCAAACGGAAAAATTTATGTTGTTGGAGGCTATAATGGTTCAGAACGTTTACGTTGTGTTGAAGTAATTTTTTATGAAATTTTTGTTTAAAAATTTTCTATTTTTTAAGATGTTTGACACACTTAGTGGAAATTGGGTTAAGGTAATTTTAAAAATTTTCTGACTTTTTTGTTCCTATATGTCCGCATGTTTTTAATGAAAAGTCCGCAAGTCCTAAAATATGTCCGCAACTCTAAGAGAATGTCCGCAACTTTTCAAAAAAAGTCCGCAAATTTTTTTTAAAAATCCGCAAGCCTGAAATGTTTGCAATTTTTTGACCCCCCTCTAATATTTGTTTTTCTTCTAGCTTGTTTCAATGTTTAAACGTCGTTCAGCAATGTGTGCAACAGCTTTGGGTGAACACGTTTATGTTATTGGTGGTTATGATGGAACTAATGCATTGTATTTTTTTAATTTTTTAAATTAAAAAAGAAATAAATTTTAGAGATTCTGTGGAAATTTATGAAATAAAAAGTGATTATTGGGCTTTTGGACCTCCAATGTTGGCTAAAAGATGTGCTGCTGGAATAGCTATTTCGAAGGGGTTAATTTATGGTTTGTTTGTAATTTTATTTTTTTCTGTTCTGATTTTGTTCTGAAATATTTTGATTTTTCCTAATTTTCTGAATATTCTGATTTGTTCTGATTTTTCAGAATATTCTGATTTTTTCTGATTTTCAGAATATTCTGATTTGTTCTTATTTTTCAGAATATTCTGATTTTTCTGATTTTCAGAATATTCTGATTTTTTCTGATTTTTCAGAATATTCTGATTTTTTTTAGAATATTCTGATTTTTCAGAGTATTCTGGTTTTCTGATTTTTCAGAATATTCTGATTTTTCAGAATGTTCTGATTTTTTCTGATTTTTTAGAACATTCTGATTTTTCAGAGTATTCTGGTTTTCTGATTTTTCAGAATATTCTGATTTTTAGAACATTCTGATTTTTCCCGAATATTCTGATCCTTTCCTAATTTTTAAAATAAATTTTTCTAGTAATCGGAGGACATAACGGCGTTCAAATATTCAACACAGTGGAGTGTTACGATCCAGTTATTGAAAAATGGTCTTCTGTTGCACCGATGTTGGAACCTCGGTGTAGATTAGCAGCAACTTCACATCGAAATAAAATTTATGTTGTTGGAGGGTTTGTGTTGATTTTATTTTTTTGGAGTGACTTTTGGTCCCAAAAATTTTTAAAAAAAGTTTGATCTGAAATTTGGTCCAAAATTGTTCGAATTTTTTGTTAGTTGGTTCCAAAGGAATTTTTGGAAAATTTTCTTTTTTTTTTAATTTTTAATTAAAGTTATTACGACGGCAACTTTCTCAAAAGTGCAGAAGTTTACGATCCAGAGACTGATACTTGGTCCTCAATTGCCCCAATGAATTTATCGAGAGCGCGCGTTTCTCTTGTAACTAATGGGAATTTTTTGTATGCGATTGGTGGATATGACGGGGAGGTTTGAAAATTTTTGGGGAATTTGCGGACTCTTTTTGCGGACTTTTTTTTTGCGGATTTTCTTTTTCCGTACTTTTTTGACACTTTTCTTTTTGATCTTTATTGTCTTAAAATCCGCAAAAAAGGCATTTACGTTTATTAAATAAATTTTTCCTTTTAACAGAATAATCTAAACTCAGTGGAAATATACAACCCAGCCAAAAATCAATGGGAATTTGGTGCACCAATGACGTCTCATGAAGGGGTTTGTTTTAAAAATTTTTAAATAATTAAATTTTTAATAAAAAAATAAAATCAACCAAAAACCTAATTTTTAAAAAATATTTTACCCGCAAAGGGTTCGAACCTCGTCCTTTATTTTCTTATTTCCCACTTAACCACAAAGTTTAACACCTGTATTTTCAATTTGAAAATTACAAAAAAATTTCTAGGCCTAAATTTTGACAAATTCTTTTTAAAAAATTTTAAAACACCCAAAAAACTCATTTTAAAAAAATATTTTACTCGTAAAGGGTTCGAATCCTCGATCCCTTTTTTTCCTCTTTTCTCATCCCACATTCCACTTAACCACGAGATTAAATTAAATTTAATTTTCATTTTTAAGGGTGTTGGAGCAGTTGTTGTACCAACAATGCCTCGAATGCATACTAATCGAAATAATAATAATAATGGAAGTGGAGTTAAAAGGCCTTACAATTTTGATAATTATGGAGAAGATGGAGGAGGAGGAAATGGTGGTGGAGGACCTTCAACCTCGAGAAGGATGAGTGAACAAATTGAATAAAAGTATTTTTTATTTATTTAAATTTAAAGAAAAATGAAACTTTCCTGTTTTTCTAAATGCATTTTTCAGAAAAAATTTTATTAGATTTTAAGTCAAATATTTTAAAAAATCCCAAAAATTTTACTACTAAATATATGCATATATTGTGATTTATTTTTGACAAAATAAATTATTTACAAATTTTTAAAAAATTGGAAAAGAGTTTTTCTAAGCAAAAACATCCAAAAAATTAATTTTTTAAATGTTTTACCCTTAAAGGGTTCGAACCCTCGACCCCTTTTCTTCCTCCTTTCCACAATGTATTCCACTTAACCATGAGGTTAAAAATTCAGTTTTATCAATTAATTTAATTAAAAATTTGCAAAAAATTTTCTAAGCCTAATTTTGACAAATTTAGTTCTAAAAAATTTTTCAAACAAACAAAATTTATTTTAAAAAATGTTTACCCCGCAAAGTGTTCGAACCCTCGATTTTTCTTCCACCCCACATTTTATTAAAAATATGCACCTAACCACGAGGTCAAAAGTCATGTTTTTTCAATAAAAAATTGTCAACTAAAACTTCCTTCTTAAGCGAAACAAAGAAAAATAAAGTTCAATCGGATATAGATTTTCCCAGCAAATATTTTTTGAAAAAGAAAAATATTCTAGCAAGAAAAAAATGCTGCTTCACAGCAGCATTTTTATTTTATTAAAAAATTTTTTTTTAATTTAAAGTAAATTCTTTTAAAATAATAATTAAAAAATTCCTTCCAGCATTTTTTCAGATTGATTTTTTAATATTTCCATTATTTTATAATTTTTTTCTGGACAAGAAAATAATGTTTTTGCCCAAGTTAACAATAGAGGGAGTCCTTGGATTTAATTTTAAAAAATTCCAAAAAATTATAAAAATATCCATTTTGGTTATTTTACTTCTTGAATGTTTTGTTAATTATTCCCAAGCAAGATACAAGCGTTTTATAAAAGAAGAAAATTCAAAATTGATAAATAATGAGGAATATTTAATACAAACTTGTGTGGCTTATTGTGATGCGCAATTTGGGAGAGAATTTGAGGTGAAAAAAATTTTTTCGACTAAAAAATTTGATTTCCCGCCTCAAAAATTTTAAAACACCAAGAAAACTAATTTTTAAAAATATTTAACCCGCAAAGGGTTCGAACCCACGACCCATTTTCCCCTTGTTTCCACTCTGTGTTGCACTTAACCACGAGGCCAAAAGTCTTACTTTTTCGATATTCTTTTTTTTAAAGTTGGGAAAAATTTTCTAAGCCTTATACCGACAAATTACCCCCTCAAAAATTTTATAACAATCAAAAACTAACTTTTAAAAATGTTTCCCTCGCAAAGGGTTCGAACCCACGACCTCTATTTTCCCCTCTATAATTTATTAAATACGCACCCAACCAACTAGGCCAGATTCAACTAAATATTAAAATTTAAACAGGAACATTTTGGACGTAGCTATTTCACTCAATTCTTTGATTTTCCAATTGATTCATTAATTGTATCTTCCATCAGCAATTTCAATTCTTTTTGTTCTCTAGTTGAACAGAGAAGTTGTTGTCTTCAACAAGAATGTCTTAAATCTTCTGTGCCAGCTTCACCCCAAACACATATTTGTTTGGAGCATAGAGCTGATTTTGAAAGGGCGTTGGCCTGTTTAAAGTAGAGAAAAAATTCTTTAAAAAAATTTTTTCCCCTTCCAGTTCCACCGTCCCCCACTTCAAATTTCATTCAATCTGTTCAACAGCAGCAAAACAAAGTGTGAACATTAAAAGGCTGGCAGATGAGACTCGCGGATTTGACATTCATTTAACAGAACAATATCGACAACAGGATCTTCGTTGCCGTTTTCAAGCTTGTACACTTTCGGCTAGGGTACCCTTTTGTCTATTTTTCCCCATTGTACCATTTTGTCGTGTCCAAAAATCAAGGAAATTTCAGATAATGCTAATCAACGAGCACTGCAATCAAAACGGTATTGGAGAGGATCAAAGAGAACACGCTCGTCGGACTGTTAGGCGCTACTATGAGGATGATTTAGAGCTTGATTTGATTGAATATGGAGAAACACTGAACGCTACAAGACGTTTCCCTCGTTTTTGTGCTGCTTTTTTGGCACAGCAAAAAGTCGGAGATGAATTTAAATTTGTTTTTTGCCACTCGCGACAAAACGGAAGTCGCGACAAGATGATACAAAGGTCGTTTGTACCATTTTGTCGCAACAAATAGTACAATGGGAACCATTTTGTTCGTGTACCGTTTTGTCGCTAGTGCCGAACAACCCCCTTTAAAAAATTGTATTTTTAGGCGGAACCTATAGCTCTACTTATTGACCACAAATCTTCACAAATTTATTTGGATGAATTAAATATTTTGTTAAAAATAATTGGGGCGGACACGGCAAAAATGATTGAAACGAAAATTTGAAAATATTAAAATAATTAAAGATTGGTTAAAAATTGAAAAATAAATGATTGTATAAATATTTTTGAATATTTTTAAAAATTTTTCTGCTGTTTCTATCAAATATTTATCTCTTTTTTGTTTGTTTTTATTTAATTTTTGTTATTTAGGCTAACGGTCCAGCTATTTTAAATTCAAATTTACTTCATAAATTAAATAAAAATAATTTGGCGTAATGTTTATTTTATTTTTTGGTAACTCCAGAATGGTGAAAGACAAAAGGGTAAGCGACATTATGTCAAAAATTTCAGGTACCATTTTGTCCAATTTTTCCCTTTGTACCATTTTGTCGCGTGTACGATTATGTCGCTATTTTGACGGTTGTACCGTTTTGTCGCATATACCATTTTGTCGTACGTACCGTTTTGTCGCTTGCACCATTTTTTCAATACACGCATCTCTGACGTGGCTCTGTATCTCTTTTTTGTGTTATCTATCAAATTTTATTAAATTTTAATTTCCTCAATTTAATTTAATTAATTTTTTAGTTGTTTTCAAAAATGCGACGATTATTGCCTTCTACAATTTTAATTTTATTATTTATTATTTCAACTTTAATTGGCTATTCTTCTTCAATATATTTCCATATTGCGGAGACTGAAAGAAAATGCTTTATTGAAGAAATCCCCGACGAAACGATGGTTTTGAGCCGTTACAAAGTTCAACTTTTTGATCCAAATACGAAAGCTTTTGGGGATTATCCGACGATTGGAATGCATGTGGAAGTTAAGGATCCGGAAGAGAAGGTTTGGTGTTTGTTTTTTGGGGTTTTTTTCAAGGGGAATCTTGGTCCACTAATGTAAGTCTTTCCTGGGAACTGAGAAAATACCTTGGCTTTAGTTAAGGATAGCCTTGGCCAAACAAAAGTTCACCACAATCCCTGTTGGGTTCATGCCTAATTTTGTGAACCAGGTTCGGATCGGGTTGAGCAAAAAGTCAGGTTCGGATTGGGTTTTCAAAAATTTTTTTGGATCGGGTTCCGGGTCAAATGAAGACGAGGTTCCGCGTCTCTGTACTGGTCCCTGGACTTTAACAAAGTTAGTCTAACCTGTCCAAACTAGGATTTTTATGCTTTTCTTAACCCTAAGTTAAGGCTTTGATCCATTCCATATACCAAATCCCTTGCCTAGATACATTAGAATACTTGGATCTTTCACTAACAGTTGTCCAAACGCCATTTAACTTTTTTCATCATCAATTTTTAGTCCCGATAAGAATTTATTTTTCCAATTTCAGATGATTTTAAGCAAATTATATACAAATGAGGGCATAATTACCTTTACATCCCATTCTCCTGGAGAACATTTGATTTGTCTTTATTCAAATACAACAGCTTGGTTTAGCGGTGCCCAACTTCGTGTACATTTGGATATTCAAGTTGGGGAACATGCACAGGATTATCAACAGGTTTGTTTTGGTTGTTTAGTCTTGTCCGGTCCCTTTGCCTGAGGAATAGTTTGTGAAGCCGTTCTGGGACCATTTGTCTGTTCCTCGTTTTTCGCCTTTCCCCCGTATTTTTGGTTTCAAATGGGCACTCTTGTCTTGGTTCAAGTCCTGTGGAAAATTTGAGACCATCCATTTTTTGCTTTGTTTGTGGATCTTTGAATTATAAAAAAAGCCAAATGTTTTTTGGGCCGAAAATCCCTCCCGATTCCTGAAACCTAAACCTCACAACCCCAGACAGTGTCATGACTTTAGAAATGACCGATAAAATCTGAGACAAAATAAAGGCGAAAAAATGCGGTTTTAAGGGTCATTCTTCAATTCCGCTCATAAGTTTTAACATTTTCCAATTTTAAAGATTGCCGCAAAGGACAAATTGAATGACCTCCAATTGCGTGTTCGTCAACTACTCGATCAAGTTGAACAAATTACCAAAGAGCAGAACTACCAGCGCTATAGAGAAGAACGCTTTCGACAGACCAGCGAAGGAACTAACGTTTCTTTTTATTTTTTTGAATTTTTTAAAAAATTTAATTTTCAGAGCCGCGTTTTGTGGTGGTCTGCTGGACAAACAATTGTTCTTTTACTGACGGGATGGTGGCAAATTCGACACTTGAGAGGATTCTTTGAGGCTAAAAAGCTTGTTTAGATGATTGTGAGACTGTTTTTTGGTTGTTAAATATTTATTTTTCTGCTTTTTTCTCCTATCTTTTTTTTCTTTGACTTTTTTAGAGATCGGAAATTGAAAAAGTTCTAAATTTTGGGATTTTCAATTTTTAGGAGGAATTTTGTAAACTTTTAAATATCCCTTTGATTAATCGTCCCTATTTCCTCTAATTTTTAACATTGGTCGAAGACCTTGATCAAATTTCCTTGACCCTGACCTTGAGTCAAGAAAAATCAAGGATCACTGAGAGATGGTTTGATTATGACTCTGGATTCAACAAAACTCAAGGTATGGACTAGACCGATCTCTATCTCTTTTTTGGTGTCTATTTGTTTCTAAAATATTTTCTAAAATAAATATTTATTTTCCTTTTTAAGCGAAAATTTTTTTGTATGATCCAAAATGTACATAAATGTCTTAAAATAATTTTTTAAATAATTTTTTAAATCTTATTTTCAGCAAACTTTTAAAATTGGACTTTAAATGAGTGTTCTTTTAAAGTTTTTTACCCACCCTTTAGTTCTCGCACCGTTAGGCATAAGTGGTGTTGGCATTGGATTTGGTTATGTTCGGTAAATTTTTGGAAAATTTTTCAAAAAAATTTTTTTTCTAGAAATAAACGGGACACAAAACATTACGATTTGGATGAGCAAGACGACAAAACTTATATTGTTACAGGTTTTTAATTTGAAGAATGAAAAGAAAAAAATTTTTAAAGGGGCTACTTCGGGTATTGGAAAGCAAATAACGAGAAGATTGGCACTTAAAAATGCAACTGTAATTATGGCTTGCAGGTTTTGAATTGTTTTAAATTTTTGGGCTAACGTTGGAATTTATTAAAAAAATTTTTTGGGCATTTTCCGAGGAATTTTGAACTTTTTAGGAGTCCCTTAATTCGTTTTCCCTATTTTCCCCCATCTCATTTTCTTCCCTTTCCTCTTCCTTTTTCAAGAGGATATTTGTTAATCCTCCTTATGTCTTGATTTCTTTACTATTTTCATGGTATTTTGTCCTAAAATCAACCCCTATCTCCCTTCTAGGTTTATTTAGCAGTCATATAAGAGAACTTAAAATGGGGGCATTGACTTTTTAACTTCTCAAAAGTTTTCTTTAATTTTTTAAGGAACAAAAATAAATGTTTGGAGGTCAGAAGAGAAATTGTTTTACAAACACGCAACAAAAAAGTATTTTGTAGGCTTTGTGATTTGTCAGGTTTTGAAATAAAATTTTTAAAAATTATTTAAATTTATTTTTAGATCCTGAAAGTATTCACAATTTTGCCTATAAACTCACAAAAGGTTATTTTTTTATTTTAAAAATCATTTGAAAAATTGTTTTAGATTTTTTTGTGAACTTAAACATTCAAAAAGCATTAAAAATTACGCAATTATTTTTTGAAAATTATTTTTTCGCCAAAAGGGTTCGAACCCACGACCCCTTTTTGTCTTAAAACAGAAGGGCAATCCACTTAACCAAAGTTATAACAAATTTTTGAACTAAAAACTCTTCTGGAAACACATTAAAATTTTCTCAAATTATTTTTAAAAATTATTTTTCACCAAAGGGTGTCGAACCCACAACCTTTTTGTCCTAAAACAAAAAAGTTAATCCACTTAACCACAATTTCTTAAAATAATTTTTTAACTGAAAATGACTCCTTTTCTTCCCAAAATTAATTCTTAACCCACTTAACCACAAGTTATTAAAAAATATTTTTTAGACGAAACCAACAGCTTTGAAAAAATTGATGGAATAATTTTAAATGCTGCAACAAAAGTGAAAAAATATCAAACAAATAAACAAGGAATTGAGACAAATTTGGCAACAAATCATTTTGGGAATTTTTTACTTGTCGGGCTTTTATTACAAAAGTTGTTAAATCAAGATACTGCTTCAAAAATTGTTTTTGTTAATACAAATATTGCAGCTAAGGATGGGTAAGCGGAAAAGAAAGGGGGGATAAAGGGAAGGAATCAAAGTCGGGAATCTCGTTATGAGATACTCTCAATAACTCGTTTTGAAATTAGGGTTGTCCTTTGGGTGGGGAGCTGCATAAATGATACCCTTCTGTTTAACACACACCTTGGACAACAGACAGAGCTTATTATAAGATAACGTCAATATTACATACATCTCTAAGATAGGCTTTCTAAAATTTTGGTAAGCCATTGGATGGGGAAGCTGTCTGGGCGATACCCCTCTATTTAAGATACGTTTAAAATTAGGTAGTCCTTTGGGAGGGGAGCTTGGACAACAGACAGATCTTATTATAACACCTCGATTTAAGATAGGCTTTCTTAAATTTTTGTAGGCTACTGGATGGGGAAGCTGTCTGGGCGATACACTTCTATTTAATATACACCGCATTATAAGAGACAATTTTCGGCCCCAAGGGAGTATCTTATAAAGAGGTCTAACTAATTTTTAATCAAAAAATAAATTTTACTTTTTAAGTCTAATTTTGAATCTGTTTGGCCTAAATGATGCCAAATTTGTCAAAAAATTGACTAGCACTTGTGAAATTGTTGACCCAGATAAAGGAAAATATGATATGCATGCTGCTTATAAATACTCAAAATTAGTGGATCTCTTATTTGCTAGAGAATTGGCAGAAAGATTGAAAGGTTATTTTTTGTAAAAGTATTTAAAATAAAATTACTTTCCACCAAGAGGTTTCGAACCCCTGACCATTTTTTTAAGCAAAAAGTTAACCCACTTAACCACGAGTACCCAAAATAATTTTTTTAGTCATTTATGGGAGGGGTGTCCGGGTTCGAACGTCTGCGTTTATTTTAATAATTAGACACCCACAAGGCGGGTTGAGCCCCAGACCATTTTTAAGCAAAAAATACCCCACTTAACCACGATTACCCAATATAAATTTTTTAGTTATTTATGACGGGGGTTCGGGTCTGATCCATGCCCGGATCAAAATTTTTTATTGTAACAATAATACATCCACCAAGGGGGTTGAACCCTCGACTCTTCCGCTTCAAAACATAATTCTAACCCACTTAACCACAATTGCCCAAATAAAATTTTTTTATTTAGATACACATGTTCGGGTTGTTGTTGCTGATCCAGGCGGCACAAAAACAGATTTAAACAAGGATGAACCTTCACAGAAATTTTTCTTAACTCGTTGGACTAGTAATTTTCTTGGATATACGGCTGGAAACAGAAGATCGGTTAACAAAGCAATATATCCAATTTTATATGCTTTGGGAGAGGAAGGAGTTAAAAATGGGACCTTTATCAGGTTTGTTTTTCCTTTTAAAAGATTTTTTGAACAAAATAAATTAATAAAATACCCACGTTTTTAATTTTAAAGTGATTTTAATTAAAATTATAAAAAATTAAAATTATAAAACGAAGTTGGACATTTTTTTTGGGGAGAGGGGGGGGTCCAGGTTCGAACCCCGCCGGGGTCAAATATTTTTCTATACTAATAATTAATGTCAAAAACCTTTTTTAGACATAAATATCGACATTTAGAGAAGATTTATATTTTTTAAATAATCAAAATTCATTTTTTAAAGTCCTCGACAAGTACCTCGTGAATGGGGAGAAAATGCTGAAAATGTTCAACTTCGTCAAAAAGTTTGGTTAATGAGTGAACAATGGACTAAATTAGCTGATTATATGGGAAGAATGGAAGAGGGACTTGAAAAGCCTGGTTATTTTTCCAAGGATTCTCATGGAGATGATGAGGGGGAGAAGAAGAAAACAAGACAGAGGTCGGCAAAGTATCTTTGGTTGGCTTGATTATACAAGCAATTTTTGGTTTTTGTTTTTAGGTTTTATTTTTTTTTGTTATTTTTTGAGAATTAATAAAATACTCCCATTTTTAAATTTAAAAAATTATTTAAAGTTGAGAGAAATGCCAAAGACAGGGGGTCCATGGTTCGAACCCCTCCCGGGTAAAATATTTTTTTACGGTTCCCTCCTACAATATTCATCAACTGCCCGAAATACTGCTTGAACATGACTAGGAAGTTACAAATTTTGACTATTTTCCTTTTATTCTCTAAGAATGGAAGAATGGAAGAGGGACTTGAAAAGCCTGGTTATTTTTCCAAGGATTCCCATGGAGATGATGAGGGGGAGAAGAAGAAAACAAGACAGAGGTCGGCAAAGTATCTTTGGTTGGCTTGATTATAGAAAGCAATTTTTGGTTTTTGTTTTTAGGTTGTATTTTTGTTATATTTTCTGAAAATCAATAAAATACTTCCATTTTTAAATTTAAAAAAATTATTTAAAGTTAAGAGAAAAATACTAAAGACAGGAGAAATGCCAAGGACAGGGGGTCTATGGTTCGAACCCCGTCCGGGTCAAACATTATTTATTTTAATATTTAGTGTTAAAAAACCTCTTCTAAACATATTCCAGTATTTAAAATAAAATTTTATCATTTTTTAAACAAAAAACTCATCTAATTGTGCCATTTGAAAATATTGTCTTTTTAAAATACAAATCAGAAAAATGTTGTGCCAAAGCTTCGTTTCTTGCTAGAGCTCTAATCAACATGTTTTTATGAGCACTTCCAGGGCCAAGAACCCGAAGACCGCTAAAAAGACGATTTTAAAAATAAGTTAGGCCTTTAAACTTTAAAAAGGGGCTCCTCCCACGCCTAGTCAGACCACCTCGAAAATCGCCTTTATAACCGGGTGTACCTTAAATAAAGAGTATCGGCCAAAGTTCCCTTCACCCATCCATCCTCTACATTTTAAATCCCTCAGACTTGAGCCTAAATAAAGGGTGTTCCTCTACGCATAAAGACCCTCAACAATCGCCCTTATAACCAGGTGTACCTTAAATAGAAAGTATTACTTAGATGACTACTCCCACCCATCCTCTACCCTTTAAAAATACTATAAAAAACCGTATATGTGTATCCCTTCCATTTTGATGATTTTGAACAATTTGAATAACTATAGCAAATGCTTGTTGCGATGATTGTTGTTTTTTGAGTGTTTTTTCCTTTCTTAAATCAATTAATTGCCATCCTGTTGGTTCAGAAAAAGTAACGGTTTTTGGGTCTTCCAGGTCTAGAACAGAAGATCCTGTTTGAATTTGTATTCTGAAAAACAAGAAAATCAAAGATAGAAAATTAACAAAAAAATTAAATGGGGAGGGAGGGGGGTCTCGGGTTCGAACCCCGTCCGGGTCAAATATTTTTTTTGGTTCCCCTCTATCAATATTCATCAACTGTCCGAAACGCTGCTTGAACATGACTAGGAAGTTACAAATTTTGGTTATTTTCCTTTATTCTCCTAAGAGTCCGCAACTTTTGTCCGCAAATTTTTGCGGACTTTTGAAAAAAATTTAAAATAAAAATCAAAAATTTACTTTGACGGTGTGTACGACTCGTCAAGTTTATAATCCAAATAGACAACCAAAAAATCGATAGGTGTGCGACGCTGAAATTCTATTGTGATTGTGTGGGGCTGTAATCCATCACTTTGCCTATACAAAATTTTTCTTAATTTTTTAAAGTCCAAGGAGGGGTCAAGGTTCGAATCCAAATATATTTTTTATGTTACCAATTAGATATCCACCTAGAGGGGTCGAACCCCCGACCATTTTTTTCTTTAGACAAGAAGTTAAACCACTTAACCACGATTTCAAATAATTTTTTAAATGCCACAAATCGGGATCTGGGTTCGAACCCCGCCTGGGCCGAATATTTAAAAACTAAAAAAATTTAAAAAACCAAAAAGTGTCTTCTCTGTCATCCAATAATTTATGTATTCCCATTCCTTCTTAAATAAAAAAAGTTTACTTTAAAAAATTCCAAAAAAAACCTTTAGCACTCGATAACGTCCAAACAGCTTCATTCGAAATATCATTAATATGCCCAACTCCTTCGGGTAGACAAGAAGTCCAGGAACGGCCAAAATTTTTATTTGAGTTGTCATTTACCATTTTTAAGGAGTTAAAAAATTTTAGAAGAAAAGATTTGAAATTTGCCTGAAAAATTGAATTTGGCCTAAAAAAAGGTGAATTGGCCGATAAAATTAAAATTTGCCCAAAGTTTAGAAATGGTCTGAAAAATTTAAATTTGCCGGAAAACTTGCAATTTGCCTGAAGGGTTAATTGAAATTTGCCTGAAAATTGAAATTTACCTAGGAAATTGAAATTGGCCTGAAAAAGGTGAAATTGTCCCAAGAAGTTCAAATGTGCCCAGGAAACCGAAAAATGGCCTAGAAACTTGAATTTGGTCTGAAAAATCAAATTTGGGACCAAATGTCACCTTAACAAAAAAATATTATTTTAACGCTCCAAGACGTTTAAAAATTAAAAAAATAATTTTCCAAGCGTCATTTTATTTAAAAACAAAATAAGTAAATAATAATAAAAACACAACACATTTTTTAAGCAGAAGAAATAAAAGAGAGAATGCATTTTAAAATGAGGAATGAATTTTTTTAAATTAGGTCCCAAGTGAATTTTTGTTTGTTTGTGTTGCAGGGAGAGAGAAAAAAAAACAAAATAAAAGCCAAATATGTTGGGAAATATAATAATAATAATTGGGGGGTCATTATTTTTGGCTTTGTGTCCAATTTGTGCCTCCCATAATTTTAGGAAATTAGAATGTTCCCATTAAATTGAAAATGGCCTAGAAATTTGAATTTGGTCTGAAAAATAAAATTTGGACCGATTGGGGAATGAGGCCGATTTTTGAAATTGGCTTAAAAGTGGGGGGTTGGGTTTCGGAACACTAAATGTTGGGAACATGGATTAGGAAACCAAAGGAATCCAAGCACAACCCAAAAAATCCAATCTTAAACTATAGGACACACAAACTGGAAAAAAAGCCATTTTTCTGTGTGGGGAGAAAGAGAGAGGGTCACAAGAAGGAAAATATTTTTTTATTATTGTCTTCTGGGGCCTATTTCAATTGTCCACAGATTCTGCATTCTGTGCACAGAACACAGATTCTGTGGAAATTCTGTTTCAATTAAATTCTGTGTGCACAGAATCTGTGGTGCCCGCAGATTCTGCGGAAACATCCAATGATTCTGTGGAAACATTCCGCAGATTCTGTGGATGAAAATTTCTGTGGAAAATATAAAAATCTGTGGATTTTTTCCACTGATCCACAGAATTTGTATTTCAATTATTTTTCTGTGGTTCTGTGTATTTTTTCTTCTAAATTCAAATTTTTTATTTCCGCGTTTTTGAAAATAACAGTTTTATTGAAACGAAAAATGGTTTGGACAGTTCGGTACTACCGCAGTATTAATGGTACCTGATTTTTTGAAGTAAAACTTTAAAAATTCTTAAATTAAACTGAAAAATATTGTAAAGATTTAAAAATTTTCCCTCCAAATCACATAACATCCCTTTAAATCTCTTTGATATCACTTTAAAACCGCTGATATACCGCTTAATTTTCTTGTTCATCCAATATCCTTAAATCTCCAATTAAATTAATGTCCTAAAGCAGGGTTCGGATCGGAAAAATCAGGAGATGTCGATCCGACATGTGGCTTTTTCAAACTACGATAGAAGTTGTTGCAAGGGAGGGAAATGTTTGGGGATTGTTTAGTCAGAAATTGAGGTTCCTGGAAATCGAAAATGCCTGGAATCCAAAATTATAGTCAAATCGGAACTTTAAAATCGTAGAGGAGTGATTAAGTGGGATATCCATTGATTTTGAGGTTTAATATATTGGAGTGATTAAGGAGGAAATCTATCATTAAATAGGAGGAGAGATTATGACGGATATCAATGAGAGATCATGGGAGATATCCCAGTATACGCTATACAGATATATTCTATAGATCCTGGTAAACATCCCCTCATTAGAGATATCCATGATGATTAGAACATCATAGCTCTAAATTTCAGAATCTCTCACGTTTTTTATTTTTTTATTGCTTGAATATAACAAAAACTGCGTAAAAAAGATGTACCTTTTTCAAAATTAATTTTAAGCAATAATTTTAGGTAATAAAATTATAATTTTTATATCAAAAAATAGAGAATGATTCAAACTTTAATAATCTTTAAAAATTTTGAAATTTGGTTAAGCCTAGGCCTAGAAAAAAATTGTTAAAGTTTTTCCACAGAAAGTTCGCAGAAAAAATTTTAGGGTGGATTTTTTAAAGAATTCTGTGTATTTTCCGCAGACCACAGAAATAATTGAAACAGAAATGCACAGAATCGACTAAAAAAGCCACAGATCTGTGGATTTTTTTCTGTGCACAGAAAAATAATTGAAATAGAATTCTGTGGTTTTTGCATGTTTTTGGATGTTTTGCAGAATCTGTGGATGTTTCCACAGATTCTGTGCATGTTTCCACAGAATCTGCGGACTTCTTTTTCCGCAGAATCTGTGGAATAATTGAAACAGAATTTCTGTGGTTCTGTGGTCTGTGCACAGAACGCAGACCGCAGAATCTGTGGACAATTGAAATAGGGCCCTGGGCCCTATTTCAATTGTCCACAGATTCTGTGGTCTGCGTTCTGTGCACAGACCGCAGAACCACAGAAATTCTGTTTCAATTATTCCACAGATTCTGCGGAAAAAGGAGTCCGCAGATTCTGTGGAAACATGCACAGAATCTGTGGAAACATCCACAGATTCTGCAAAACATCCAAAAACATGCAAAAACCACAGAATTCTATTTCAATTATTTTTCTGTGCACAGAAAAAAATCCACAGATCTGTGGCTTTTTTAGTCGATTCTGTGCATTTCTGTTTCAATTATTTCTGTGGTCTGCGGAAAATACACAGAATTCATTAAAAAATCCACCCTAAAATTTTTTCTGCGAATTTTTTACGGAAAAACTTTAAAAATTTTTTTCTAGGCCTAGGCTTAACCAAATTTTAGAATTTTTAAAGATTATTAGAGTTTGATTCATTCTCTATTTTTCGATATAAAAATTATAATTTTGTTACTTAAAATTATTACTTAAAATTAATTTTGAAAAAGGTACATCATTTTTTAGCATTTTTTGTTATATCCAAGCAATAAAAAAATAAAAAAACGCGAGAGATTCTGAAATTTAGAGCTATGATGTTCTAATCATCATGGATATCTCTAATGAGGGGATTTTTCCCCGGGATCTCTTGAGGATATCTAGCCTGGGATATCTCCTATGATCTCTCATTGATATCCGTCATAATCTCTCCTCCTATTTAATGATAGATTTCCTCCTTAATCCCTCCAATATATTAAACCTCAAAATCAATGGATATCCCACTTAATCCCTCCTCTACGATTTTCAAGTTCCGATGACTGAAATTTTGGATTCCAGGCATTTTCGATTTCCAGGAACCTCAATTTCTGACTAAACAATCCCCAGTTTTGTAACATTTCCCTCCCTTGCAACAACATCTATCGTAGTCTCCTGACTTTTCCATCTCCTGATTTTTCCGATCCGAAACATTAATTTAATTGGGGATTTAAGGATATTGGATGAACCAGAAAATTAAGCGGTATATCAGCGGTTTTAAAGTGATATCTAAAAGATTTAAATGGATTTTATGTGATTTGGAGGGAAAATTTTTAAATTTTTACAATATTTTTCAGTTTAATTTAAGAATTTTTAAAGTTTTTCTTCAAAAAATCAGGTACCATTAATACTGCAGTAGTACCGAACTGTCCTAACCATTTTTCGTTTCAATAACACTTTATTTTCAAAAACGCGGAAATAAAAAGTTTGAATTTAGAAGGAAAAATACACAGAACCACAGGAAAATAATTGAAATAGAAATTCTGTGGATCAGTGGAAAAAATCCACAGATTTCTATATTTTCCACAGAAATTTTCATCCACAGAATCTGCGGAATGTTTCCACAGAATCAGTGGTTGATTTCGCAGAATCTGCGGGCACCACAGATTCTGTGCACACAGAATTTAATTGAAACAGAATTTCCGCAGAATCTGTGTTCTGTGCACAGAATGCAGAATCTGCGGACAATTGAAATAGGCCCCTGGAAGGAAATTTTTTTTATTCTCTTCTCTGGAATCGATCAGTCCCCAAAAACTTTTAAAAATTGGAAAATTAGAGCAGTACTTGGAAAGTTGATTTGTGAGTGGTTTCCCCTGTCCCTTCCACTCTTAAATGATTTTTGAGAGTGGAAGGGACAGGGGAAAATTTTTTTATTTTCCAAAATTACCTTCCACTCTCAATATTCTCTTAGAAAAAAATTTTTTTCCCAAATTCAAAAAAGTCCTCTTCCCTTCCTTCTTTCACCCTCTCTCCTCTCTATTCTCCCCATACACACACATTTTTTTTAAATTTAATTTTAAAAATTAAAAAAAACAAACGTCTCTCTCGGCACTTGATAAATATTTTTTTTCTCTCCTCTCTTTTTTATTTAAAAATTAGGGTCTCTTTCCTCTCTCTCAAATTTTTTACTCTTCCATCAATTTTTCAAAATAGTCATCTCCCCCTTTTAGTTATCACGATATTTCTCGTTGAGCTTGTTAAGCAATTCCTTGTGCGCAATTTCCGATTCGTCTGAGACCTTTGAAGAAAAAAAAATTTTTTTTTGAAAATTTTGAAGGAAAAAAACCTGAAATTGAAGCATCTTTGCCGTCCCAAGCGATGCCTTTATGGCAGAAGCAGTCGAAGCGTAAACCATCTTCTTTTTGATAGAAGCGCTGTCTGGGCACAACTGTTAGAAAAAAGTAAAAAAGTAAGTCTATTTTCAGTTTTCTCCAGCAAATGACTCATAATAGTCAGAATTAAATTTTCCTCAATTCGCTACAGTTCATTATTGTAAATGTAAGGGGGAAGATGGTCTGAGCATTATGAGCAGAGATGTTTCGAAATCTCGATTTTCGAGGTTTTTTTCCTTTCGATTTTCAAAATTTTGTGATATTTTCGAAGATTTTTTTGTTTCGAAACATCTCTGATTATGAGACCGTTAGGATAGAAAACAGAGGGGAGAAACTGAAGATTAAGAAAGAACCAATCAATATTTTTCAGCAGCCGTGCTTCGGATTCCTACAATAATTAAGGGAAAAAATCTTAAATATTTGAACCAGGGTTGTCGTTTTACCCTATTTATAGGGGATTTTCCCTATTTTTGGCCTTTTCGCCCTATTTTTTCCCTATTTTATACATTTGCCATATTTTGCCCTATTTTTAACATTTTGTAATATATTTAAAATTTTCGGCCATTTTGTAAATAAAATGAGAAAAAACAAAGAAATCTAACTCTTGGACATAAAAATTCCCAAAATTTTCGCCTGCGGCGCTGAAAAAAAGAGAAATCTCTCCTACTGGTCTTATTAATTTCTCAAAATTTTCGCATTCGGCGCTATAAAGGAAGAAATCTGGCTTCTTAACCTCGCAAAATTGTCAAATTTTGCTAAAAATGGAAAAAATCTATTGATTCCAAAAATCTTGAAAAAAAAACGTGATTATCGATATCGAGAGAGACATCTCTCGCAATTGTCGTACGATAAAAATTTCAGTTTTTCGAGATATCTCGTACGATTCTGTACGACATTCCCAGTCTGGTCTCTAACCCGAACTTTTCTGTTTTTTAGAAATTTAGTTAAAACTAGTGGAGAACATGCGGAATAAGGCTTTTTATTTGAAATTTCAATAAATTTTAAGCTTTTAAAATATTGCCCTATTTTTTGCCATATTTTTTACCAATTTCGCCCTATTTTTTCCCCATTTTTGAGTGGCTGCGCCCCATTTTAGTGGTTTGGAAACGACAACCCTGATTTGAACCCCAAATTAAATACAACCAATCTATTGGATTGATTACGAACCCAAAAACTCTATTAATTTCAAAAAATACTTGAATGAAGACTATTTTGTCCATTTTAGAAGTTCCAGCGCCTGGACGATGTGTTTGGAATTTAAAGTCAAAAACAGCATAACGACAATCTTGAAAACCGTCAGTCTTGTCCTTAATGTCCTTTACGAATATTTCATAAGCCGCTTTAGAATTGTCTTCATAACTGTCATCTGTTGTCCCTATCTAAAGAGAAAAATTGGGGCAAAGTTAAGATTGCGGATTCTGCAAAAAATTTGCGGATTAATTGAAAAATGAAGGGAAAAGGACTGGAGTAGGGTTCAGGTACAGGAAGAAGGGATTCAGCTTAAGAAATAAGGGGAAAGGAGATCAAATTAAACATGCGGATACAACCCTGTGGACTTTTGGAAGCATAAAACTACCCTAGCACCTAACTTTGTTTTTGCGGACTTCACTTTTTAATAGACACATTTATTTGGATTTCAAGTCCACAGCGACACCCCCTTAACAAACCACAATTCTGTCCATATTTTTCCTCATATTTTATCCGCTAAACTTAATCCTGATAACGATTTAGGGAAGGCGTCCGCAAGTATGGGAAAAAGTCCGCAAAAAGGGCGGTAAGGAGAAAAGTACCCGAATACAGTCCCAAAAGATCCCCTTAGCCTCCTACCCCACTTTACAAATTCCCCAAAGATGTTCAGATCCTCAGATTCTCCCACAAAATACTAATTAAAAAACCTCTTCAGCAGTCAAAGCAACTTCAACCACAACTTCATTCTCGACAATCTTATAAATAATGTAGCGGTACTTTTTGGCCTCAGATAATTGTTGAAAAGCTGTCTGGCACTCAGCGTTAACCATTACTCCGGAAGCCATTTTTAATCCAAAATATTAAAAAAATAAATATTTTTCAAGGAAAATATGTCAGTCTGAAAAATTAAATTATTAATTAAATTTCAAAGCGTCAAGGGGTCAAAATGGTAACTTTACAAAAAATAGAATTTTCGACATAGACGAGGAAACACTTCAACCCCCACTGATTTTCCATAATAAAAATTGCCAAAAAAATCCATAAAAAAGGTCATAAAAAACGCCAAGGGGTCAAAATGGTAACTCAACAACAACCCAGGCTTTTTGGCTTACAGGAAGAAGTCTTTCAAATTTCGTTGATTCCCAGCCATTATCTAACAGATTTAAGGTAAAAAAATAAAAAATAACGTCAAGGGTTCGAAATGGTAACTTTTTGATTTTAACAGAAAATCCATTAAAAACCCATTGATTTTCCAGTATTTATTTAAAAAACTTTTGTAAAAAAACTAAAAAACCAGAAAGGAAATGAAAAATCAACGCACCCATCAAAAAACTCTTTTAAGGACGTAATGACCTTCTCTCAAGTTTTCTCGTCTGTTTTGACTCAGAAATTCCACACAAAAATATTAATCAATTTCACAATTGATGACTAATCCGTCTCGACAGTAAAAAATATAAAAAAATGTTCTCAATCCCCCCCTTTACAAAATAACGTTAAAAAAAGTCAATCAATCAGAGAGCTCTCAAAACTATTTTGTAAAAAGTGTTGTGGGGGGTTAGCTTATTTTTAGTCTATTACAAGAATGTGTAGAGGAGGTTAGTCTGAACTGTGCAAAAGAATTGAAGGAAATGGGATGAAAAATAAACAAAAAAAATTTTCATCGGGGAATGAATAGAAAAGGCTCCGGTACAAAATATGGAATCGTTAAAATATGGAATGGTTAAAATCGCGAATAGGCTAAAAAGGGGTTAAAATACCGAATCGTTAAAATATGGAATGGTTAAAATATCGAATCGGGTAAAAAAGGGTTAAAATATGGAATCGTCAAAATATCGAATTGATAAAATGTCGACACGGCCAAAATGGGTCAAAATGTCGAATTCCTTTAAAAAAGGTTCAGATGAGTGCCATACGTTGATTGTTGATAATTTTATCAACCTATCAACTTACTGCTGATAAGTTGGTTGAAAAGTTTGGTAAGTCTTAGTCCGGCGTAATCTTTTCTCCTGAGTTCAGTGTATTTTACGGAGTAAAACCGGACCGGTTAAATCAAGCATAATCGACCGGATCCGGTCCGGCATGATCGTACGGATCCGGAAAACACAACAGGATCCCGATACGGAAAAATTAGAGTAGCGTCACTAGTTTTTAGTTAAGACCTAAATTTTGTACCTTACCGTATACGGTACGGAATACCGAAAAATACCGATCAGCTTTTAAATTTTATCGGTCGGCATTCCGTACCGTACTACCGAAACGGAATACCGAAAAATACCGTCGGTATTACGGTAACGCCCGGATTTTAGGTTTTGGCGCCATTTTTAAAAAAAATTCGACATTTTGACCCATTTTGGCCGTGTCGACATTTTATCAATTCGATATTTTAACGATTCGGTATTTTAACCCCTTTTTAGCCTATTCGCGATTTTAACCATTCCATATTTTAACGATTCCACATTTTGACCCCTTTTTAGCCTATTCGCGATTTTAACCCATTTTTACCCGATTCGAGATTTTAACCCTTTTTTAGCCTATTCCATATTTTAACGATTCGATATTTTGTCCGGACACGATAGAAAAAATTTAGAGAAAAATGCAAAAATCTTCATCAGTTCTTTTTGGCTCCCCTACAAAGGATAGATGAATTAAAGGATAGATGCACTAAAGGATAGATACGCCCAAAAACTATCAAAGGATAGATGCATCAAAGGATAGATGCGCTAAAGGATAGATACAGCCAAAAGCGATCAAAGGATAGACAGCTGAATAGGTCGTTTGAGTCTGGACAAAAATATTTAACAATCTGAATCTTCCCTGGAAAAACTGTTTTTGTGCTGCTACGGAGGGTAGGCCGGGCATGGTCTTCGCTACACGATGGCCGTGCTTCGCTGCGGTCGTGCTCGCTTCGCTCGCGGCGACCGTAGCGAAGCGGCTGCCGTCGTTCCGCTCGACATGCCCGGCTTCCTCCGCAGCGGCAAAAACTTTTTTCCGCGAATATACTAAAGTACGAATAAAATAAAAATCAGAACAGAAACATGAACTCAGAACAAAGATCAGAAAAAACAAACAAAGATCAGGCACTCAACAGTTGGTACTCAACTGGACTCCAAACTTTATCTATATTTTACCCAATTTTAGACGTGTCTATACTTTAATGGATTTTACCCCTATCTATCCTTTGGCGCATCTATCCTTTGATGCATCTATCCTTTAATCGTTTTTTCTCTTATCTATCCTTTAGCAGATTTTGGCCGCGTCTATCCTTTGATCGATTTTAGCCGTATCTATCCTTTGATTCATCTATCCTTTGAGCGGGCACGGTTCTTTTTATATTTGTTCTCTTTTTCTCTAACTGCACTATTTCTTTTTTTAATTAAAGTTTGGCGGAATTTTTAAATTTGAAAATAAAATAACGCTTAAAGCCTTTTATACTTGAGGACTTATTTTGGGCCATAACTTTCTTCGTTCTTAACCGATTTAAATAATTTTTATACCAATCGAAAGCTCTGAATGTGCGGATTATTTTATCTAACAGGATTAATGTGATCCGATTATTTTACAAAAAGTTGTAGTAGAATAAAGAACAAAAATCACGATTGCGCGCATTTATCGAAGCGTAACTTATTGTAGGATGATCTGATCAACTCAATCCTGTTAGATAAAATAATCCTCTCATTTAGAGCTTTCGAATGGTACAATTCTTATTCAAATCGGTTAAGAATCAAAAAAGTTATGGCCCAAAATATGACCTTGAGACTTAATTGGCGATACCTAATCATCACCTATTTAAATAAAAACCACATTTATCTTCATTCAAAATTATTTAAATTTTATCTAAAAATATAGGAAATTAACCATTTTTATACAAAAATCTATAAACTTTAAAAATATTAAAAAATCCATCACTTCCCCCCAGGCATATTTCCATACATTGGCATATTTCCATAACCTCCATTATTAAAGCCATAATTATTGTATGGGGTATAGCTACTGCATTTACACGCACAATTTTGAGCAATTATCTAAGAAATAAAATTAATTTCAAATGTAAAGTTCAGAATGTCCAAGGCTCAAAACGTCCAAGGCTCAATATTGTCAAACTAGCCAAATAATTGTTAAATAAATTTTAATTTTAAGCTTAATGTTAAAAAAAAGATTTTCTCAATTCACAACACCCACAGGACTGGCGCACTGAGCTAAAGACATTGTCTGACAGGCTGATTGGTCTACTGTACACACTACAAATTTTTTTTGAAAATTTTTAAAAAATTCTAAGGAAAAGATTACCAGGTCGATTATTCACAGGATAATTATTTGAAGGGAAATTGTTATAGCTTGGAGGGTAATTGTTCATCAAAGGCTGGTTGCCGTAATTCGGAGGGATTAAATAGCTTGTTCCATAACTTAAATAATTTTTTAGGGTGAAATTTTAGATAGAAAAATGTCTACTTTGGAGGAATATTGTAGCTATAACCAGCACCACTTCCAGGATTATTGATGACAATAATCTTTAAAAAAATTATGGGAAATATTCTGAGAAAACTCAAAATTTACAACAGGTGGCTGGTTGTACTGCTGTTGGGGAGGATAATATGATTGTGGAGGAAATTGTTGTCCGGGCGGGTAGTAGCCAGGAAAAGTTCCTGTATTGGGACGGTTATTAGTTTGGGGATTTAGGTTTCCAGAATTTTTGCCTGGATTTGTCCCTGGCTGTGAGGCCGGGTTATAATTTGGATTGTTTGGATCACCGCTGAGTACTTCGCCTTAAATTTTGAGAGATTAAAAATATTTTTTTAATTTTCTATACAGCAAACGGAGCCAATACAAGCTTCTTTTGGATCGTAGCAGAACCCAGCAATTTTACAACCTTAAAAATAATAATTTAAAAATAACCCGTTAAGGACTAAAAAATTCGTATCAAATTTATAACAGCTTTTTAAACGCAAGGGTTAACCGATATGTTAGAAAAGCTGCAAGCTCTACCTTCCCCTAACTATGCAATTATTTAAAATTTATTTTTAAAATTGTTTGAATATTATTAAAAATATTTTTAAAAAGAGGAAAAGCTGGCTGACTTTTCACTGCGGGAAATGTGAAATTTTCTTTTATTAAAAAATTTTTTTCTAACAAAATTATTGTTAAAAATAAGGGAAATTTAAATATTTTTATTTAATTTTTATGTCCTTAAATTTTTAAATGGAATCTAATATATTTTCTTCACCCTATCAACTACCTGATGCTATTAGGCAAATGATTGTAGCCTCCACGAATGGTTAAAATTTTTTATTTTTTAATTATTACCCCTAAACGTTAATTAATTTATAAGCAGCTTTTTAAACGCTAGGATTGACTGATGTGTTAGAAGAGCTGCAAGTTGGAATAAAAAATAAACTTTAATTCCAAGTTGGAATTCTAAGTTGGAATAAAGTTTGAACAAGTTGTATTTTCAAGTTTCATTATCCCAAGTTTTAATTCCAAGTTGGAATTTCAAGTTTTAATAAAAATTCCAACCTAACCAACATTATTATTTTCCCCAAAAAATAATTTTTATATTTAAAAACAGGTGTTATTACCGAAAAACAACAAAAATGGAAAACAGCCGGTTATAAAGGACAATCTATAATGGTCATTCCTATGGCCAGAACAATAAAAGAAAATTATAACGAAATAAAAGGTAAAAAAATTTTATTTATTAAAAGTCAGTTGTTTGGTCATTTACTAATTAAATATAAACTATTGTTTAAATAATAAACAAAGTTTTATTATTTGTGAAGAAAAGCATTTGTTGTGTTAAAGTTTTAAAACTTTAATATTATATAAAACTTGATTTTATTAGTAAATAAAGTAAGATTTAATAAACTTGGATTAAAACAAGTTTTAAATAAAAGCACAATTAAAATACAAACTTTATTCAAAACAAGTTGTATTTTATGTTTAAAACATAAACTTTATTCAAAACAAAGTTTTCGAACTTGTTTAAAACAAAGTTGTAAATAAATAAATAAACTTGTTTTAAAACAAGTTGCAAACAAGTTTGCTTAAAAAACACAAACTTTGTTTAGCAAAGTTTTAAACAAAATACAACTTGTTGTTATTTTTTAAAACAAAGTTTGTATTTTGTTTTTAAATTATTCAAAACAAGTTGTATTTTATAAAATTTGTTTTTAAAATAATAAACTTTAAAATACAAACAAACACAAACTTTGTTTCAAACAAATCCCTTCTTACTCCCTTTATATTTAAAAAAAATATTTTTATTTTCTACTACTTTTTTTAAAATCTTTACTTTAAATCATCAAAATAAAATATAGCTAAATATTTTATTTTTTAGCCAGATCGATTGATTAGAAACGGATTTTATTTTGCGGTAAATATTAGAAAATTTAGAAAAAGCATGGGATATTTTTAGAGGAAATTTAAGAGGAGAGAGAGAAATGAGGCGCAAAAGAAGCTTTTAAACGTTAAAAAGCCTTTTCTATAGCTAAAGAGATTTCCCTCTTTCTCTTGCTTTTTTAAGGGATAAAGCGCAGACTTAATCGATTCTTTAAAAATAGTGAAATCAGTAAAGCAGTAAAAAGTGTCTTGATAACAATTAGCAAGTTAGCTGCTTCACTAAGCTGTTAGCAGCTTCATTAAAAACTTGAAGCATTAAAACTTGAAGCAAAACTTAATTTGCTAACAAATGTGTTTCTCAAACTTTGTTAAAAAAATACAAAATTTATTCAAAACAAGTTGTATTTTACAAACTTAGCTTAGAAAACACAAACTTTTTTCAAAACAAGTTTTAAATGAAATACAAACAAAACACAAACTTGTTTGCAACAAGTTGTAAATTAAATACTAAATAAACTTGTTTGTTTCAAAACAAAAATTCTATTCAAGTTGCAACTTAATTTCTTTCAAGGTTGCAAGTTTCTTTTCAAGTTTTTAAGTTTTCAAGTTTGCAAACTTGAATTGCTACAACTTTTTTTCCCTATTTTTATTTATAAAATATTTTTATTTTTGTTTATTCATTGGCCATTTAAGCGGCTGTCACTAAACAAAATATATATAAAGCTTTTTTAGAAATAAGGACACACAAAAAATATATTTTTATTTTCTTTTGTCTCATTGTCATTCTTTAATATATCCATGATATTCTTTCCCCTTTTTATGTATTTTTTTATTTTTATCTTTTATTTTCAACAAAAAAAAAACAAAGTTTAAATGAAAACACATTTTTAGAAAATAAAATACAAACAAACTTTGTTTAAAACAAGTTTGTAAAGAAAAATAAAATACAAACTTTGTTTGCAACAAGTTGTAAATAAAATAACCAACTTGTTTGTCTAAACACAAACTTTGTTTAAAACAAAGTTTTAAGTAAAACACAAACATTTGTAAATAACCAAACAAACTTGTTCACGCAAAACACAACCTTGTTTAAAACAAAGTTGTAAATATAATAAATAAACTTGTTTGTTCAAACAAAAAATACAAACTTTGTTTAAAACTAAGTTTGAATGTGTTTTAAACAAAACACAAACTTTAATTTAATAAAGTTCTTACCAGAAGAGACAAAAGAACAACAACAAAAACAACAACTATTCCAAACATCCCTCCCAACTTTTCCAACTTGTTTTGCTTCAACAACAACAAAAACAAATTTAAACTTATTCAAAAACTTTAAATTAAATGTTTTACTTAAAAAAAGAAATTTAAAATTAAAAAGAATGACAGAAATTAATTTAAAAGATTCCCAACAACAACAGGAATGTTTGGCTTTTGAACCTCAAAATTATTTGAAAGATAGATGCAAAAAATGTTTTAGACTAAAGTCTGTTGTTAAAAATTATCTTTAAAAATGATTTAAAAATTAGAGACAAACACGAAAGTAATTTGCCCATTCGAAAGCCTACACTAGAACGAAAAGCTTCTTCAAGCAGTACAAGCAAAAATGCTTCAGATGCAGCTAATATTAAAATAACAAAATTAACAAAAACAAAGAGTAGCAATGCTACAAATTTGAACAATTCTGCTTCAAAAAATAATTTTGCTACTGCTTCAACAAAAAATACTGCTACTGCTTCCAACAATAATTTTGTTTCTGCTTCAAAAAATAATTCAAATTCAGTTTCAAATAATTCTGCTTCAACTAATTCTATTAGCAATTCATTATCAACAAAAAAGCACTCCCCTCCAACTAACAACAAATCCTCACCCAAAAAAGTGTTAGCAACAAACATTGCTAACAATAAAAACAATATTCCTGTGCCTACAAATGTAGCTACAACTTTTCGAAGAATTCCAATTCAACGAAGTTCTTCAGGTTTGGAAGAAGAAACAACAGAAAAACAAACAAAATTAATTAAAAATAAAAATAATTCTGATAAAAATTCTGATATTAGAAATCAGAATTCTGATAGCAACAATATTGATGAAAAGGTGAAGCAGAAGCCTATAATAACTAAGCAAAAGGAGGAAAACAATAAGCAACAAAAAGAATTAAAAGAAGCCTCAAATGAAGTTGAAATAAATGAAGTCCTTCAAACTAATAGTGACGAAAATAATGAATTGGAGGTTATCCTTTTTAAATGATTAATTTTTTAAGATTAAAAACAGGTGGCTTTAAAAGTTTAAATTATTCGATTTTTTGTTAAAAATATAAATTAAATTTTTTGTTTCTAAAAAATATCAGAATTTTAATAAACTTGCGCTAAATATTGTAAATTTATTCAGAACTCTAAGCTTAAATTATCAGAATTTTAATAAACATAAGAAATCAGAATTTAAACTTAAGTTTAATTTTAGTCAGAACTTTAAAAATCAGAATAATCTTAAACTTAAGAAATCAGAATTTTGTAAGCTTAAATTATCAAAATTTTGGTAAACTTAAGCAAACAGAATTTTAGTAAACTTAAGAAATCAGAATTTAAACTTAAGTTGAATTTTGTAGTCAGAACTTTAAAAATCAGAATTATCGCAATTAGGTATTTTTACTCTTTACTAAATTAGATAAAAACAATTATAATGACACCAACAACATCAAAAACCAGAAGCAATAAAACAGAATTAAAGGAACCAGAAACAACAAAAACGTTAGCAACACCAAAAACATCAACATCCTCCTCCTCTTCTTCTTCCTCATCTTCAACAACAACAACAGTATTACTCCCTAAACAAAGAAGGCAAATAAGCCAAATTAGTGGGTCTAAAAGCTATAAGGAGGCAAATAATGGATTGCTTCAAAATGAGAATATTAATGAAGCTGAGGTGAAAAGTGAAGCAAATAACAACGAAGCAATACTTAATAAAATTGGAAATAATTTTACTATTGTAGTTGAAGAAAATGGAATTAATAAAGAAAGAAATCGAGAAGGTAACTAAAATAATCAAAAAAATTTCCAAAAAAATTTTTCAAAAAATTTTTAGACGAAGTAGACGAAATTCTCTCCCTTTGCTCCTACAAAACAGCAAACTCACGTCTTGCAAATTCCTCCTCCCCTTCAAACTTCCCAGTTTCTGCTAACAATGTAAACGGAAACGGAAGCAATGGCCATTCACAAAGTGAAATGTTTAGTGCCCAATCAGTAAAAAAATTTTTTAAATTAATTTTATTTTTAATTCCCCTAAAGATTGACAGTCTAAACAGTATTTCATTTGCTGAGTCCTACAAAACTAGTTTAAGAAGTCCTCCCCCATTTTTCGACAACGACGATGACTTTTTAACGCCTACAAGTACAATGGATGGACACTTTTTTAATCAGAATATTTATAATAATTTTATTAATCAAGTACAAGATGAAAATGAAGAACTTGGAGAATTTGATTCTAGAGCTAGAACGCCCACTGCTAAAGTATTTTAATTAAAGGAAAGATTAAAAATCAGAATTTTCATAAACTTGAGTAATCAGAATACTGAAAATATTTAATAATCAGAATTTAATTAAATTTAAGTATCAGAATTTCCATACACTTAAGTAATCAGAATTTTAATAAATTAATCAGAATTATCGGAAACTTAAGTGTTCAGAATTTTCATACACTTAAGTAATCAGAATTTTAATAAACTTAATCAGAATTATCGGAAACAAAATGTTCAGACTTTAAGTAAATAAGATCAGAATTTTCATAAACTTGAGTAATCAGAATTAAAAATATTAAATAATCAGAATTTAAATAAACTTAAGTAACCAGAGTTTTCGTATACTTGAGTTATCAGAATCTTAAAAATACGCACCAGAATTTTTATAAACTTAAATATACTTTCTATTCTCTCTATTGTAGAGTCATACACTCGACTATGACACGCTGCAATTGGAGAATCAACGTTTAACAGAAAAATGTCGCCGTTACAAAAATGAACGGCAAAGGTGGACAGAATGGTTGGCAAGAAGGGCAACAACAATATCAGGAACAACAACCCCAACAAATGGAAAAGACCCAAAATTGCAAATTGAAAATAATAATTTAAATGCTTTACAACAAAGAAGGCAACGTCAACAACAGCTAGCGGTAGATGCATTAGCAGAGCTGGAATCTATTGTTAACGAATATCGAGAAGAAAATGTTGCTTTAAAATCAGAATTGCAACAGCAACTTAGGGTTAGATAAAAATCAGAATTTCTGATATAATACATCCTAGAATAAAATTAGAATTTAAAATCAGAATTTTTGGAAATCAGAATTTTAAAGTCACAATAAAATTAAAAATCAGAAATATAAAACCAGAATTTTCAAAAATCAGAATTTTCAGAAATCAGAATTACTAAAAATCCGAATTATTTAAAAATCAGAATTATAAAATCAGAATTATAAAACCATAATTTAGGAACAAAATTTAAATGCCCGTTCATTTAACCACGAACAACAACTTACTGAACAACTAGTTTCCGCCGAACTAATAAACGCCCAATTAAGACAAGAACGGGATGAATTGCAGCAAGAGATTGATGAGATTCAAGTAGTTACAAATTACAATTTGTAAAAAATTATTTTTTAAAGGATCAATGTCGAATGGAAGAAATTGAAGAATTTCGAGAATTACAACGTGAATTGGATCTTAACGCAAAGAATTGTCGAATTCTGCAGTTTAAACTGAGAAAATCAGAAAGGCAGAGAGAACAATTACAAGCTGAAAGGTGTGTGCTTGTATCGAGATGTGAGGAACTGCTTGATAAAAATAATAAATTAATTAAAAATGAAGAAAAAAGTGAGGAAGAAAAATCAGAAGAAATATCAGAAGAACAAAAATTTGCACAAATGGAACAAGAATTACATGTTGCAAAACAGATTTCAATAAAATTACAAAATGAATTAGAAGCAGCAGAAGAGCGTCGCTGCCGTCTTGAAGACGAACTTTTTTACAATAGGGAAAAAGTTAGAGAACTTCTTGCACAGAATAAGTGGAGGGAAGCGAAGAATAATAGGGAACAACAGCAAAATATAGTAAGGAATTAATTAAACTTATTTTTACAAATTCAAATTACAATTTGTAAAAAGGTTTGAAATTTTTTTACAATTTGTAAAAAAGTTTTATTAGATTTTAAAATTTGTAAAAAAGTTTTTATTAATTTTTACAATTTGTAAAAAAGTTTTAATTATATTTACAAGTTGTAATTATTTTTTACAATATATAAAAAAGTTTTATTTATTTTTTTCAATTTGTAAAAAGTTTAATTATTTTTTACAAAATTAAATTACAATTTGTAAAATAATTAAAATAAAAAACAATTTGTCAGAGACCAAGAGGTGAAGCTCTAATAATCTCCTCAGCCGCTTTAATGGTTGATGGAAGCAGCCATGTTAGTGCCAGACCTGAGCATTTTGAGGAGGAAGAAGAACCAAAAGAGGTAGCAGAAATACAACGAGAAGTTAGGGATTCGATGGAACGTGAAGCTGATTTGAGAGAACAATTAAGATTCACTGAAGCTGATTTACAAAGAACCAGAAACAGAATGAGGGAATTGGAAACAGAAAATGATGATTTGCTACAAAAATATACTCGGTTGGCTGATCAACAGGCACAAAATCTGTCAATGCTTCCGGGAGGATTATTAACGCCTAAAAGGCCTAGTCTTTTTAGAAGCATTAGGCAAGTTTTAAAAAATTGCAATTTTAAATTACAATTTGTAATTATAAATAAATTAAAGTTGTAATTAAACGTTTTTAACAAATTCAAATTACAATTTGTAAAAAGTTTTCCGGAAATTTCAAGTTTTATTTATTTAGTATTGTAATTATATAAATTAAAGTTTATTTATTTATTACAATTTGTAAAAAGTTTTAATTATCTATTACAATTCTAAATTACAATTTGTAAAGAGTTTTCCGGAAAGTTTTCCGGAAATATGTTTATTTCAAGTTTTATTTTTTACTTTTGTAATTTAAAGTTTTAAATTACAAAGTGTAATTACAATTTACAAATAAAAATAAATATTTTTAATTTATAGTGAAGGCAATGATTCTAAAATGCTAACAAAAGGAATTATTAGCGGGAATAACCGGCTTAACCAAGGAGAGCAATCTTCACCCAAAAAATCTCAAAGGAGTGCTTCTCATTGGTAGAGTTAACCTAACGTTTAAAAAAATTTTTTTAAATTATAGTAATGATACAAAAGAAGCTAGCGAGATAATTAAAGGTGTAGGGAAGGAAGACAATACAATTGTAGATGTAAGAGAAAATTTTAAAAATAAAAAAAAAATTTTTTTCTAGACGGAACAACTCTGCTACATGTTAGCAGCAATGGATGCCCAAGCAAACCGAATCTGTAAACAACTTGAAAAAATAGAAGGAAGTGGGAATAAGGAAGAAAGACGTCGTTCACTTAAGGGAGGAGAAATTGCTTCAGTTTTGGAAGAATTAGCTAGGCTTCTGAGTGAAATGAAAGCAATTAAGGAACAATTGGCACATTCTCAGAATGTAAATTTTTCGAAAAAAATTCGAAAAATAAAATTTTCTGACAGATTTCCCTAACAAAATCAATGATTGTTGGAAATGTATTAGGCGATAACAATACCAATGATTGTGGAAAATCAAAACAGGAATTTGAAGATGGATCTGGTAAACTTGTAGGGAATTATGTCTGTACTGTATGTGAGGAGAAGGAGAGAAAAATTCGCGAATTTGAGCAAAGTTGCGATTTTTACAAAAGAAAAAATGGGGAATTAACTGAGCAGGTAAAAATTAAAACATTTAAATTTACATACAATTGTAAAATTTATAAATTTAAATTTGCAAGGTTTTACAAATGCGCGATCAATGGGCTAAAGAATTACAAAAGGCTGAAGAAGAAGCTAACACTCAAAAAGTTTTAGCAGAAAAAGAAACAACTAGTTTGCGAAATGCTCTAGATAAACAAATTACAGAAACACAATCGACTAGGGATTTGTTAGAAAATACACGCGCAGAAAATGTTACACTTCGAAAGGTAGATTTACAATTAAAATCAGAAGTTAAAATCAGAATTACAATTATAAAGATAGGGTGAAAAGAGTTTTACAAATTGTAATACAAAATGTAAAAAGGCTTTAAAAAAGTTTACAAATTGTAAAAAAAGTTTAAAAAATTTGATGAACATTTTACAATTTGTAAAAAGTTTAGAAAAAAGTTTTACAAATTGTAAAAATGTTTCAAAAAAGTTTACAAATTGTAAAAAAAGTTTGAAAAAAGTTTTACGATTTGTAAAAAAGTTTAAAAGGTTTAGTAAACATTTTACAAATTGTAAAAAGTTTAGAAAATAGTTTACAAATAAAATTACAACTGTGTGCTAAAAATTTACAATTATTATTTAAAACTTTTTCTAGGCAATGGCAGAACGCGAAGCAGAATTATCTCAAGCAAAAGAAAAGGCTGGAGGGTTAGAAAAAGGATTAGATCAGAGTCGGATTTGGGAGTCCCGTTGTAAAGAAGCTAAAGCAGAACGGATAAGATTACAAGCAGAACTAACCCAATTAAGAATGAGAACAGACGAAGCTTTGCAAGAATTGGGTAAACAAAAATTCGAAGAAATTCGAGGAAAAATTATTTTTTTTAAAGAAAAAATGCGTGCAACACACCAACAAAAAGAAATTGTTTGGATAAGAGAAAAATTAAAATTGGAAGATTTATTAAAACAATCAAAACAACAACCGCAACAACTCTCTTCCCCAAAAACATCCATCGAAAAAATAATTCCAGTTGTTGTTCAAATGTCTAAACCTAGCGTGAATATGTGTTGTTCGCCTAGCAAACAATTGGAAAAACAAAATGATTTAGTTGAAAATAATGTGAAGCAAGAATGTGTTAAAGTTGATTACAAACAGGTAAAAAATGTTGGGAAAATGTTTGGGGGTAAATGTTGAGGAGAAATGGAAATTAAAAATTAGAATTTGAATTTACAAATTGTAGAAAAAGTTTTACAATATGTAAAAAAGTTTAAAAGAGTTTTACAATTTGTAAAAATAAAAAAAGCACGTTTTACAAATTGTAAAAAAAGTTTTAAAAAAAGTTTTACAAATTGTAAAAAGTTTTAAAAATGTTTTACAATTTGTAAAAAATTTAAAAAGAGTTTTGCAAATTGTAAAAATTAAAAAAGAAAGTTTTACAAATTTTAAAATGTTTAAAAAATGTTTTACAAATTGTAGTAAGTTTTAGAAATATTTTTACAAATTGTAAAAAAGTTTTAAAAATATTTTTACAATTTGTAAAAAAATTAAAAATGTTATTACAAATTGTAAATATGTATTTAAATTCAGATAGCAGATAATGCACTACGCGCCGCCGAATCATTACAGCGTCAATATAGAGAATATCAAAGCCATTACACTGCAGAAGTGGAAAGATTAAACGCCAGATTAAATAATTTAGAACGAGAACAACAACAAAAACGATTAGAAAAAAGTGAAGAAAAGAAGTTAAGTCAGGCTTTTCCAACTTTTGGTTTACAAGTGAATAGAATACCCATGGCTGAGGTTCCAAAAAAATTTTTTTTCGTAAAAAAAATTTTTTTAAAGAGCCCTTCAATGAGTTCACTAACCGAAAACACAACTTGGGATAGTCGTCTACTAGATTGCTCTATGGCACGCTCAGTTTCCCCTTTCAAATTCCCTCGAGGAGCATGTACTACCCCAACATCTGTGAAGGCTTGCCGAATGGATAATATTTTGTTTAGAAGTCAAGGAGCAGAAAAATTAATTTCTGGAGAGTTTGGAAGTGATGAAGACAGTACCTCTGCAATGGCTGCGGCAAATGCAGCTGCTAGTACTAATAAAGCTCATAGAGAGTATAGAAGGACGAGCAGTTCAGGTAGTTAAATGAACAAGAAAATTTAACAAAATGGGGGAAATAAAGACGAACTCTCGCTATAAGAAACACCCAATACTGGATACACACATTTACTGGATACCTTCTATTTAAAAGACACCTCATTAAAAGATACCCCCAACCTCCTTATAAGATAACCCAATGCATCGCTCTTTACTAGGGTGATCATTTCGCCTTACTAGAGTACCCTCTATTTAAAAGACACCCCATTATAAGACACAAAATTTTCATCCATAAGGGTGTATCTAAAAACGAGGTTCGACTGTACCAAAAATACTCCAAAAATTCAGTCAAAATATTTGAACTCAAACCAAGTATAGAGACGCAGAGAACATTGCGTTTCTCTAATGTTTAAACTAAAAATTAAAATTTCTTCAAAGGAACAAACATTCTTTACCGAATACGACGTGAAGAACTTTCTAAAGGAAAGTGCCCCTCAGTTCGTCAGATGGCCAAGGCGTTCGACTCTTTCGAACAAACACGGTTAAATGAAAAAGAAGCAGCTGCGGAAGAATCGCGTAGACGTAAAGAGTAAGTAAACAAGCAAAGGGGAAGTTGAGGAAGATTTTTCAAATATTTTCAGAGAAAAATCAAATAAAACAAAAAATTCGGGATTATTCGGACTTTTAAACAAAGCCTCTTCAATGGACCAATCCCTTTCAAGTGCTGGTAGAAAATTGCCCCCATCAAAGGCTAAAGCTAAACGACGACCTAGCGATCACCAAGCGGCAGCATTACAAAATGAACTGTTGCTAACGAAAAATAATAGTGGCGAGATTGCTCCACGTGGAGGGAGGAATCCGTTTAAGGTGAGAAAAGAAATTTTTAGTTAGGCAGGGGTTTAATGAAATAAAAGTAGTAGGATGAGAGTAGGTATCCCTCTTAGGTATCGGTGGTATCCCCTCACCTTAAGAATGAGAGGAATCCTTTGTCAACAGTTGTTTGAAATAAAATCTTCGAGAATCGGAAATCGTTATTTCGAAACAACTGCTTTTGGTTAGGGTTAAGATGTATTAAAGAGAAGGTGAAAACAGCAGTTTTTTAGACCTGTTCTTTGTGAGCGAAGGCTCTTAGAAATAACTCCTAGGGCTAGACTTTTTGGATCTCTTACTGTATTCCTATAAATCTGTTTATTTTACAGGGAATGGGTTCACGCCTCGTTGAACGTGTCAGACGTTCTCTCTCTCGGACTGGAAAAAAGCGGAGTCACAGTAGGGATGAGGGGACTCCCTTGTCAATGAGTTTAGTTGCAGCAACAGGGAATAACGAAACAACTACTTTAATGTCTTCCTCGACAACGGCTGCGAGTATTAATGGATAACTTTGTTGATTTTAATGTTAAAGTCTCTACATATTATCCCAAAATTGTTGCCTAATTTTTGTTTTAATTATTTTTTAACATTTTTAAAGTGCCTTTTGCCTTAATTTTAACAATAATTTCCTCCTAAAATAAATTTTGCTCAAGCTTATAAATTTTAAAATTTTTTCATTTTTAATGTCACCCCTCCCTTTGTCAGCTTTTCCCTTGTCAGCTTTTCCCTTGTCAGCTTTCCCCCTTTAAAAAATCTAAAACCCCTATAATAGATATTAAAAATAGACTCACTTCCATCCACTTTAGTCCACACCGGGCATGTTCCAGGCCCTCCAGTCCCAGGACTTGTAGGTTTACAACATTGAGTTCCAAAACACTTGTGGTTCATACTTAGACAATTAACCATGGCGCCACAGTCTTAAAAAAATTTTTTTAATTTCCCAAGAAAATAATGGTTATACTTCCATCAGCAGACCATCCCATCGGGCATTGTTGGACATATTGTCCATCCACACTTGCCATCAATTTAATTAATAAATAATATTTAAATAGTAAGACTTTAAGTATTTCGAGTTTATTCTTGAGAAGTTTAATTTTAGGAAATTTTATCGGTCTTTTAGGCATTTGGGCATTAGTAAAATTTAATTGGGAAAGAAATAAGGATAAAATTAATAATGTTGGAGTTTGTTGGGTTTTGAAATTTAGAGAGAAATTTTTAAAATAAAAAAATTATTTAGTTAATCAATTCCATAATAAATTTTTTTATTATAAAAATTAAAAAAAATTCAATTTAAAATGGAAACTGGAAAGAATAGCTGAGTAAATAAATTAAAATTTTAAAACATCGATAAGGCAAAAAATATCTCTCAATAAAAATAAATTAATGAGACAATGCATTTTTTACAAAAGTTTATAGTATTCAAGTTTATCAAATCTAATCACACAAAGTATGACACACTTTTAAATTTATTATAATTTCATTCGTATATTTCACACTAGCCATTGCAAAGTCCGCATGTTTTCGGACAAGAATATTTAAACTGCATGTCAGTATTACAACTTGCTGATGATTGTGTTGAGCAGTATTGCTGCTCCCCGGAAGCACAGGCTAAAAAATTATTTTGAGTTAAAACATTTCTTTCAATACCTTGCTGTAGTAAGGACGGATCAATTCCACTCATTGAGCCACCACCGCCAGGAAATGATCCCATTTGATTAGGATACCTAAGTTTGCGTTATATTAAAGTAATAATAAGCTTTAACAAACTGTGATGGAAAGCCATTAGCCCCTGTTTGTGGAATGTTATTTTGTGGCATAAATCCAGCACCGCTTCCTCCAATGCCAGGTGATGGATTTCCCATACCGCTATACATCGATGCTGTATTTCCATACTGTGCCGGACTTCCCATACCGCCGTACATTGATGCTGGATTAACATATTGTGATCCCATTCCGTTTGGTTGATTTCCCATTCCATATTGCGATCCCATTCCGTATGGTTGATTTCCCATTCCATATTGCGATCCCATTCCGTATGGTTGATTTCCCATTCGATATTGTGATCCCATTCCGTATGGTTGATTTCCCATTCCATATTGCGATCCCATTCCGTATGGTTGATTTCCCATTCCATATTGTGATCCCATTCCGTATGGTTGATTTCCCATTCCATATTGTGATCCCATTCCGTTTGGTTGATTTCCCATTCCATATTGCGATCCCATTCCGTATGGTTGATTTCCCATTCCATATTGCGATCCCATTCCGTATGGTTGATTTCCCATTCCATATTGCGATCCCATTCCGTATGGTTGATTTCCCATTCCATATTGCGATCCCATTCCGTATGGTTGATTTCCCATTCCATATTGCGATCCCATTCCGTATGGTTGATTTCCCATTCCATATTGTGATCCCATTCCGTATGGTTGATTTCCCATTCCATATTGCGATCCCATTCCGTATGGTTGATTTCCCATTCCATATTGTGATCCCATTCCATATGGTTGATTTCCCATTCCATATTGCGATCCCATTCCGTATGGTTGATTTCCCATTCCATATTGCGATCCCATTCCGTATGGTTGATTTCCCATTCCATATTGCGATCCCATTCCGTATGGTTGATTTCCCATTCCATATTGCGATCCCATTCCGTATGGTTGATTTCCCATTCCATATTGCGATCCCATTCCGTATGGTTGATTTCCCATTCCATATTGTGATCCCATTCCGTATGGTTGATTTCCCATTCCATATTGCGATCCCATTCCGTATGGTTGATTTCCCATTCCATATTGTGATCCCATTCCATATGGTTGATTTCCCATTCCATATTGTGATCCCATTCCGTTTGGTAGATTTCCCATTCCATATTGTGATGCTGTACCTCCCATACCGTACGGTGCTTGATTTCCCATGCCTGCTCCATTGCTAACAATCATCTGTCCATTTGCAGTGTAAAGTGGCTGTCCATTTGAATATACAGTTTGGCCATCTGCAGTGAATAACTGTCCATTCATCGTGAAAATAGGAAGTCCTGCAGTTGTATATGCAGGCTGTCTATTAGAGGTGAAAACAGGTTGCATGCCAGCACCAGACATTTGCGGATTAGTTGGGTTATTAGGAATAGGATTGGGCATATACTGATTTGGGTTCTGATATTGATTATTAGGAGGTACATTTGGATTAAAAGGCACAGTTGGATTGTACGGATTATTCGGATTTAATTGTGGATTTGGATTGTTTGGATTAATTGGGTTATTTGGATTGTTCGGATTGCATGTATACATTGATGCTGTCGCTATTGTTGGCATGCTGTATTTGCCGCAACATTCTCCTTTGATACATGTTTGGTCGTATGTTATACAAAACCCCTTGACAGAACAACCTTAAAAAAGTACATTATAGCTATAGAACTTTGTTTTAACCATGGTTATCTTTAATGCTCCCGAGTGGACAATAAGTCTGGTCACATTTGTTAGTGTTGGGATTAAACACAAATTTCAATTTCGCTTGCTCTGCTGACATTTGGCCTTAAATTAAACATAAATATATTTAAAAATTAATATTAAAAAAACAAACGAACAGCAAATGCCTGAGACAGCAAGTTGACTTTTCTGGATACAGCCACCAAACGTTGTACCTACATATTACAGATTAAATTTTTTATTTAAAAAGGTTAAATAAAATATTTTTACGTCCATTCGGTTTCCATCCTTCATAGCATGGAGGAGCATTTGCAAAAACGAAATTAAATAAAATGCCAAGGAGTACAAGTATCACCAAAGGATTGATAATCATCTTAAATAAGCTAAATTAATTTTAAAATTTTATATAATCGATGAAAAAACTATGGATTAAAAAATAATTTTTAGTTACAGGCAACATTGAAGGGAAACTTTAAACCCTATGATAATTTAGAGAGATGAGGGAGAAGACTGGTAATATTAAGTAAAATGTTTGCTTAATTTACAGGTGGTAAATATTTAAAATTTAAATATTTGAGAAATAAATTATGCAAGGGTTTTAAAAAATAAATAGAAGGAATGCTTGAATTATTGAATGAGTCTTATAATATTCCCGAGTATTTAACCCTCACTTGCTTATATACTACCAGTAGAGATTCGAAAAGAATTTGTTCGAGCAACCTCCTCATTCTCTCATTTAACAGTAAGCAAACCTATTCCTGATGCCTCGCCATATTTTACCATTTAATTTTTAGACATTTTTAATAGTTGACATTTTGAAATTTATTTTTTTAATTTTTTTGGCGTTATGTTATTTTTAATTTATTTGATTTTTGATTGGATTTTTGATCGATTTTGGGTTAAATTTTGGCTAATTTTTAATTTTCCAAGTATTTGTAGTAGTTCTATAAACCTTTTTCTCATTTTCTAGCACAAATATAATGAATTCGGCAACTACTCAGAGGAAAAAATTAACGCTTAAAGTGATTCTGTTAGGTTCTATTTTAAATTTAATTTTCTAAAATTTTATTTTTTCAATTTCCAGGAGAATCGGGTGTTGGAAAAACTTCAATAATTAATCGTTTTGTCAACAAAAAATTTTCAAATTGTTACAAAGCAACTATTGGGGTTGATTTTATGAAGAAACAAATGACGGTTGATGGGGTGGATGTGACGCTTCATATTTGGGATACTGCTGGGTTTGAGAAATACCAATCTTTGGGATCTGCTTATTACAGAGGGGCTGATTGTTGTGTTTTGGTAAAGAAATATTTTTTAAATTAATTTTGTTTGGGTGTCTCGTTAATTTTTGCGGACAATTAGAATAATTGCATTAACGTGGAAAGCAGGAATCTGGCTGACTCTAAAATAAGCAGGCCTACATATTAATTAGATCTGCTTGTTGTAGGGAGGCCATTCTTTATTCTATTTTTTTCTCTAGAAAATTTTTTTGTCCTCAATTATTTTTCAAAAAATTTTTGTCCGCAAACTTTGTCCGCAAATATTTTCTTAAAAATTTTTTGTCCGCAAAAAAGTTTTTTCGAATTATTTCTATTAAATAATTTTTTACATTTTATTCTCTTCAGGTTTACGATTTAACCTCAGCTCCTTCTTTCCGTGCCATTGAAAGCTGGCGTGATGAATTCCTCGTTGTTTCAAATCCTTCAGATCCTGACGACTTTCCTTTTATGATTTTGGGGAATAAATTTGATTTGATGGATAAAAGAGCTGTGAGTTCCGCAAAAGCTGAGAATTGGTGTAGACAAGGAGTGAATATGAAACATTTTGAGGTTTTTTGGAATTTTTAAAAATTTTTTCAAAAAAATAGGTCTCGGCAAAGGAGGATTGGCGGTTGGATGAAGCTTTTAAGGAAGTTGTCCGTATGTGTCTATCTATGATGCGAAAAGGAGAAGAAGAATATCCAGGTTTTTATAAATTTTAAAAAATATTTTTTGTTACTTTAAAAATTTCAAAAATTTTGTTTTGTGGTTAAGTGGTATTTTTCACATTTAAGAGGTTGGGGGTTCGAATCCGCTTGGGCGTCTAAATATTTTTTTCAACATTTTAAAATATTTTGTGATGCTTTTAAACTCTCTTCTTTGTTTTTTAATCTTATAAAATTTTTCTTTAGATTTTCCTGAAAGAATTAATCTTCATAATCGCAGCAGTGGACAAGTGGATGAAGACGATGCGACGCCTCTGTGTAATCCTTGTTCTTACTCTTAAATTAAAAGATAAGGTTATATTATGTTTTTGCTCAGAACATTTAAACAATCTAACTAATTTTTTGAATTTTTTTGGGAAAAAATTTTTTTGACTAAAAATTTAAAATTTGTCTCCCAGTACAATTATCCAAGTATCTTTTATTTTCACTTATCTCAAAATTTAAAAAAATCATTATAATCTTCAATAAGCATATTTCTCAATAAAAAATGATTTATAATTTTTTTTCAGGTAAAATTCAAATTCGTATACCCCCTCCTTTTTCTTTCCTCTCGAGTAAGTCTTCCTTCAATCTGTCAATAAATTCCGAGCCGACAACCATGTCCATTTTTATACTTTGAGGATGGAAGTAGGAGGAGGAGAGGGGGTATACGAACTTGAATTTTACCCTTTTTCAATTTATATTTTTTGTCTAGATTTTTTAAAAATTATTTTTTAATTTTTTTTTATTTTTATTTTATTAAAAAAATCCCATTTTTCAAGCCTATATGTATCATTTTCTTTTCTCTTTTTTATTGACATAAAATCTAAAATTTTATTTTCATTAAATTCTCTACTTATTCAAAAAAAAATTTTTTTTTGGTTATCCATTTGACTTTGTATATATTTTCTCAAAAAATTAATTTTTAAATCTTAAAAATAAACTTGCATTTTTATTTTAATTTTTTTTATTATTTTTTTTTTCAATGACTAATGGTTGTGATTAATCACCACACTTATTTTTTTATTTTTTTTAAATTTTCTTTAACTAATTCTTTCTAATATTAACTAATAGGAAGAGGGTCTAGTCAGACACAAAACGGAAATTATTTTGTTGGTTTAGTCATATTTTTGGGTGGGAAAGGGGGAGGGTGATGTGGTGGGAGTAGGGTTGGATAGACGCAGAGAATTACCTTACCTTGTGGTCGTCTCCAGGGATATCACGGGTTGATAAAAAAAGGAGCGGATTTGAATCCGATTTCGGCTCGGGTTTCGGATTTCGGTTCGAAAAAAAGACTGAGGTTTCGGATTTCGTATATCGAGTTAGACAACCCGTGGCATCCCGAGTCAACACTTTTTTTTTATTAAAAAAAATTTTTTTAGAGAAAAATGATGGAAAATAAAATATTTAAAAATATGTAAAATATGGCTATCAAGTATTTTTTTATTTTTAATTAAAAAAATTTCTTTTTTCAGTTCCCAAACACTTAACGTCTTTCAATTAGGAATTGGGTTTTTCTTTGTTTTTCTTGCCTTCAATTCACAAGGATTTATCGAAGAATCTGTTCTAGATTCGTTTGTTGCACAAGGAGTGGTGAAAAGGCATGATGGATATACCAGGTTTTGAAATTTTTTTATCATTTTGAAATTTTGTTCTAAATTTGCGGACAAGTTTATGTTGGTTGTCCGCAAATTTTTGCGGATAAAAATTTTGTCCGCAATTTTTCTTCGAATTGTCCGCAAATTTTTTCTGATTGTCCGCTTAATTTTACGATAAAATTTGTGCCACAATTTTTTTGCGGATTGTCCGCAAATTTTTGCGGACAAAATTTTTGTCCGCAATTTTTTTTAATTTAAAAAAATTCCCATTTTTTTAGCCTAGCAATTATTTATGCTTCATTTACTCTACTCAATATAGCTGCAGCGCCAATTGTGGGCATTCTTGGAACTCGATGGGCATTACTTTTTGGAGCTTGTACTTATGCACTTTTTCAAGCTGGCTTTTTATTTTTGAATCGTTTTTATTTGTTTGGTTCTTCTGCTTTGCTTGGATTGGGGGCTGCTGGTAAATCAATTTTTATTTTTAGAGGGATTTGAGTGTTTTCGACATTTAACGAAATTTCGTGTTTTTTGACACTTAACGAAATTTCGCTTTTTTCGTATTTCGAGTTTCGTTTTTGAAAAATTCCTTTTTAGTTTCTCTCGCTAATTCTCTTTTTAATTTTCTAGTAATATGGACAGCTCAAGGAAAATATTTAGCACTCAATAGTCAACCAGAAACAGCAGGCAAACATAGTGGTTTATTCTGGGCATTATCACAAGCATGGTAAGGAAAATTTTTATAATCAAAAAATTAAAAAAGTTTCAAAAAATATTCTGTTCGCAAAATATTTGCGGACAGTCCGCAAAAAACGAAAATTCAATTTTTTTTTAAATTTTCAAAAAAAATTTTTTTTCAAGTCAAGTCTGTGGAGGAATATTTTTATTAATTGTATTTTTACTTCATCAACATTCAAATCCTGAAGAACACTTTCGTTTTGGAAGTAATTTTGCTCCATCAACAGTTAAATTACTTTATGCAGTATTTACTGGAATTACAGTTTTGGGTGCTTTAATTTTGGGATTGTTACCTTTAAATGGTGAAAATGTTGGGAATAATAGGAGAAGACATGGAGAAGGTTTTTTTTAAATTTAAAACTAAAATTATTGGTGTTTATTGAGTTATTTCTTGTTTTTCGGACATTTTTTGCGGATTTTCTGCAAATTTTTTGCGGACAAAAAGTTTTTGACCGTACGGATAAAATTTTCGTCAACAAAATTTTTTGCGGATTATCCGCATTTTTTTGCGGACAAAATTTTTTTTCTGCAAATTTTTGAAATTTAGCTGGACTTTTTGGAAACTGTTCACAATATTCAATAAATGCCAATAATCTTTTGAAATAACTAAAAAATATTTTTAAAAAGATTCTCCTTCACCTTCTGAATTGCTTGATCCAATTATTAACCCAATTTCGAACCAACCAACTGGAGAAGCTAATATTCTTGATAATGGGAATGGAACTGAACCTAATAATATTTTATCGTCTATTCTATCTATGATCAGTAGGTTTATTTATTTAAATATATTTTTGATTTAGAAAATGGTGTTTGGGGTTATTTCTAAAAATATTTTGCGGATTGTCCGCAAATAGAAGAGTCCGCAACTTTTGTCCGCAAATATTTTTTAAAATTTTTTTTCATAAAGGTTAATTTTAATTAAAAATACCTTAATACCTTTTCAGTTTTTTAAAATTAATTCTAAAAATTTCTTTTTTGGTTAAGTGGAATATTCCACATTTAATGGGTTATGGGTTCGAACCCTTTCCGGATCCAAATATTTTTTTTTGGCTTGTAAAAATATTTTTTGATATTCTTAAACTTTATTTCTTTCCTATAATGCCATAAAAAATTTTATTTTCCTCATAATAATCTTTTTGAAAAAATTATTTGCGGACAAAGTTTTGCGGACTTTTGGAAGAATAATTTTTAAAAACTTCCTATAATTATTTCTAAAAAATACCAGAATCAACATTTATTCTCGCCAAAACATCAAAAATGTTGTTATTATCAATTCCATTTATGTATACTGGAATTGTTGTCAGTTTTTGGAGTTCAATATATCCAACAAGTATAGCAAATACAGAATTATTTCAATTAAATCAAGGTGTTGACCCGAAAATTTTATTGGCTTTAAATGCTATAATTCAAGGAGTTGGGCAAAGTAGTGGTGAGAAGTTTTTTTTTTGAATTTATATTTTTTACCCGGGCAGTAGAGATCGAGATTTTGAAAAACCTGGGCCAGGGTTCCGGGTTTGATTTATTGAACTGGACCGGATCCTGGGCCTGTAGTCAAGGAAAAACCCAGGCCCAGAAGAAACCCAAAAAGGTCAAAAACTGCCTCGGCCTGGACTCTGGGCACAGGAAAAATCCAAGCTTTGGTCCAAGCCTAGCGGGTGTCTATAACGTCCAAGCCTAGCGGGTGTCGATAACGTCTGCTTTAGTGTAGTTACTTAAACAAGTCTAAAAATGAGAATGTTTACAAAGTTTTGTTCAAAAATCTAAAAAAGTTTGCAAATATAAAATAAATTATTTAAATATAGCCGGCCTTCTATTTGGAATATTTGGTGTTCGAACAACAAAAATACTTACAAAATCAAATATTGTTTTAATTGGCTCTTTGTTACAATTATTGGCCTATTTTGCTATTTTTGCAAGTATTCCTGGAGATGCTTCATTAGGGAAAACATTTGAACAAGGATATTTAATTTATCCAAGGTAGAGCTTTTAAAAATTAAAACTTGAATTTTACAATTTGTAACTAAAAGTAGAGATCGGCCTGGGTCTGGACCAAGGCCTGGGTTTTTACTTCTTTTACTTCAGAGTCTAGGAACAAGTCCAGGATTTTCAAAATTTCCGATCTCTAACAATTTACAATTCCATTTACAATTTTTAAAAAAGGTTTAGAAAGGTTGGAATTGTAAAAAAAGTTTTTTTATAAGTTAAAAATCGGGACACGCCCAACTAAGGCGCGCGGTCATAACAGCGCAAACCCATAACTTGCTGGAAAATTACTTTAAGTGTCAATTTTGTTACCAATCTCTTTATCTCGATGTGATGAATCGTTTAATACTAAATTTGGAAAGATTCGGACATCTTGAAGCAAGTTATGGCTTTGTACCGTTATAGCCGCGCGCCTAATTGGGTTGTACCTTTAAAATCTTTTTTTTACAATTTTCTTTTTAAATATTCCCAACTTTTTTTTCTTTCATTAGAATTTGGATAGCTTTACTTTCTGGATTTTTAATTGGTTTTGGTGATTCTTGTTGGAATACACAAATATTTTCTCTATTAATTTCTCATTATTCACAACATCAAAGTGCTTCAGCCTTTTCTCTATTTAAATTTTACCAATCATTGTTAACTTTTTTGGCATTTTTATATGCTTCTCTACTTTCTCTATATTGGCATTTATTATTTCTTTTTGTTGGTTCAATACTAGCTTTGTTTAGTTTTATTTTTGTTGAAAGAACAAGTCAACAAACAACAAATAATGTTGATATTTCTGAAGAACAACAACATGATATTAATTAATTAAATTTGGATTTTTTACAATTTTACAATTAATAGATAAGTAAAACTTTTTTTACAAATTATTATTCAATTAAAACTTTTTTTTTTACAATTGTACAGTTATTAGCTATTTTATTTAAAAAAGTTTTATTAATAAAACTTTTTTACAATCTATTAATAATTAAAAAACTTTTTTACAATTGTAATTTATTTAAGCTTGTTTTTACAATTAAATGAGGTTTTTAATTAAAAAAAGTTTTTTTTTAATTAAAACAAACTTGTTTAACAATTCCAACTTTTTTTACAACTTATTAATAATTTATAACTTGTTTTACAATTTTTCAATTCTTTTATTTTTATATTACTGTTCAAGTTTGATTAAACTTGAATTTTACAAATTTAAAATTAAACTTGTTTTACAATTATTTCCTTTTTCTCTTCTTTTTTATTTTTATTTTCTCTAGCCTCTTTTGATTTACAAAAGCATATCATTTTAATTATCTAGATAATTGTAATTTCAGCATAATATATCTAAAATAAATATTTTTTAACACTGCTTGTTTTCAAAATTTTTTAAAAAATTTCTCTATTTCTTTGTTAGTTCATTTCATTGTTTTAAAAACAATTCCCATGACAACATAAAAAAAGAATAAAATAATTAAGTATAAATTGGGGAAGCCGATGGGTCTACTTAGGTTTTCTTTGAGTTCTCTAAAATTGAAAAAAATTTCTTCTTATATCCTTTTATTATCTCCTACTCCAAGTCTTGTCCGTTCTCCAATCGTAATTCGCTCTTAGAATTAAAAAATAATTTAAAATATAAAATAATGAATATTAATGAAAGCCAGGAGGAAGAATCTTTAGTTGTTGTAGATACTAATAATCAACAACAACAACAAAGCTCTTCACCCCATTTTGGTGAAGGTCAACAAGGGTTGGCTGAACAAGTAGATTTTCTTTTATTAATTTAAAAGAGAATTTCTATTTGAAGTCCCGCCCCTGGTCATTACAATCGTCTCTGAGTGCTGCTTCGTCCGATCCAGCAGTCAGAGTTTTGGGCACTCCAATAAGTGACATATCTGAAGATGAAAATCAGAAGCCTAGAATGCTTGTTGATGCTTATGGGAAGAGAATTGATGAAGAGGAGGAAGAAGAAGAGAGGGCAAGCCTGAGGGATTTTGAGGAACAGGAAAGACAAATTGCTAGGCAATTGGCTATTGAGGATGAAGAGAAAGTTGGAGGAGGGGAGGGGAAGGAGGTTGAGGAGGAGGAGGAGGAAGAACTGTTAAGTGAGTTTTTAATCTTCTAAGGACCAAGAAGATTAAAAAGAGCTTTAGGGTATATGACTCGTTTTTACTTGGAAGCCTTGAAAATTCTGGTTATATAAGTGCGAGGTTCAAGGTGTTAAGTTCTGAAAATCTGGTCATAGACATGGTCAATGCCATCCCCCGTCTTAACTAAAAAATGAATTTTGATTTCTAAAAAATGTTATTTTTTGAGATTTGTAGGTTGTTTAATAGCGGCATTTGTCATTATTTTAATGCTGCTATTTTTGGAAGGCTTTTTAAGGGTAATTCCTAAAAAAGGGTATATTATCGTTGCCTAGGCAACAATATGTATTAAAAAACTTGAATAAGCTGGAAAATAAATGGAAATAATCTAAAGTCGAAGAATCAATCAGATTAAACCCTAAAAATTTCAAAAAAAATTTTTTTAATGCTAGAAAATCCGCAACAACAACTACCCCCTCAATCACCCCCAATACCCACACATGCTCGTAACCTTTTCCCAGAATCATTGCAGAATCGTCAGTTTAACTCTTCCCAGATTTTAAATGATGAGAGTTGTAGTAACAGCATAATTGAAGAAGATAGACAACAACATGTTGGGGACGTTCAGAGGTCTCCAACAATTTCTAATCGTTCATCTCCAGGTGAATTATACGGGTCGAAAGCTCTATTTAAGCTATACCCTCTATTTAAGCGGCACCTTCCGTAAGCCAGCCACTGGGTAGAGGAGCTTTGAAGGAGATACCCTCTATTTAATAGACACCTCATTATAAGGTCAAAATTTTTTCTCGATAACAAAAGGGTGTCTTTAGTGAGATCCGAGCTAAAATGAGCATAAAAACAATTTTCTAAATAAATTCAATTTCTAGTTGGAGGCTATCCAATAGATTATTCAGCAGATCCACCACCTTATACTTCTTCACCACCACGCGTTGGTGGTCGTTTATTTGTTGGAAATCGGTTAAATACTACCTTGGCAACTGGAATAGTTCCAATTGAAGGACAGTATGATAGGGGAATAAGTGAGAGAGAAAATGAAGGTGAGAGTAAGAATATGACTGCAAAAAAATTTTGCGGACAAAACTTTGAGAAAAAAATTTTTTAAGAAAGCGACGAAGGTACTGAACACGAAGAGGAACCCGAGGAAGACAATGAGGACGAGCAGGAAAGTAGCGGAGCTTATACAGTACCCTCCCCCAGTTTAACAGTTGAGGACGGCTCTAAGCCCCCGCCTCCAACACTCGTTAACAGCTCCTCTTCAAATTTTCGTGAGGCTCTAGGTAACAGTGTTTCAATGGCTGGTGGAGTGGCGGCTGCCGTGATTGCTTCACGTGGGGGTAAAATTAAAAAATTCTTCTCACCCTTAAAATTCCCCTCAAAATTCAGCAACAATGTCCACTGCTTCACCTCGTTACCAACCAGATTCAGCATCGGCCTCTCCACGTCCAGTGTTGATTGAAGGGGCTAGAACAGTCGCTAGTTTAGTTTCTTCATCCAACAGAATTCCTTCTATTCCCCAACCAGAATATCCACAAACATCCCCTAGAGAACAACAAAAAAGAGAAGTCTTCCATTTACTAAATTAATTTCTAATCCCTTATGTATTTCCAGCCGGCCATAACCACACCCACTAGTAATGTTAGAAATATACAGCAACAACGCCATCCACCTAATGCAGAATTAAAAGCATTATTTAGTTTAACAGAGTCATACATTGCTGAAAGGATAGATATTGAGCCGGTATGTTATATAAACTTATTACAATTTGTAATTTTAAATAAACCTTTTTTACAAATTGTAAAAAATTTTTTTTAATTAGACAAACTTTCCTTACACTTGTAAAATTAAATAAACCTTTTTTACAATTTGTAAAAAATAAGCTTATTACAATTTGTAATAACAAATAAACCTTTTTTACAAATTGTAAAATCTTTAATAAACTTTTTCTACAATATGTAATTATAAACCAATCCTTTACAAATTGTAGTACATAAATAAACTTTTTTACAATTGTGAAATTAAATAAACTTTTTTTACAATGTAGTAAATATGTAAGTAAGCCCTTTTAGAATACTAAACAAAACTTCATTTACTATTGTAAAATGAGGCTATTTTTTTACAATTTCTAATTTCTACCAAGGAAAATTCTCCCTTCTAATTTAGACACTCAAACCATTCCAAATCGACTATGTGCCCGCTGTCGGGGACGTCGATCCCTTCATAAAAGTACCACGCCAAGACGAGATTCAAGCAATGGGAGCAGATTGGTTATGGACTGGATTAATGGCTGTCCATCCAAACGAAGATTTACAACTTGGATTGACTGTATTGGATGAGCCAGCAGCTATTCAATCAGACCCAGCAATTGTTGATTTAAGACTTCATCAATTATCAGGGAAAAGTGGGGCTTCTGTTGATGCTCCAGTAAAGAAGCTTTCTAGAGCTGACAAAAATGCAAAACAAATTGTGGGAGAAAAATTGTAAAATTCAACAAAAAGGAATTTTTTAGGACCGTTGGATTCAATCAGTGAAGGAATTGAGACGTACAAAACCTCCAGATAGGGTACACTATGGAAAACCTATGCCTTCTATAGGTAGGGAAAACTGTAAAAATAAATAAACTTTTTACAATTTGTAATAATAGAATCGCTAATGCAAGAATGGCCACAGAGTGTTGAACAAAATCTAAAGGGAATGAAGGTGGGTATTTAAATAAACTTGGAGCTTGTTAAAACTTTTTTTACAAATTGTAATTAGAAAACAACCTTTCCACATAGTGAATAAACAAACTTACGATTTGTAAAAACCAACCTTTTACAAATTGTAAAATGATAAACCTTTTACATTTTTTTACAATTAATGAAAATAAACTTTTTACAATTTGTAAAATAAAACTTTTTACAAATTGTAATCATAGAACAACCTTTTACAAAGTAAATAAACTCAGTTTACAATTTGTAAAAAATAGCAATTCAAGTTTTTACAATTTGTAAAATAATAAACCTGTTACAATCTGTAATAATTAATTTGTGTAATAAAGCTAAAACTTGTCAGTACTGCAAAACTTTTTACAATTTGTAAAAAATTAAAATTACAATTTAATTAAACTTAAAACTCAAGTTGCTACTCAACGACAATCTTGATGCTGCCCTAGAAGATTATGCAGACATTTGCTTGTCTCTAATAGACATCCCAGTACACAAAAATCGTCTAGATTCTCTCCATGTTTTATTCTCCCTTTACGCCGAATTTCGAAATTCTCAACATTTTAAAAATTTGGCATTAGGGGGAAGTCGGCAAGGATTTAACAATGGAAACGATGACGATTTGGAAATAACAGAACAATTATTATTAAATAATACATCCTCAACTATTGACCATCTTGTAGTTGATGAGGAAGAAATTAAATAAATAAATTAATTAAATATTTATTTTTATTTTTTAATAGCAATTCAAGTACTAATATCATAATAATTTGCGTCCATGTCTAAACTTTGTTGGCTTTCTGCTAACATTAACAAACTTTTTTCTTGTTTTATACAATTCTCCTCAAAACAAAAATCTGCTCCTAACAATAACACTCCATCCTCAAAGCGTATTAAGCCTGGTCCAATCTGTTCAAAGTCGAGAAGTACGGGCATTTTAATTCCTGGGAAAATGAAGTTTTAAAATAAACTTGAATTTGTAAAATTAATAAACTTGGATTTGTATATATAATTAAACTTGAATTGTAAACGTTTACAAATTAAATAAACTTGAATTTGTAAAATTAATAAACTTGGATTTGTATATATAATTAAACTTGAATTGTAAACGTTTACAAATTAAATAAACTTGAATTTGTAAAATTAATAAACTTGGATTTGTATATATAATTAAACTTGAATTGTAAACGTTTACAAATTAAATAAACTTGAATTTTTAAATAGATAAACTTGGATTGTAAAAAATAAACTTAAAGTTGTAAACGTTTACAAATTGTAAAATAAATTAACTTGAATTGTAATTCGTATTAATTAAACTTTAATTACCCCATTTACAATTGTAATTTATTTATTTTGCTAATATTTACAAATGTCTTTACCGTCTTGAAGTTTACGCTTCATATCCTCCGCGATAATCAGCTCGTTGAGTGCATTAACAAGGAATTCGATTGAACCAGCATCGATACCATCAACTAATTTTTTAAATTAATTTTAATAAATTATCTTCCCTCACCCATGCTAACAACATTAGAAATTTCAAATGTGTCAATTGCTAGTTCGGCACGAAATAAATAGTCCAAAAATGTTGAGTTTTGAAGATTAAGTTTGGCATACATATTTGCACTTAGAAACCGTCGGTTTTGTTGTTGGGAAGAGTGCTTTAAGAAAAATACAATTTGTAAAGTAAAAACTACTTTTGTAAAACTTGAATTATTTAAGACTTGAATTATTACAAATTGTAAAAACTTAATTATTTATTTTTTACAAATTGTAAAAAGTTTTATTTATTTTTAAAAATGTTAAAACTTGAATTATTATTAAATTACAAATTGTAAAACTTGGATTATTTATTTTTTACAAATTGTAAAACTTGAATTATTATTATATTACAAATTGTAAAACTTGGATTATTTATTTTTTACAAATTGTAAAAAGTTTTATTTATTTTTAAAAATGTTAAAACTTGAATTATTATTAAATTACAAATTGTAAAACTTGGATTATTTATTTTTTACAAATTGTAAAACTTGAATTATTATTATATTACAAATGTTAAAACTTTAATTAATTATTTATTTTTACAATTTGTAAAAAGCTTTATTATTAATTTATTTACATTTACAAAAGCATCAATTTTGCTTTCGACGAGTACAACAGCCTTTCCACGCTCAAACAAAACAGAAGGGAAATTAATAGTTCTGGTTCTAATTGCAACAACACCATTCGGGAAATTTTGGGAGAGGGCTAGAAAAATAAATTTTTTTTTAAATTAAAATTTAATTTTCTTTGAGAACCTGGAAATAATGTGCCCGCACATATTTCCTTAGCTCCACATTCCGTCCTTAAATAACCAGCAACTTCAGGGTCTTTAATTGTTGACTGGCTTATCTCATAGTCAAATTTCCTGTATTGGTCCATCCAAAAGAAAAGACTGGCAAACGTATAATTTGACAGTTGAAACGAAGCCATCATTTTATTTTTAATTGGAGTAACCCCTTTCTTCCCTCCAACAGAACCCCCTCCATTAATCTGAGTAGGGGATAGTTGGGGAGGAGTAAAGGGAAGACGGAAATCATTTATTCTGTTTTTGCCTTGCCGAAGAATTCCAAAAACGTTTCCGCGGTGGAAAAGAATAATAGAGGAATTGTTTAGATCGTTGTTGGAATCTGGAGGGAGTGTTGTGTTGGTGTTGATGTTGGTGGAGTCAGGTTGGTAGACAATTCCACATAAAATAGGTAGGAGGAAATTAGATTAATTAAACTTGTAAAAATTAGTTAGACTATTACTTATAAAACTTGAATTATTACAAATTGTAAAAACTTAATTAATTATTTTTTACAATTGTAAAACTTGAATTATTTATTTTACAAATTGTAAAAAGTTTTAAAGCTTACATAAGTTGCAAAAAAGTTTTAGGGAAAAATAAACAATTACAATTGTACCAAGTTTAATTAAATTTGTAAAAAAAGTTTCAAAAAAAAGTTTTAAAAGAGAAAATAAAAATTACAATTGTAAAGCTTAATTATAATTGTAATTTCCAAGTTGCAAGAAAGTTTTAGGAGAAAATTAAATAATTACAATTGTAAAAAGTTTAATTAAAGTTTTAAAAAAAGTTTTATGAAACTTGACAAATTACAATTGTAATAATTAATAATTGTAATTAAGTTGCAATAAGTTTTAAAAGAAAATTAAATATATTACAATTGTAATAAGTTTAATTAAAATTGTAATCAAGGTTGGAAAAGGTTTAGGTACACATAATTACAATTATAAAAACAATTACAATTGTAAAATTAATTATATAATTGTAATTACTGTATTAAAAAATTACAATTGTAATACCTTATTAAAATTGTAATTAAAATTTGTAAAAAAATATTACTTGTAAGTCCAAAGTTGAGAAAGTAGTGATCGAATAGTGCTGTACTTAGAGGAGAATTTAGCCTTAAAAATTAAGTAATTAATATATTTTTAAAATTATTTTTACTAACAATCGGTTAGCAACAACAGGGCCCAATTCAGCCACAAAAACAGGGCAAATCATCTGAATTTTATTTTTAATATTTTAAAATTTAAAAATAATATTTTTATATTAAATTAATTTTTTTTCAAATTTTTTTTTTAATTTTTTAAATTTGTATTTTTGCCATTTGCCTCGGACAGCTTCGTCAAAGTCACTTGATGCACTAGAGGCACATATGAACTCAAATTTGCAGCATCTCGGAATAAATTCTCAAAAAGGAGTTCTCCGGAAACAATTCTACACTGGAGAATATCTGTTAAGAATATTTACAAATTGTAAAAAGTTGAAATTACAATTCCGGAAAGGGTTGTAAATTCTGAATTCTAATTTTAAGAAAAATCAGAATTTATTAGAAAATCAGAAATCAGAAAAATCAGAATTTCAGAAAAAGTCAGAAAAATTGGAATTAGAAAAATTAGAAAAAAATCAGAATCAGAAAAATCAGAAATCAGAAAAAATCAGAATTTGTCAAAAATCAGAAATCAGAAGAAATCAGAATTTGTCAAAAATCAGAATTTATCAGAAAAATCAGAATCTATCAGAAAATCAGAATTTCAGAAGAAATCAGAGAAAAAAAAACAGAATCAGGAAAAATCACAAATCAGAAGAAAAATCAGAATTCCGGAAGGTTTTAAAGTTTCCGGAAAATCCCATTTTATTAAATTACAATTCCGGAATTTTAAGACTTGAAAGGAAACAAATTCAAATTACAATTCCAATTTACAATCCCTTTCTTTCCGTAAAATAAACTTGCCTGTTCTCAAATGCCCATCAGCATTCACTCCCGGCCCCAATACCAATTCTATTCTAACTTTTTCTAGCCTAAGAGGAACTTGTTGAGTTGCAAAGAGTTCTCTCCGTTCAATAAGCATTTTAAGTTGGATTTGGGTGTTTATAGCAGCCCGGAATTCACTTCCCTTTTAAATTTATTTTTCTAATTTCTAAAAAAATTAATTTACAATCCAGACAAGTTCCTTTGTAGAAGAAACACCTAATCGGGATTGGAAGGCATTCGAATCAAAATTAACTATATCCAAAGAATTTACAGAGATTTCAACCTCAAAAATGTTTAAAAAATTAATTTAGTTGAAAATTTAAAGGAACATTATGGCTAGGCAAGGGCACAGAAAAATTGTATTGAAGAGCATTAGAACGGGTAAAGCGTAGGACACGCAAACGTAAATAATCTTTAAGCAAAAAAAATAATTAATTAAACTTGAATTACAATTGTAAATGTTAATAAAAGTTGTACAAATAAAATTACAATTAAGAAAAATAAACTCGGAATAAAATTATAATAATTTTACAATTAAAATAGACCTATTACAATTATTAAAATAATATAAACTTTTTTTACAATTATTAATTACAATTGTAATAATTATATTATTTTAATTCTGTTATAAATACCAATTGTAAATGTATAAAATTACAGTTTCGGAGAGTTTTAATAAGGTTTTAAGCTTTCCGGAAAGTTTCAAGTGTTTCTAAATTACAATTCCGAAAAGGGTACATTCAGAAAAATGAAAATTTTAAAAGCTTCCGGAAAGGTTAAGATTAGATTTACTAATTTAAATTGTAAAATTATTTACCTGCGAGTAAGTTTAGGCCAGAGCGGGATACACGGCTTATAATACCTACAATTGTAAATTTTATTTTTAAATTAATTTTAAAATTACAAAATAAAAAAAATATTTTACAATTGTAAAATTAAAAACAATTTAAAAATATACTATGCCTGGATTTTGGGGGGAAGTTGTCTGTTGTTGCAAGAGAGTTGTAGGTTCTGCTATACCTTGCACTTGAACTTGAAAAAAAATTTTTTCTTGGGGAAATTTTTTAAAATTTTTTAAAATTTACTTTTATTATTCTGTTGTGCTTCTGAATTAATAAACAAAACAAAAAATAATTGAAAAATAAAAAAAATTTTTGTAAAAATATTTGAAGGCCATAGTCCTCTTTTTACAAAATTTCTTCTCCTTTCAATTCTCCTTTCAATTTTTTCAAGTACCAAGTATTTATTTAATCCACCCGTTTGGTTAATAAATAAGCTATTATAATCACTTTTAGTTGATAATTTTGTTAACAAATAAAAATTATTTAATTTGTTAATATCATCCTTCAAAGGCTTTGTTCTCTCAATCATCGACCTATTCAAAATTAAATTTTAAAAATTATTTTTAAGTGAAATATCGTATTTACTCAAACAATTACCCCTTTAAACAGTTACTCTAGCCGGGGATTGAACAAATAATTGCCCTCTAAAAATACTTATACCGTAGTCCCATGGACTGATCACCTTTCAATTCTCTTTGAAAAACCACCCTTGGTAATTATTGCCTAGAGCTCTTGCTATAGGAAGTACTTAATCGAGGAAGGGCAATTCTTTGAGGTTTGAAATTTGAGTGTATTGTAGGTGGGGTTGAGCGGGATCAGTATCCAGACGTAAAATCGGGATTTGGAATAATGATCCCGATTGTGGTCCTGCTCAACCCAAGTTGTAGGGCACTTGATGGGGGTAATTATTGCTGGAGGGGTCGGAGAAGGGTGATCATTCTATCAATTAGAAAGGGGATAATTATTCTAGGTAGGTAATTAGCTATTCTGTACGCTAATTACCCCTTTTAAAATCCCCTCAACTAATTACCCCCTCTCTATTAGTTATCCTCCACCTAAGGATTGAAAAATTAATTACCCAGGGTATTTTTGAGTAAATACGGTATAAGAGAATCGATTGTTGTTTAATTTATTAAAATATTATTTTTATTTTAACACAACTAGAAGTTGTGCAATTGTGAGCGGAACTGGTAGAAATAAATATAAATAATATTAAAAATAAAGGGGAAAAGCAGGCCTTTTAATTTTTTTTCTTATACCTCCCACAGAGAGGTGTGGATATTACTTAATGGTGCTTCTATGCGCGACTTTTTTAATGCACTTTTCATTTTTTATAAAATGTTTATTAATCATCTCTGATATTTTTAATTTAATCAATCAAATATACACCTTTTTGGGGGCCTTTGAATTTTTTTTAACGGCTGTCACTAATAATAATGACTAAGACTTGAAGATTAAATAGGACTTTCGAATTATTTCTCTGGCTTAATTTTACGTTGAATCCCTAGATATAGGCCCACAGTTCTAAACTTCTCCTGGGATTTAAAACCTTTATTCATTGACAGCCTTAAATTATAGCACCAAGTCTTAAGGCTTGGAATTAGTCTACTTGGGAACTTTTCTAAAAGCCCGTCCCTAAGAGTTAAGGTTAATCTAAGGGTTTGGACAAATCTGAAGGTCTTTTTAGGAAATTCCTACGATCATTAGACATCCCTTCCTAGTATTCAGAAAAAGTTTAGCAAAAGTTTAGCCACCGGGCAGGATTCGAACCTGCGACCTCCTGACAGCCATTGCTAGGTGCTCTCGCTCACCATATACAGGAGCTCTACCAGTGAGCTACCTGAGCTACCGGTCCCCCGCCTAAACGTTTTAAATGCTCTAGGTGAATCATCTTTCCTAATATTCCTTTATATTACATATGTCTTCAAAACTTTTTCCTAATCAAGGTTTCGAAAGGAAGCTGCAGGCTTTCTGATAGGATTACTGGGTTAGTTGGCTTCCGAAAGGGTCCTACAAATCTAGATTTAATTTTATAAATATTCAAATTTAAACTAAAAACACCAAATAACTCTATTATTGAAATATTACAAAATACGCGGATATATTTAAAAATAGGGGAGGATTAGCGCAAATCTCGTCCTGTTGATTAATGTTCGTAAAAGGAATGAAAGAATGGATTTTTGGAAAGCAGCTGGTTGCTTTTTTTACAATGAAAAAAGAAAGAAAGAAATATAAAGGGGATTTGACGATCAACTATTAAAAATAAAATTGGAAGCTCTACAAGTTTAGAAACAAAATTGGTTGTTGTTTAACTAACTGATTAGCGCAAAATAGAAAAATGGGAGATTAGTTGATTGGGGAATTAATTAGATTTAATGAATCAATAAAAAATTGTTTTGTAAAATTGATAAATTAATTGTGTTTTCTAAAATAGAGCCCCATGGGGTCTCCAAAGCGGGGCTCTATTTAGAGCCATGGGGCCTCCAATGTGGCCCATGGCTAGGGGGGCCTCCTCCTAAAATAGAGGTTAGCCTCCTAAAATTTAGGCCTCCTCCTAAAATAAAGCCCCATGGGGCCTCCAAAGTGGAGCTCTATTTTAGTGTGGGGTTCTAATTTAGCATGGGGCTTTATTTTAGGAAATACGTTATAATAAAATTAATTATATTTTGAGGCAACAGATTTTTAAAAATTAGGCCGGGAGAAGCCTCTACCTAGAAAAATCAAAATACTAGTTGGGGCTGTCGATCGGATAACAAATTTGCCTTGGAACAGCTTCCATGATCAATCTGATCCTTCTGGGTGTGTTTTATAATAAAGATAATGCTCTTTACTACTAGTAGATTTACAAAAATGAAAGCCAAAAAAACATATGAAAGCAAAGGGCTTACAAAATATTATAGCTAATCGACGACTCAAACAGAGGGGTATAATCCTGTATTTAGTGTTTGACCCAGATTTTAAAAATAAGGAAAAATAAAAAAAATTTAATTTTAATATTTTTATCCTTCAAATATTGAAATATTCGTTAAATTTCGAGTAATTAAAAATCATTATTATAAACCTATATTTATTTTAATTAATTTATTTTTTAACTCTATTCTTCTTCTCCAGCCATTAGCTCCCAGAACTCTAGAAAATAATTAAAAATAATTTTAAAAATTCACAGAACTCGGACCTCAATACATATAAGACACACCCTTGGGACTAAAAAATGGTAGCTTATAATGAGATGTCTGTTAAATAGAGGGTATAGCCTAGGAAGCTTAAGATGTTTATTAAATAGAGGGCAAAGCTTAGCAGTTTCACCACTCAAGGGGCACCAACTCTAAAAATGTATTTTAAATTGAAGTTACCTAATATTGGGTTTATCCTAAACAGAGGCAAAATGAGGGGATAATAGAGGGTGTATCTTACATAGAGGTTTCCGATTGCTTAATTCATTTACCTTCAAATTCAATCTTCCCCGAGCCGTCCTGGTCTATATCATCTACAGCACTAGCCAATTCTTCAGAGCTAAGATCTGGGGCTATTTCTTGAAGCAACTCTTTAAGAGTTATAGTAGATATATATCCATTCCCCTTTAATTTTAAAATCCTTTTTATTTCAATTTAAGTCTCTCACTTCCTTGTCGAAGAGTCGAAAAGCCTCGCGAAGTTCCCGTCTAAGCGTCTCCTTGTCTACACTATTTGCAACCTTTTTTACAAATTGTAAATTTGTAAATTAATTAGGATATGTAAATAATACCGTATAAACGAGTGCACAAAACTCGTCAAATTCGATTTTGCCAGATCCATCAGCATCGAATTTGCGGATTAGACTGAGAGAAAATTTCCAAGATTTTTTGAAATTTTTCAAAAAATTTTTTATTTTTTAAATTTAATAATTCCAATAAAAAACACCGTCGCAAGGTGCGTTCATCAAATTCTTGATCCATAGCCCTCATAATTTGGCCTATTTGTGTTGCCATAATATACCCATGATTGTGCTTGTCGAAACGATCAAAAAAACGCTCATATTCTAGAATTGAATTTTTAAAATTATTAAAAAGAATTTTATTAAAAAGCCCTCAATTAAGGAGCCATCAATCTCAGCCAAAATCTCGTCAATATCCTCACGGCCATAAGACGCCTATTAAATAATAATTACCTAATACATAGAATTGTAATCTTAAAACATACCATTTAAGTTGTAAGTAGACAAATTTGTAGAATAAGTTCAATTTACAAATTGTAAAAAACTTTATTTTTTTATTCAACTTTTTACAAATTGTAAAAAACTTTATTTTTTTATTCAACTTTTTACAAATTGTAAAAAACTTTATTTTTTTATTCAACTTTTTACAAATTGTAAAAAACTTTATTTTTTTATTCAACTTTTTACAAATTGTAAAAAGTTTATTTTTTAATAAACAAATTGTAAATTTAAATTAAATACAATTTAAATTTAAATAAACTTTACAAATCAAAATAAACTTGTTTCGCAATTTGTAATAAAAAATAAACTTGAAACTGAAGCAATATAAAAATAAAATATACGCCTACACCTTTTTAACCCCACATGTGGTAAAGCACAAAATTTTCCCTCAGAAAAGGCCAAAAATTGGCCAAAATGTGTTCAACATATTTTAAAATAATATTTTTATTTGATTTGTTAGTTTGCAAAAAATTAAAAAAATAAAAGTTAAAAAGCAAAAAAAGCATAAAAAGTCGAAATAGTGTATTTACAAAGGGAAGTTTAAATTGTAATTTAGAGTTGATATCCCATAATTGTATGTTTAAAATATCCTTTTTTTATTGAAATCCCATAATTCCCATAATTGTCCCATAATCGTAACTTTAATTTTAAATTTAAAATAATTTATTTCTTTAAACAATTCCTCTAATAGTTTTAGTCCCAGCCTCAGCACAGTGTTCTTTCATAACGGCTTCAATGTGACATGCCTTAATTCCCATTTCACACAAATTTGCCAAAACATAAGCATATTTTGTTGCATAAGAATTCTTTAAAATTTAATTTATTTAAAAATTCCCTTCAAAAAATTACCTCAGAAAAATTAAAACAAAATTTATTAAAAGCATGCACTACACGATGATGACACTCTTTATCAGTAATACTTTGTGGATATATATTCATTATCTGTAATTGATCTACAGGATTGCTAACTAATTTTTCCACAATTTGGGTTATTTGTTTTTCCAAATAATGACGCTTCTGTAAAGAAATGTTTTAATTATTTATACAACTTTTTACAATTTGTAATAAAAAGTTTATTTTTTAAATTAATTATACAAATTGTAAAAAATATGCAACTTAAAAATAAACTTTTTTACAATTTGTAAAAGGTTCGAAATTGATTTATTAATTGTAAAATTTTTACAAATTGTAATACTGTTTAATTTTCCAACTTTTTACAATTTGTAATTTATTTTCGAATTAATTTTACAAATTGTAAAAAAAGTTTATTTTTTCAATAAATTATTACAAATTGTAAAATAAGTTTATTTTTAAGATAAACAAACTTGTTACAATTATTAAACTTTGTAAAAATAATTGTAAAATATAACAACACCTTTTTTAAGGTTTGTAAAGCATTTGAAGCAAGAATATCGTCGCCATTACTTTTCAATTTTTGAGCCAGCAAAAATAGGGGAATATCCCTTAAAATTTTGATGAATTAAAATTAAATTTTAATTAAATACGTCTGCGGATACATGGGGTAATCCTCAGGGTTGGATTTACTCATCATCTAAAAATCCAAAATTAATTTAAAAAATTATTTATTATTTTTTTACATTTTCTCCCATTTCATTGGGTTCCTTCGATCCCATAAACTCAGAGACATGTTCATGTTTAATATTCAAACTTCCAATGCTTAAAACATGACTCCTATCTGTTTTATTCCTCACTATTTCGAATTGTTCAGCTAATGTTTCTTGCAGTAAATTTTCCTTTAGAAAAAAATTTTTTTTGTTTAAAAAATTTAAAAAAACGCTGTCAGAATCATCCATCCAATTGACTGAGAAAAAATCACCCAAACAAGCGCCTGGGAGAATTTCTGTTGCGCAATAACAACTCCAACTTGACTCGTTCGCATTAGATGCAGTCATTGCATAAACTTTAAATTTTTAAATTTTTATTGAAAAATATAGACGGAGATATTCATAAATACACCTCTAAGGCTCCGTCAATACCCGTCACCAATTTTCCGATTTTTTCCGAATTTACCAGAATTTACTCATAAAATTATGAGGGTTATCTAATTTTGGAGTATCTATCCTATAGAGAGTCCGACTACCGTATTTACTCGATTAATTCCCCTCCTTCGAATAATTCCCCCTGCTACGGATGAGTTGAAACAATAATCCCCCTCACCCACATGCCCTAATACACGTTCAAATTTCAAAACTCGAATGATTCCCCTCCCTTGAATAATTCCCTATGCCACGGATGTGTTGAAAAAATAATTCCCCAGGGACATTAATCGAGTAAATACGGTATATCACAAATTTTTTTATACTTTTCAGACTCTCCAGCATATGATTATCAAACATAGAGCCAGCTTCACAGGCTTCCAAATAGAAAGTTAATTCTCCATATTTCTTCTTCTTGTGCATTAAAAGCAGTGTTTCAGAAAGACTTTTTACTGTCAGCTAAAGAGAAGTTTTACTTTAAAAAAATAAAATACAAACAATATCAGCGGGAAAATTAATGAATCCAGTAGCACCGTGATCAGAGAAAAAAATAAAAACTTTGTCGTTTTTTGTGCTTAAAACCCAGAATTTTTTTCAGAATTTTAAAATTATTCCGATACCTCTCCAGCACTCGTTTGCCTCCAGTTTTTTCCTTATCTCCCAGCAGAACTGCTATAAAATTTTCTGGGGTCACATCTAACCCTTTGTAGTCAATACGAACACCTCCATACACATCACGTCCTTCAGGACTATTAAAAATTTTGCCCTTGTATGGATTCCTTTAAAATTAATTTAAAATATTTAAAAGTTGCTAAAATACGTGCGTATTTAATTTTTGTATTTTCCGGAAAGAATACTTTCTGGTATTAAATTGTATTGTGTAAATTAATTTAAGCCAAATATTTTCCGGAATATTTTTTATTATATTTTCCTGAAGTATTGTATTATATAATATTTTCCGGAAGGAATGTAGGAGAGTTTTATTTTATTATTGTGTTTTCCGGAAGGAATAATATAATCTACATTTTCCGGAATATTTTGTATTTTATTTTTTTATTGTATTTTCCGGAAGGATTTATATTTTTTAGTGTATTTTTCGGAAGGAATGATATATTTTGTATTTTATTTTTATTGTGTTTTCCGGAATAACTTATCCGGAATTTTGTTTGTATTTTTTCTTTTGTATTTTTCCGGAAGAATAATTGTATTTTATATTTTTATACCCTTATAGGTATATAGATTAAACTTACTGTGTATTGTTTGCAATATCATCATACATCATAGTAATAATATTTTCAGGATTAACCCCATGATTTATAAGAGTATGCCATGCATGACACACATCCGCTTAAAACAAAATTTTTTTATTTTCTTGTTAAAGAATTTTTTAATTAATTAAAAATTTATTTATCTGATGTCTATAATTCTTCCATCCAGAAGACCCCGCAACCAAAACTGCCCATATATTTCCAGATTTTGGACGTTCAGAAATTATTGGACGTTCGGAAAATTTTTTCTTTTGTAAACTTGAATAGAAAAATAATTAGAAAATTTTTTTAAATTTATTTTACCCTGTAGAATAATTTATAATGGAAAATAGAAGGGGAATATACAAAAATAAATTGACCATAATTATCAAATTAATTTTTAAAAATATTTCTAAAAATTTTTTTATTTTTAAATACAATTTTTAATTAAATAATTCAGAATTAGAATTAAATAATTCAAATACATGGAGGTGCTTATAAATGAAAAATAATTTATTTTAATATTTATTTATTTAATAATTGGCCACAAATGAGGTATATTTTTGCAACTTTAATTTTAAAATTGAATAAATATTTACATGGGGGTGCTAATTTGAAAATTAAAAATTAATTTTTATTTATTAATTTTCTGTTTTTATTTATCTATTTACTTAAAAATAATTTTTAATTTATTTTTATTTAAAAATTTTTTCAAATTTGAAAAATTAAAATTAGATTAATACATGTGGGTACTAATTTGAAAATTTAAAAAAATACATAAATTTTATTTTTATTCATTTATTTGCTTAAAAAATAATTTTTAATTTTTTATTTTAATAATTTTTATTTATTTCATTTGCATAATTATTGAAAAAAATTTATTAATTTATTAAATTATTAATCTATTAATTTTTTAAATTTTTTAAATTTATTAATTTTTAAAATAATATATTTTAAGTGAATAAATTTTAAATTAAAAAATTAATTTTAATAAAATTTCGGCGAAATCTATATAAACCCATTAAGGACTGCTTATTATAGAAAATTTTGTGGCCTTTCAAATATGCCTAAAATAAACTTTATCAGAGAGACAGTTTTATTAACAAGCCCTCTATTAATATTATGTTTAAACTTGTATATAGTGAATTGTAATTTCAAGTTCATTTTCAAATGTATTATTTATTTATTTATTTATTAGGGATTGCAATTTCAACTTTATTTAAAATTAATTTATTAATAATTGTAAATTATTTCATAATCAAATGTAAATTTAAGTTTATTTTAAAAATATTTATTTCTTTAAACAATTCCTCTAATAGTTTTAGCCCCAGCCTCAGCACACTGTTCCTTCATAACTGCTTCAATTTGACTCGCTTCAATTCCCCTTTCACACAAATTTGTTAAAACAAAAGCATATTTCATTGCATAAGAATTCTTTAAAAATTTAATTTATTTTAAAAATTCCAAGGGGAAAATTACCTCAGAAAAATTAAAACAAAATTTATTAAAAGCATGCACTACATTATGATGACATTCTTTATCAGTAATACTTTGTGGATATATAGTTATTGCATGTAATTGCTCTACAGGATTTCTAACTAACTTTTCTACAATTTGGGTTATTTGTTTTTCCAAATAACGACGTTTCTATAAAAAAGTTTAATTTATACAACTTTTTACAATTTGTAAAATTTTCCTGTATTAATTTTACAAATTGTAAAAAATGTATATCTTAAAAATAAACTTTTTCACAATTTGTAAAAGGTTGTAAAATTGATTTATTAAAAATTGTAAAATTTCTACAAATTGTAATATTTAAGTTTCCAACTTTTTACAAATTGTAAAAGAAAATTTATTTATAAGATAAATAAACTTGTTACAATTTTTACAATTAATAAAATTAATTGTAAAATGTAACAACACCTTTTGTAGTGTTTGTAAAGCATTTGTGGCCATAATATTGTCTCCATTACCCTTTACTTTTTTTGCCAGCAAAAATAGGGGAATATCCCTTAAAATTCATTTTAATAACATTACAATTTAATTCTATTAATTAAATACCTCGAGGGATACATTGGGTAGTCTTTAGGCTTGGATTTACTCAACAACTAGAAAATCCAAAATTAATTTAAAAATTATTTTTACATTTTTTTTCGTCTTTTTGGGTTCCTTCGATCCCATAAACTCAGACACATGTTCGTGTTTAATATTCAAACTTCCAAAGCTTTGAACATGACTTTTGTCTGTTTTCCGCCTCACTATTCTGAATTGTCTAGCTAATGTTTCTTGCAGTAAATTTTCCTTTAGAAAAAACTTTTTAGTTCTCATAGAAATATCAAAAAAACTTTGTCAGAATCATCCATCCAATTGACCGAAAACAGATCACCCAAACAATTGTCTGGGAGAATTTTTGTGTTGCAATAACAACCCCAACTTGACTCGTGCCCATTAGCTGCGGTCATTGCATAAACTTGGAATTATTAAATTTTTTATTTGAAAGTACATATAAAGCCGGACTTTGTTAAAAAAATACTGCCGGACACCCCTAGAAACCGAAAAAAATATCTTATAATTAGAGGAGTATGTTAAATTATTGGTATGATAGTCAGTTCGCCCTCACCAATTTTCAGAATCATAGGAATTTTTTTCAGAGTATCAGGATTTAAAATCGTAGTCGAGAGGGGGGCATTTAGGGGGATTAGGTATTTAGGGGCATCTAGTATTAGAGAGCTCTGACTGTATTTAAGCGATATTTACTTTTCAAACTTTCCGGCATGTGTTCATCAAACATAGAGCCAGATTCACACGCTTCCAAATAGAAGGTTAATTCTCCATATTTCTTTTTCTTGTGCATTGAAAGTAGTGTATCAGAAAAATTTTTAACCGATAGCTAAAGAGTTTTACTGTAAGAAATTGAAAAAAAACCAACAATATCCCCTGGAAATCCAATTAATCCAGTAGCACCGTGATCAGTGAAGTAAATAAAAACTTTGTCGTTTTTTGTGCTTAAAAATCAGAATTTAATCAGAATTTGTCAGAATATTTTCAGAATTTTTTCAGAATTTAATCAGAATTTGTCAGAATATTTTCATAATTTTTTCAGAATTTAATCAGATTTTTTTTCAGAATTTTAAGATTCTATACCTTTCTAGAACTCGTTTTCCACCAGTTTTTTCCTTATCTCCAAGAAGAACTGCTATAAAATTTTCTGGGGTCACATCTATACTTTTGTAGTCGATACGAACACCTTCATACACATCATGTCCTTCAGGACTATTGAAGATTTTGCCTTTGTGTGGATTTCTTTAAAATTAATTTAAAAACTAGTAATCGTACATATTTTACATTTTCCGGAAATAATACATTCTAGTATTAAATTGTATTGGTTACTGCATTACTTTTTTATATACATATACATCTTTTCCGGAATATTTTTTATTCTATTTTACTACGTATTGTATTTTATAATATTTTCCGGAAGGAATTGTTGGAGTGTTTTATATTATAATAGTATTGTGTTTTCCGGAATAATTATTTAATTTTTATTGTATTTTCCGGAAAAATTTATATTTTAGTGTAGTTGTATTTTCCGGAATATTTTGTATTTCATTTTTATTGTATTTTCCGGAATGATTAATATTTAGAGTGTATTTTCCGTAAAGAATTATTATATTTTATTATCTTGTATTTTCCGGAAAGATTTATATTTTTAATGTATTTTCCGTGAAGAATATTATATTTTATTTATCTTGTATTTTCCGGAAAATACAAAATACACAGAATATTTATCCGGAATTTTGTTTGTATTTTTTTCTTTTGTATTTTCCGGAAGAATAATTGTATTTTATTATTATTTATATTCTTATAGTAATATGTTTATAAATTAAACTTACTCAATATTATTTGCAATATCGTCATACATCATAGTAATAATATTTTCCGGATTAACTCCATGATTGATAAGAGTATGCCAAGCATGGCACACATCAGCTTAAAACAAAACTTATTATTTTCTTAGTTAAAAAAATTTATTTATCTGATGTCTATAATTCCACCATCCAGAAGACCCCGCAACCAAAACTGCCCATATATTTCCAGAATTATTTTGACGTTCGGAAAATTTTTTCTGTTGTAAACTTGAATAGAAAATTAATTTTTAAAAATTAATTTAAATTTTTTAAAATTTATTTTACCCTGTAGAATAATTTATAATGAAAAATAGAAGGGGAATATACAAAAATAAATTGCCCATAAATTTCAAATTAATTTTTAAAAATATTTCTAAAATTTTAAAAAATTTTTTTTAAAAATTTTAAAAAATATTTATAAACACAATTTTTAACCATTTATTAAAATTAATATTTTTATTTTATAAAATTAATTTAAAAAGTTGTTGCATCATTTCAATGAGTAAGGGCGTTGTCTATACTTACTCATATTTATAGGTAATTATCAAAAAATTAAATAAGGATCTGATAAGAAAATACTAAAAATATTTTAATGAAAGTATGAAGAACTGATAAGAAAATAGGCCATAATTGAGAAATATTTTTCAAATTTTAATTTTAAAATTAAATAAATACATAGAGGTGTTAGTTAAAGAATAATTTTATGAAAAGCTAGTTAATAATTAAATTATATGTTATTTCGAGATTTTATTATAAATTCCAGGTATATGATATAGTGATGAACGCTATCGTATTTGCTGAATAATTACTTATACTCTGGCTAATTATTTTTTTCAATCTCTAGCTTAAGGTGTTAATTACTCGGTGGGAGGGGTATGGGAGAGGTCGATGGGAGGGGTATTACTCCAAAAGGAGGTGATATAACTAATTTAGGGAGAAATATTACTCGAGGGAAGTTGGAGGGGCAATTACTCGAGTGGGGGGGGGGGGCAATTATTCAAGGGAGATTAATTAATCGAGATGGAGAGCGATTTCTTGAAGTGGGCAATTAATTAACCGTGGGAGGAGGCAATAATCTATAATATTTAATTTAAAAATAAATTTTAAAAATATTCAATTAATTTCCAAAATTTTCCTAAATTTTAATTACCCCCTATTAAATTACAATTTTTAAATTATTTTTAAAATTTTCCCTTAACAAATTAAATTAAAATCAGGTCAATTTTTTTACAATTACTACGCTAACCTATATAAAAATATTTTTTTCTTTTACACAAAAATATCTCTATCAATAGTTAATCAAGGTCATTTAATTATTTTTACGACTATTTTTTACCCAAAAATTCCAAAAAAAAATAAATGCTCTATAAAATAATAGGAGCTGCTACAATAAGTGTTTCTTCTATTTGTGTACTGGCTCAACTACTTTTGCTTCCATGGCTATATCGTTATACTGTTAATTTGAGGAATGATTTTGAAAGTCGGTTGAGGAAGTTTCATGTAAGAGAGAAAAAAATTTTTGGAAAAAATTTTTGAAAAATTAAAAAAAATTTCTCAGCACAACACCCGCCAATTTGACGAACAATTTCAACGTTTGAGACGATTAACTGGAAATTCTTTAACCGATTTCCAACATGAACGTTCCAAACGACAACTACAAGAATGTCCCCCACCAAGAGTTGGGCCACCTGGGTTACCTGGGGGGTTTGGGGAGGATGGGGAAGCTGGGACTGCAGGGGAGGATGGAACGGCTGGATTGGATGCAATAACCCTTTTGTTACAAGAAGCACAGAAATGTGTCATTTGTGGGTTTTTGTAAGAATAATTAAGTAGAATTTAAAGTTTTTAGGCCCTCAGGGACCCGTTGGACCGATGGGCGCGCCTGGACAGGTAAAATAAAAATAAATCTCTTAAAAATAATAAATTAAAGCAAGGACTGCCTGGACTAAAGGGGGAAAAGGGAGAGACAGGAGAGATTGGCACAGACGGAATTGACGGTGAACAAGGACCTGAGGGAATGCCTGGTTTGCCTGGAATAGCTGGAAAGCCTGGGAAGAGAGGGCAGCCTGGAGCGCCCGCGCCAGGGGGTACAGGACCTCCAGGACCACCTGGAGTTAAAGGTAAAAGACTCGACAGGGCTCCTCAGGATTTTCCAAAAAATATTCTAAAACAGGTCCACCCGGTACAACCGGAAAACAAGGAGAAACAGGCCGGCGCAATTTTGTAGTTGGGATGCCTGGAATGGATGGAAGGCATGGCAAGCAGGGTTTGGATGGATTGGAAGGGAAGCCTGGGATTCGTGGGGAGAAGGTTTCCCTCTCTCCTAATTTATTTAACAAATTTTCTTAAAGGGTCCTCCGGGAGAGGATGGCGCCGATGCCCGTTTTTGTCCATGCCCTTCAGAGTTAAACAAACTTGGGAGCGGAGGGGTAATTCTGACAATTTTTTAAAAATCCTGAAAAATTTTAATTAAAAAAATAAAAGATCCGGTCACATTTGTCATTAAATAATCCTTCCCCTCCACCTAAAATTTCAACTTCAACAACAACAATAACAGCTTCCTTCAATAAAGATCAAGAATTACCCCATAATGGGGTTATTGAAAAGGAAGAAGTAACAAAAAAAGAGGGTAAATAAAATTAAAAAAAATTTTTAATTTAAATAAATTTAAAGCAATCAAGGAAAAATCAGAAGAAATTAAAAATTCAACAACCGAAAATTCAAAAATTAATTTAAAAATTTCTCATTTGCAATCGGGAGCTAAACCGACAACAACTAACGGGGAAGAGATAAAAATAAGTTAAAAAATAATTCTGATTTTAAAATTAATTCTGAAATTTAAAATTCTGATTTTTTAAATTCTGATTCTGAAATTTATTAATTCTGATTTCAAGTTTATTTTTTCTTTTTCAAGTTTTATTTAATAATTCTGATTCCAGAAATTCTGATTTTGAGTTTATTCTTTCTATCTAACCATGTTTATTTAAAATTCTGATTCTGAAAATTCAATTATTAATTCTGATTATAATTCTGATTCTGAATTCAAGTTTATTTTTTTCTGTTTCAAGTTTTATTTAATAATTCTGATTTTAAAATAATTAATTCTGATACTTCAAGTTAACAACAAGTTTCTTTTAAATTCTGATTCTAAAATTCTGATTTAAGGTTTTAAAGTTTATTTGTTATTAATTCTGAAATTTATTAATTCTGATTCAAGTTTATTTTTTCTATTTAACAATTTTTATTTATCAATTCTGATTCTGAAAATTAATTAAACCTTAATTAAAACAAATAAAATTTCAGAAAATTCAGAATATGAAGACGTCGCCTATCCTAATTATGAGAATGACGGAACAGAGGGTGAAGGCATTAAAGAAAATAAAGAGACTTTATTATTAAAAAATAAAAAATTTCAAAAAATAAAATTTGATAATGTTGAAATGAATTTGGATGGAATATTTACTACAACAAAACAACAACAAACAGAAGAAAATAATAATGAGGAAGAAGAGAATGATGAAGAAAGTGATACTACAACAATAGCTACAAGAAGGTTGGGAAAAATTTCAGAATAAATTTAAAAAATTTTCAGATTTGTTTATGTTACTAAAAGGCCTAGACCGAAACTATAAAGAGGAGAAAATAAAAATAAATTCTGATTTAATGTTTTATATATTTAATAATTCTGAAAAATATTAATTCTGATTTAAGGTTTATTTTTAATAATTCTGAAGGTATTCTGATTTCATGTTTATTTTTCTGTTTCAAGTTTTATTTGATAATAAATTCTGATTCTGAATTTTATTTTTAGTAACTTCTGATTTCAAGTTTATTTTTAAATAATTCTGAAAAATATTAATTCTGAAATTTATTTATTTACCATTTATCCTGATTTTAAATTTATTTAATTCTGGTCCGAAATTAATTAATTAATTCTGATTCAAAGTTTTATTTATTAAAATTCTGATTCTGAAATTAATTCTGATTCCAAGTTTATTATTTTCCTTTGTGTCAAGTTAATTTAAAATTCTGATTCTGAAACTTATTCCCATTAAATTCTGATTTTAAGTTTATTTATTAAAATTCTGATTCCGAAATTAATTCTGATTAAATTCTGATTTTTTTAAATTTATTTCAAGTTTATTTTTATAACAAAAAATTCTGATTTTACGTACTATTAGCACCAATTTCTTCTTCTCCCTCTTTTTTTCTCTTTCCAAACGCTCCAGGAACACTTCCATCCAAATTTCTTTTTTTAATTTTTTTCTTCTTTTTACAAGAAAGTGGATTTGGTCCCTTAGCTTTTCTTTTTCGATGTTTTGGTTCTTCCCCTTCTCCCAATTCTATTTTCCTTAATTGCTTAATTTTTTTAATTTCATCAGGCTGATTTTTTGTTGTTGTTTCAGCTGCTAGTTTTTCGGAATCTTCAGAAGGCTAAAAAACTTTTCTTAATTTTTTAAAAATTTTTTAAAAATTCAAAAATTTTTTTTTAAAATTTATTTTTAATTTTAAAAATAAAGTTCCTTTTTGTAATTTTCCAAAAAGTCCGCAACTTTTGTCCGCAAATCTTGTTTTTTTTAATTTTCTCGAAAATTTTTCCTGGTGGCCTAAAATTTTAAATCCCTTCCCAAAATAAAAAAAAAATGGAATTTTTCTTGAGAAAAAAAAATAAAACTTGCGGAAAAAAGTTACTGACTTTTTTTAAAAATAATTTAAGGACCTTAGGAATATTTTTACCCCCTTTAAAAATCAAAAAAAAATTAGAAACCTTTTCCAACAAAATAGCATTATAACGAATTGACATTAACGGAATCCCTCCCAATATTCTCAATTTTTGTAGCAATTCTGCATCTTGTGTTGCAACAAAATAATGAATTAATTTTTTCTTTTCCGAATTTTGGGAACGTCTAGCCAAATGAGCTATACAATCAGCAGCTGAACGAAGTGGGCGATGGGGGCATTTGGCTACTTTGAACTGTTGGGCAATACAAAGGGCGCCGTATAAAGGCTTTCCGAGTTGTTCTAAAAATTTTAAAATTTAATTTTTAAGTTGCGGACAAGAATTTGCGGACAACTAACAATTGAAATTGCTTTTATGGTAAAATTCAATTTAGTTCCCCCCTCCTTTTTCCTTCCTCAAAGTATTAAAAAATGGTCAGTCAGTCTTAAGGTCAACTTCATGTCATAACTTTGTCAAACCATGTCTAATCACGTTGATTTTGTTGTCAACGACACAGCTCGACGAGTTCTATAACTTAAGACTGACTTACCATTTTTTAATACTTCGAGGAAGGAAAAAGGAGGAGGAACGAAATTGAACTTTACCGTATTCCCAAAGAGTATTCCACTTAATTAACCGAAAAATGTTTCAAAGATAACAAAAATTAATTTAATTTAGACATTTAATTAAAAAATAAAATAATACCCAATTCATTCAGCACACATTCAGTCACAAACATTTCCAAATTTTCGTCCCTCAAATATTTGGGTAATTGTTCTCTCAAATTAATTTTACATTTTAAAGCTTCCTGACAAAATGTTCCATCCAATAAAATTGAATAGGGAGGGATATAGCCAAATTTGTAACGAAAGAATGTGAGGACACGGGAAGCTCTTTTGAGGCGTTTTACTTTCATTTATTTGCTCAAGGCTTTGGCTTTCTGAAAATAATGGAGAACAATTAAATTTAAGAAAATCCGCAAAAATTTTGCGGATTTTCTAAAAAATTCCAGGTAATTTTTAGAGATCGGCCTGAGTCTGGACCAAGGCCTGGGTTCATCCTAAACCCAGAGTTCAGGCCCAGACATTTTTTGACCTTCCTGGGATTTTCCTTTTCCTGACTTTTCTTTTTTCTGTTTTCCTGGTACAGAAAAAAACCCAGGATCCGGCCCAGGTCAATAAAGCAAACCGGAACCAAAAACAGACCCAGGCTTTTCAAAAATTCCGATCTCTAGTAATTTTTAAAATCTGCAAAACTTGTCCGAAAATATCTTTAATCTCTAGAAATTACCCTACCAAAAATTATTAACATTTGTTTTAAAGAAAAATTTTATGAGGGTTCTCAAAAGAAAATTATTTAAAAAATTAAACCTTACATTCTTTTTAAAACAAATTAAAAGTTTTTCAAATTCTGCTTGGCAATCACCTTTCCCAACTTTTTCAGCTTTTAAAGACACACACTTGCCGTAATCTGCTGACTAAAATTATTTAAAAATTAATTTTAGAAAAATAAAACCTCTTTACTACAAGAAGCCAAATATTCTGCAAATTTAAGTAGACGACGTTGCTTTTCCGGCATAAAATAAATTGCCGGGTATTTAATTTATGTAAGTTTATTTTTAAATTTGGCCTGAAAAATAAAAAAATTTTAACTAAAAATCGATTAGATAAGACAGAAAATTTCTGAAAAATTCAATCAATAAAAAATAACAGAACGCCATAAATTTATTTTTTATGGTGACATTTCGTCCAGCTGACATTTCGTCCATTGGGACAAAATGTCACCAAAATTTTTTTTTCATTTTTTCTTGTTTTCTTATTGATTTTTTAATTTTCTAGAAATATTTTAGCAGATGGAGATCAATCCAAACAATATTATTGGACTATTATCCCAAGTATTTCCTGATTCAAACAACAAAACACCAGTTAATTCGACTGAACGTAAATTGGCTCAATCACTTGCTGCAGCAATAAATAATTGGAAAGAGGTTGATGAAGTTGGGGAGGAGGTTTTGGAGGAAGTTGCTGAGTTAAATGACAACTTAGAAGAAGAAGAATTGCTTTCGATTGAAGACGACTTGTCGGAGGATTCAACAAAACAAGGTAAACAATTTTTCACAAAAAATATCGATTGGGTGGGAAGGGGAACTCTCTAGGCTAAGGTGGTTCCTGGAAAGCTTAAAACGAGGTCCAACTGTATTTTTACTTTTTACCCCAGAAAAAATAAAATTCAGAGGAGGCAATTGAAGATGAAGATAGTGGTGATGTTGAGGCTTTTGCTGAAGAAATAAGTAACCAGAAAGAGGAGGAATCTGAACATGATTTGGATGAAACTGCTTCCTTAAATGAAAATAATGGAGAGGATGATTCACTTTCGATGGCAGGCAATTTGTCAGTAACTTCAACAAAACAAGGTTAAATATCCTTTTAATTTTTCTTGAATCTTAAATTAAGAGGAGCCAAATGAAGATGAAAATAGAGACGATGTTGGCATTTTCCGTTCGTTTGAAACAATGGGATTAAAGAGGTTTGTCTTTTTATAAATCGGACTCTGTTATAAGGCACACACTGAGGCTTAAAATTTGTCTCCTATAATGGGGCACATTTAAAATAGCGGATAACCTGTGACATTCTTTCCCCACCAGGGATGTCACTGATTATCCGAACCGCGGATATTTTAGACCTGCCCCGTTTTCGAACCACAGGTGACGTCAGACTTTGAATTAAATACATGTTTATACAACTTTTTTCAGTGAACTGCTTCGTGGAATTTATTCTTATGGTTTTGAGAAACCCGCAGCCATTCAACAGCGTGTTATCAAACAATTTATAATTGTTTACAAATAAAAAAAGATTTTTTAATTTAAAAAAATTTTTAGGGACGCGATATTATTGCCTTGAGTCCACCTGGTACTGGAAAGACTGCTAGTTTTTGTATTGGTTTACTTCAGTCAATTTGTATGTATCATCGCGAAACTCAAGCTCTAGTGTTGGCACACACCCGTGATGGTGCTGTGAACATTCAAAAGGTTTTTACTTTAAAGATAGGACCTAGCAAGGGCGTATCTATGGGGTTGGCAAGGACGTTCCAGGGGGCTAACGCTAGAGCTTTGTTTAGGTAAAGTATTTTGACGTTTTTCTCCCATTTTGATATTTTAGCGGTGTTTTGGTATTACGCCCTTATCGTTAAAAATATTTTTTAGGCAATTTTGGCGATTGGTGATTACCTAGATGTTCAGTGCCACGCGTGTGTTGGAGGCACTAATATTCATGAGGATAGGCGCAAACTGGATTATGGACAACATATTGTTACTGGAACGCCTGGGCGTGTTTTTGGTTTTTATTTTTAAACCTTTTTTAAGCTTGCTAAAATCAGTCTTTCTATTTTGTAAGATATGATTAGACGTCGCAATCTACGTACTCGTTCAATTAAATTATTGGTTATTGATGAAGCTGATGAGTTGCTTGGAAACTCATTTAGAGAACAAGTTTATGATATTTATCGTTATCTTCCACCAAATGCTCAGGTTTTTATATTTCTAATTCTAAAATAAAAAATTTAAAAGGTTATTTTTGTCTGCTCAAAATCGACTCCAGATTTGGATGAAATGGCAACTCGTTTGATGACGGTTCCAGTTCGTATTGTTATCAAAAGGTTTGGGATATGTTAATAAATCAGCTGAGGATATTTGGATCCTCAGTTTGGTCCAAAGTATCTGGACCAATCTGTGGATCTACTGGATTCCTAAATTTTCAAAAAAAATTTTCTTGAAAATTTTCCCTAAATTTTATACTTTTGGAAAACAAAATTTTTTTAAAAATTATATTTAGTGATATAAATGAATGTGCACAATTTTATATAAATGCAAATCCAAAAGAATGGAAACCCGACATATTATTTGATTTGGTTGACTTAATGGATGCTACACCTATAGTATTTTGTAAGGATCGAGAAACGGTCTACAAATTTTAAAATTTTTTTTAAAAATGTTTTCAGGTCAATATGTTAAAAGAAACGACGGGCGATGAAGCTAATTGTTTTTGTTTGCATTCTGGATTGAAAAGAAATGAGCGTGTTGAAATTATTAAAAAGTTTCGTGAAAGTGATGAAAGGTTTGTTATGGTTAAAAAATTTCTTTTCCTTTTTTCATGGAACAGGGATGGGACTAGTGCAAAATAAAGTTGGGTTTTAAGCGATTTTCCGTCTTTAAAGCAATTTTCCATTTTCAATTAAGTTTGCTAATTTTAATTAAAGTTGCGAACTTTTTCGAACATAAAGCAAACCTCAAATTTTTTTCTAATTTTTCAGCCCCGTTTTGATCACCACTGACATTGACTTTCATGGCTTAGATTTACCAAAGTTTCTTTTAATGATTAATTATGACGTGCCTGATGAACTTGAAATTTACATTGAACGAATGAACCGTGCTCGTGGGTCTTCAGCGAGTTGTGTAGTAATTAATCTTGCTGAGGAGAAGGATATGCCGTTTATTCAAGCAATTGAAAAACAATACTCTATTAAGGTTGGAAAAGATTTGAAAAGATGCGGACTTTTTTTAGCGGATTTTTCTCTACTTTTCTCATTTCTACTTTCCCTCTTGCTACAATTATGTAAAATGAATTACAATCTTATTTACGTAAATTATTTTTATATTTAACATAGTCCAAGGCAAACGAGAGATAAGATAGGGAGGAGAGAAGCTGTCCGCAAAAAAAGTCAGCAAATTATCAATTAAAGTTTAAAAAATTTAAGATGCAAGAAATGCCTTTAAAAGACGTAAAAGAAGAAGTAAACGAAGAGGTTTAATTAGCAAATATAAATTAAAAAAAAATAAAATATAATTAAAAATAATTAAAAATCTTATTCTAAATTTTATTCAAAATTTTATTTTTAATTTTTTCGGAATTTTTCTAAGTAAATTTTCAAGTTTTGTTTTTGACCATTTATTCCCTTAATCTCCCTCATCCTTCCTAACACTAAAATAAAATAATCCCAGAATTTTTAATATTTTATGAAAAAAAACTTTCTCTCTCTGTCAATCTCTTATCTTGTGGACGACGAACAAAACAAATAGAAAAATATCCTGGCCATTATTTTATATATTAATGTTGATTTTATTTATTTTTTTTATTCTTCGCGCGAGGAAAGGAAGGAAGTAGTAGACGATCATTGTTCTTTTCTCTTTGAGTTCTTGAAATAAAGGTGTTGGATCTCTTATTATTTACTTAATATATATTTTTCCTGAATTTCCGTGCATTTTTAAAAAATCTTTTTTAGGGAAGGATTTTATTATTTGGATTTTTAACGTTCTTTCTCTCAAGACAATTATATTTATTGTCTTTAATTGGTAAATTTCTGTCATTGTCTTAACAACTTATTCTTGTTGTTTTTTGTTTTGAGCTTTGTTTTTCAATCTTAGTTTTTTGAAATTGGTATATAAATTTATTATTAGATTAAAAATTAGCATTAATTTAAGGACAACTTTCTTTCTTGCGGATTTTCCCTTTGGATTTTTATATGCAGACTTTTTTACTTATGATCTTCTTTTGCGGATTCTTACTAAAATTTTTATCTTGTTAAGCATAAACTAACATATTTTCAAGATTCTATAAAATAATTCTACGTCTTTCTACCTATAATGATAATTCTTTCCTCTTCATTTTTTCCTTCATTCATCTTGATTCAAAATCTTTTCTTCATTGTTGTTGTTCAATCCCAGCAAAAACAATTTGCACCGACTAGGCCAAAATCTCAACAATTTAATCCCCCTCAACAACAAGCCCAAAAGTTTATGAGTGCCCCACAATGTAGATGTAAGGATTTGGATGAATGCGCGGCGGAAATTCAAAAATTGGTGGAGAAATGTAAAACGGAGTGAGGAGTTTTTAAATAAAATATGGCCGGATGTCGTTTTTAGATATCACCTTGGGGCTTAAAATTATGTCCCTTATAATGGGAGTGTATTAAATCGAAAGTATTTCCTAGACGTCTCCACCCATTGATTACCTTATAATGAGTATATCTCAAATAGACTACTATTGGGTGTCTCTTATAGTGAGGTTAAATGTTAGGAAAGGGAGAAGAGGGCTATCTTGTAGCGAGAAGTACAGAAATTAATTCAAAAAAATTTTTAAATTAAAAGACCAAAATGTGAGGCACATTTAAAGAAGATTGGTAATGTCCAAAAAATTCGTCAATGCCTGGCTGATGAACAAAAACAAATGGAAAAGCTGGAACAATGCGTAGAGAAGAAAGTTGGGGGCCCAATTGGATGCACTAACGATCTACATCCAAAAAATTTAACCGTTCCAATAATTCCGGAAATGGAAATGATGGATAATAGGAGGAAAAGAAGTTTGTTGCTTTCTGAAAATCCTGGGAAATTTTCTGGTTGTTCTCCGACTTTGCCTGAATTGAGGAATAAAAGAGGGACGTTGCCTCCATTGCCGGCTACTGTAAAAAAATTTTGAAAATTAAAAAAAATTAAATTTAAAGCAAGAAGCTGGACACGCTCCCCCTGAACTTAGCGACTTTTTAATGTGTGTGGATCAGTGTGCTGTTAAAGCTGCCTCCCCAAACTCGGCACCGAAACTGTGTGCAACTCGGGAGGGGAATATGAATTGTGCTTTTAAATTGAAGTGAGTTAAGAAGTTATAATGTCGGACCTTGATTATTGGTATACCCTTGGGACTGAAAAGTGCCTCTTATAATGAGGTGTTTATTAGATAGAGGGTGTCTGTTAGATGACTCTTTGACTCAGTGGCCAGTCAAATTTTAAGGACGTACCTCTTGAGGTGTATTAGTGTTTGGTGGTGTCTTATAGAGAGGTTTGACTGTTGGGTGTCTATTAAATAGAGGGTGTCGTTTAGGAAGCTCTATAATTTTCCTGAAAAACGTTCCGGAATTATAATTAATTATTTAAGGTGTGCACTAGCTCCTCCCGATGACCGCCAACAAAAAGCTTTCGACGACTGCGAGCAGCAAATGCAATTTACCCCACCTAAAAGGTTAAAGAAATCTTGTGAGTGTCTTAAAGCGGCTGGAGTGAAAATTGTCTGTCCAAAATAAATTTTTAAATTAAATTTTTAATAATTAAAAGAGATTAATACTAATATATTTATACATTTACCAACCTTAAAATAAAATTTAAAAAAATTTTTTTAATTAGTGAAAATTGTTTTTAATTATAAAATACTCAATTTAAAAGTACTATAAAATAAAAACGATTAAATTTTTGTACTTTTCTCCTTTCCTTTAAATTTTGTTTTGTTTACAACGGGTGGCGCCGTTATAGCGGGTGGTAGTTGGTAGTCAGTTGAGTCGGAACCTTGTAACTCGAGAACGGGTGAAGCTTTTAAATTACTTTAAGCAATGATAAATAGAGAATTGAATGGGCTACAAAATGAGGGAAATTTCAAAAATTTTGGTTTCCAGGAAAAAAAGTTGTGGTCGAAAAATAGACAAAAATGACCATTTTTCGACGTTTTTTCGATGTTTTTCGGCCATATTTTTTCCCCTCACCTAAAATTAAATTTATTTTTGTATTTTATAGACAATTTAATTCTCTATCGTCTGGTATCAAAATAATTTCAAACATTTATCCTTTCCAAACTTATAAAATTTTAAATAAACCCATATAGTGACTCAACTACGCTATTCAATTACAGACACAAGACTGGGGTAAACACACAATAAATAATAATGGTTGGACAAAAGTGAAAACAGTCTCTACTATAATAACGTCTCTTTTTTTACTATTCTCGATTTCCTTTATTTTCTAAAAAAATTTTTTTTTATTTTTTCTATACACGCGCACAATAAATTTAATTTTCCCCTCCTTTCCCCTTCAATTTTTTTTTAATTTCCCCCACATCCCCCTCAAAACTAATTTTTTTTGTACTACAACAGAAAGGGAAAAGAAAGAGATATTTGTGTGATAAAAATAAAATAATAAATATCTAATTAATTATGGGTGGTAATTAAAAGGGTTGTGGGTTGGTTGATAGTTCCGAAGTTATTATTATTGACAGATGATTTGGTTGATATTTTTGTTTTTGTATTAAATTTACAAAACAACTCTCTTTCCCTTTCTCTTGGCCGAATAAGCACTAAAATTAAATAGTTAACACTTTGAAATATTTTATTACGTAATACTCTCGACTCTCGTAATAAGACCGCTAAAATATTGGCATTTCCCAGCCTTACCGAACTAACCATAGTCAGTTCATTTCAACTCCGATTCTGAGCTGACATATTAATTAAAGTGTAGAGACAACTGGGAGTCTTCTTATCGAGACATTTTTAAATTCCCAAAATTCCCTTAAACTCACTACGATATTTAGTGATGAACTGACCTTTTAATTTGTTCAAATTTTATTCTCTCAAACCGACTACGGTAGTTTGTGATGAACCGACCTTTGATTTTTAATAATTTAATAAATAAAAGCCTTTTCATCGCCAAATCAAAAATTTTTTTGATTTTTGAATTTTTCTCGTTTTTCTTCTGGAAATCCTCTACCCCTCCGCTACTTGAAAAATTTTTTTTTCAATCCCGGACCTTTACCTAGATCTGGCATATTTTTAATTCTTTCTCTCCTCTTTCCTCCCTTAATTTTCTTCATTCAAAAACAGTTTTATGTATTCTGGCCACAAAAAATTCACATAAAAATAAAACAAAAGCTTTGACTGACTACATATATTTTATTACCCCATACATTCTAAAATACTTTCCATTAGACAGTGAAAAACTGACAGAGCGCCAGAGGCCAATTTTGTGAGATGGCCGGGAGAACCCCTCAAAGTCTTCTCCTCCCGACTATTTACTATATTTTTTTCCAATTTCACAGGCACACTATTTGGCCCAAACTCTAAGTACACTTACTAGAAATGTATTATAATTTTAAGGGGGAAGCAGCACAACTGTTTCGCCTTTTTTCTCAACTGTCTTTTCAATCTATCCCCCAACTGTTTCCCCCACAACTGTTTCCCCGTTTTTTTTACATTTTCTACTGTCCAAGGATTTTTCGGCGCCGCTGGAATTTTTGCGGAAATAAAATTATTGTTTTGAAATTATTTTTCTTAATAATAGTTTAGTGCTGGCAATTGACAGCCGGTAGGCCATTTTCTTCAATAAAGATAATACCTCCTTTTAATTAGTGAAATCGGGCCTTATTATGAGGTCTCCATAGAGGAAGTAAATTATATCTCTTATAATGAGGTGTGTGTTAAATAGAGGGTATTGCTTGGGCCGACCCCACCCAATGACTACCTACATCCAGTGACCTATTAAATAGAGAGGCTGCCGACTGTGAAATATATACCCTTCGAAGGTGCAAGTAGGGAACTATTTAGGTGTCGATTGAGCTCAGAACAGAGTCAACCATCAACCCAGACTTTAAAATTATTATATTTGGAACCTTTCCTACCCTATTATTACTTCCAAGCAGCGCCGAAATATCCCCACCCATTTCGATTTTCCTTCACATCATCCGCCTTACTTTTCTCTCTCATTTTCTCCCATATATTCCCCATTCTCGACAGGGCAGTCAGTCCCCAAATTGCCAACAGCTTACAGCTTTTTGAGGCCAATCAAAAATTTATGCCGAGTGGAGGGAAAAGGGAAAGAAGGATCTGTTTGCGTGTGCATTTGTTTGGTAGCTGGAAATTTATGTTTATAATGGTTGTCATAAATTGTTAATTAACAAAACTATTTTTGCTAGTCAGTTTAATGAAATATTGGTGTTGAATCTCGAATTAAGAATCCTTTTTGGACGTCAATCCTAGGAGAATTTGGACCCTTTTCCAAGAAGTTTGACCTGCTCTTGCCATCTTTCTCGTTTCCCTCCTACTTCTACTCCCTCTAAAATAACCCTCGATTGGCAAATGTCCAGTTGATGTCCTACCTGTCCGCAAAATGGAATGCGTACTTTTCTTCTCTTTTCTTGCATTTTTCCCTCTATGAGTGGCGCCCGATTTTTCCTTTCTATAGTATACTTTTTGGCACTTATTTGTTAGAAAAAAAGAAGGAAAATAATTATAACTAGGGTTGTTCACGACCGGATTTAAAACCGGAATTTTTGAAATTTTTTGCCTAAAATTAACCACTTTTAGAAAATTTTAAAAACCGAAAACCGGGGGTACCGGTTAATAACTGGTAGTGAACAACTCTAATTATAACAATGAAAATAAATATATTTTATAAATGATCAAGGATGAAAAATTTGGGATAACATTCTCAAATAGATTTCTAGAATACCTGAGATATGCTCTCCATTAACGAATTAATATTTTAGATTTTTTCTTTGATTCGATCTTAAGATCTTTATCGTCAAAAAGGGAATCTAGAATTTTTGTCGTGAAGTATTATTAGTAGGACAAGGAAGAGACATATTCGAATTTTATTGATCAAAGTTATGTTCACACTTTATAAGTATTAATCATTAGTTCTTTATTTTCATTGTTATACATAATTATTTTCCTCATTTTTTTCTAAGTGCCAAAAGGTATACTATGTATAGCAGAAAAGGAAAAATCGGGCGCCGCTCATAGAGGGAAAAATGCAAGAAAAGGGAAGAAAAGTACGCATCCTATTTTGCGGACAGGTAGGACATCAACTGGACATTTGCCCCCTCGATTTAACGACCATCCATTTTTTCGGACCCTTATAGTTGCTTATATCGAGATTCGACTACCTCTAGGTTGTACCCTAAAAATTTTTCCAAACGGAACTCTCCTTCCACGATTTCAAGAGTCAATTTCTGCTTCATTTTCCCTCACTTTCTAATATGTAGGATAATCCAAAGATTTTCCGCTTTCCAGAATTTTCCCCCTCCTCTAAGCAAATTCCCCTATACTTCCCAACAACAAAAACCTCCTCCTACATTGTATTCTCAATGAGAAGAACAATAAAAATTCAACCAGCCGACTATCTACCAACCCTTTCTACACTAAAAATTTGTGCCAGCGGCAGTCCTCCCTCCCCCTCTTTTTACAAAATGTGCGTAATGTATTATTTACTATATATCTACAAACAGGCGCAAATAAGAGGCACAAACATTCATCACACAGGCTTTGGCCACAGGCACATTGACAAGCTTTAGAAAAAAAAATTTTTTCATTTTTCTTTTGTGCGGTTTTACATTTTTCATTGTGTGCCCTCTCCTATACTTTGTTTGTAAAATGCAAATATAAATTTTTTATTGAGGGATAAATTTAAATAAAAAATTAAAAGGGCGATTTAAAGGATAAAAACGGTCAATTTTACTTTAAAAATTTTTTTTGACCATTTTGAACCCTTGAAATTTAAAAAATTTGTCATTTCGACATTTTTCAGCTTTAAAAAGTAAAATACGTCCCTTTCCTTAATTTAAAATTTTTTTTACCATTTTGGTCCTTTGACGTTTTGTGACATTATGTCATTTGGCATTTTGTCGTTTTTCCACATTCCTCAATTTTTTTCTTTGTGTGTGTCCGGGACTGTAAATTAATTTTTTTCTACAAATCTTGACTCTCCAAAATTATTTAATACTAAAAATAAAAATATTGCCGGTCGAGATAAAAATCCTTTTATATTTTTCCTGGTTATTTTCTTCGCAGATTTTCCCCTTTCTTCTATTTATTTTTTAACCCTTTTACTAGCTAATATATATATATCCGGATATATTCTTAAAAAAGATATCTACACGTATTTATCGTTTCGGAGATTGTGTAGAAAATTAATTTTTAAGGAACAACAAAACAACAGTTTATAGTCTTTGTATTTATATTTATATAATTTATTTTTATCTAAAAAAATGTTTTTTATGTAGTCAGAATTAATTTACTGGAATTTATTTTATTTATTCTGAAAAGTGTTTATTTTATTTCTGATTTGTATTTTTCTTGTATTTTTTATTTTATTCTGATTTTTATTAATTAAAATTCTGATTTGTATTTTGTATTTCTTCTGTTTATTAATAATTCTGGTCTGTATTTTCTTTGTGTTTTCCGTTTATTCTGATTAATTAATAATTCTGATTTGTATTTTCTTTGTGTTTTTCTGATTATTTAATAATTCTGGTTTGTACTTTCTTTGTATTTTCCGTTTATTCTGATTATTTAATAATTCTGATTTGTATGTATTTATTCTGATTGGATACAATCTCTTCTGTATTTTCTTATTTTTATTCTGTTTTTTGTATGTATTTTTCATTAATTATTTATGTATTTTCCTTTTGTTTTTCCCATTTTACAATCATTCCTAAAATACATTAATTTTACAAAAAATTAGATCGCCTAGAAAAACAGATGGTAAGGAAAAGAAATGTGTTTTTAGGAAATAAATAAATCCACAAAATGGCCAAAACCCACAGTCACAAAGTTTTATATGTGCTTTAATGTGCTGGGCCTCCTGGCGATAGTTACAACAATTTTTTATTGTTTAATTGATTTTTCGCTAAATTAGCCTAGAAACTGCTTTATCCTTTTTATTTTTTGTATTTTTTTGTATTTTTGATTTTGTGTTTATTTTGTATTTTTATGTGTTTTTAAAAAATTCTGATTCTAAAATTCTGATTTTTTAAAAAATTAATTCTGATACTTAAAAATAAATTCTGATTTAAAAAATTTATTCTGATTAAAAAATATTTCTGATTAATTCTGATTTTTAAAAATAAATTCTGATTCTTTAAAATTAATTCTGATTTTCTTAAAAATTAATTCTGATTTTTTAAAAATTAATTCTGATTTTCTAAAAATTCTGATTCTAAAAATTTATTCTGATTCTTTAAAATTAATTCTGATTTGTATTTCTTCTGTATTTTTCCATATTTTTGTATTTTTCAAAATTAAATTTAATCCTTAACTACCCAAATCAATAAACCTCTAAAATATGCGCCCCCACATTCCCAACTGTCCCCTTTTTTCTTTACAAATCCTTTTATCCCACAAACATATTTTCTAATATCGTTTTTGCCTTCAAAGCCTGTCAGTTGATGTATTTTCTTTTTCTGTCTTTTTGTCAGTTAAATGTGTACAGAGCTCCTCTATAGTCAGTCAGTTTTAGAGTTTTCCTCTCTTCGCACAGGGCCAAGAAAAAAGCTTTTTTATTTTATAGGCCAACAAACACATCCCCTCTAGGCAGATCCTAAAAATATAGTCAAAAGGCACCTTCTGTCAAAATTTTTGTTCTTATTTTATTTTTAAAATCTGTGTGAGAGCGATAGAGTTTGTCCAAAGATCCAAGGATTTTTTTTGTTTACAGATTTCTAACCCTAAAAATTATTTAAAAAATTTATTTCTCGATTTATTCCCGATTAATTCTATACAAATTTAAAAAATATAAACTGATAGATTTTTAAATTTCTAATCTTCCCTTAAACTCACTACGATAAGTGGTGATGAACTGGCCATTGAAATTGTTCACTTTTACTTCTCTCAAACCAACTACGGTAATTTGTGATGAACCGACCTTTTGATTTTTTAATAAATTTAAAATTAAAGGCCTTTTCATCACCAAATCAGAGGAAATTTTTTTACATTTTAGGGTTATTGGTTTCGAACCCCGAACTGAAAATTAAAATCAGTTTTAGCTGATCCAAAAATTTACTTAAAGCTGTAAGGAGCAGTCTAGTCCACCACGAGCTTCACTCAGTCTCAGGGCTATAACTTCGGTTAAAGTTTTCGTATTCGGTGCGGTTTGGTATTAATCGATACCTCTACAAGGGCTGTATTGAATCAACTAGTGCTACCGGGATTATAAAAATTCTTGACAAAGTTATAGTCTTTCTATGGAGTGAGGTTTCAGGCGGATAGAAGTATCTCCAACCAACAATCTTTATTTAATCCCTCATTTTTTTCAAGATTAAATAAACAGAAAATGTCTTCCTCATCTCCAAATTCATCCTCCCCTCCATTATCTACATTCAATCTTCAATACGAAAACAATTTAAATATAATAACTTCACTAAATACTTCCCCAAATATCCCAACAACCAAAGCCTTTGTTTGCGAAATTTGCAACAAAGCTTTCCGTTTCCGTTCAAATCTGGCAGAACACCGATCTGTCCACACTGCTGTTAAGCCTTTTGTTTGTAAATTTTGTGGAAAGTCGTCGAGGTTGAAAGGGAATTTGACCAAACACATTCTTAAGCATCACAAAAATGAACAGAGGGATTATATTGGGACGGATGATTATATTATTAAAAAGGGCAAAAAATCTGTGAAGGATCCGGCGGTGGGTAGAAATATTTTTTGTTTTGAAATACAGTAGGACCTCGGTTTATAGATACCCCTTTTTGAGCTGAAAATTTTTTTCTTATTTATTGCCCCATCTCCTCCCATCAGGTGTGTGCCGAAATAGATTTTAAAAAGCGATAAACAAAAGGCGAAACACCAAAGATTCAAAATTCGGCATATTGCCCCTGTCCCCCACACAATGGTCGATCCAATTAAAAAACATATTAAGTAAATAGAGGAGTATTGAGGGTATCTTGTAGGGAAGTAAGATGCTGAAATAAATTTCTGGAAAATTTTCTTTTGAAGGCAATTGAATTTCTCGAACGTTCAATGATTGTGCTCAATAATTCCTCTAGTGCCAATAATGCCAAACAACGAAATTCTAAAGAATCGGATTCTAAAGGTAATCGAAAAATTCGAAAAAAATTCAAAAAAAATTCAAAAATTTTTTTAAAGAAAGTTCGGTCAATTTAGACAACAATGACAATAATAATGAAATTAATACGGATAATATATTTAATTCTTTGGGATTTAATAATTCTTTTGAAATGAAAGAAGAAGAAAATAATGATTGTGAACAACAAGCTTCTTCACCTTTGACACCAGAAAATGAAAATAATAAAGGGGAAGGTCGGAAAAGTATATTCTGAAATATAAATTCTGATCTTTAAAAATGAATTCTGATTTTTAAAAATTTATTCTGATTTTTTAAAAATTAATTCTGATTTTTTAAAAATTAATTCTGATTTTTAAAAATTAATTCTGATTTTTTAAAGATAGATTCTATTTTTTAAAAATTAATTCTAGTTCTTTAAAAATTAATTCTGATTTTTAAAAAATAATTCTGATTTTATTCTGAAATTAATTCTGATTTTTTAAAAATTAATTATGATTTTCTAAATTTAATTCTGATTAAAAAAATAAATTCTGATTCTAAAAATTAATTCCGATTTTTTAAACATTAATTATGATTTTAAAAAATAAATTCTGATTTTTAATAAATTAATTCTGATTTTTAAATTTAATTTTCAGAACAAAACGTTATGTCAGTTGTCGCTTTAATGGCTGCTGCAGCTGCTTCTTCTTCTTGTCCTGCCTTTTTGGAGAATAATACAAATGAAGAGCAAAATGAAGACATGGAAGAGGACGAAGAAGAAGAGGAAATTGAGGCAAATAATTTTTAAAAATTAATTTTAAAAAATTTTTAAAAATTTTTTAGCCGCTAACAAATAATCCGGACATTTCAACGCCTCAAAATAATTTTAAACAAAATTACAATAATTTTAATAATATTCAAAATGTTCATCAAAACAATAAGGATAATGCACCAATTAATAATAATGCAGCTTCTGCTGCCTGTAAAGCATTATTTCAACAATTGTTTGGGGGAGGAAATGAAGCTTGTTAGTTTAATGTTTTATTCTGATAAGAATTCTGTTTTGTGTTTTAATGAAATTCTGATTTATAAACTTGTTTAGATTAAATACTGATTTATAAATAAAACCTGTTTAAGTTAAATTCTGATTTTAAAAGATGTTGTAATTTAATTCTGATTTAAAAACTTGTTTTAATTTAATTCTGATTTAAAAACTTGTTTTAATTTAATTCTGATTTTTAAAACTTGTTTAGATTTAATTCTGATTTTAAAATAAAACTTGTTTTAATAGAATTCTGATTTTAAAAGATGTTTTAATTTAATTCTGATTTTAAATAAAACTTGTTTAGATTTAATTCTGATATTAAAATAAAACTTGTTTTAATTAAATTCTGATTTTAAATTTATTTTTAGCCAATTCACAACCAAATGAGCAACTTCTGCGTTTTCTATCTCAAATAAACGAAATGACACACTTATCTGATTCTAACACCCAGCAACAACAAAATAAAATTAAAATTGAAGAAACAATAGTGCCTAATATTAAAACAAATTCATTTTTGTCAACAAAATGTAAACAGTGTGGCAAGAGCTTTCGGAAACGTAAATTAATTTTTAAGAATTTTTAGAATTTTTTCTGAATTTTTAAAAGTGTTTTTCTGATATTAGAAATTCTGGTTTGTATTTTTCTGGTTATTTTTTGGAGTAATTTTCAGAATTATTTTTCAGAATTAATTTTTTCAGAATATTTTTCAGAATTTTATTTATTTTCAGAACTGTATTTTCCGGAAATACCTTTACTTTCTGATTTTTGTATTTTTGTATTTTTTTTGAATTTTCAGAATATTTTAAAAAGTATTTTTTTGATATCAGAAATTTTGGTTTGTATTTTTCAGAATTATTATTTTTCAGAATATTTTTCAGAATTTTTTTTCAGAATTTTTTTTCAGAATTTTGTCTTTTATTTTTGCATATTTTTATTTTTTCTTGTATTTTTTTAAATTTTTTAAAAATTTATTATTTCCGGAAATTACACTTGTATTTTCCAAAAATAAATTTTTATTTTGCCGGAAATGCCTTTAAAATTACCCGACTTTTTTTGTGTTTTGCTTTTAAATTTTTGCACTTTTAAATTTATTTTTACAAAATTCCACTCCACACTATTTTTAATAATTTAAGCGCGCGACTTGCTCTCACATCTGGCTACCGCCCACAAGCTTGTAAATGGCCAAGACAACAACAACAACAACAACAACATGTTTCCTAATAAACAGGCACAGACAGACACCCCCTCCCAACAATCCTCCCCTTGCAACAGCGTTTTTTCTGCTTCAACAGATTTAAAATCCTCAAATAATTTGCCAGAAATTTTGGCTATTGAACTCAAAAGACTCCGAAAAACATTTTTTAATTCAAAAAATAATGAAGAAAATGGGGGCCAATTAAATTTAAATAATTCCGGGAGTCTTGTACGCGTCGAACAAATTTTGGGGCAGCTCGATTCGCGTGTTTGTCGGCTTGAAAAACAGGTGGAAATGGCATTGAATAGGTAAGAGTTGATGGAATATTCTGTTAGAACTTGGGTAGTTTAGGAGAACACCCCATTAGACCCCGTTATTCACCTCATTTATTCATTAAGTTAAGGACCAGACTGGGAGTGTCTTACGAGAATCGGGATCCCGAAAAATTCTCGATCTCGATAGCCGAGATTCAATCGAGATCTCGTTTCGGTCCAGTATATTCACTAAGCTGACTAACTCACCCCATTTATTCGCTAGCTAACAATGGGCCTATTTTATTGAGTATTCTCTATGACCGAGATAATTAAAATACCGTAAATATTCTAATAGAAGCCCATGCCCTATTAGAAGCCCAGGGGTATTGAAAAATAGAACCCAGGGCTTATATTAGGATACTTACGGTAATTAAATAATATTTCTGTTAATTTTCCCTGTTTTTTAGTATCTACACACTTGTACAGCTTCAAACGGGAATAAATAACAATATGAATAAATTGAACCGTTCATTGACCAATTTTCAGAATAATGGCCAAAATAATAACAATACCCAGTGATTTAATTTTTGTTTTTAAATTAAAAATCCCTCTCCCAACCCAGAAACTTGCCCAATAAATACCCAAAAAAATCATTTTTTGCCATAAATTGCCAAAACTGCCATTTAAATATTTTTGCCAAATTCTAATATTTTTTAAAAATATTTTTGCATCTTTTTTTTAATTGTTTAATTTGCCATATTTCCGCCAAATATTATAATTTTATGCCCAGTATTGATATTAATTTAAGTGTTCGGATTTGTATTTAAATAATTATTGAGGCGACTTTTATCTTTTCAATCCTGGACAAACTCAGAAGTGGGTCGGAATTCCAAGTTCCGAGTTTTGACTTCCAAGTTCCGACGTTTTTTTCCTTCCGAGTTCCGAAAAACAATTTTATTTCCGACTTCCGAGTTCCAACTTTTGAGCCAGTTCCGATTTCCGGCTCTTCCGATTTCCAACACCTCTGCCTGTTCCGACTATTTCTGGGCAAAATATACAGCTCATGGACAGTTCATAGTACCTCAGTCTTTTGATTTTTTGACATTATTTGACCAATTATTTGGGCAGGTTAATAAACAGGGGGTGTTTTTGTGCCTTATTTCAATACAAATCTGGACACTGGATATTACTATATTTGTTTGAATAAAATTACTTTATAAACTATATAGTAAGGGCGAGGTACAAATTTAATCTCGGGCAGGGTTTAAAAACGGGACGGGGTCCATTTAATAGATCTTAAACCCCCGCCTAGTCAGTAGAGCTTCGCCGGAAGTTCCGGTTACGGTAGGCCGGAAGTCCGCAATTTTTGGTTCCGGATCCGGTCAACTTAGCGGTTCCGGCGAAGCCCTTCTAGTGAGCGTTTTAACTGCTAACCAGCTGTCAGAAATTCGAGTCACAAAGAAATTATAGCCACATTTAGCCTATACTAGACAGTCAATATTTAATGCATTAATTAAATTAATTATTTAATAAAATTTAAAATCAATTTTATTTAAAATTTAAATTAAGGCTTGTTTAATTTTAAAATTTTTTTAATAAAATAAAATTTCTTTTAATTTAATAAAATTTTTTAAAATAATTTTTTAAATATTTTTAATAAAAGATTTTTAATAAAAATATTAAAAAAAATTTTTTCAAGCTTTTAACAAATTTTAAAAATAAATAAATAATTTTCTTCTATTTTTAAATTAAATTTCGTAATAATTTTTTGACTAATTTTTAAAAAAAATTATTTTTGGGGCGTCTTTTTTCCCTCTTTTGTTTTTGCCGCTTTTAAATTTTAATTTGCTTTTAAATTTAGTTAGCTAGTCGGGATAGCCTTTCATTTTAAAAATCTATAAGAAAAAATTTCTTTTTAATTTAAAAAAATTAAAAATCAAAGAAAAATATTCAAAATGCGTCTAGCCATATTTATTTTTATTTTATTTGTAATTATTTTTGAGGAGAGTTTGGGAGGTAATTTAAATTAATTAAATAATTTATTTAGTTAATTATTTAAAAATAAAATTTGAAAATTTTATTTTTGGCTCTACTGCCAGGATAAGAGTCCCATTGATACGGGGGTTCTATTAAGCCTCAAGGCTCCAACAGCGGATAAGCCATATGAACCCCGGGATAAGAGTTCCATTAACCTTCCATTAATTTAGTTTTATAAACCTTGGCTTAGTTATACGAACTGAAAATCAAGGAATATTCCACTTGCCTATCCGTAAGACTCATAAACTGAAATAGAGCCTAATTTCATAATTTTTTTTTAAAATTTTTTAAATAAAAAAGATGAGCAAAAACAACGACCTCCCTCAGCCTACACAAGCCTAACTTCACTCGGAGAAAAAAAATTTGAACGTCAACCAAGTGAAAGTGAAACAAACACTGGATATATACTTACAAATTTATTAAAAAATTTAAAACAATTTTTAAGCCTTAACAAGCCTTCAGTTTATAATGAGGAAAAGCCGAATGATAAGAAAAGACGCCATAAAATAGAGAAAGAATTGGGGAAACCAACATCGGAAGAAAATTGATAAAAAAATTATTTTGTTGTTTTTTATTGTAACAAAATTTGCGGAAAAAAATTTTTGCGGAAAAAAAATTTTTGCGGACAAAAAATATTTGCGGACTAAAATTGCGGACTAAAATTTGCGGACTTTTTCTTTTTTTTTAAATTTTATTTATATATTAATTTTTTGTTCGTTTTCTTGTTATGTAAAAAGACATTTTGAAGCTTATTATATTATAAATCTTGGAACTGAAAAATCACATCTTATTGAGGGGATATGGATTAGAGGAGGTGCAGTCTAGACAGCACCTCCCTACAAGAGGTATCCCGAATGTTTTTAAAAGATGAGCGGTGAGTCTTAGGGTCTAATTTTGGTCCTGGGTTCGTTTCTCGTGTCTTGGAAAATTTCCTTAAACATCTCAGGAAGATCTTCTCTCAAACATCTTAGAGACTGGGATATCCCTGCTACCCCTACTCAGTGTGACCAAATAATTTTTAAAATTTGAATATTAAAGGAAGCCGTTGTGTTAATATGTATAACGTAATTTGAGTGGTTTTTCAACGCAAAACTTAAAAAACTTTTTGTAATTTATTTAAATTTTATTTCAAAAATTATTTCAAAATTTTATTTTAAAAATTTAATGCATTAAATAAGATAGATAAAAAATCAATTTAAAAAAATTTTTTTCTTCCCAAAAATCAATTTTTCCACCCCCAATAAAATTTTTTTTATAAAAATCCCCCTCCACAAGCCCTTTCAATTTAACCCACTTCCGTTAAAATTTTTCTCCACCTTCGTCAATTTTTCGATTTTTTCAAAAATAAAAAATCCCCCCTCCCCCTTCACTCTCTTTGTTTGAATTTATCAAAAAATATTTTTTGTTAAAAAAATTTTTTAAATAGAAAAACTCCGCCTATTAAAATTATATATTTTTTATTCATTTTTAAATTTAATTTAATAATTTTTATAAAATCAAAAAAATTTGCGGACAGAAACTTGCGGATAAATAATAAATGCTTAATAATTAAGAATAAATAATAATTAATTTCTTTGAACCTCCCAGGAATGACAACGGGGGATAAGGTGGATTTAGAGTGATATCGAGAACTTAGAGCTGAGATGGCTTAGAGTTGTTCATGTTTATGGACCGTTAGATTGAAATTTTTATTAGACCTAAAAGCTGAAAAACCCCTTATGCCCTAGTGACTGAAAAAATATTTCTTATAATGAGCGTAGATTAAATAGGGGGTGTCGTTTGGCAACTCCTTCAAGGGATATAGGGGATTTCTGAGAGATATCCGAGGCATAGAGAGACATTTGGAGGGATATCTGGGGCAGGAGGGAGGGATATCTAGGAGAGAGGATATCTGGAGGGAGGGATATCTAGGAGAAAGGGATATCTATTTGAAGGGATAAAGGGATATCTATTTGGAGGGACTCCTTCAAGGGATATAGGGGGATTTTGGAAGGATATCTGGGGCATAGGGAGACATTTGGAGAGATATCTAGGGCAGGAGGAAGGGCTATCTAGGAGAGAGGGATATCTAGGAGGGAGAGATATCTAGGAGAGAGGGATATCTATTTGGAGGGATATCTCGGGCAAAGAGAGACATAGAGTGGTTTAGAGCCTTGAGAGGCTTATCTGGGGCATACAAGCTTATCTGGGGCTTAGAGCTTTTCGCAAATATTTGTCCGCAAATATTACAATTAATTAAATTTTTAATTAATTATAGAAGAATTTATTAAAAATTTTTTAAAAAAAACATTTCAAAATCCAATCAAAAAACTATGTCAATTCCAAAAACTTTAAATATTCTAGTTTTTGTTATCATCGTCTTAAAATGTGTTAATTGCATGGACGAAAGTTTGTTGTTATTTTAGAAATATTAAAAAAAATTTTTATTTAAAGTTGAAGAGGTGCCTGAAGAAGCACCTTTACCGGGCAAGCCTTCTTCGAAAAAATCTCCTAAATTAGGAGGTCCAAGTAAAGCCAGTCAACATCATTCAGGCCTTAGAGTTGAAGTGCCTGAAGAAGTACAAGTACCACTTTTGATGAACAAACCTTCGAAAAATTTTCTGAGAAAAACTCAGTCAAGTGTAGTGGAAGGCAATCAACAAATGTCAAGCCCTAAAAGTGATCATCATCTTTTACGAACACAATCGGAACCAAAACCTCACGACTACATGTCCTTAAACTCTCCCCACTCTCCATTAAACAAATCTCCTTTAAAGAGACAAGCAAGCCAAAGTTCAACAAAAATTGGTTATTTAGCTGCTCAATGTGGGAATTGTTTGAATGATGTTGTAACTTGCTATGAAACCTGTGTAGGGAAAGGAAAACCGGAAGGTTATACAAGTGAGGGAGAAGTAGAGAAGAAACTTGAAGAAAAAAGGAATGTTTATTATATCCCCTAAAAATTTTTTTAAGAAATTTTGAGGAAGGAGGGATAGTTGAAACTGAGAAGAGAGGATGAGAGAAAACACACAACCTTTATCTGTCTTTTTTAAATTTTTTTTTTAAATTTTTTTTCTTGGGGTTTTAAAGATTTTTTATTGAAGATTCAGAGATTCAGTATACGATATATTATCGTTAGTTTTTTATTATTATGTGATTACCGTAGATTTGAAGAGGTACAGGCGAATCACGATATAACCACCTCAAAGTGACCGAATTAAAAGGTCTATTATTTCGAGGGGTCCGTTAAATAGAGGGGTCATTATATGACACATATGAAAGATGTCAGTTAAATTAAAGGGTCTTTGAAATCGAGGGGTTCCTTATTTCAAAGGAGTCTTCAAATCCAGGAGTTTGTTAAACAGAAGAGTCGTTATATCGAGGTTCGCCCCTGTATATAGAGATATATTGAACGTTGTAATTCTTTTTTTGGAGTAAAAAATTTAAAAATTTTTTTTTTAAATTTTGTCGGGTGCAGAACATTAATTAACATTTCAATTTGTAATTAGAGCCCAGTTACAGCCTCAAAAATTTCTGGAATTGTGGAAGGTTAATTGCAAGATTCTTATAAAATTGTTGGAAGGCCCAAATAAATTTCTTCAAAAATAATGACCATTATTAGGGGTGTAAACCAGCGGGAGAGGCCAAAAATGCCGAAGAGGAACGCGGAAGCGGAAGAAAATGCATCCCTGGTATATAACGGGGTTCTAGAGTAACTAGCTTCTTCAAAAAATTTATTTATTTAAATTTTATTTTAATTTATTTAAATTTATTTAATTCATTAAATAAAATTGACAAAAAAAATTTTAAAAATCAATTTCCCTCTCCCAATCAATTTTAAAAAATCCCCCTCCATCACTCCCTTCTATCACTCCCTTCCATTTCCGCCCACTCTCACACTCACCCCCCACTCCCATCCCTCCACCCGCACTCCCATCCCTCCACTCCCACTCCATCCCTCCACCTGCTCACCCCCACCCCCACTCCCTCCACCCTCACACTCACTCCCATCCCTCCATCCATCCCTCCATCACTCCCTTCAATTTCCGCCCACTCTCACCCCCATCCCATCCCTCCCTCCACCCGCACTCCCATCCCTCCACCCGCACTCCCTTCCCTCCTTTCTCTCCTACAATTCCGTCCATTGTAACGCGTCCAAAATAAAAATTTACCTCCTCTCTCCCCCTCCACCTTCTCCCTTGTCATAAATTGGAAAAAAATTTTTTCTGCAAAAATATTTTTTAAATAGAAAAACTCCGCCTATTTCCTCCCTTGGAAATGAAGGGCGGGAATTTGAAATTCTTTTTCGAGCCCAGCATAAATAATGAAAGAATTTTATATAATTTTATTTATTTTATTTTAAATTTAAATTCTTAAATAATTATTAAATAAAAATTAAAAATTAATTTGCGGACAGACACTTACGGATAAATAATAAAAGCTTCATAATTATAGCTTCATCAAATAATTTATTAATAAACAAAATTAATTCTTAATTTCTTTCAGCCTCCCAGACATGATATCGAGGGTTATTAGTGGAGTTGGAGAGATTTCTGGGATTTAGAATTAGATGGCTTATTAGAGCTTATGTAGATGGCTCTAGGGATTAGAGCCTTGATGTTAGAGGTCCGATTGGATTGAAATTTTTATCAGCAACTCTCTTAGCCTTTAAAAAATAGAGAAATCTAACTGCGTGCTAGTGACCTGAGCCCAATCTTAGCAGTCGGACCTCATTACAAGATCCCCATTGGGACAGAAATTTGTATACTATAATGAGGTGTGTCTTAATTCCTTTCAACTTCACGGGCGTATCGAGGGGTTTTGAGGAGCTGACATGGCTTAGAGCGTGCCCGCTTAGAGATACTTAGAGCGTGTCCGCAAATACTTGTCCGCAAATTTCAGATAAATAAATTAAAAAATTAATTAATTATAGAGAAACTACCAAAAAATCTTTTAAAAAATTTTCAAAATCCAAACAAAAAATTATGTCAATTCCAAAAACTATTTTAAATATTTTAGTTTTTGTTGTCATAGTTTTAAATCTTGTTGATTGTATGAGGAACAAAGGAAGTATGTTTTTTGAAAATAATTAAAAAAAATTTTTTTAATTTGAAGAAACGCCTGAGGAAGTACCAAGTTTACCGAACAAGCCTTCTTCGAAAAAATTTCTGAATTTAGGAGGTCCAGGGAAAGACAAACAACAGTCAGGGCTTAAAATTGAAGTGCCTGAAGAAGTACAAGTACCCCTTCTGCAGAATAAACCTTCGAAAAAATTTCTGAGAAAGACTCAGTCAAGTATAGCAGAAGGCAAACAACAAATGTTAAGCCCTAAAAGTCATCCTCTTTATCGAACAAAATCGGAACCACAGTCTTCCGGCTACACGTCCTTAAACTCTCCCGGCTCTCCTCTAAATAAATCTCCCTTAAAGAGACATGCCAGCGAAAGTTCAACACGTATTGGATATTTAACTACAACATGTGGTGATTGTATTGACGGTGTTGTAAATTGTATTGAAACTTGTAAAGGAACTGGAAAACCGGAAGGTTATACAAGTGAGGATCCGGAAGTAATAGATGCTAGGCTTCGTGAGATAAAAGAAAACGAGAACGTTCAGATCTTATTTTAAAAATTGTGAAGAATGTTTGAGGAGGGAGGGAGGGAAATGAGAGAGATGAGAGAGAGGGAGATGAAAGAGAGGGATGAGAGACACAACCTTTATCTGTCTTTTTTTTAAATTTTTCTTTAAAATTTTTTTTCTGGATTTTTAAAAGATTTTCTATTGAAGAATGTCATTATACGATATGTTATCGTTAGTTTTCTAAAGTAAAGATTTTTTAGTTTGAATATTGTTGGATCCAGAACAAAATTGTTTCACCCTCAATTAACTCTCCCTCAACTGCCCTGGAATTTTGAAACTTAAATAATTTCCCTTCACGGAAAAAAAATAATTTAATTACCCCCTGTAAAAATGTGTACAACGGCGTTTCAGTCCCGAGGGCTATTTTGGACCACCTGTATTTAGTCTAAATCATTCTGAATAATTCTTATACCATTCGAAGGCCCAAAGTTTGTGGATTATTTTCCCTAGGAAGATTTATTAAACAAAGTATCAGTTAAAAGTTATAGGCCGGTAAGTGCGCCCGATCGGGTTTCTGATCCTTATACAACTTGTAATATGGTCAGATCAGAAGAATTTAAAGCAGGAGAAATTATCTGATAAAAATTTTAATTCTTATCTAATATAGAGGGGTCAATCATCTGAGGGACACGCACCCAGTGTAACCCCGACCTTGGCCCCGAATCCCAGTATAAATCGCAATCACGTCCCAACATGTTGGCATGGAGTTAAACAATTAAACAATTATATTCATATGACTTACTTGTCAATATCGTCCATCGCATTTTTATTTATTAAATCCCCCCCCTTCTCCCTCTCCTCCCCTGCCTCTCTCCCTCTCCCTTTCCTCCCCTGCCTCTCTCCCTCTCCCTTTCCTCCCCTGCCTCTCTCCCTCTCCCTCTCCTCCCCTGCCTCTCCCCCCCCCCTTCTCCCCCCCCCCTTTCCTCCCCTGCCTCTCTCCCTCTCCTCCCCTACATCCATCTCCTCCTCTCTACATCCATATCCTCTGCCTCCACTAAATATGTATTTTAATGCCCCTTTTAAGTATTTTAACTGCTTTGATTTTTTTAATTTTTAAAAAAATATACTATTTTTTGGTTTTGAAAGAGGAAAGAGGGGGGGAGAAATTCTTAAAAAAATTTTTTTAGATTCTTTAAATTCGCCGCCAATCAAAAATTATTTTAAAGTGCAAAATTAAGGGCTTTATTAATTTTTCTCTATGAAAAATATTTTTATAAATATTTTTATTTAATTAACTCTTCTCTATGTTTAATTTTAAATTATTTCAAGAAAATCCAAGAAAATTTTTTTACAAAATGCCTCCGAAAACTATAAAATTTTTAATTTTGATGTTTGTCCTTGCTGAAATTGTTTTTAATGTTGATGCCATGTTTAAAGGGAAAAGTAGCAAAAATAGCGGAAAAGAAGGTATTTGTAACAAAAAAAAGTTTAAATAGAGATACCACCTCAATAGAGATACCTCCTCAATGAAGATACCTCCTCAATGGAGATACCTCCAATACAAGACACTCCTCATTTAAGTCATCTGGATACACTACATACATAATAACTAAAGATACAGCTAATTGGAGTAGCTTTTAAGAGACTATAAGAGACTATAACATATTATAAAAGACTATAACTATAAGCTATCCCCTATACTGGAGGTACACCTCTATTTAAGATACCATTGCCCGGGTTAGCTGTTTAAGAGATACTCTTCATTTATGACACCTCATTTTTAATTTCAAAAATTTTTTTTGCTATTTCTAGATGCTCAAGCATCTTCCAAACCAAAAACGAAACCCAAAAAAGACTTGAGAGCTACTCGTTCAAATTTAGAAACTTCAACTCATCAGAGCAGTCCTCGAAAAGGAAAAAAGGTTGAGAGAAGTCACTCAGAGCATATACAACCTGTTGAATATCAACATACATACCAGTCCTTACCTCCACAAGAAGACTTCCCATTACTTGGTCGAAGTCCAAGTCGTTATGATAATGAGGCAACCTATGCAGCTTGCAATTGTCTTCAACAGTTTGGACAACTTTGTGCCCGTTGTTTTGGAAATCACGGAAATTATCAAACGGAAGAAGAGATAGATGAAGCTCTTAAACATATTCGTTTGAGCAATGAAGATTATGAGAGAAGTAAAGGAAATGTGGGAGGAGGAGGGAGCAGAATTGAACAAGGCGTTCGGGGAGAAGAAGATAATGTTGGAGGGGAAGGAGGAGACTATCATTATGGACAGAAAAATGTTGAAGGGGAGGGAGAAGACTATCATTATGGGCAGCAACATGTTGGAGGGGAAGGAGGAGACTATCATTATGGGCAGCAACATGTTGGAGGGGAAGGAGGAGACTATTATTATGGGCAGCAAAATGTTGGAGGAGGAGGAGGAGACTATTATGGACATCAAGGAGAGGATTATGAAGAAGAATCTGATTAGAAAAAAAATTTTTTTGAGAGAAAAATGTAGATTTTTGAAGAGAAAAGAGAGAAAAACTTCAAGTTCTTTGAGAACGTAGCCTCGATTCTGAGGCCGTAGAAAATTCCTTTCCTGTCTTGAACCTTTTCTTTTAAGTTAATTATTTAAAAATTTTCCTTTCCTTCATTTTAGTATAAATTTTAGAATTTTTAAAATTATTTTTAAGGAGAAAAAAGGTAATAATTAAGGGAAGCCTTTCTTGCGGACTTTTTTTGCGGACTTTTTTTTGCGGACATTTTTTGCGGAGAGAAAAAAAATAAAAATTAAATTTATTTCTAAAAATTAAAATTTTATAAAATTAAATCACCGGGAATAATCTATATTTAACTAAAAATTTTTTTGGCACATTTAATAGCAATTTTAGTTTAATTTTTCTGATTTATTGAATACAACAATTCACCCCATTACGGCCTTGTTGAGTTTCGTATCTTAAATGGGAATAATTAAACTTGAAATCAGAATTCTAAAAATCAGAATTTAATTAAAACTAGGAGATCAGAATTTTAATTTTGGAATTTTTAATTTAATTCTGATTTTATTTATTTTATTTCTGATTTTATGTTTTAATTTAATTCTGATATAAGGTTTACTATATGAATCAGAATTATTAATAACATAAAATCAGAATTAAAAAAAATCAGAATTAATTTAATAAAATCAGAATTAATTTTTAGAACCCAGAATTTTAAGAGATTAAAATCAGAATTAATTTCTGAAGATCAGAATTATAATTTTAAAAATCAGAATTGATTTCTGAAAATCAGAATTGATTTTTAAAAAATCAGAATTAATTTTTTTAAAATCAGAATTAATTTCTGAAAATCAGAATTTAATTTTTAAAAAACCAGAATTTATTTTTAAAAATTCAGAATTAATTTCTGAAAATCATAATTTATTTTCAGAAATCAGAATTAATCTCTTCACCTCTTCATAAACTGTTTCAACGCCTGTTCATCTATCCCCAATTCGCTAGCAGTCCTTCTCGACGGCATTGACTGTCTTCTTCTGGTTAACAAAGCTATTTTACCATTATTTGAAGGTAAAAATCCTGTAGTTGGCCCACTTCCATTTCTTTTTCTTCCTTTAATTATTCCATTGTTATTTTCTGTTGTTATAATGGTTGGGCGTTGTTTTCCGTCAATTTGGGTCGAGGAAAAAATATTTTCTGAACGCCTTACTAATTCTTCTATTAACCAAGAAAATGCGCCTTTTACCTTTTTAAAAATTAGAATTAATTTTTAAATTAAAAATTTTTTTGAATATTTGCGGACGTCCGCAAATTTTTTGCGGATAATTTTTCTATTTGCGGACAAAAATTTTTAAACAATTTTTTTTTGAAATTTTTTACTTGTTCCAAATTTTTTGCAGAGATCCTCATTCTTCTAACAGAAGAAACCAGCAATTGTTCATCCTTTTCTTCATCCTTCAATAATGCTGGGGAGGGAGGAGTATCCCCTCCATTACTTCTAGGCACCAAATCACTTTTATTTTGAAGCAATAAAATTGGGGCCTAAAAATAAATTTAGAAAATAATTTAAAAATAAGAAAATAAATTTTTTAAAAATACATTTTTAGTATTTTGTTCTCCAATTTCTTTTAGCATAGTTAAAGCTTCTGCATAGCTTTGAGGGTCATCTGCTGCATAGACAACCTTAAGGAATTTTTTTAATTTTTAAAATAGTTAATTCTTCATTGTTTTGATTAATTCTTAAAGCTATTTTTATTAATTTTAAATTATTTTTAAAAATTGTATTAATAAAAAGGTTAAAATTTCCACTGAACTACCCGACCATAACTCTTTTAAAATTCATAACTCAACAAATTTTAAATCTAAAAATTTAATCTTTAGCTATTAAATAGCCCAAATCATCCTCTATTAAACCCCGTTTAAATTTTAATTAAAGCTATATTCAGAAAAAAGTTATAGTTCGAAGATTAAGTGCCAACTGAACTACCCAACCATGACTCTTTTAAAATTCATAACTCAACAAATTTTTCATACTAAAATTTGATCTTTGGCTATTTTATAGCACAAATCGTCCTCTATCTAACCCCTTTTAAATTTCAAAAAAGCTTTATATAGAAAAAAGTTACAGCTAGAAAACTAAGTCACATACATTTGCGGATGTTATTTGCGGACAAAATTTTTATTTTAATTTTTAAAAATTTTTTCTTAGAATTTGCCTTTTTAAAATATTTTTAAATATTTTTCTAAGATCATTTCCAACCAATTCACTCACCATAAAAGCATCAGCAATTCTATAATACAAATGTCTCATAGCCAGAAAATCCCTACTTCCACTACTATCAATTAATTGTAACATAAAATTGGGTCCAGACAATTTTTGTTCGACACATCCATACTCTACCCAATTAAATTCTTCAACAGTAGGGCGATAATCAGACAAAAAACATTCCCAAAGAAATTGGCTAACCAGCGCGGATTTGCCTGTTTTGGGGCCTCCCATTAATACGATGGTTAATTGGGGGATATTATTTGGGGAGGAATTATTTGTTTGTTGTTGGCCGGCATTCTTATTTTCTGTAATTAATTGGTCTGCTGATGAACGGTGACCTCCACAATGGGAACGCCTTTAAAAAATATTTTTTATGGAAATTAAAAAAAATTTGCGGACGTTTTTTGCGGTCAAAAATTTTACGGACGATTTTTGCGGACAATGTCTTCCTAAAAAATTTGTCCGCATATCTCAGTCCGCAAATATTTAAGTAAATTAAAAAGTACCTAGAATTAGAACGACCATTTCCACTCAACCATGGAGATAAAACACCAGCAGGGGAACGAGCTAGTTGACTTTGACTTCGTTCTACTGTGTGTCTGAAAAAAAATTTTTTTATCAAAGAATTTTTATTGAAAAATATTAATAAGCTCCAGGGGTTGTCTTGTTAAGCTTCCTCCCATATGAAAGATAGAAGGGATATGAGGAAGAGATCCATCGGAGCTTTCTCAAGTTGATTGTACACTGGGTGGGGGGGGGGGGGGGGAACGATGAGACCTAAGCGATACCTCCAGGACCCAGTTCTACGTACACCCGATTCTCATCCCCAAGGGTATACCTGACCATATTAAAATTTTCTCCCTTACTTTAAACAAACACCATTCTCATTATCCTTATTAATCCTCGCAGACAATCCCCCTTCCAATTTTTGACTTTTATGTCTTTTAATAGCCTCGGCCACAACTTCAGGCAACTGCTTTAATTTTTTATTTATTTTTAATTTTTCTTCTTTCTGTTCTTCTAAATTGCTAGAGGTTGTCGAGGTTGAAGTTAATGATAGGGCAGGTGAAATATTTTTGTGTTTATTTTGGTTGGAGGTTGAGTGACGACAATTGGTGTTATTTATGTTTTTGGGTTTTTCTGATGCCCAGGACTTTAAAAAAATCAAAAAAAAATTTTTGAAAATTTTTTGAAATTTTCTAAGGCTTTGAAAATTTTTTTCCTCAAGAAGACAGCTTATAGGCATAGTAGACTTATACTAAATCCCTCATAAAACAAAAAATATGAAACCCTGAAATTGTGAAATTTTGCAAATACCTCCGTAAGAGTGTCCTCTATCTCCTCAAAAAATTTCAGAATTTTTGATTATGTATTTCCGAAATTATTTTTAAAAATTCCCAAGTGTCTTAGAAATATCAACCTTATGAGATATTTTAGTCTATAACTTTGTTTATAGAAAACAAAAAATTTTGAAATTTTCAGGCATGATGGCTAAGACCTTTAGCTTTAACTATACAAAATTTCAAGTTTATACGATTTTTTAACATTGATTTATAAAATTCCGCGCAAGCGTAATCAAATCATTTTTCGCCAAGTTTATTTAAAATTAAAAATAAACTTACAGTATACCCCAAACGAGTATTTGTTGTTATTGCTGAACTGTCCAACATAATTTTAATAAATTTAAAATATTTTTCAAAATTTTTTAAAAAATTCTGTAGCTTTAAAATAAATTTTTTTAAATCCTTAAAAAAATTTTTTTAATTTTACAAAATTTAAAAAATAAAATTTCTTCCAAAAATGCCATTTTCCCCTCTTTTTTAGACATTTTTTATATATTTTTTAATTAATATATTATTGTCTAAAATTATTTTAAATTTTATTTTTAGTCTTCCCATTTAAAAAAAAATTAAAAAAAATTTTTTTTGTTAATTTTGAATTGATTTAAAATAATAAATACAAGAAACCCTTAATTACGCTTAAAATAAAAGCCTTAAAAAATAAAATAATAATAAGGTGTTCTAGGTATTTTATTGAATAAATATATAATTATAATTTTCAAAAAATTTATTTTTAAAAATTTAAATGCCAATTCAGACCTTCACGGAGAATTTCGTTTTGCTTCGAAGGCTTTATCAGCTTCGCCTAGAAAATAGTAGTTTCGTAAAGGTTTGGAGCCAACAGACCCTCGTTTACTAAGACAACTAGGTAGCAGGGGTTAAATAGGATTGGGGTTCCGGCCCGGTCCGAAAGGTCGAGTCGGGCATCGATTTTGGCCCGAAAAAGACTTGGACTTGTTTACTAAGACATCTAGGAGGGTGTTTAATAGTCTTGGGGGACCGGCCTGAAGGATCGAGTCGGGCATCGAATTTTGCTTGAAAAAGACTCGGTCGAGCCGGCCCGGTAAAAAGGCAGCCCGAAAAAAATGACTCGAACGTCGGCCTACTCGAAAACCCCAACCCTAGTATTTTAATGGAGAAAAGTAGAAGGATATCCCAAAGAATTTTTGAAAAATCTTTTCAAAATTAATTTTTATAAATTAATAAAATTAAATAAAATATTAATTTTATCGTAAATAAAGGATCTTTTTTAAAATTAATTTATTAAAATAAATTTTCTTATCTTTTAATAAATTAAAATAAATAAATATTAATGTTACCAAAAATAAATTTTAAAAAATAGATAAAAAATAATATATATAATAATAAAATATAAATAAATTTATTTAATCGAAAATTTAAAAGAAAGAGGATTTTGGTGGATAAAAAGGATTTTTAAACAAGGAAATAAATTATTAAAATTTAACTAATTAAATAAATTTTCCTTGAAAAAAAATTTTTAGGGAAGTAAAAATATTAAAAAAAAATTTTTTTTTAATTTCCTAGGAAAGGAAAAAAATATTATTTTTTTTTGAAATATTAATTTAATAAATTGGCCAAATTTAGTTTATTAAAAAATAATGTTAGTAAATGTTGCCACATTTTAATACGCTTCACATACAATTTAAAAACCTATCCATCTATTTTTGGGGACTTTAATAAATTAAATTTTTATTATTAAAAAATATTTATTAAAAAATATTTTTTTTAAATTCAAGAATATTGTCAAAAGTAAAAAAATAACCAGACGGAGCAGTTCAGTCAAGTCCCGGCCCTATAACTCCTGAACGGGTGGATGCTTTTTAATTATTTTGGTACTGCTGAATAGAGAATTGAACACCCTACAAGATTGCAAAAAATCAAAATTTTCGACTGATCGAAAGTAAAGTTACGGCGCCTAAAAAATAACTTGACGGAGCAGTTCACTCAAGTCCCGGCCCTATAACTTTTGAAAGGGTGTATGTTTTTTAATTATTTTGGTAACGTTTAATAGAGAATTAAGTGCTCTACAAGATCTGAAAAAATCAAAATTCTCGACTGATCGGAAGTAAAGTTATGGAGTTTAAAAGATAACTAGACGGAGCAGTTCACTCAAGTCCTGGCCCTATAACTCATGAAGGGATAGATGCTTTTTAATGTTTTTGGTACCGTTGGATAGAGAATTAAATGAACTATAAGACAGCAAAAAATCAAAATTATCGACTGATCGAAAATAAAGTTATGGCGCTTAAAGCGGAGTGTGCCTCACCCTTAGGATTTTTAAAAATACCCAATTAAAAGTTAAAAATAAATGTACTATTAAAAATAAAAGAATTAAAAAATACTTTTTTATTTTTTAATTGCGTGACTTAACTAAATAAATAATAGGTTAGCTTAAATCTTGAAAAAAAATAAAATTTAAGAGAAAATAAAAATTAAAAAAGGAAGTTAAGCGTGCCTATATTTTGTTTAAAAACAAAAAAATTCGAAAAAAAAATTAAAAATCTTTTTTAATAATTGAATCCACTACCCTTCGATAAAAAATTACTAGGGTTGCCGCGGGTACAAAAAATCTTCGGGTACGGGTTTCGGGTACAAAAAAAGGCCGGGTTTCGGGTTTCGGGCGGCAACCCTGGGCTGAACAGAACTGTTTTGGAATTTCTACATTAAATTTTGGAAGATTATTAAGCCTCGAAAAATTTCGATTAGCAAAAAACGAAATTTTCAGAGATATCGAGATATTTAGAGCTCGATTTTCCGAACGACCCCTCCCAGTCAGGTATTTAATGTTCCCAAACTTGGGGGTATCTCTTAATTAAATGAGAGTTTTCGCCTTTAATGTTGGCTTAAATAAGTGTCTATGTAAAAATAAATGTCTATGTAAAAATAAAAATATTTCAAAAAAAATTTAAAATTATCTAAAAATATTTGAGAAAAAAAATTTTTTTTATTTTGTTTCTATTGGGAATTTAAACCAAAAAAATAAAATTTTTTAAATTGTAACTAAACTTTCTCGGCTAACATTTAATTTAAAATTGAATTAAATATTGTTTGGAGTCAAAAAATTATAGGAAAACTTTTTTTTGGCTTTTTCCATTTTTTTTAAATAAAAATAGTTCTTTTTTGGTGTTAGAAATATTCCCTTTTTTGAAGAAAAAATTTTTTAGGAAAAAAAAAATCATTTTCCTTGTGTGTTCCCGGTGCCCCCCCCCCTCAAATTCTCTCGATATCCCCCTAATTTCCTCCTCACTTTCAATTTTCTTTAGTAATACATATTCAAACACACTTTTTTATGTGTTCATTTGCACGTTCCGGTTTTTTATTCCATTTTTGGATTTTTTTAAAATTAATTTGGAATAAAGCAAAAGTCAAAAAATTATAACTAGACAGACATTTTAATTAAAAAATTTTTTTAAAAATTAATCTAGAAAAATTTTTAAAATTTTTTCTAATAGAGAATTAAATTTCCTACAAAATAAAATAAAAATAAGAAATTTTTTATATAAAAAATAAATTTGTATCCATAAAAATCAACGTTTTTCATGAAAAAAGCCCTCTTTTTGACAGTTTTTCGACTACAACTTTTTTATTTTTTAACCAAAAATTTTGAAATAAATTTTATTTTGTAGCCTATTCAATTCTCTATCGAACCTTGTCAAAAGTATTTTTAAAGCTTTATTGGTTCAATAGCTATGAGGCGGAATTAAATCCACAAATCGACGTTTTCATGAAAAATGCCCATTTTTTGACAGTTTTTCGACCACAACTTTTTTATTTTTTAACTCAAAATTTTAAAATAAATTTTTTCTTATAGCCTATTCAATTCTCTATTGATCAGTATCAAAAGTATTTTTAAAGCTTTATTGGTTCAAAAGTTATAAAAGAAAAACCAGACTAAGGTCAAGCAGTATAACCTTAAAAGGTCGGTTCAGCGCCAAATTAAAAATAAATAAAAATACAAAAATAAACTTAAAAAAGACTTTTTACGCGTTATAAAATTCTAATTATTAGGCTAATATTCACTCTATAAAAAAATAAATAAAAACAAAAAATATTCGTGCAATATGACGTCTGTTGGAGCAATACATAAAAATAAATGTGTATTATGTTAGCGCAATGAGGGATAAAAAACAAAAAAAATAAAAAATAAGATAATATTTTGGTAATTTGGAGGAGAAAATAAATTAATAAAATTTATTTAAAAAAATATTTTACAAAAATATTAAGGAGTATTTACTACAGAAAAAATTAAATTAAGGCACTTAAAAGAAGGAAATACCCTGATGCTATAAAATGATTTGGCTCTTGTCCAGTTTATGCGTCCCATGAAAGTATATGCGTCCCATCAACAAAAAATTGGATATTTCTTGGTGTTGCAAAGTAGGGGTATGGTTCCAAAGTATTTCTTCATGTTCGGGATCTACGTCCACTGGGTCTGGGACCGTTCCTTACACTATACCTCGAAATTTCTGAAAGTTAAAATCGTTTTTCTGAAATTTTTAAAAATTGGCTATAACTTTCAGAAATTTCGAGGTATAGTGTAAGGAACGGTCCCAGACCCAGTGGACGTAGATCCCGAACATGAAGAAATGCTTTGGAACCATACCCCTACTTTGCAACACCAAGAAATATCCAATTTTTTGTTGATGGGACGCATATACTTTCATGGGACGCATAAACTGGACAAGAGCCAATGATTTTTCTAAAATCTGGACCGACCTTTTCCCCTCGATATTTAATCCAAACCTGTGGATTCTCAAGTTTCGAAATCAGTATCCTCGAAGAGAGCAAGAAAAAAAATAAAAATAATAAGAGGGGAGGGGGGGGGCGAGGAAGATGGGGGGGGGGGGGGGTGGGGGGATAAAGGGAGGGGCCGATTTTTAAAAATTTCAAGTTTACATTTTTAATTGTTAAAATTTCGAATTTTTAAAATTAAAAAATAATTATGCTAAAAATATATACTTCAAAATATTTTAATCTTTATAATACGCAAAAATGCAAGAAAACTAGGATATCTGCTAAAAAAATTCAAAGTTCTCACATTAAAGTAAATTAATAATTAATAAAAATATTTTTTAGCTTGGGAAAGAAAAAGCTTTTAAATATTTCATTAATATATGTACATATTAGTATATCCAGTTGTTTATGCGCAGCTTTATAAAAAACAAATAAAATATAAATATTGGCAATATAAAACTGCTCGGTTGGCTCTTTAAATAAGCCCAATTAATGTCTAATTAAATTTTTTTGAAAATTTTTTCTTTTGTCTAAAAATTAATAACATCAAAAACCATAGAATATTGGAAGAAAATACATAAAATAAAATAAGGAGGATGTCCAGGAAACGGAAATGAAGGGACGAGAGGGAACGCGCAATGAAAGGATTTTATATAAAATAAAAATCAAAAAATTTTTTTTAATAAAATAGAGTGAAAAAATTAGAGATTAGTTTAGTAAGGATTAAAAAATTTTTTAGAAAAATTAAAATAATTACTAAGGGGATGGGGGTTGATTTTTGAAAAAAGGAAGGTTGAGGGTTTGATTTTAAAGGAGAGGGGAGGGGAGATAGGGAGGTAGGGGGGAGGCTTAAAGGAAGGGGAGGTTATCTTAAAGGAATCAGGGGGGGGGGAGGGGGAGGGAGAAAGGGAGGCTTGAAGAGAGAGATGGGGGGGGGGGTTTTAAATTTTTCTTCAAATTTTCAAATAAATATTAAAAAAATTTTTTTCTTGAAAAATTCGCTGAAGGAAGAAAAATTTTTTCGTAGTTAATTAGCAAAAAACACGTAAAAACAAAAAGCTTTTTTAACTTTTTAGAGAGCCTAAAATGACTCAAATCTTTTCTATTTATGTCGCTGCAAATGTTAAAAGTTTTTTAAGTGCAAAAAAGCATTTAAGCTTATTTTTAAAAATTTTTTGGAAAGACAACCCTCTCTATAATACCCCCAGTATTAAATATACTCTATTTAAGATATGTTTACAAAATAGGGTTGTCCGTAGTAATGGTGAGAGCTGTCTGAGCGATATCATGTATATAAGTTAGACCTTGGAAGATAGTCAGGCCTCTCTATAAGAGACCATCCAATACTAAATACACCTCAAGTTAGGTTACATTCTTTAAACTTGGTTAGCCACTAAATGGAGATACCCTCTATTTAACAGACCCTCATTATAAGAGACAAAAATTTTTTTCAGTCCAAGGGGAGTATCCTATAATGAAGTCCTACAGAGTCTTCACTATATTTTTATTTTTGAAGGAAAAGGGATTAAGTAAATCTGTCCATTAGAGGGGTGAGTCGCCTACTAGATAAGTATTAAAAAATAATTTTAAAGCTTAATTTAAATAAAAATAAATTATTTTTATTTTGGAGAGTAAAGGAAAATTTTACAAATAAAAATAAATTAATCTTTATTTTAAAAGCAAAAATATTTTTAAAAAATTAAATACACTTTTACAAAATAAAAATAAAAAAAATAGTAAGTATTTGAAGCATTTAGTCGTGGGAATTTTTAAAGAAAAAAAAATTTTTTAAGTTAAAATAAAGGGAAATATTTAAAAGTATATAAAATTTAGATAGTTAAATTATCTAAAGCCTTAAAAATTGGAAAAAAATTTTTCAGAAAAAAAAAATATAGTAAGTATTTGAAAAAAAATAGTAAGTATTTGAAGCAAATTGAGGTGAAGACGAGGGCCGAAGTCCAATTGAGGTGAAGACGAGGGCCGAAGGCCCGAAGTGACTCTAAGTGGAAGGATGAGTCCAATCGAGGAGTAGACGAGGGCCGAAGGCCCGAAGTGACTCTAAGTGGAAGGATGAGTCCAATTGAGGTGAAGACGAGGGCCGAAGGCCCGAAGTGACTCTAAGTGGAAGGATGAGTCCAATCGAGGAGTAGACGAGGGCCGAAGGCCCGAAGTGACTCTAAGTGGAAGGATGAGTCCAATTGAGGTGAACACGAGGGCCGAAGGCCCGAAGTGACTCTAAGTGGAAGGCCGATGACACGAAGTGACTCTAAGTGGAAGGATGAGTCCAATTGAGGTGAAGACGAGGGCCGAAGGCCCGAAGTGACTCTAAGTGGAAGGATGAGTCCAATCGAGGAGTAGACGAGGGCCGAAGGCCCGAAGTGACTCTAAGTGGAAGGATGAGTCCAATTGAGGTGAAGACGAGGGCCGAAGGCCCGAAGTGACTCTAAGTGGAAGTATGAGTCCCAATGAATGCAATCTTTTGTTCCAGGCATAAAAAATCGCTAGCGGCGCGCGAAGCGCGCCCCCAAAGCCGTTAGGCTTTCCAACGGGCAGAAGTATCGTAACCTAAAGAACCCCCCGATGTATTTTACCGCCACAGTATCGTAATAGGCACCCCAGTGGCCAAACCCATCGCTAGTTAAAAGTATATAAAATTTAGATAGTTAAATTATCTAAAGCCTTAAAAATTGGAAAAAAATTTTTCAGAAAAAAATTTAGAGAAAAAAATTTTTGCAGGAAAAGAGAAACCCCCTCCAATTAAAGAAGCACCTCAAAATTATTTATCTTCCTAAAAAAATTTTTTTCTTCAAAAAAAAATAGGAAAATAAATTTTGGGAGAGCTTCTTGAATATTTTATTAAAATAAATTTAAAAATAATTATATTTTTAAAAATTAATTCACTACCCAAAAATACCTCCTATAAAATTAGAGAAGCACCTCAAATTTATTTATTTTCCTGAAAATAATTTTTTTCCACAAAAAAAAATTTTGCAAGCTTCTTGAATATTCTATTAAATAATTTTAAAATAATTTTATTTTTATAAATTAATTCACTACCAAAAAATAAAAAAAAATATTTTTTAAAGATTAAAGAAGCCCTAAAAAATACATAATATTTTATTTTTAATTATTATTTTATTTTAGTGAAAAAAATTTTTTTTTATTAAAAAAAATAATTATTATAAGCATAATTTGTGTGTCAGTTTGTTCCAATTTTGGTCAAACATTAATTGGAAAGGAAAAAAATTTTTTTTGATGAAGCTAATAAGTAATGGCAAAAGCCATCATTATTTTTTTATTTTATTTCCCTTGACAATTTTTTAGGGGGAATAAATAATTTATTTAAATAAATATGCTAAATAATAGCATTAATAAATTTAATAAAATATAGGGGAGCCTGGGGCATAATTAAATAGAAAAATTTTTTTAAACGTGGGAAATATTTTTAAAAAACGCAGAAATTTAGAATATATAAGGGTTCAAAAATTAGATTTTAAATGGTTTTGATTTTACGAAAATTTGGCATTCGAAGATTGGACGTTTTGAGAAATTGAAATTTATAAATTTTGCAAGTTCGAATGTTTAATTTCGTATTCGGAATATTGAATTTCGACTTTTAAAGGCTAGACTTTATGAAAATTCAGCTTTTTAAAACTTCAATTACCCCAAAGTTATAATCCCTGGAAGAAAAACCCCTAAATTAATTAAATTTATTTTCAAAATATTGGGGTAAAACAAAATTTTTTTCAAAAATCTTATCGTATATAGCCAAACGATAGCTCATATTAAAGTACATTAAAAGTAGTTACTAAAAATGTTGAACCGAATTAATATACTTTCAATACCCCAAAGTTATAATCCCTGGAAGAAAAACCCCTAAATTAATTAAATGACCATTCTGTAAATATGAAGGAAAAAAAGTTGGGAAGAAAAAGGGGCCTAAGTCTTGGATTCCTTTCCCTTTAATTATTGTTTCACGCTTGCTCAGTTAGTTGTTTTTAATAATTTGAAAATTTTTTAAAGTTCTTTTTGAAGGTACTCTTATAGCTACCAAAATATCTTGGCCAATCTGCTACTATAAAACTATTAAAAACGATGCTAGTAATGCTGCAGCTTGTACATTTATTAATTGATGTCCAATTAAATATGACAAATTAAATATTAATTTCAATTTAAAATATTTGTTTATTTTTTCTTTTTGTTCGTCATTAAATTCTTTCATTTTAATCGATGTTTTTTTTGTTTTTCGGTAAAATCTGTCAATAAAATTCCTCTGATTTTTTCATTTTTTCTTTTATTTTCCTTTCACTTTACAAAAATAAAGAGAGAAAATTTATTTATTTTCAACTAAAAAATGAATTTTTATCGTTATTCCGTCACCGGTTTTGACGACCTCCAATTAATGTTACGTCAATTAGATTCTCGTTTAAAACAAAGTTCGCATCCTGACAGACCTTTGCCTTCCCATATTATTTTTGTTTATTTTACTGATTCAAAATTATCTGACGGCTCTAATTGGTGTGAAGATTCTGCTAAAGCAGACCCTATAGTTTGGCTAGCTTTGGATAAATTGGAAGAAAAATTAAAAAATGAGGAGTTAAATAGTTCTAATTCAATTAATAATGTGCCTATACATTGGGTTAATTGTCAAGTTGGTGCTCGTGATTAGTAAGTCTTAAAAAATTTTAAAAAATTATTTAGTAAAAAATTATTTAATTTTTGTGGGTTCTGACCAGAATCACTTTAAAATTCAGAACTCTATTCAATTTTATCCTAAAAACTATTTTAAACGGCATTTGATAGCCCAGACTTTTCTCTATTTTTTGACATCTGATTCAAATTTCTAGCTTAATTTTACTTCATATTATTGGTCTTTAAGTTGGACAAATATAGCTTAAAATCACCTAACTCTCCCCATTCAACAATTAATAACTTTATGAATTTTCATTCAAAAATTCTGATTTTATGGTTTTTTATACTTCAGAATCTTCTCTATTTATTTTTATAAAAATTAGAACTTTCCCTTTAACAGAAACTTAATAATTAAATTTTAAACTTCCCTCACTTTAATTAAAATATTACTATAATTTCCCTTAAAAATTTTAAAAATTCTCTCCCCTTTTTCTTCAGTTGGTATAATCCAAATAATCCATTTCGACGTGATCCTCAACTTCGTCTACACCAAATTCCAGCATTATTAGCCATGTTTAAAAAGGGCGGAGAATGGGCAGATTGGGGGAATACTGAAGATGTTAGTCAAATTTATGAAAAAGAGGAATATTTTGGTGATTTAAAGGCTATACAAGTTGTGATTGATGATTTTTTACACTTGGCTAGTAGATTTGCTAATTAATTAATTTAAAAAATTCGGAAAATGAATTTTAAAAATGTTTTAGGCTCCATTTTAAGTCATTTCCACTCACTCGGTATCGAACCCGTACCCCTTCCACTAGCAAGTCAGCGCCGTTAGCCACCACGGCCAACTTAATAGCACATCCGGATACTGAGTTCCGACCCAACTGAGTTCAGGACCTTATAACTCTTGAAGGGGTGCTCACTTTTTTATGTTCATGATACCATGGATAGAGCATTAAATTCGTTACAAAAATCCAAAAAATAAGATTTCTTGATCAACTGCCAAAAAAGTTATGATCGATAAAGTACTGAAAAATCAGATTTTTTTGAAAAAAGTTAGTTTTTAGATCATAACTTTTTTACCAATAAATCGAGAATTTTTATTTTTTGGTATCTTGTAGCCCATTAAATGATCTATCCATTGGTATCAAGAACATTAAAAATTATCCACCCCTTCTAGGCTTATATGGCCGTAATTCAGTTGAACTGCTCTGAGCATATCCAACCTTTTCACCTTTCTATTAAACTTTATTAAAAATAAGCCTTAAGCTAAAACCTTTAAGCATAATACATATAAGCGAGGATTTTCTTTTAAAAATTCCTTTCTTTTGTTAAAAAACCAGAAAATTTTATTTTTATTTTCATAAAAATCCGATTAAAGTTTCATTTATTTATTTGGAATAAAATATAAATAAAACTTGTTTTTTTTTATTTTTTTATTATTTTTTAAGCATTTGGAGGAGATTTCTAGCATAATTTCACCCCTAAATTCTCCCCCAACATAAAAAAATTTTAATTTTTAATTTTCTCTAAAAATGAATTTTAAATTAATTTTCTTCCTCTCCTTAATTTCCCTAATTAAATTTTCAATTACCACTCCCCCTCCCAATCCTTTTTTTAATATTAAACAGCAACAATTAGTTGAACCCTTTGGGGATGATAAATTTAACAAGAGTTTGTTTTTAATTAATTTTGAAAATTTTAAAAAATTCCCAGATGAACGTAGTATGCTTCCAGGCATGCAAATGTTGACAGGGACAGCTGCTTTGGTACATCCGTTTCTTCGGCGAGTATGTTTCCCCCTCTTCCTCACTTTAAGTCTCACATACTAACCTTAACTTCTCGGGAAGCCATTTCAATGCCCTTTCAAATAAGGTATCACTCGACACCATTTTCCCTGGAGGAGATAGGGAAATGGCGACCCCCCCCCCTCATATCCGTCAAAATGCCACAAGTATTGGAACTTCAGAGGGATAAGTAGAGGCTTTTTATATGAAGAGGGGATTACTGTCAAATGAGCTTTAGATACACCTTATTGTTAGTATAATCCTTTCAACCCCCAAGGATGTAGCCTATAGACAGGTCCACTATATATCATTAACAGACAGACCCAACAACTTCCAACAACTTTATCGGATCAACAGACACTCCAATGGATCTAGAAACTTGGTCAAAGATCCAAGCAATTAAAACAAATCAAGAAAACGCCGTCATTTCTCAACTAGCCCAAATGGCCCCACAAAAAAGGAATTTATTAATTAAAGAATTAAATAACGGAAATTCTACAGCTACAACAGAATTAATTAAAAGAATTATTAAAGATTTAACTGAAAGTCGAGACGGACAAGTTGTTTTTCCTCAACTTGGTCTAGCTTCTTTAGACAGACAGGTTGAGGCTACTTTGAATGCTGTGGATCAGAATTTGCCTCCTCCTAATCCTTTTACTAGCGGCAGTTTTTTTGGAGGTTGGAAGGGTTTTTAAGAAAATTTAAAAATGTCCAAAGTTCAAAATGTCTAAGCATGAAAATCTTAAGATTTCGAAATGTAAAAGTTGTGGTTGTGGGCGGACGGTTAACCGAACCGGACCCGTTAACCGGTGTTTTTGGCGAATTAACCGGTAAACCGAAGGTGCCGGTTAACAACCGGTTGCCTTCAACCCTAATAAAATGCCAGAATTTCAAAATGCCGAAAAAAATGCCAAAAACACTCCCCAAAATTTTCAGTCTCTCCAACCACCCCACAGCCTAATCCTTTTAATCAACTAATGCTTGTAAATAATAACGAATTTTCTAACATTCCAACCCCCTTACAATTTAATCCAATAAATCCACAACATCGTCGACAACAACAATTTGCTTCTCAAACATTTCCTTTAAAATATTTAAATAGAAATTATCAGAATTATTCGTCTTATTTCATTCCTTATTTGAATGGAGAAACTAAAGGTAAAATTACTGTATTTCAAAATGTCAACTACCCAAAAATATGTTAAAATGTCACATAGAGAAAAAATTTTTCAAAATGTCAACTACCCAAAAATATGCCAAAATATCACATAGGGAAGATTTTTTCAAAATGTCAACTAGGGAAAAATATATCAAAATGTCGACTTTCTTAGAAATTTCAAAATGTCAAGTACCTAAAAACATGTCGAAATGTCAACTAATAAAAAATCATAATTTTAACAGGCTTTATTCCTCGCAGTGAAAATTCTTCACCATTTTATACATTTTCTTCTCCAGCAACCCCAACACAACTTTCAACAACCTTGGAATTGAATAAAAATAATGGCCAACAGCCAAATTTAAATTTATCTAGACCTTTAATTAATAATTTTAAAAATAAGAATAATTCAATAATTACTCCATTCTCTTCATTTCAAAATAAAAATAATGGAAATTTTACAAATAATAACTAAATTATTTTAATTTTTTGATAAAATATTTATTTTTAAAATTGTTTTTTAGTGAAAGATAAGAGATTACATTTTGACGTATTAATTTAAAGAACGTATAGAGAATGAACTTCACGGTATACCGACCTCACTTTAGTAGGAGGACCTTACTTCCTTGAAACGGAAATATAGTCTCTTATAATGAGGTTTCTTAAATAGAGGATATTTTATGGCCAGCCAGCTTCCCATTAAAAAAGCGTATCTACTTGATAAATCTACTTGAGGTTCTACTTAATAATTCTATTATGGCATAAAAAATTTAAATTATTCAACAAAAAACAAACTAAAAGGAATATAGGGTCACCTTGTTATTCCCCCTTCCTCCCCCTCTACTTTTCATTTTTTAAATGTTAAAAAAATCTTTTATTTAAATGTCATCATTTTTTGTTTATCCATCGCTTCTATTCATCAACCAAACAGCCGATCATCGGCCATTAAAAAAATTTATTTATTTGGCTTCGCTTCTCTCCCCCTTTAGTGCCCTTTATTTTCCCCTATTACCAGACGCTTACAACAACATTTTTTGCCATTTTGTGCCAATCATTTATTTAAAAATAAATTTACATAAAAATTTATTTAATTTAACCCCCCCCCCCTCCTGTAAAAACCCTCCACTCCTTCCTGTTTTTTGTGACTTTAATATTAAAATGGGGGGATATTTAAAAAAATATTTCCAATAAAAGTTTTGTTTATCAGGATTGGTATGCATAGGTAACTTTGTCTTCTTAAAAATATTTTTTAAAGTTACCATGTGAACCCATTCTGATTTTATAAAACATTAAATTTAAACAAATTTAAAAATATTTTCTAAATTTCAACATTATTTCTAAAACAGGTAAACTTTTTTAAGGCTTTAAAATAATTTATATAAATTCAAAAATATGAAACAGAAAAATGGGTAAATTAAAAAAATCATCAATTAAATACAGACAGACCTCACCATAAGAAACACCCTTGGGGTTAGGAAAAATCATATTTTATAATGAAGAGGTATATCAAATCGAGGAGTATTGCTAATAATGCTGCCCCCACCCAATGGCTAATCGAAATTCTAGAGGGTGTCTGTTAAATAGAGGTGTATACAGTATTAGGGTATCTTAAATTGAAGGGCATCGCTAAAAAGCCCCACACTTACTCCTCCCAAAAATTTCTAATTAAACCTAGAAAGCGTCTCCTAAATAAAGGGATCTCCAGTATCGGGAGCATCTTACAAATGAGGTCCATAAATAAGAAATCAAATTTAAAAAATTTTAAAGCTAATTAAAAACTTTTACATAAATTTTCTTTCAATTAAAATTTCCATTCACTTTTTGCTTCAACAACGTATTACTAAACGATTTTGGTCTTTCTTTTCTACACATTTCTTCATTCTCTTCCCTATTATTATTTAATTCTCCATTAACACAACTACTTAAACGTCTATTATTTTTAGGTGTTGTAGTTGTTATTTGTTGTTGTACCAACAATAAATGTGTTTGGGGTAATAAACGTGAACGTATAGAGGAATTCTTCGGCGTCTCTTAATTCTAAAGAGCGTCTCTTAAATAGAGGTGTATGCAGTATTAAGGTATCTTAAATTGAAGGGCATCGCTTATAGTCCCCCTCCCTCTTCCCAAAATGGCTAATCGAAATCCTAGAAAGCGTCTCTTAGATAGAGGTGTCTCCAGTATCGGGAGCATCTTATAAATGAGGTCCATAAATAAGAAATCAAAATTTAAAAAATTTAAAGCTAATCAAAAACTTTTACATAAATTTTCTTTCAATTAAAATTTCCATTCACTTTTTGCTTCAACAACGTATTACTAAACGATTTTGGTCTTTCTTTTCTACACATTTCTTCATTCTCTTCCCTATTATTATTTAATTCTCCATTAACACAACTACTTAAACGTCTATTATTTTTAGGTGTCATTTGTTGTTGTTGTACCAACAATAAATGTGTTTGGGGTAATAAACGTGAACGAATTGAGAAATTCTTCGGATTATTTGAACTTAATTCTCTTCCAATTTTTGTTGTATTATTTAAAATTAAGGCGTTATTAGACCCATTCCATCCTGGACACAAAATTCTTTTCCAAGCTATTAAAACTGTTCGTCGAAAATTTGCTGAAGAAAATGCGTAGACAATTACATCACAGGAAAAATTGACATAATATAAATAATGGGCAAAATTGTATAGGGAGGCTAGCAAGGGATTTGATGCCAAACTTCCACTGCTTCCTTGAAAGGCGTCAGAATTGAATAAATTTAGAGCAATCTAAAAATAAAGAAAAAGTTATTTTAATAAAAACTATTGTATTAAAGTCAGATCTCGATATAAGACACTCCCAATATATGCTACCTACTAGTAGCCACCTCCCAATATAAGGTACACCTTTATTTAAGGTACATCTGATTAGATATTAGGTGGATAAACCTGCCTAAGCAATACCCTCCATATAAGATACCCACTATATTAAATATACCCTGTATTAGCTAAACCTCTATTTAAGGCCCATTCTGTTTAAGTTACATTTGGCTAGCTATTGGGTGGGGAAAGCTGCCTAAGCGATATATCTTATGACAAGATCCGACCGTGTATTTAAATAATTTACCGTGTCAATAAGTCGAATTAAATAAAAAGGAGTATTTAATAATATATAAACAACAGGAACTACAAGAAGTATACGAGTGCCAGCAGAAGATGCTGAAGAGGCTAGTGATCCACCTTTAAATTAAAAATTAAATAAAGATTTGTAAGGATTTTAACAGTTTTTTGGTCATAATTTTTGAATGGTTCAGGGTAAAACTTTAATTTAAATAAATTTTTGTAGCTAAGAATCTCCTCTATCTAATGATATAAAAATCAAATTTTTATCCTCAAGTAGCCCGGAGTTATAATAATTTAAAGACTCCAGGTTCAAATGTAGGGAATAACGAATAACGCTTAAATAAAAATTCAGAACTTGGCCAGAATTTTAGTTAAAAATTATTTTTCTGGTTTTTATAAATCAGAATCATCCCTCTAATTTTTAAAGACAAAAATTTTTTATATATTAAGTAAAATAATTTATTTTTTATTCACCTCCAGCAGTTCTCGTCGACGCCCCTAAAGGCATAGACAATTTTTGCGATGCCGAATTTTTTCTAGGTGTTGTTATTATTGTTGTAGATCCAACAGAACTTTTAGCCGAAGATGTTGTTAAACTTTTCTTTTTCTTTAATGAAGACAAACTTGCTGGGCGATTATTTGTAAATGTTCGACGTTTAATTGATGATTGGGGTGGAGGAGATGAATTATAAAATGAACGATCTGCTTTACGCACTTTTGAAGCAATTATTAAATTTAAAGCAACAACGATACAACAAGGAAGGCAATAACATAAAAGGACGTCCAAAAGTTCGGCAATCATCTATAAATTAAAAAAATATATTTTTAATTTTTAAGACGTGGTCAGGCGGTAAATGTTCAACCCCTACCCTATTCAGTGGAAAATCAAATTTTAAAAACGTCTCTTAAATAACGAAGCATCTATTATTGGGTGGTTTATTGGGTGCGTTTTCCCTCTCTCTCACTCATTTTTAAAAATTATTATATCCCTTTAATCTACCTGTAATTCCCCATTTTTAACTTCACATTTTCTAACAAGCCTTGTAGAATCGTCTGGAGGTGAAAGAGAAAAGAATTGAACCAAATTGAGTAGAAAGGGTAAGGGAAGCCAACAACACATTGTCTATAAAAATAGTTATTTTTAACTTTAAGTTAATTTTTTGGTTCTATTTATGGTCTTATTTCTGGTTACTTAAAGGTGTTCGTTAATTAAATTCATTTTTTTCTATTTATAACACAATTATCCACACTTTATCCATATTTTTCAAATAAATTTTAGTGTTTTTCGAGCTTTCGGCATTCTGTCAAAATTTTTGGCATCCTGTATTTTTAACTTTAAAAAAATTCCCTCCTACCTTCCACCGACTAATATGTCCATATTGTACATGTTTTAAAGGGTGAGCAATAGCCAAATAACGTTCCAAAGTCAATGCAGCAATAGACCAACTACTTACATATGAACTAGTCATTAATACATATTCAACCAAAACACAAGGCAAAAAGTCTGTATAATCAACCTGTAAAAATTTGGAAAAATTTTAAAAATATTTTTTAAACCCTTAAAATTCACCTTAAACAAAACCATAATAATTCCAATTAAAAAAACAGAATCAGCAATAGTTAAAACAATCAAATATTGATTTGCTGGCATCTTTAGAGAAAAAAATTTTTTTAATTAAGAAAAAATTTTTTCTAATTTATTTTACTTTTCGAAGTCTTGAATGAAATATAGCTACAAGAGAGATTATATTGCCACATAGGCCAAAAAGTACAATAAATGGCAATACAAATAAATATTCATGGCCACCAGATTCTTCTAAAAATTAAATTTTTAAAATTTTTTTAAAAATTTAAAAAGGTCCAGAAGTCAAAAAAATTTTTTTTAATTCTCAGAAACGAAAAAAAAAATTTAAAATGTCAAATTTCAAAATTTAAATTTAAAAAAATCACCTTCAGAAGATATTTCCTCATTATTCGAATTATTTTCCATTAAATTTGTAAAAGAATTATTAAGATGACTAGCAGAAGAATTAGTTGTTTGGATGAGCATTTTAATTTAATTTTTGGGATATATTCTAAAATAAATTTGTTTAGATTTTTGAAGCAAAAAAATTAAAAAATTTGCTTAATATATAATTTTTAATATTTTAATTTTCGAACAAAAAAATTTTTTTGAGAGTTAAAAAAATCAAATATAAAGAAGGGGATGTTTAAAAATTTTTTATAATTAAAACGGTCAAATATGGGGGTGGGGGTATTAAAATAATTAAAGCTTTATTAGGTAAAGTACAGTCTCGTAATTCTAAAATTAACCATGAATTAGTTATTTATTAAATTTAATTATTTTTTTAGTCTGTCTAGTAAAATACCCAAAATTAAATTAATTTAAAAATTAAATAAAAAAATTTTCTTTTTTAACAGCTTTTTTAAACCACATTATTTTCGTAGCATTAACAAAGCTGTTACGTAAATTTTTTGGTTAAATTTGGAATTTTTTTATTTATAAACTTTTTTAAATAAAAAATTGTATTAAATTCCGGTAATTAACTAATTGTTTTAAATAAAACAAAAAAAAATATTTATATAATTTAATAAAAATAAAATTAGAATGACATACATAAATCTCTTAAATATTAAGCTCTTAAAAATACAAAGAAAAAAGGCCGAACCTTTATAAAAAAAATTATTTTTAAACAATTTATTTAAAAATAATTTAATAAATTATAGCTATAAAATAGAAACAAAAATAAATTAATTTAGAATAAAGAAAAAATTTTTATAAAAAAAACGCACCTTATAAACTATAAGGTACGTCCCAACCTATAAAAGCTAATACGTAAAGAAAATTTAAAAAAAAAAAGTTGAATATCCTTTAGAAAAATATCGTAAAAAAATTTTAGATACAGAAATACAATCGAATCTCATTGTAGTAGAAGCCCACTAAGAAATACCTTAGTTTAGTGTACGATTTTTTTAAAATAATCAGGGAGATGTTTAGCCATAGATTTGGAGGTCCAAAACCGAAATTTTGACCGAAACCAAATCCAATTTGAGTTCGGGATCCCAGAACTGGAACCAAAAAAAATAACATTCAAAAAATATTTAAATGTACGTCCAAAAATTAAAAAATAAAAAGAAATAAATTTTAAAATAAAATGTTTGGAAATATTTAATTATATAGTAGAAAAGATACAACAAAATTTATTTTTAGTAAAAATTTATTTTTAGAAAAAAATTAATTAATTATTAATTTAATTTAAAAAATTAAAGAAATAAATATTTAATTAAATTAAAAAAAGTTGCACATTTTTTAATTTTAAGAAATTATCTTATAAATATCTCTCTGCTATAAATAATGCCTTAAATTTTAAAAATTCCAAAAAAATATCAAAAAATTTATTTTAAACTAAATTTTAAATTAATTTTTATTCTGAAAAAATTAAAGAACAGAAATTTTTCTAAGAAAACAAATTTTATAAAAAATATTTTTTGTTCCAAAAAAATTTTCTTGGAACAAAAAAATTATTTACAACAATTAATTAATTAAATATTTAAATTTAATTTTTAAAATAAATTTTTTTTTGATTTTTAAGTTTTACAAAAATTATAAAAATTAAAATAAAAATTATATAATATTTTTTTTTACTTTTCAAGAAAATTAAATAAAATTTAAGAAATTCTAAGAAAATATTTTTTAAAAAAAAAATTTTTTATTTAATTGTGGGAATAAAAGGAGGAAACGAGAAATATTAAAGTAGAAAAAAGTTTGCCGCGCGAGGTAAAGTCACGGAAAAAGGGCATTTCTTATTTAAAAAATTAATTTTAAAGAAAAAACGAAAAGAGAAAAAAATTTACAGAGAAATAAAGTAAAACAAAATAGCAAATCCATTTGTATTACCTATTTAAAAATTTTAAAATTTTTATGCTATAAAAAATTAAAATTTTGATTAAAAATAAGAGTCAGCTTTTTTTTTGATTGTCTAGGGAGCCTATTTTCCTAGGCCTAGAAATTTTCAAAAACAAAATTTAAAAAAATTTTTCTTTTTAATAAAAAATTATAGCAAAATCCATACTTTTAATATACCGAAGAAAGATTTTTTTGCCAAACAATTTTTTTTAGAAAATTAATTTAATTTTTAAAAGGGCAGATTTAACAATTTTAAGAGCATATTCACTACCCCTTATTCCATTCACAATCCCTCTTACGTACAAAAAATAAATAAGGATTTATGATTAAAAATATCTTCTTTAAATAGAATTAGATGTACAAAAAAGAGGAGATAAGATAAACACGTAATAAATTTCAAAAAAAAAATAAAATAATAAAATTTAAAAAAATAATTTTTACAGAAACAAGAAATAATTAAGAAAATAAAATTTTTATATTTTGTATTAACGTGTGCTTTTAAAATAATATGACCAACAAGAAAAAAAGGGTAGGGTTATTAAACACATATTTTGCTTAAAAAATTGTTAGTTTTTAAAGGATATAATTTTTTTAAAGTTTTTATTCTTTTGAGTAGTTTACGTAAACATTTATTAAATTTTTTTATTAAAAATAAAAAATAAGTAAAAATGTTTGAGAGAAACATTGCAAAAATTAAAATGCTATGTTGTAATTACACTTATTTAAAAAAAATAAATAAATAAAGTCTGTCACTAAACAAAATTTTTTTAATAAAAAATAGAAGAAAAACTTAATAAAAATAAAAATTTAAAAAAAAAAGAAAAATATATATTATGTAGAAAAAAATTTTTTAATAAACAAATTTTTAGGTTGATAAAAAAATAAAAATTGATGAAGAAAAATTTTTTTGATAGCTTGTAAGGTTAATAAAAAAAATAGAAAAATATACTAAATAGTATTTAGAAAAATATTTTTAAATAAATAAATTTTTTTTGTAAAGCTACGAATTTAAATACTAACACATGACAATTAAAAAACTTCCAAAACTAATTTTTTGAAATAATCTATTAAATATTGTTTTGTTTAAAAATATTTATTTTAGTATTATTTTCCCAATGCTTTTTCTTTGTTTTCCTATTTTTGCGCAAAATTTGAAAAAAAAATAAAAAATACAGTATATTATGCAAAAATTTTTTTAATATTAAGGCTGTTAAAAAATTCAAAGTCATTTAGAAAAAATTTTCTTCCTCCCAAAAATAATTAAGAATTTATTTAAATATTCACTGATAAAAAATGTCAGAATTTTAGATTTACGATTTATTTTCTTTTTTAATTTTTGCCCTTCTAAAAGAACTAAAATAAGAAGCTTTTTTTAGTAAAGGCTTCTTATTTTCGCGTCATTCAAAAAACTTTAAAGAGAAATTAAAATTAACTTCCTCCTAAATAGCTTTGTTTAAAGATTTATTTTTAGGACTAAATAATATACACTATCATTTATTTAAGTAAAAAATTGCAACATTTAAAATCCTTAAAAATAAAATTTTTTAATCTTAGAAAATTAAAAAAATTTGACCTTAAAAAATAAAATACAAGCTTAAAATGGTTGTGTACAAAATTAATTTTAAGTGCACAAAAAATATAAAAAATAAAAACTAAAAAAAATATTTTGTCCAAGGTTTCCTATGTACCAACACTCTCCTACAAACATCGCATCAATCCTGTCCTGAGGGGTGTGTTTAAAATTGACTTCTTCTGCCTCACTTCCCTAAGTCAGTTACCTAAATTAATTCGGCTTCAGATGGGTGATTTATTTAGAAGGGTGTGATAAATTAAAAGGTGATATATTAGAGAGATTCTACTGATATTTTTTTATATTTTTTGTAAAAATTAAAATCAAAAAATAAATACATATTTTCTCGCATTATTTTCTTTTCTCTCCCATCTGTCAGCCATAAGGCCCTAACATTTTAAAAAAGAAGCAAAGTGAGAATAATAATAAAAAATCGTTCTGACTAAAAATTTAAAAAATTTATTAAAAAGAAAAAATCTCAAAAAATGAAAAAATATTTTTAAAGACGATTTAATTTTAAAAAAAATTAAAAAATAAATTTTTAATTTAATATCAGAAAAATAAAAAAAATATTATTGAAATATTATTTAAAAAATGATCTTAGAGAATTAAAAATAAAATTAAAGTTAAAAATTAAATTTAAAATTATCTAACTTAATAAAAATAAAATTAAATTATATTTTTATTATTTTGTAAAAAAAATATTTTCTTTCCAAATTTTTAAATTAAATTTAAAGAAAAAAAAACAAAAAAAAACTTCTGTCTTAACTAATAAAACAAAAAGCATTAGGAATGACTTTACTTGAAGCATTTTTATTTTTTTATAAAAAAATAACTGCGCCATAAAAAATTTCCCCATTTTTCTAGCACATATTCATTCAATTTTCTCTTCAAAAAAAATTTTTTCACAATTTTTTCCCAATTTTTTCCTTGCTTTTTTTGATTATTTTATATTATAATAAATCTAAAAAGCATTTCCCCGCATTTTCCAAACTAATAAAATATGTATTTTTTTATTTTTTCAGTTATTTTTTTGATGGGTTTTATTGATGACATTGAAGAAGAGAAAAAATAAAAATAACAGAAAAAAGGAGAAGCATTTCCTGTTATTTTTTAAAAATTAATTTTTACACCTACACCAAATTTAAAATAAATTATAGTACCCCAAACATTATTTCCAGCCTTTTATGTTTTGAATAAATTCAACCTTCTCCAATTAAAAACGAAAAGACCGTATATGCTCGAATAAATACCCTGTATAATTATTCTTCAAACTCTCGCTTGAGGGATTAATTAATAGAGCGGTGATAATTATTTTAGGTTATTTTAAAAGGGATAAGTACATATAACTATTTTTAAAAAAGTAAATTTTTTTCAACATCTGTATGAAGCAGGTATGAATTATTTGAACATATACGGTAGAGAGGAAAAAATAAACTTAATAAAATGCAGAAAAACCGGAAATAACCAAAAAAACCAAAAAAAAAACTCAAAAAATTGTTCTTTATTTTTCAAAGAATAAATACCAAAAATGGCCTATAAAACAAATAAGGAAACTCTTAAAATAAGACGAAAAAAGCAGGTGGTACTAAAAAAGGGAAAAAACGAGGAATAGACAAGAATTATAAAAGATGAGTTTAATTAGCATTTTATTGTTGGAATAAAGGAATAATAATATAAAATTAATTAGGTATATATACTTAATTTTAGTTTTTTATGGTGATATAATAATATCAAAGATGAATTTGAATAATTCCCAAATGAATTAATTATAAAAGGGAAGAAGAATTATATATATATGTAAAAAATTTATAAATGTGACCGGAATTGCCCAAACTATATATTGAGATGATTAGAGTATACAGTCAAATCTCACTGAAGGATATACACAATATTAGATATCAAGGGAACGTGCCGACAAAGAAAATAAAGTCACGAATATAGAATAGATTCGTCAAAAAACGTCGTGACTTGCTGATTTTTGTGAATAAAAAATCATGTTTACTAATAGACACCATGGGTGTTCCGAGTTTACAAAATTTAAAGAAATATTTAAAAAAACATATAGATTTTTGGGTAGCTTCGAGCTATACCCTTGACCCTACCTATACGTGACTATAGTCTAATCACCGATTTTTGGGAATTTAATCATAACTAAAAAGTTTAACCATTATTATAACAAATATAATTAACCCAAATTAGCTTAAAAAGTGAAGGTGGTAGGTAAAAATGCAAGTTATTCATTTTCAAATTAAATATAAACTAAAACGCATTTTTAGCAAGTTTTTTTTTCAAGTTTTCTTAGAAGGAAAAAAATGCTAATTTTTTTATCCATATTTAAATATATTTGGAGGAAGCATTTAAAGAATATATAAATGGAAAAAAATAAAGAACAATTAAAAATAAAAGAATTTCTATATCAGGCTTATATTTTGCTAAAATTAAATGGCAAATTATACATATTTATAAGAAACATATCGTGAAAATAAAAAATATAAAGAAAAGTTGCAAAAAACTAAAATTATATTATACATATGTATTGACAGCCGATCCCATAATTTAATGAAATAAATGGACATTTGATCCCAAAAAGTTTTATGAACATGACTATAAATAATTTTGATCTATTTTCCCTTTCATAAAATAATTTTAAAGAATTTGGTTCCTTAAAAATAGTGTTGGTAGACATTTAATCCCACTATATACAAAAATATTTAATTAAATTCAAAACGGATTGAGTCATTTTTTAATATTATGTAATAAACTAATAATAAATTTTTTCCCCATATTTCTCCCCTTTAATTAAACCAAAAAATTATTTTTCCCTGTTTCCGTCATCAAACGCGTCAATTTTTTGCAACTTTGCATAAATTATTTAATTGCTTCTTTAAGGGGCTTCCAAAATTATTTTGTTATTACGCATGTTTAGATAACAACCAAAAATGATTTAAAAATTAGTTAAATTATTTAAAGAAATAAAAAATAAATTTTTTTTGAAAATATTAAAAATTAAATTATACGAGTAAAGAAGGAAAAATGATGATGTCAAAAATTTTAAAAATCAAAAATTTATTTATGGAAAAAAATAAAAAAGTTCCTCATTTAAAAATTGTTTGTTGCCTACATAGCAATTATCAAAAAATTAAAAAAATATAATTTTAAAAATTTCTGACAGAAGATTTAATTAATGACGAAAAATTATAAAATTCAAAAGATTATAAATAGTAAAATATAATTTCTAGGTTGCAAACCAAATTACGTGATTTTATATTTTTTAATATTATTTAAAATTGAAATATACTCCTTTTTTAGTTTTTTAAATGATAATTTAATAAATTAAAAAAAATTTAAAATCACGCAATTAAATTGAGAAAAGTAATCTTAATGGTTGTTAACCCCCTAAGAAGTTCATAAGCCATACGGAAATATAGTTCGTTTAATGAACAATTTTTAGAAATTTTTTAGATACATTGTAAATTTGAAAAATACAAAAAATGAAAAATTGTGTTTTTGCAAAAAAAATTGAAAATAAAAATTATGTTGTATTTAGGAAGAAAAAAGAAAGAAACGTTATTTTAAAAAATTTAAAAAAAAAATTGTAATTGAAATAGCCTTATGTTTAACAGAAAAAAACAATATTTTCCTGATATAAATTTTCAAAAAACTTAGGATTGGGCGTTTTTCGGGAAAATAAATGAAGCAGGAAAATATGTATATTTAAAAATAAATAAATGATTTTTATAAGGTTTCAATTTATTCTCAAGAGTATAATAAAACACTAGACTTAATGACAAATTTAAAAATATATATCCAAGAAAAATAGAATAAGTACACCCACATCCACGAATCCGTGCCTATTTATGTTATTATTAGAATTATAGTTCAAATGATGTGATAAAATAATATTAAGAATATATATAAGGTATATAAGGTATATAAGGTATTTAGTCAAATAATTACCCTTAGCAATTATTGCTTCAACCTCTCGCTTGAAGGAGTAATTAATAGAGAGGGGATAATTATTTGAGGTTATTTTAGAAAGGCTAATTAAAAGGCCTAAAGAAAAAAAAGCTAATTCTAAAAAAAAAGCTAATTCTAAGTTTTGTGTAAATACGATAAAAATAATAATAAACGACAAAAAATAATAAAATTTAAAGTTAAGCTTATTTTTCACATTTAAATTAATAATTAAATTAACAAGACAGAAAATTTCAATTAAAAACCTACAAATAATTAAATACAAACAAAATTAAATGTCTGAGAAAATAGTTTATTTTTTCAATTTTCTGTCATGTTTTAAATATTATTTAAAAAATAAATCCACCTGACGCAATTGTCCGTATTGAGTAAATGACACCAATATTGAGACACAAATTCTTGACCAAAAAAAAAATAATTTTGTTGATAAATCAGTTCAAATAGTGTTGTTAATATTAAATATAAAATTTAATTTTCCATAAACTAAAAATCTTTTAAAAATTAAAATTAAAAAATAAAAATTATTTTCAAGTAAATAACTGGCAATTTAACCAACAAAACACAAATTAATTATTTAAAATAAAAGTTTATTTAATAGTCGGTGCCCTTGGGAAAATGTGCGTGCATATTATTTAAAAATAAAGGGTAAAAACTTTAAAAAATATGAGTTTGTTAGAGCAAAATCTCTTTAATTTCCATTATCTTTAAAATTAAAAAATTGTAAATGTAACAAATAAGCAGGTGATATTCTATGGGAAAAGGTGAATGTTTGCGTGTTTTGTTAGACAAAGACGTTATTGACAAAGCACAGGTAGAAATGATACAATTAAATGAAAAATAAGGGCTTTAATATATAAAATATTTTCCGGAAAAGAAATATAGAAATTGTTCCGGTTCCTATAAAGCATAATTTCCGGAAATTAAATATAGAAATTATTCCGGTTTTAATAGAAAATTAGTAATTCCGGAAAAGAAAAATAGAAGTACATATTTTCCGGAAAATAGAGATACAACTTGTTCCGGCTTTTTATAGAAAATAGAAGTATTTTCCGGAAAACAGATATATTTTGACCTTTCCGGAAAATATTAATTAATACTTCATAAAACAATTTCTGAACTTTCCGGAAAACATTTAAATACAAGTGCTTTTATAGTAAAAGAAAAAGACTAGTTATAAACATAAACATGTTGTGAGATTGCATGTATTACGACTCCAATTATTTTTCAATTGTTTGTTTTAAAAGTAAAACTAGTAGCTTACTTTAAACATTAAAGTTCATTTCTTTTTAAACAAACAAAGAATGTTTCCAATAAATTTTAAATAAACAAAATTTAATTATTAAGTAAAATGTGTCTAGAAAAAATATTGCAAATTCTCACAACAGGTGAATAATTCATTTTAAATTAAAAAACTAATTCTCAATAATTTTCCAAAGCTTAAAATTCAGTTAAAAAATAATTTTAAAAATTAAAAGACTAGGGAAACAAAGAAAATTTGGAAAAAAAAAATTTAAAAAATTTTTCACGTCAATTTTCAGTCTCATCCAGCCAGTAACAATTCAATAGAATGGAATACATGTAGAGTTGAGTGTTTTGGATTGGAATGTTTTTGACATTTTTGCTTTTGTTGTTCTTTATTTTTTGTTTTTTGAGTAGACTGAGGTGTTGACTGACCAAAATCTTTAAAATTAAATTTTTTTTAAATTATTTTATAATTTTTTTATAATTTATCCCCCAGTCATTGTAAATTTTTTCTAATTTTTATTTTCTCCAACCGGCCAAGTGCCCTTTTTTGATTTATTACATAAAAATTCCCAGATTTCCCCGTGTTTCTAATTTTGTTATTTTTTATATTCCAAACACTTTAGAAAATACATATGGACATAAATAATGTTTTTAGCAGAAGAAAATTGAAAAAAATATTGAAAAATGTTTTTAAAGAAAAAGGACATTTCCGTTTAAAAGGAGTCACTTTTTAATTAAAATTTTAAAAAATTTTTTAAACCTACTCGAAGTAGACACCTTGTCCAAAGCTTCATTATTGATACATTTCTCAACATTTTCAGGATTTTGAAGTTCATTGTCATTTTCCTTGCGTATTTGCCGTTCAATTCTGTCCAGAAAACGTCTCTTCATGTTCAACGAACAGAGTGAACACCTTTAAAAAATTTTCAAAAATTAAAAAAAAATATATTTTTAAAATCACATGCAGTCACGATTTGGACATTTTTGCTTGTGCCCCTTCTTTGGCTGATTGTACTGACCACTGAAAAAATTTTTTTAATCAATTTAACAAAGAAAAACTGACTGATTCGCGCAAAGTTGACACATATACAAGTCTTTTGGCATTTTTGGAAGAAATAAAAAGTCCAATTTTTAAGGTCAATTCATTTTATTTTATCCACCAAAAAGTGTTGTTTTTTCAGTGTCAATCTGTTGTTGTCTTTTTTCCTCATCTCCGCCCACTTTTGCCAAATTTTTTGCGTCCAAAAGCAATTAAAAAATAAAAGATAACATTCTAAATTTAAAAAAAAAATTTAAAACATTTAAAATTAAAATTGAATCCGAGTTCCTTCAAAGAAAGTGAGAGAAAAAAAGAAATGGGACCAAATGTCATTTAAATAAAAATAAATAAACATTATGCCAAATAAGAAAAAATCTTAAAAAAATTTTTTTTCACTGAAAAAGTTATTATCTCGTTCCTTATTTTGCTAAATTATAAAAAATCTTCTTTACAAATTTTAAAATTTTCAGTTGTATAGTACTATGACTTCTTCTAAATTTATTTTTGTTACTCGTGATAACGACGAAATTCAAATTCCACCACAATTTTGCGATAAAATTGCTTTTATTAAAAATTTTGTTGATACTTATGAAAATGTTAAAAGTATGTACATTTAAATAAAATTTTTAATCAATTTTTTATAACTTTAGAAATTCAAATTCCATCAAATGCACCAAAAACAGGAAAAGAACAATTGGAAATAATTATCAAATTTTTGGAGACTTTGGAAGCTAATAAGGCCTTTGATGAGGAATTTGATAAGAGCAATCAACCAGGAGATGAAACGGTTTATTTTTGATTTTTTGGGATTTTATTAGGGAAGGGGATTTTTAGAAATCAAGGGTGGAGTAATTTTCGATCCATTGATCCAAGCTGGTTTCCACTGACCCAATCGAGACCCTAGCCAATTTCTAAGACACCTCTAAATGAAAGATTAAGATTAACTTTTAAAATAGAAACTTGAACAAAGCCTTTGATCCGGGCCGAAACTCCAGAATGTTCATTGCTGGGTTCAGGATGCAGGAGAAACCCGGGCCTTGTTTCAATGTCAGACCAGGAATGGGCCCTTCCGTCTTCTTATAAGACGGAAGCAGAAGAGGGTCCAAGCAGAAGAGGTCCTTGGGTCCAAACCATTTTGTTTCCTTGGACCCTTTTCTTAAGCTCAAATTAAACTTCCACTTTTTTAGAACACCCGAGCTCGATCAAATTCTCTGACAAACAATTTATGGATAAAGAATTTTTTCGACAAATATCAACGTTCACAACTTTTTGAAGCAATCGAATCTGCAAATTTTTTGGGAGTTGTTGATTTTGTTGATCCTCTAGCTGAATATATTGCTCAAAAAATTACACAAATAAAAAGTACTAATGAAATGACCGAATTTTTGGGATATCCGATGGAAGAAGAAATGAAAGAATTATTTGAAAAATTTGAGAAGGAAAATGAAGAAGCTCATCAACAACAAAAAGAAAAGGAAGAGAAAGAAGCTTTGAAAATGAAAGAGGAAGAAGATAAACGATTAAAAGCTGAAGAAGCTTGGTCTGAAGCTTTAAATGAGCCTGATGCTAAAAATGATGATGACGATGATATTGGTTTGCCTTAAAAATTGAGAGGAAAAAAGATTTCTTTTTATTAAGTAAGGTTTGTCGAAAAATATATTTATTTTAAAAAATCCCAGAGATATAACTATAGTATAGTTGTTTTAGTAATTTATTGAAACGTTTTTGCTTTGAATTCTTTAAAAAAATCAATTGTGGTCCGAATTTTGGGGATGATACCGGCTGAAAAAATAAGAATGGCTAGGTTTCAAAATTTTCTTCGGGGTCCAAACAATACCCTCTTTTAGTGTCTTTTGTAATGCAATCATTTTCAATAAAACTGGAGAACCAAAAGAGAAAAACTTACCACCTTTAGAGGATCACAATTGATTTTTTTCTAACATCAATCACTTTATTTATCATTTTTGAAAAGTATTCTATATCATTCTCGTTTTGATTTATTAAATATTAAAAAAATTTTTTTTAATTAATGCAAGTAGAGACCGGGCCGAGACAGGATCTCTAATGAAAATCTCGGTTATCGAAAGCAATACTTTCCGAAATCTCATTTCTCATACAACTAGAGATCGGCCTGGGTCTGGACCAAGGTCTAGGTTTTTCCTGGACTACACAGGCCCAGGTCAATAAATCAAACCCGGAACTAGGACAGGCCCAGGATTTTCTAAAATATCAATCTCTACAAACAACCCTTCCAGTCTGATCTCCATTTTCAAGACGACCAAATTTGGAACTAGTATAAATAAAAAAATTGTAAAATTTGTCAACATATAGAAAATTGCTGATACACATAAAATTTCTTTAGAATCACAGAGGAGGGGAGGGGTAACTATAAATATAAACAACTTTAAAATTAAACCCTCCAATTGTCACATTATTCTTCTTCAATCTTTTTAAGATTAACCAAACAAAAGTTTTTTGGTACACTTTGTCCAATAGAACAATTTATTGAATCCACAATTGCGTCAAATGGTGTTCTAAAAATTTTTTTTCGATTTTTTAAAATTTAAAAAAACCTAATTAAATATTCCATTTTCATAGCATTCAAAGCCACTAAACTTTGATTTTTTTCTACTTTATCCCCAACATTTACAAGCAATTTTTCAACAATTCCAGGCATTGGAGATTTTGGGTTTCCATCAATTTCTGATGTTCCTAAAAATTCTTCCGAGTCAAAAATCTCTTCATCCAAAGAAATAGAATTCCAAGTAGAATGTCCAGAACCAAAAACCTTTTTAAGAAAAAATTTTCAAAATTTTCAAAAAAAATAATTAAATTCCTAAAAAATTAAAAAAAAGAATTTTCAAGTAAAATTTCAAAAAATTCGAAAATTTCAAGTAAATTGTCAAAAAAAATTTTTTAGTTAAAAAATTACTTAAGAAAAACTTCCAAAAAACAAAAAATTTCTCAGAAATTTTTACAAAAATTTGTCAAAAAATTTAAAAAAATAACCGCGATTTTTTCATTCATTTTAACAGCTTTACATTTCCATCTTTCACATCCTTTGGATATCAATTCAATTTTAAATTGAATTCCATTTTTAAAGGTTTTTGAAGTTTTAAATTTATTTATTTCTGAAATTAATATTTCTTCTTCTATCTTTCCACTTTCTTCATTTTCCAAATTTCCTTCAATTTTATATTTATTATTTCCCAAAATTTCAACGGTTAATGTATTGCTGCCCAAATTAATTGTTCTTTTTGCTTTTTGATTAAGGCGAAAATAAGGGAGTAAAAGAAAAGGATTTGAAGTTGTTGAAGAATTTGGTGTCTGAAAAATAAGAAAAAATTATTTTATGGAAGATCAGAATTTTTCAGAAAATCAGAATTTATTTTTCAGAAAGACAGAATTTTTGTAAAATCATAATATTCTGATTTTAAAAACCCTGAAATTCTGATTTGTTTCTGATTTTAATTTTCAAATTCTGGTTTTAAAATCTGAAAAATCAGAATATTCTGATTCAAAAAATAATTTTCAGGAAAATCAGAATTCTGATTTTATGGAGATCAGAATAAATTCTGATTCAAAACTTTTGATGAATTCTGATTTTTATGGGAAATCAGAATTTATTTTACAAAATGCCTTAGGGATTTTTCCATTTCAAAAAATCAGAAAACCCATAAATTAAAAAATAAAAACCTTACATCCAACAACACAAAAGCAATAGCCGATTCCAAAAGAACATAAAAATCATTTTCCTTCTTCATCGGCATCAATTCATTGATATGTTCAGGTATAAAATCAGTGTATAAATCACCAGACAAGAATTTTTCATGTTTTAAACAACTCCGAACAAATTCAACATTATTAAAAATTCCTCCAATTTGTGTTTGATTTAAAGCATTTTCCAATTTAAAAATTGCTTCTTCCCTCGTTTTTCCTTTTGCTATTATTTTTGCAATCATTGGATCGTAAAAAACAGTCACTTCATCTCCTTGTCTTATACCAGAGTCAACACGAACGTTTTTAGGGAATTGTAGATATTCGAGAGTGCCTGCTGTTGGCATAAAATTTGCGTGACTGTCTTCTGCATAAATACGGGCCTTTAAAATTTTTTTTGAAAGTTTAAAAAACTAAAAAATTAACCTCAATGGCATGGTCAATTAATTTAATTTCTTCTTGTTTCAGTGGAAGCTGTTCACCAGCAGCTACTCGAAATTGCCATTCTACCAAATCCAAATTAGTGATAGCCTTAAAATTGAGATCTAAATATTTCTAAAGGTACTTTTAGGATATCCCGCCTTCTACTGGTTGAGTCCTGAGAGTTATTCTTAAAAAGTACATAATGGCCAGACCTTCTCCCATCCTCGTTCTACTCCATTTCTCTGTGGCATATGAGAGACAATAAAGAAAGCGAAGAAAGCCTGACATTTATGTACATCTTAAGGATTCAGAGACTCAAATGGGGGCGAAATATCCCAAAATATCCCTTCTAACAATAAATATTAAAAAGAAAAACCTCAGTCACAGGATGTTCTACTTGAAGACGAGTATTCATTTCCATAAAATAAAATTGCTCGGATTCGGTGTCAAAAATAAATTCAACAGTCCCAGCACCAACATACTTCACTGCGGCCGCGGCGTTTACAGCTGTACGCCCAAGCCAATGACGAGTCTCAAAAGACAAACCAGGAGCGGGCGCTTCCTCAATAATTTTTTGATGTCTACGCTGTTAAAAAATTAAATAAATAAGGTCGAGAAAAATAACCTTTCATACTTGAATGCTGCAATCTCTTTCCCAAAGATAAACATAATTTCCGTTCATATCACCAAAAATTTGAACCTCCACCTAAAAAAATTTTTTCAGAAAAATTTTTTCGAAATTAAAATCTAACGTGTCTAGGCCTTGTAACAAACTTCTCCAAAATCATGTCTGTGTTGCCAAACGATTTTTGAGCTTCGGAACGGGCCGATTCCAACGATTCGAGAAAATCCTTTTCTGACCAGGCTATACGCATTCCTTTGCCTCCGCCCTGAAAATTAAGTTTAAAGAGAATTTTTGATTAGACTAACCCCGCAGACAGCCTTCATCATAACAGGAAAGCCTAAAATAAAATAAAACTAGGAAAAATAATGGGACTGATGTCGTTTCCCTCCAACTCAATTTTCAATGAAATGTACATAATGGTCAGACTTTTTAATCTCGATAAATTCTATTTATTTTCCCTGCAGAATTATCCTCCACCTGCATGTAAGAAAACAGACTGAATAAAGTTACAGATAAAATAAAATGAATTAATGAAAAAAAAGCCTGACAATTAAGTAAACTCTACAAAATCGCGTGGGGGAAGAGAACCGACAAAAGCACAATTAATAAATAAAATTCAGACCTATTTGTTTTGCCTCTTCCAACAAATTTTCTTCCTCCTGATTCGATCCATTATATCCCTGAATAACCGGAACTCCCGCCTAAATTTTTTGTTTTTAAACAAAATCGGTTAAATACCTCAATCATTATTTGTTTTGCTTTGTTTTTCATTCCCATATCATATATTGCTGAAGGTGGAGGGCCAATAAAAATAATGTTGTTTGAGGCACAGAGTTGAGCAAAGTGGGAGTTTTCGCTGAGGAAGCCATAGCCAGGGTGAATTGAATCGGCCTGGGCAAGTTTGGCAATTTCAATGATTTTGTCACTATTAAGGTAGCTTTGTGAGGGAGTTGCTGGGCCAATCCGATATGAGGAGTCCGCTAGAGAAGCATGCAAAGAATTTGCATCGACGTCGGAATAGACTGCGACAGTCTTGAAGTTTTAAGGGTTTTAGGAGGGTTAAAATGAAAGAAACCTCGATTCCCATCATTTTTGCCGTTTGCATGACCTGAATAAACGAAAAAATAAAAATTCTGTTAAAAATTCTTACCCTGACAGCAATTACGCCTCTATTGGCAATCAAAACTTTTTTGATCCGATTTGAATGGGACTGTCGTATAAAGCACAGATTTGAAGAATTGTAAGGAATTAGACGAAAATTGAGAAGGGAAAGCATGGAGTACATTGGAAATCCTGAAAATTCGAAAAAAATGAGAAAATTTTCAGCTGACTGCCTCGAGAAAATTTAAAAAATTTAAATTTTGGCGTTAATAACATAATGCCAAATTGTGTTCAAAAAATATTTTTAAAAATTTGGCTTCACTTTTTATCGATTTTCTGATTAGATTAGGTTGTTTTGCTTTTGTGATTGATTGTTATCTGTTTTGTTTTTGTTTGGGGTTTTTTTCGTTTTTCGTGTTTCTTTCGAGTTTCTTTGTTTGTTTTTCGTTTAATCTCTTTATCTTTTATCATTTATCACTTCTTTTCTATTTTTCTAAAGCGCGCGAGGCAAAAAATGCGAAAAAAAACTAAAATTTTCAAAATTAAAAATTTCTTTCTCAACTTTTTTACTTATAGGCTGGCAGATGCTCTACATTGTGGTACGTCTTCGAGCGAAATTTGGATGATTTTTCAAAATGCTTTTTTTCAAGTTGATGTGCAGCTGTGGCAGCATGGAATGGTGTGGTCGGGCTGGTGTGGTTGATTTTTAAAAAATTTTTTTAAATTTAAAATCTTTTAAATTAAATATAAAAATTTTATTTTTGAGATTTGGGGGCTTTCAGCTGTGGATGGTGGAAGAACATGCTTTTGAATGGTGGAAGAACATGCTTTGAATGGTGGAAGAATATGGTGTGGTGTGGTTTTTAAAAAAATTTTTATTTTTTTAATTAAAAAAATTTTTAAATTAAATTTTTGATTTTACAAGATCTGGGGGCTTTCAACTGCTGTGTGGTGGACTGGAAGAATATGCTACTGGGTGGTGGAAGGAATATGGGCTGGTATGGTTCTTAAAATTTTTTTATATTTTTTTAAAAATTTTAATTAAAAAATTAAATTTTTTTGATTTTTAGAGATTTCGGGGCTTTCAGCTGTTGGGTGGTGGAAGAATATGCCGTTGAATGGTGGAAGAACATGCATTGGATGGTGGAAGAAGATGCTTTTGGTGGTGGCTGAAGATGCTCATTTTGGATGTAAGTTTGCCATGATTTAAAAAAAAACAAAAAAATGCGAGCTAAAAATTTTTGCGCAATTGCGATCTTTTCTTCTCTCATTCTTCTCTTTCATTTCTCTTCTCTTTTTCAAATTTTGCAGATCAACCTGTCTTCCATTGTAGTGCCGTGGATGGGACAACATCTACAACACCAGAATATGGACGGCAACTTTTCTGTGCCACTAAACTAGGAGAACGGGCCCCTGGTTTACTGCGTCAAAAAAGTTTTAGGCCGTTTCGAATTTGTGTTTTTGTAATAAAATTTTTTGGCATAATGTATTTTTTTCAAACATTTTTCTCTCTCTCCATTGTTTAAGTTTTTAGAGAAAAAGACAAAAACGAGAGGAGAGTTAAAAATGGGGTGAGAGAAAGTCGTGTCCGGTTAACTCATCTATTCGTTAACTCATCTACACGGCCAAAAACGTTCAACTCATCTAAACGGCTAAAATTCCTTAACTCATCTACACGTCCAAAAAGGGTCAACTCATCTAATCGTTAACTCATCTATTCGTTAACTCATCTACACGGCCAAAAAGGGTCAACTCATCTAATCGTTAACTCATCTATTCGTTAACTCATCTACACGGCCAAAAACGCTCAACTCATCCAATCCTTTGGAACGAGACTATTGAGTACCAGTCGTTTGAGTCTCTCGCCGTCTGAGTCTCTGGCCGTTTGAGTCTCCGGCCGTTTGAGTCTATGGTAAGTAGGGTCCATGGCCGTTTGAGTCTCCGGCCGTTTGAGTCTCTGGTAAGTAGGGTCCATGGCCGTTTGAGTCTCTGGTAAGTAGGGTCCATGGCCAGTTGAGTCCATGACCAGTTGAGTCCATGACCAGTTGAGTCCATGGCCAGTTGAGTCTCTAGCCGGTTAAGTCCCTGGTCAGTTGAGTCCCGGCCGTTTGAGTGGTTGATTACCGCCGGTTGAGTCTTGGGCCGGTTGAGACTCAACTGACCAGGGACTCAACCGGCCGATATTTCAAGGATTGGATGAGTTGAGCGTTTTTGGCCGTGTAGATGAGTTAACGAATAGATGAGTTAACGATTAGATGAGTTGACCCTTTTTGGACGTGTAGATGAGTTAACGAATAGATGAGTTAACGATTAGATGAGTTGACCCTTTTTGGACGTGTAGATGAGTTAACGAATAGATGAGTTAACGATTAGATGAGTTGTATAGGAGCCGAGAAAGTCTTTTCGCTTCTCTTCTTCTTTCCCCCATTTGAGTCGATAATTTACCCATTTCAGTTTTAGTTGCTATTAAAATTTTCTTATTTTATTATGAGCGAGATTGCTGACCATCAATTTGAACCTGCTCCTGTGATTGATACAAATGACAGCGAGTTTAAAACGTTAGTTTTAAAAGATTTGTTTGGGGGATTTCGGGTTAGACAATCTTTCGAGTTGTCAGACCGGAAATTTTGTCCTTATTGAGTGACTCAAATTTGCGTTAAGCTTTGAGTACCTCAAAATTTTTTGGTTTCCATGTTGAGTACTTTGTTGAGTACTTCCATATTCGGTCTAATAATGTTTCCTCGTCAGACCTCCGATGGCTCCATTACAACAAGGATTGCAACAAGACATTACAACTCGACGAAACAGACCCAAGTATCTGTATGAGGGTGCTTTGTACGTCTACCATGGGATGAGCTCAAAAAAGGATGCAAAGTACTGGCGATGTGAATTTTTTAATGCAAGAGATATTAAATGCAGAGGTTTTTTCTTGTCTTAAATTTAAGTTTAACTGCTCTAGGACGTCTACACACTGATCTTAATGATGTTGTCATACGCCAAATTGGTGATCACGTTTGCAATCACAATGCTGCACGTGTTGAAGCGCAACGAATCTTGTCTGGTATTAAGCGTCGTGCGATGGTCACAACAGAAAAACCTCTTCAAATTCGAAATCAGACGCTTCAGAATACTCCAATGGCTGTAGTTGCTGCAATGCCTAGCAAGGAAGCAACGAAAAGGGTTTATTTTTAATGGTGAAAGCTTCTAATAATCGACATTTTAAAGATGATTAAACGTGCTCGTCGTGGAATTGATATGAACACATTATTGAATCCTCATGCTTGTCCTATATTCAAACAAGATAATGGCGATCATTATATGCCTGGAAATATGGTTTATACTGAAATTGATGGACAAAGGTTTGCCGTTTTTATATTATGGATAAAGGTAGAGTTTACTAGTCCCTAAGAAAACTAGGAAGAAGGTACTCAACATGAAAACCGAAAATTTAAACTAAATCTGGGGTATTCAAATCTTTATGCAAATTTGAATTACTCAATAATGACAGATTACCTATCCGCACAGGTCTACCTTGGTTGAGATTTACCAAACAGAACTCGATTACTTACTGGTAAATCTCAAAAATATCTCAAGTTACCTCCCTCATTTTTTGGTGACCAGTAAACTCTACCTTTACCTATAGGATGTTTCAAAATTTATTTTCAGGGTTGAAAGCTTTGAACACATCCCATCTGATTTTACAAAGGGTGACGGAATTGAAGAAAAATGGCCACGAGTCGGAGGAACTTATGGAGGTGGTGGGACTCCACAAATGGGGTCTTCTACTAATTCGCATGGAGCAATTGGCGGCATGGATGGGTACTCGAATAATCGCCAAGAAACTAAAACAGGTGCAGGTCGTCCACGTAAAAAGTTTTAAATTTATTTTAATCATATTTTTATTCCTATTTTTTAAGAGTTAAGCAAGAATATCTTTTACCGCCACCACAACCAATAGCGATTTTGGACAGAACACTTCCACATGTTTTTGTCAATAGAAAAACAAATGAATTTAGTTTTAGCTGTAATATTGCTGGGTATACTCCGGAAGAGTTGCAAGTTGAACTTGTTGGTGCTGAGGTTTGGAATTTTTATTTTAACGGCAACTTGTCTAACAATAAGTTTTTAGTCCTTAAATAATATTCTTTGAATTTCCTAATCTGATTTTCTTTTTCTGAGTCCCAGATTGCAACTTTTTATTTACAATAGTATGGTGTAATGCTAAAACGTTGAAATTGCAAACGTTGTTTACACTGTTTGGAATTTCGCAGGCTTTTGGAAGTTGACATTTTGTCGTTTTGGCCTTTCATATTTTTGAGATCCAGAGGGAGTTTATCAGTGGGTTAGCTATGTGAAGCATTTTTCCCCGTTAGGTTTTTGCATTTAGTAGGGGCGAACTTTTTGTAATTATTGCTGGCTAACTTTATTTATTTTTTAGTTAGTAATTAGCGGGGCTCATAAGCAACAAACAATAAATCAATCATTCACTGCATCATTTTCACGACGTATATTACTTCCAGAGGGAGTTCATAAAGAAACAATTTAATGTAGTGTTGATGATAAAGGTTTATTAAATGTTATTGGTCAATTAATGCATGTTGGAAAACCAAAAACAATTCAACAAGAATTACAACAACAAATGCAACGACAACAAATACAAGAACAACAGCATTTACATGAGGAGCAGCAACATTTACACGAGGAACAGCAATTAGAACAGCAACAACAACCTTCTGCGTCGTCTGCTGTGACTGGTGAAATTGATGTTGTTTGAGGGTTTTGAGGGAATTTTTTGAAAGTTTTTTTTTAATTTTGATAAGGCTGAAAAGGAAGTGACAACTAAAAATTTAATATTTTATTATTTTGAGCAAGAGTTTTGGTTGTATTCTGATTCTGAAAAATTTTTAAAATTTTTCTGATTTTTTTATTTAAGTATATAAAAAGCTTTTTTTTGATTTGGCCTTAAAAATATCCCTTTTTTAGTTTTCCGAAAACGGTATGAGGCTGTAATACCGAACGCCTATACAAATACCAAATCCTCCAAAAAATACGAAAAATACAAAAATGTGGATTGTTAACCACCTTCAACGTAATTTGAACATATTTTTCCACAGTTTGGTATTTTGGGAGTTTATGGAGGGGTTTGGTATTTCGGCATTTGGTTGGTTACAGCGCGACACTCAAACGTTAACATATTTTATATACTTAAATATTTATTTTTTCTCCTCCTCTAAAGTTATTCACACTTTTGACGTTTCAATACTTTTTTTAAAAAAGTTTTTACTATTTTTTAAAAAAATAAACTTTGTAAAATTATTTTGATAATTTTGTCATTTTTTTGTTTTTGTCAATTAATTACCTTTTTTTAATTTTCTTTTTTCGCTTATTTTTTTAGTCATTTTTTTTACAAAAACACTTCGTCAATCATTTCTTCAATTTTCTCTGCTTACTCAAATGACAGACAATTCAGAAGTTAAAAATGAGAAAATGGTTCAGGTTTTTCTTTCTTTGCTCAAAAAATATTAATTTTTAAATTTTTAGCCTGAATATGTGATTGTGGCAAAAAGCCTGGATGAGGAGGCTGAAAGAATTGAATTGCCGGCGGATAATGATGGATCCCTGGGAATCCAAACGCTTGCTGGTGCTTTCCCTGGAGCACATGGATTGAAGTATAAGAACCCTGCAACGGGGGCTTTTCGAGCGCTTTTGTAAGAAATTTTTTTTGATTTTTGAAGGTGGTATTTGTTTAATTTTTAAGGATTGATCCTGCTGGAACGAAATTCTTTCCACCAGCAGATGGATGGGAAAATAAAGGTTTTTTTTATTTTTAGGTTTGGAGACTATTATTTTTTAATTTTAGTGTTTGTTGTCATTTGTAAACAGCAAGATCCAGCACCAGAAAAAGTTCAGCCCAAGAAAGGTATATTTAAAGTTTTTTTGTGTGTTTCTGATTAGGTTGGAGAATATTTGAGAAACAATTTTTTAATATCCAGCCTTGCATGTGTTTACTATAATTCGCAAGAACTTCCTGTAAATGCGAATTAGTATTTTTTCATTTGATTTTGGTATTTTATGTTAACGTTTGTGTCAATTAAAGACTAAATTAGAGAGTGTTTTACGTGATTAATATTTTCGTTCTGGTCAGTGTTGTTGCACGTAAAAAATAAATGTAAATAAGGAATAAATTATAGCTGTTATTTGAATTAGGTAAGGTTCCTCCATCTAGTTAATTTTTTTCTGCAACAAGCCCATAGAGGTAAAAACTGTTTGATTTCCTAAGGACGTATTTTTGTCATGTTTTTTGTTAAAATTTGTTATAGGTGATCAAAACGCAAAGCGTCGAAAATTAATGGTTGAAAGTGATGATGGTGATTCTCATGATAGTGATAGTGATCGTCCACCTGGTGAAAAATTGCGTAATAAAAATAGTGGTGGAGGTGGTGAAACAGTTAAGCGTCAAATTGGTGTTTCTAAACAAAAACGAATGATGGGAAGTGTTGATAATGGTAGTGGTGGTGGTGGAGGATTAATAAGTAAATATGATAATTATCCTGTTGAATATGTTGATGAAATGTGTGAAGAAGAACAAAATGTATTAAATTTTCCAAATAGAATGGTTGATTTACTTGTTCTTGGACTTCCGTTTGAATTGACTGAAGAAGAATTAAAAAAACATTTTGAAACATTTGGAAAAGTTGTTCATTGTGAGGTCTGAATTTTTTTTGCTTTTTTTCTGTTGGTTTAAGTTTTTTTGCTTTGAAATTTAAAAAAATGAAAAGGAAAAAATTTTTTCTTTTCAAGGTAAAAATACAAAAAGGGTCAAACACGAATCGTGGTTTTGGTTTTGTTCAGATGAATGATTTGGAATCTCAACGAAAGGTTTTACAACAAAAGACACATTATATTGGTGGGCGTGCTTGTCAAGTCAAAGTTCCATTTACTAAAGTATATTAAAATTTTATTTTCTTTTTTGGTTGGTTAGGGGTGTGATAGGATTTTGTATGTGTCGATGAGACGCGGAATGGAAATTCCAGATTTTAATTTATACTCAAAAGGTCCTGGTTAGGTTGGGGCTAGTTCATCTAAATGAACTTGGCTGGCTCCTTATAGGAACGGGGACTCGGTAATTATGTGTTAGAACGGTGACTCCGAACAGATTAATGACGTTTGCAAGTGGACGTGTTGCCAGATTAAAAAAATTTTTTTAAAACATATTTAAGAATGCCCTATCTTCCAAAGTATTCGTTGGACGAATTAAAGAAGGAACTACAACAATGGATTTACGCGAATTTTTTGCTGAAGAGGCACGAAAAATTGAACCAGATTCAACTATAACAGATGTTTATATTCCTCGTCCATTTCGTTCTTTTGCTTTTGTCAGCTTTTCTTCACCAATTGTGGCAAAGGAATTGATAAAGTTTGTTTAAAGTGTTCTTAAATGGGATGGTCACCGGCCCTTAGTTGCCCCTCAAATTTCTGCCTTTTCCTCATTTCGGGAAGGGGGACTTTAGCTCCAGAAGCCCCCTGGCTACGCCATTGCCTTAGAGAACTATTTCGTCGAATACCGTGTCGGGGATCTGAATATGGGACCTAAAAATAAATTATTAAGCGTGGACGGCAAATTGGAGGTTTTGACTTTAAAAATTTTTTATTTTTAAAGGGTTGGACAATTTACTATGGGTGAAAATCAAATTTATGTATCGTCTGCTCATAGTACACGGCCACCAAACACTACACAACAACAACAACTGGTTGACAATTCTTTGTCAAGTTATCAACATCCTTTTAAACCAAATGCACAGGTTTATTTTTTCTCTCAATTTCTTTTAAAAAAATTTTTTCAAAGAATTTTTTCACTGATTGGTATGGTTCACATGCAGGAGGAGCACATGGAGGAGATTTAACAGGAACTCCTTCTCTTGCAAGTCAAATTGTTTCATCAGCAAATTTACCACTTTATCCAAGCCATGCTTCAATGTTTACACAAGCATATCAACAACAACCAGTTTTTATTGGTAGTCAAAATGCTCCTCCACATTCTCATCCTCCACCTGGTGTTGCTCCAGGAAATCAAATGTTAAATCAATTGGAGACTTTAAATTTGAATAATATGGGAATTGGACATGAAGTTGTAAATGCTATAAAGGCTATATTTTCGGTTTGTTCTTCTTTGTTGAATTTTTCTTTATTTTTTGGTGGTTAGGGATGGGCCCAGTAGCAGGGTTTAATTGAAGCTGATTTCAAAATTGTCAGACCCGGTATTCCCCAAGAAACCCCGAAAAACCGGATTCCATAAAATATCCGGTTTCCAAACTACCGGAAATTTCGTGCCCAACTCGGTGGTCTATGTTTAAAATTTTTCTTTCAGGTAGCTCAACAACAAAATTCACCAGTTTCTCAACATTCTCAATATGCTGGTCATCAACAACATAAATTAGCTGGTTCAATTTCACCACCACCAGTAAACCCAATTCAATCAAATAGTAGTGGACGTTATATTCCTCCACGTGAGCGTCCAACTCGAAGAGGAAATGAAAATAATGGTAGCGTTGGAAGTGGTGGTGGTGGAGGTGGGAGTATTGGAAGTGGTGGTGGTAGTGGATGGCGATGAGATGGATGAATTTTTTTGGTGTTTGAAAAATTTTGTGGAATTTTTTGGTGATTGTTTTTGTGGTGGTGTTGGTCATCTTTGTGTTTTTTTTATTTTTTAAGGTTTTCAAAAAAAATTTTTTGAGGTTTTCTGGTTTCTGTTGGGTGTGGGATTAAGACATTTTTTTCTAAATTAAATTTTCGCTCCTTCCTTTTCAAAATATTGTAAGCTAGCTATTTAATTTCTAAGGCTATGCGGAAGGGATGGGACCTCTTCCGTCTTTTTTAACCTTCGGCTTTCGTTTTCTGTTTTTTTTTTATTTTCTTCCAGCTTACGATTTTTAAAATCCGGCTGTGTCAATCTTTGTTGTGTAAAAGGCGGCGTGGTGTGGCTTGGGGATCTTTAAGAGTGTCCAGTCAACTGAAAATGAGCTAAAGAAAAAATAGCTAGCTTGGTTCAATTTTTCTGTATTGTTCCTTGTCTATTTTCCTTAGGACTAGATGTTTTATTTAAGAATATATTAATATTTTTTTCTAAAAAATGTTTTTTTCTTGCTTTTTATTAAAAACTTGGAAAAAAATTTTAAATATAAATTTTTATTTTTTTATATATAGCGTTTTTAACGCTTTATTTATTTTGAAAAAGTTTTTAATGTAAAAGTTTTTTCTATTTTTTAGATTAGGTAAATTATGTGCAAGAATAATGGATAGAATATTATACTACTAATTTTTAAAGAATCTCAATTAAAACAAAAAAAAGAATATTTTAAATGATGTTATCTTCTTTTGGCTTTAATCAACCATTTTTCTTAACTTTGATCATGTTTGTTTGTTTTTTTTTGGGGGTTGGGGATTTAATTTTGGATTGTGGGGATGTTGGGAATTTTTTAAGAGATTGATCTACTTAGGTAGCTAAAATCCAGAGACGCTGCCAGCAAATCTTTCAAGGAGAGTGGGTTTTAATGAGGCCCGACCATGGATGTAGTCAGGAAGATTTTTCGGAGAGGGGATTCCTATAAAGCTCGAAAAGTGACAATGACTCTGCTGCCCTATTCTTCCTTAAAAATTGGAAACTTATTTTTCAGTATTTTTCTTGTACTTCTACTTACACTATTTCTAGTCAGTTATGATAAAATGGAGGATGAAGATTATTGTGAAGATGATCTGGTAGAATATCCACAGACTGTTCTCTATAATAATAGGGCAGGAAAAAGGCGTGTAAGTTTCTTTTAAATTCTAGCCTAATTGTAAGAAAAAATTTTTCCATTGTTAGAATCAAATTGTTCGGCAAAATTCTGGTGAGCAACTAATAATTGCTTCATCATCAAATTTTGATGGTGTAACAATATGTTAAGGGAGAGAAATTTTTTTTTATTAATACTTTCGAGTGGTTTTTTTAAATGATCTCACGTTTTTTACCAAAAGAAAATTTTTTAAAAAGGCAATAAAATTTAAAAAGATAAGACTTTATTTTAGAAAACTTGATTAACCTAATATCATGTACTAGCCCTATATCATACAGTTGAGGTTTCTAAGGATGAGGGCGATTTTTTATGAGCTGGTTGGTCGACTAACTTGGTCGGTAGCCGAAGTCTTGGTCTGTCACATAGTTGAGGTATTTTTAAACTTGGAAGGAGTCTAGTAGAAATCAAGATTAAAAGAAATTCTGGGAAGAGATCTGAACTAGCTTTCGAATTCACTGAACAGGAAATAAGAGAGGTTTCTGAAAAAAAACCCATCCACAAAGGATTTTTGTTAAAAATATTTAGCTTTGACTAACAACAAACTTTCAAAAAAATATTTACTACCAAAAAATAAATCTAACAAAAAAACCTTTTCAAACTTTTCAACAAAGAATTTTTCAAGAAACATTTTTCTCCCTCTTTGCTTTTTGTTTTCCTTCTCCAATTTTTGGATGAACTATTTTTCCTTTAGCCAAACGAATTTCATTCTTTAGAAAAAATTTTTGAAAAATTTTTATGAAAAAATTCCAAACCTGGACTTCTCTCCAAACAACATGTTCATCAAAATAAACACCGTGTAATTTAAGCATTTTAGTTAAGTAATGAAACATTGGCAAATTTGGATAATATTCTGGGCTATAAACTTCTTGTTGCTCCTGAATAGAGAAGAAATTTTAGATTTCTGTGTAAAGATTTAACAGAAATGGACTTTAAGAAAAGTGGGCATGGACTAATTTTTGGAGCCACTAACCTGATAACTAGTCAGATTCTAAGTTTGTATTCCAAGAAAACTCAAGCCAAAGAAAAACCTAGGAAGCTAAAATATCTGTGTCTCTTGTTAGGAAAGACTAGAAAATTAGATTGGTTTTGACACATCCTGAACTGTTGCTGTGTGACTTTTAGAGATTGTGTTGTAAATTAATTTTCGAATTTACTGACGACAGAAGCCAGATCCTGAGTCTGTAGTCTAATAAAATCCCAGGCAGTGGTAAATCTGGGAAGCTAAAAAGTGAGTAAGGTGGTGGGTATAGGATGAGATTAGAGCTATCAATCCAAACAGAGCTCAATTTCTATCCTTATCTCCAAAAAAAGAGATCCTTGTCTTTTAAAAAAAATTTTAAAAGGAAAAAAATACCCAAGGTTCATTTTTCATAATTTCATTAGCAACTCGAATTGATTTTATGTCAGTTGGACGTGTAACCTTAAAAAGATTAATTTAAAAACAAGATTTTAAAAATTTAAGAAAAACCTCTCCAAAAATTTTATTCGAAAGTCTTTGCATTCTTTTCCCATATTTTGAATCAACATCCAAAATTCTTGAAGGTTTTGGTATTACCATTGTATCATAACTTTTAAAGCTTTTATAAACAGATTTGCGTATGTGAACAGATAAAGGTCTTGACATTTTTTTGAGTGCTTAAAAAAAGATTTTTATTAAAGGTACAATTTTAGTTTTTTGGGGATCAACTTTGGGATCTAAAATGCAGAAATAGCTTATAAAATCGAGAGGGAAAGCCTAACGACAAAGAAAAGGCGAGATAGTGCGATAAAAGTGTTAGAGAAGCAAAGAATTTTTTTTACCTTTTTGACATTTCAAATTGGTAAAATTCCAAAACCTCAAACATGTTTGGCCAACACTTTATCTTTTATAAAAGATAAAGTGTTGGCCAAACATGTTTGAGGTTTTGGAATTTTACCAATTTGAAATGTCAAAAAGGTAAAAAAAAAAGTAAAAATTAATGTCAGCTAAAAGAAAAAAGCGGATAAAATTTTATCCGCTTTTTTCTTTTAGCTGACATTAATTTTTACTTTTTATTAGATTGTAATTTTTTAGACCAAAAAGATATTCCAATGGCATCAAATTTTGCACAAAAATTACTCAACTTCTATACCAGAATTACCCCTACTCGTGTGGAAACTTGCGCTAATTTGTTCTTCAGTACTATTTATGGGGAGGCGGTTCAAACTGTAATTTTGTCTGGCGATAAGTCGAAAAGTGTTAAGGTATTGTTTTTTTGTTTTTTACCACCCAAATTCTAATTTTGTTTATTTTTCAGGAGGATGAATCAATTAAAAAGCTTGAACGTCTTTCGGCATTAAAAATAACTTCAACAGATATTAAAAATTTGGAAGAGGATATTTCATTTTCTCAAAGGATTTTGGACGTTAACACTGAAGTAAAGTTTTTTTTAAATTAAAAAAATTTCGGTATCTTTTTTAGAATGTGGAGCCTTTATATAATATCGTAGAAGATTATATTACTTGTCCTTTGCGCGATGATATTGTTTGTGAAAATGAATCGAGGGAACAGGTTTTTTTGGGTTTTCGTGTTTCTTACATTTTATTTGATTTTTTCAAGGTTTTGATGAATACCAAAAATGTTTATGAAGGATTTTTTACTGCTCCAAGTGTTGGTATTGTTACAAAAAAGGAAAAGAATGTTGTAGAAATGTGATAAATTAAATTTTAAATGTTTTTTAGTTCTTGTTTTTATTTATTTTTGGTGTAAAAAATATTTTATTTTAATGTTAGCTAGTTTCTTTTCTAATCATGTTGAAATTCAATTCTCATACCTATTCCCTTTATTTTTAATTTTTTTTTATTTTTTTATCAGAAAAAGAAAATGTCTTCAAATCTCGAAAATCCTCATGCAACAACAATATATTATTTAAATCAACCGCAACGAGTTATTCAACCAGAGAAACAAAATAATAATGTTTTTATTGTACATCAACAACAACCGCCGCAACAACCACCACAACAGCAAAATCTTCATTTTAATCAAAATCTTCCACCATTTTCAAGTGTTTCAATGCCGTCAACAACAACAATTATAAGAAGTAGTCGGTCATCTACACAATCTCCACAAATTGTTTCTTCTTCAGCTTCACGTTCTTCAGCATCTCCAGCATTAATGTCGTCGTCAGTTGATGCAATTACTGCACCTACAGAACAGGTTTTTTTGGAATTTTTATCTGATTAAGTTGAGATTCTTAGGATATTATGAAATGTGCACACTTTTTCAAATCTTTGTTAAAGATGAGGCCGCATCAATCATTTAATTTGTTGGATATGAAAAATTTGCTTCGGGTAAGATTTTGATAAGGAAAAATTTCTGGGACTATTTTTTGGGATATTAAATGAATGCAACCGGACACTCTAGGCTTTCGATCGCTCTGAGACGTCCTTCAAATAAAACGGCCTAAATTCAATAATTTCAAACGAAATCGTAATCCGTTGGGCGAGAAATTAGTTCTATTAAATGACTTTTTTAACAGGATGTGCTCCTTGGAGAGCAATCACCAGAAGAATTTACAGTCAAATTAAGAGAAGTAACAAAATCTCAAGATAAAGGAAATTTGCTTCCATTTCTTCGACGGTCACTTCCATCACTTCGACGTTCTATACAAATTGGACAACATTTAGATTTGAGACAAGCACTTGATATTGATGAATCTTGTTCTAGTACCACACCGGTTTTTTTTTATAAATTTTTAAATAGTAAAAAAATTTTTCTTGAAGCAATTACCTCAACAAACTGATGAATTTACTACTTTTTCTTCACAACAACAATCTCAAAATAATCAACAACAGAATTTTCAAATTTATGGGAAAAGTCCAAAAACAGAAAATTATTCTCCAGCAAATTTGGCACCAACAACAGCTCATTCAATGCCAAAAAGTGTAGAAAACATTCAACAAAATTCTCTAGATAATTACAAATTTGTTCGATCAAATGAAATGAAATATGAGGTTTTCTTTTAAAAAATTTTTTGTCCGGGTTTTCGAACCCGGTCCGTGGCCCGAGTTAAGGATTGGAGAGCTGTGATTTTCCGGCCCTTGTAGCCCATAAACCGGGGGTATTTTGGTAAAATGTGTGTTCTTTAGGTCTTAACATTGAAACGCGATCCGGATCGTTGAAGGATAAACCTGAATATCAAGGGCGTGTCCAGGGGTTCTTGCTGAATAATTTGAAAATGTTGAACTTTGATCTAATATAATTCAATTTTAAAGGTTTCAACATTTAAAAAGGAAGAATCAAATACAATAGCTGAAAAAGGAAATGTTGGAATGGATCCTTCCGCTTCTTCACTATTTGATGATAATACGGATAATTTAAATGTATGTCAAGGGGGAAAAATTTTTCATAAAAAGTTTTCAAAGAATTTACCCAAAATGCTCTTGAACCCACAAGCTTTGGCTGATAGAATTTTGTTGCGTATGCCAGATGCTGAAGGTGTTGATGGTGAAGTGCTTTCAGTTATTTCAAATGTTTGTAAAAAAATTTTTTAAATGATAAAATGAGTTCAAAAAAATTTTTTAGGCAGCAGAAGCTCGTCTCTGTACAATTCTTGCTCATTTATCTACTTTAGCTGAACATCGATTAGAACCTTTACGTGCTAATCCTCTTTATACTTCAATTGATGAACCTAGAAAACAAATTCGTTTTATGGAAGATATTGGTTTGAATGAATATTTTTTGATTAAAAATTGATTTTTTTAGATAAACGTGCCCATAATCATAGACAAACAGCAGAAAAGGAAGCTCTTTTAAAAATTACTAAAAGTAAAGGAAAAGATAAGGATGCGTTAGAAAAAGCAAAACAGGTTTTTTTCTTGACTTAATTTAATTTTTAAAAATTTTTTCAAAAAAGATTCAAAAAGCTGATAGAGAAGCAATGGTTAATCGTGAAGCTAATGCTGCAGCTTTTGCAGCACTTGGTGGAAGTCGAATTGGAGCAAAAAGGCCTTTTGCTGCTCCAACGTTGGGTGGAACTGTTGATTGGAAAAGTGGAATGCAAAATCAAGGATTAACTAGTGGATTGACTGGAGCTGCGGTTTGATTTACATATTTCTTTTTTTTGTAACTGTGTTGGCTTAAGTTAAACGTAGGGGTGCGTTTGGAGCCAGACCTTGTTTTTTCCTGGATCCAGAGTCGATACCAAGGCATTTTTCAGTGTTCCTTGATTTTTCCTTTTCCTTGCTTCTTCCTTGACTCAAGGACAAAAATCTTGTCAAGGTCCTCAACCAAAATTTTTTAATTTCCAATCTCTAGGCATAATGAACTTTCTGGCTTTTAATTATCTCCCTTTCTATGGTTATCCAAATTTAACCGAAATTATTTTTTTAAGAAAATTGCTCGTCTTAAACGTGTTACAATGCGTGATTTACAATTTTTTCTTGGTATTGATCCATCAATTCCAAGTAATTCAAGACTTCGTCATCGTATTGCTTTATATTCACTCTGTGCTGATGAAAATACTTTAATTTAATTATTATTAGGATGTGTCTTTTAGGGTGTTTATTAGCTAAAAAGTTGGATCATCCCTTGACTAATGTGTGAATCATTTATAATATGAATGTATATTTATTTTTTCCCCCAATTTTATTTTTTTATATATTTTTCTTCCTCTCTCTCCTTCCCCTTCTCCACTGTAAAATAATTATTTTTTTACATAAACTTTTGAATAAAGTTTTTTTTAATTTACATATTGGAATTTTTTCCCCTTTTAAAGGGTGTTTATAACCCTTTTTAATATTTATTTTTGAATTTAATCTAATCACTAGAGGGTAGATTTTTTATTGAAATAAATTACTGAAACGCCCGTCGACTGACCGATGTCTGTCCATGTTTTTACATATCACACATGTCTTTTATGTCTTTTAGCTATTTTAGACACTGTTCACGATCAGTCAGCAAAGCTGTTTTTAATGGTTAGGGTCAACTTCAGTTATTTATTTCAATAAAAATTCTACTTTCTACTTAACACTAATTTTTTTTAATAATTATTTTTTAGCTTATTTAGAATAACATTTCTATTCATAAATGTCAAGTGGATTTATTCTTGCAGCAATGGGTTTAGCAGCTGCTGGTTATGGTGGACGTTATCTTTTAAGAAATAAACAAAATTTAACAAAAATTTATGGAATTTTACCAAAAACATCAATGGAAGATTTATTCTTTTCAAAATATGAAAAAGGAGGTTTTGAACAAAAAATGTCGAGAACTGAAGCAGCAAAAATTCTTGGTGTTAGACCTTCTGCAAAAATTGATAAAGTTAAATTGGCTTACAAAAAAGTTATGATTGCTAATCATCCTGGTTTGATTTTTTTAATTCTAAAATTTTTGAAAATTTTTTTGACAATTTATGAAAAATTTTTGGGAATTTAAAATTTTTTTGGAGAATTTTTTAGCAAAATTAAAAAAAAAATTTTTTTTAATTGAAAATCGAATTTAAAAAGAATTTTTCATTATTTTTTAGATAGAGGTGGCTCTCCTTATCTCGCTTCAAAAATAAATGAAGCAAAAGATTTGTTAGAAGAACAACGACATTAAAAAAGAAATTTTAAATAAATTTTTGTTTATTTTTAAAATTTTTAAATAAATTTTTAAATTTATAATTTTATTTTTTAGAATACATTTTTCAAAAAAATGTTTGAATATTTAATTAATTTTTAAATTTTTTGCAGCAGAGTTATTTTAAAAAGATTTTAGAATTTTTTTGCGTGCCTTTTCCAAATAAATGAATTTACAGCAAATAATTATTTTACTTGTTCTGTGTCTTTCAACTCAAGTTTGTTGGTGCTTTGAAGATGACAATAATGATGAGCAACTTGGAGATTTTGAAATTGGAGAAGCGTTTGATGAAGATATTGAAACATTTGACAATTTACATGATGTGAAGGTTTTTTTAAAATTCTATTTTTGATATAATTTTTCAAATAGGGCGAGGATACTCTCAAAGAAGATATTTTACAAGACTATCAAAATTTGGATGTTGGAAAACGAAATTTTAATTCTGATGTTACTCTTGGCTATGTGACACCGGTTTGTTTGTTAAAATTTTTAAGAAAAGAGAGGAAGCCATATATTGAGTAATATCTTATTATAAGCTACGTTGGGTTGAGAGGTGTTTAAGCCAGACTCTGGCCTTTTACTTGGTCAACCAAATTCTGCAAAAATTTGCCTTATGAATATTGAGTTTAGGTTTAGTGAGACGTTGTTTCATATTTATCTTATAAGCAAGTTTTTAAAAAAAATTTCAAAGTGGAATAATCATGGTTATGATGTTGCAAAATGGGCAGCGCAAAAATTTACACATATTTCACCTGTTTGGTTTCAATTAAAAAGTGCTGGAAGTCCTATAGAAGATGCTCCTTTATTTTGTCAAATAACTGGGACACATGATATTGATTCAGGTTTTTCTTTAAATTTTTGGAAAAAATTTAATTCTTTATTAAAGGTTGGATGGATGACATTCGCAAAAATAATTCAAAAGTAAAAATTGTTCCCCGTTTTTTATTTGAAGCTTGGCCTGTAGAAGATTTGAAAAAATTTCTTTATAGTGAAGAAGTACAAAGAAGATGTGTTAAAGATATTATTAGATTACTTCAGGTTATTTTATTGATTTTCTAGTTTCGGTGGTAGATTAGTTAGGAGTTTTCGGGGTTGCCTGGTTCGATGCCTGTTACTTGAGAAATAGTATAATTAGTAGGTTTGTGCTTATTTATCGATTGTTGTGATGGTTGAGTGGTAGTGTGTTTTTTTGGGTTATCAATTTTCGTGGAAGGTTTGTTAGGTTCGATGCCTTAGGTTTGACGCCCTTCAGGTTTTTAGAATCAATTTAAGTTCTGATTTAATTTTTGAATTTTTTTACCATAAAAATATTTTTTTTGATTTTAGAAAAATCAAATGGATGGTGCAGTAATTGAAATTTGGGTTCAAATAATGTCAATGACAAGAGGTTCTGCTGTTGAGTGGGTAAATTTAATTTCTAATTTTTTAAAAATATTTTATAATTATTTAAAAAATTATATTTTTTTAGATATTTATTGGAAATTATTGAATCTTGGTCAAAAGAATTTCATAAATATGGGCTTGAATTTATTCTTCCAATGATGCCTGCATTGGATGCAAAGTAAGGCAAATGATCTTTTTGTAAGTTAAAAAAATAATTTTTCAAGTTATGAAGAAACAGGAATTGTTAACAGAGAAGTTATGAGACGGTTAATGTCAAGTGTTGATTATTTAAATGTTATGACTTATGATTACAATAGTCCTCAGTTTGTTTTTTTTTAAGTAGAAATTTTTTCTGGATTTTTTTCCTGGAATTTCAAACAATTTTTTTCGAAATTTTGAAAAAAAATTTCTTGAAAAAAATTTTTTTTTATTTTTTCAGAATTTCTGGTGTTGCACCATATGACTGGGTCAAAGCAAATCTTCAATATTTTATTGATTCTTCAGAAGATTATTTTGAAAGTTCAACAAAAATATTAATGGGTTTAAATTTTTATGGTTATGATAGATCTGGTAGTTCAAGTGAAGCTGTGCTTTCTAAAAAGTTTATTTTTTTAATTTTAAAATAATTTTGAATATAAGCCGGGACAGGGCGGGCGCATTGAATTATGCGTTTTTGGAGATTGTCTCTTGCGCCCGCCCCTGGCCGGTATTGGGATTTTTGGTGCTGGTAATTCGAACCGGGTATTTTGATAAAATCATGGGTTTTCAGGGGTTTAATCCGGAAAATCCGTCCCGGGTCAGTTTTAAAGAGGTCCGACAAATTCGAAAATGTCCAACTCTAATTTTTTTTTAATTTTAAAGATTTATTGAATTACTTTCTGATGGAGATTCTGTTATTTCTTTTGATGAAAATGATGGAGAACACAAACTTATTTTTGGGTATTTTTTTGAATTCTTTATTAAAAATATGTTCTCTTTAAAAAGAAAATATGGCATTATTTATTATCCAACAAAACAGTCAATTAAATTACGTTTAAATTTGGCAATAGAATTGGGAATTGGTGGTGTTGCAATATGGGATTTGGGACAGGTGGGGAAATTTAATTTTTTTTCAATTTTAAAAATTTTTTTAAAAATTAAATAATAATTCCTCTGTCAATTTTTACAGGGACTTAATCATTTTACTTCTGTGCTTTAAAAAAAGAGAAATTTTTGGATTTAAAATTTTTTCTGTGATTTTTGATTTTATTGAATTTTTGGACTTAAAAAATTATTGCTTAAAAATTGTTTTTTTTTTCGGAATTGTAAAATTATTTAATTTTTAAAAAATCTTTTTAAAATTATTTTTTTTTATTTAAATATTTAAAAAAAGCATTTCTTCTTATTTTTATCCTAGGACTAATTCTTTTTATTAAAACCAGTTTATTTTTTTCTTTTTCTCTTATTTTTTTCGTGGGTTCAATTTCTTTTTTTATTTTTCCAATTTAAGATGTTTATTTATTTTTTTTTAATTACAAAAATCTTTCTTTATTTTTAACTATTTTTGTTGGATATATAGGATATATAAGGTGAATGAATGGCCTTTTACTTTCACTTTGCTTTTGTTGCGCGACTTTTCTGTTTTAATTTTTTTATTGCGCTAACATTGTGAATTGCGCGACGCAATATATCCCTTCCCTTAGTCTCTTTTTCTTCTCGCGCTTTTCTGTGATTTTTCTATTATGTAAAGTTCTTTTTGGAAGATATTCTCATTCATGGGTGTTTTCCTCTTTTAACTTTTTTCTTAAATTTATTTTTTCATGTTTATCTCTTCATTGTTTTTTTTCTAAAATTTTTTTCTTTGTTTTTCTTAACCTTGGAGGATTTTTGAACGGGTTTTGACCTTGATACGCTAATTTGTTTGTTTTTTATTTGGGTTTTTTACAAAAAGATTAAACATTCTTTTGGATATAAATATAAAAATAAGGCTAAAGATTTTCAGAGACCTCGCTTTAAGATTATTGTTAAGCCTATCAATTTAAGATACAATTTTTAAAAGTTTGTTTGGCAATTAAGTGAGGGGGGAAGTATTACCTTCAATTTAAGATACACCTCATTATAAGATAGGTTTCTGTTTAGCTATGGGTAGAATTTAGCCTCAGGGGATGTAAAAATATGGTTGGCCATTAAGTGAGTAGGAGGGAGGGGGGCTCAAAACGATATCCGCTATTTAAACGTCCCATTATATCATACGATTTTTCAGCTTTAAGAGATCTTATAATGGCATCGACCTTAATTTTGTCCTTAAAAGATTAGTTAAACATTTACCTTTCCTTTTAAGAAAATTAATAAATCATATTAACCTAATAAAACTAGCTTTTCCTTTCTCTTATTCCTTTTCCTTATATTCTCTTTTTTTACTACATATATCCCTTTTATTAAAAACATTTTTCTTACAGCCTTTTAAGCCTTTTTATTTTTTATTATGCGCAAAAAATGGGATTTTGGTCATATATTAAAGCGCAGTTTTTGGATTTATATTTGTATGCATATCTCTTTATGTTGCACAAGCGGATGAATGTGAATAAAATAGATTAATGTCCCCAACCTTTAATGTATTCTGGTTAAAAAGCTGAGGCTCTATTACACAATGTTAATGCACAAACATAGAAATATTAGAATGGGAGAGATAAAGACTTGTGCAGCAAAAAGGGATTTCATTTATACACACCTACTAGTATGTCCAAGTTTTAGTTTCTCAGTTAGTGGGTTAAATGTCGGACTCTAGTCACAAATATGACACGTCATATCTGAGATATGATCTAATTTGCAGAGGCCCCTGAACTTTGCTAAAAAAAATTGAATAAAAATCCGTGTAAGGCTAGGTATGCAACACCTTCTTTCTTATTTTTGGCGCACAATCAATGTTAATTAGAGGATTTCTCATTAAACCTAGGAAGCAAAATTTAAAGAAAAATCCGTATTGGGGCTGAATTAATCAACCTTGTTTTTTTACTTGGCAAATAAATAAAAAAAGTGCAAATGATGTAATATGCGTGACCACTCACCTGGAATTTTTGTGAACTATTGCACCTGTTTCTCATCTATAGTAGAAGATATATCCCTTTTCATTTAAATTACTTAAATCTCTACCTATTTTCTTTTTATTTTTAAATAAAGCAGCGCGCTATATTAAAGCTTTATTTTCTCCCCATCTACGCACGCACGCTTTTATGGGATTTATCTACATATATTCTCTCCAAACAAAAGCTATATAGCCTTTTCAAAACTACTTTTTCTTCTTCTACTATTTTTGTTGGCTTAAGAGCTTTAGCCAAAATCCATCTTTCTATTTATCTGAAAGCTTTTTTGGGGTGGGGAGGGAAAACTTTTGTGTTGTCTTTGGGCCTCAGATTTTTATTTATTTGAATCAGAAAAATATTCAATTTTTATTATTTGTTGTTTTGATTCATTTTTATTTATTTATTTATGTTGTTGTTGTTCTTGACTTGCTAACCTTCTCTGAAAATTTTTTAGATTTGGGCATGTTGATTAAACAATTTTTAAATTTTTTCGTATTTCTTTTTTTACCTTATTTCGAATTTTTCAAAATTCCAAGTCCTCACTATTTTTTGTCGTTGTTTTTTTTAATTTCTAATGATTCACTTCCAAACACTCTACTGGATTTTCTCTCTCTTTCCATTTTTAAGGATTTTTTGCCATTACGCAAATCCCAATCCTTCCCTCCTTCTTTTAATTTTTTCCTTTTAAAACCTTTCCATCTAACAATCTTCAACAACAACTTCATCATCCCATCAAAAAAAGAAGGATATCTTTCCATTATTCACTTTCATAAAAACATTTTCTCACATACCACTACTTTTCTTCTATTTCACAAATGAATTCTCTAGTTGAGAGACTTTTAAAGGATTTGGATATTTATTTATTTAGTGGATAACTCTTAGTATGCCATTATTTGTGGATTTTGTTTAATCCTGTCTTTCCATTTTTTATATCTACATATTTTTAGAAGGGTTTCTAATATGTAGAGTGGTTGTCGGTTTGGAACTGAGTCGAGAATTTCTTGGTTCTTTTTTTTCAGTTCGGTTCCGGATATCTGTAAGTTTTCCAAGAACTTTTCAAAAATTTCCAAGAAAATTTTTTTATTAGAAGCCCACGATGTTTATTTTAAACACCCATTTTTATCGACCCCTGATTATTAAACCAGAAACCTTAGAAAATTGTTTAAGACATTCAACTTTATTTTAAAAAATTTTCCAAATTATCTATATCTTTTAACAAAATCAGCATTAAGAGAGAAAACGACCTTTTTGAGAGAGAGATATACATATATTCTCATTTTTATCCCTTTTTTCTTCTTTCCCTTTAACGCTTGGTTGATGTCGCTTGGGATTAACGATGGAGGGGATTAGATATTTTGTGAAGATATAGAGGGGATTAAAGGGGAGGATATATATCTCTTTTTACTATTTAGTTGGCTTGTATATTGATTTTATATTTTTTTATATTTTAGAGGGTAGGGATTTTGGTTTTGGGGGGAGAAAAAGAGATTTTAAGGAGAAATGTTGTTTGTTTGTTGGCCTTCATAGAAAGATTTTTCTTCAGAATTTTTTAAAAAATATTCCTTTAATTAACCCTCTCTTAATTTTATTTTTAAATAGCATATTTATCCTAATACCCTAAAAATAGAGGCCCTGGGTATTTTTTACATAAATCTCATTCATAGACTTCTCAGTGAACTGGCATATAGTTTTTTCGATTAGATATGGGCTTCTATTTTAGGATTTTTACGCTATGTTTCTAATTATTTTTTTTTGTATATTTTTGATATTGGGGATTTTTATACATATATTTTAGAGGGGGGATTTTGGTTTTGGGGTTTTCGCTTAACTTTTTTTTTATTTTTTAAATTTTTTTAATTAAATTTTTACTTATTTATTTTCATTCTAGATTTGTTTATCTCATATAGTCTTTTAAAAATTTATTATCTCCTTTTTATCTCATTTATTTATATCCACACATCTCTATTTTTAATTTTTTTTATTTTTCATCTCTTCAATTTTTGGCAAAAATTTATAAAATTGGATGGAGAGATGGAGGAAAGGGGGGGGGGGCTATATAATATTTTGAAGTATAAAAAAAGGAAAAAGCCGAGGGATTAGTTTTTGGTGATATTATATAGCAGAAAAATAAAAGGGGAAAAGGAGAGAAAATCCAGAGCCAACGCGGCTTTTTACCGCGAAAGTGGCGTTTTTGAATGAATAATGTGATATGAGAAGGGGAAAAGGGGGGAAGAGAAAAGCCTAAAAATTGTGAATTTGAAAAAAGGGGGAGAGAAGAGATTGGCTTTTTGTGGGATGTAAAAGTGTAAAAAATTTAATAGTTTTTGGAAAAAAGCTTTACTAGAATATATTAAATAAGGGTATACTTTTGTGTGTGTCAGATGATAAAAGTGGGAGAGATTAACTAAACAAAAATAAATTGTTGTGCAATATTTTTTTTGGTTTTATATCCTTGTTTTTTTTTTTGAAAAATTTTTGTTTGGTGAATTTTTAGAGCCAGAATTTTTAGAGCCATTTCTAGCGACTTGATCTTTACAGGCTCTTTTTTGAAAGTAATATCCGACTCGACAGAGGGAAGGTGGTATTAGGCTTATCAGAATTTTTTTATTTGTTGACAAGTATACATACATATCTTTTTATATAAAGTGTACTTACTCTATAAATTAAAAATAGCTCTAAAGCTCATCTCCTTAATTGGATATATAACCTTTCTTTTTTCTAAAAAAGGAGCGAGAGAGAGGAAAGCTTTCATCCTTAAAATAAAAAGCTTCCTTTCATTGCGGAATAGTTTTAATTTCCTTTGCAAATCTGTTTTTCTTAATTTTAACCCTTCGACCTTTCTTAGTTCTAGATTTAAGGTTTTTGAATTATTTTTAAATTTAATGACTAGCTCTAAAGTAATAATACTTTTAGTGTAAAGAGTTAAATGTTGGGTGGGATAGTGTTCTTGGGCAAGTTCGAAGGCGATCAAAAAATTTTTTTTTAATTTTTCATTTTTTTACAATCTTCTCTGATAACTGTTCCAATATTTACTTTATAATTTTTATATTCAATCTTTTTGGAGATAGCTAAATAATCTTTTTTTGAGTAGTAGAAGGGGAGAGCCAAGTAATCCCGCCAGCTTTATATTTTTTTTTACTTTTTTTTTATATTTTTTTTTTCTTCATTTCCTCAAATACCACAAAATTTTTTGATGTGTTTGCCTGTGTGTGGCGAGGCCACCAAAATAAAATTTTATTTTGCTCATCCATTTAGCTAATACTTTAGTTAAATCTTTTCTTTCTTTACTTTCCTCATCCTCCCTCTTTTCTATCTACATATACCTTTTTTCTTGATGATGATTAGCTAACTAACTCTGTTCACTTTATTGTGTTTGGTTAAAGCCGGCAGCAACTTCTTTCTTTTATTCTTTCTTCCCCCATTTCCTTCAGAGCATTTAGCCAATCCCGACGTTTATTTTATTTTAGTTTTTCTTTCGGCTTATATCGTAAGCTTAGAAGATAGAGCTAGCTAAATATTTATTTTCTCGATCACCATCAACAATATAAACATAAATTCACAGGGCGGGCCAATCTTCATCTCTTTTTTACCTTTTAAATGCCTCATTGATTTCTCCCCGCCTATTTACTGATGTTTATGCGCGGATATTTAAATTTATATTCTTGAAAAAATTTTTAATTTTCAGCTCATAACTTTTTTTTATCAATCAGTCGAGAATTAAAATTTTTTTGAAATTTTGTAGGGTATTTAATTATTTATCTATTGGTAACAAGATCAGTAAAACATATCCACCTCTTCAAAAGTTATAGTTGCCGGGACTGAACTAAACTGAGGTGTACTTGCAGGAGTGTGCGGTTTGCCTCGCTTTTTAAGCAGACTTTCGCCTTTTCTTCTTTCTCAGTTTCGGCACATCCTTGATCAATTTTATCTTTATTTTAATAAATTTGTCTTTTATCTTTTAACTATTTTTCGGAGACAAATACTATTACATGCTTTTTATTTTATTCTTCTTGGCCACCACCAATTTTTATTCACATATATAATTTAATCTCTTCTCATACATATAAATCGAGGCGATAAACTAATATTTATTTATTTGATGACGAAAAAAGTCTTTATTTCCTCCTCCAAAAAGCCTCTCTTTTTTTTTTCTCATTTAAATCTATGACTAGCTTTTTCTGGCCAACAAAAAATTTTGTCATCATCTCATTCATTCTTTATACAAAAATTGAGGGGAAATATAAATAATAGGCGCGATTTATAGCTTTACTAGAGGGGAGCTTTTCTTTAGTTGCTATGTATGTTGTGTTTGAGGACAAAAATGGATTGCTGAATCACAAAAAAAATTTTTTTATTCAAGACTGTAAGAAAAAATAAAGGAATTGAGGGGAGGAAGGAAGGGGTAGAGGAAAGGAATAAATACATACAAGGGGATGAGTGTCGGCTTTATATATTTGTTGGCTTTTCAGAGGGGGGAAGGAAGGAAGAAATAAAGGGTGGAAAAGCTTTTCTTGCGTTTTATTGTTAGCGCTTTATTTTGGGCAAATCACCTCGCTTACCAACATCTTATAAATTTATATTCATATAAAAACATTTTTCTTTTTCCTTCCTTTTCCCTATTATTTAATACAATCTCGATTTTTATCTTTATTCGGTTGGCCTTTTTTTGTTGGTATTTATTTATTTGATTTTTGTTGTTGGCCAAGTAATTACTAAATTTTCCTTCAAACAACCAACTATCTCTCTTATCTTTTAATAGAAAATTATTTTGTATTTCTATGCTGGATTTTTCCTCTTCCATCGCAAATCTCTTTTTTTTATCTCCTTTTTTATCCCCATCAATAAAAAATATTTTCATTACTTATCAAGTTCTATTTTTATCTCAAAGAAATGGAGACAGACTTTTCAAAGTTTTTAATGACTACATATTTTATTTTTTAATCAAAAATCTTCTTAAAAAACGAAAAAATAGAAGGAAGATGTCTTCTTTCTGACTTGCATAATTTAATATAAAAAGAAGGATCGCTTTTTTGGTCCAACATCGCTAGAAGAAAATCTTTCGCGCTTATTTTCTTCTTTTTAATTTTTTTGTTTGTTTTCCATTTCCGGTTGGGGATTTGTTGTTTAGATTGTTGCGATTTATATTCATTTAAATAAAAGATAGACTGCACATACACCTTTTAATTGCTAATACAAAATTTTATGTTGATCAAAGAATCTGCTTTTTTTCATATAAATTTAAGATTCACATCTTTAAAAATCAGGACTGGGATTAGGGTTGGAGGCCCGTCTAGTCGGGCATCGAATTTTGGTCTGAAAAAGACTCGGTCGGTCCGGTCCGATAAAAATTAAGCCCGGAAAAATGACTCGAATGTCGGCCCGACCCGAAAACCCCAACCCACCCTAGCTAGGTGATCTCTTCTGTCTTCCACCGCTATTTTTTCTCTCCTAGCTTCTTCCACTTTTATTTTTTAAAACGAGGCAGGGACTTATCCAAAGCCTAATACAATTCCTGATATATACTTATAAATCTCTAAAAAAATTTTTTTAATTAATCCCTTTTTAAATCTTTTTTTATCGAATTTCTTTATTTATATGTATATCCTTTAGGAACTAAATAAATATTTATTTTTTAAATATATTTGCATCATCCATTCATTTTTGTGCTTTCTTAAACGTCAAAACCTTCTTAATCATAAATATTTTTATGACATATCTTTTTTAGTCTTTTTCTAGTTTATTTTTGCCGTTCTCCCTTGCTTTATTTAAAAATTCTTTGCCTCTTATCTGTTTTTTTTGTTGGTGGTGTTGCATTTTTTCTATCCTCCAAGTAGATAGGTAGATGAACCAACATAAGACTGTACACAAAATCTTTCTGCTTTCGTAATTTTTGACGTGGGTTTTTCCGTCTCCTTCCCCATACTTTCATCTTTTAACTTTCATCCAAATAAACTTTTTTCTTCCTCAAAAGGAGGATCGATCCAAGAGAGGGATGGGATTGTTGGGGGGTGAATGAGTGATTTTATATGGGAGAGGAGGAAAGGATTGGTTGGTTTATGGAAGGAAAGGGTATTTATTTATTAGGCTCGGTCATAACCTTTTCTCTCCTCATCCATGTTACGTTCTCTCTCAAACTATTTTTTTTCAAATATTTGTATAGTATGTACATCCCCTTAAATCTTTTTTCTGTTCAGTCAGTTTTAAAAATTTTTTAAACTTTAAAAAATATTTAAGGAAGTAAATATTTCCATTACTTATTTTTTTCTTTAAATTTTTAAACTTTTGCGTGTGTGGCAAAAAATTGAGGAGAAAATTGTTTATTTGTGTGTTGTAATAATTAGCGCATAAATATAGGGGTATCCGTAAATTAAACTGTCTTTTGAAACTCTCGCGCGATTTTTTTCTTTGTTTTAATTTTTAATTTGTTTGTTTGCTGCAACGTTTAAAAATTGCTGAAGAAGGGAGTAGATTGTTTTAAATTTTTTGTTATTTTGTTATGTTTTTTGCGCGCAAATCCTTTACGGGATGGGGGTAAGGCACACCAGACAAATTGTAGACTAGCTGTGTCTGCTTTTCTTCAATATCTTTGGGAAATTTTGTAGGGGAAGAGAGAAAAGCCTGTTTTTTGTTGTTGCGCAGCAAATTTTTTTTTTAATTTTCACTTTCACCTTCTATTTTTTTCTTAAAGTCAGATCTCAGTATATTTTAGATACATCCAAAATTTTTAGAACAAAGGAACATGAAAAGGATGAGAAGTGATCTGGAGTGAAAATCAAGGGTGTATTTATAAATATGAGATTTGAATGTATTTTTGTATCTAAACGTTCAAATTAGGGATGGCACGGAGTGAGAAGAAAAAACTCGGGTCGATTTTCAAAATTTTCTATGGATCGAGTCTCGCGTCGGAAAAAATGTACAGGTTTCGAATTTCGGGTAACCCATTTCATCCCTTGTTTAAATAGATCACAACCTCATTCATTCATTTTTCATATATTTATTTTTCCATTTTTGGCCAACTTTTTTGTGTGGATTTTTAGAATCTATTTTTGGGTATCAGGCAAATTGCTTAATTCTTCTTTTTTCTCTTAAATCAAAAACTTTCACTTGCGCGAATATTTTTTTATTAATATTGTTAAACGAGTTTAATGCGCAATATAAACTAAAAATAAATACTATAAACACAACAGAGTTCACATTCCAAAATGCTTGAATATTTTATTTTGCTCGAAAAAATGCTTGATAAATTTAATACAATATTTTGCGCATCCAACCATGCTGCATTTTATTGTAAAAAAAATTTTTTTTTATTTTTTTATATTGTCTTCTTCAATTTATGTATCTTTTTCTTTTCGCTTTTAATTTTGGCCATAAAAAGCTAAAAAATTTATATATAGACATGAAAAATTGGAATTTTTTTTAGAAAAGCAGGAACAAGAAAAAAGGTCGGGGAAAGGAGGGGGAAGATGATCTGAAGGAACGAAAAAAGAAAAAGCGCGGTAGCGCGTAAAAAAATTTAGAGAGGGAATTTGCGTGATCTGTAAGGAAAAGTGAAAGCGCAACCATCCAAACAAATAAAAAAAAGAATAAATTTAAAGGGTATAAAGGAAGGAAAGGAAAGTAAAAGCTGGCTGGCCTGGGCTTCCTTCCTCTCTCCTCTTCACGCTTTTCTTTTTTTTATTGTTTTGTTGTTGTGTTTTTTTGTTGCGCGAAAAAGAAAAATAACAAATAATCACGCGCGATTTCGCGGAAAACGAAAGGAAATGGAGAGGAGAGAATTGTTCCTCCTTTTAACCCCTTTAGGGCCAAATACAAGAAAAAAGGAAGGATGGATGGATGATGATTAAATCGTGGGGAGGGTCTGTCTGGCCGTTCCTCTTTTTCCTGTTTTCTAATTCCACAAGAAAATAATTTCGCGCAAAAAACGGTTCCAGTTCCTAAAAACTAGCCCATTAAGCATTAAATATGTATAGTTTTGTCTAGTTAAAGTTGTTGTTGTTGTAGCTGAAAAAGATTTTTTATTGAAAAGGGGCGGGACAACCAGGCCATTGAGGAAATAAGAGAAAGAGGAGATGAGTGAGGGGAAGGAAGGAAGGGGAGACTTTGGGCGGGACAACAAGCGATTATAGGAAGAGCGGGGGTCGACTGGTTGGTTTTAGAAGAATGAAAGAGGTGAATGAAGAAAGGGAAAGGATGGGCTGGTGGGGCTCCTTGGCGAGGGCGCGATTAGGCCATCACAATCGCGCTGATGTTGGGGGTGCTTTATTGTTTTGTTGTTCTTCTTCTTGTTATACTTCACCTCAATCTCTTCCAATTTAGTAGAGAATGAGCGTCCTTTCTTCTTCTTGTAATCATCCTCGGGCCTTTGAGAACTTTCACTATTTTTTTCTTGTTTTTTTATTGTTGTTCCTGGTTGTCATTTATTCATTCTCTTTGATATTCCCTCATTTTTCCTTTTTTTAGAAAAAAAGTTTAGATTCAATCAAGCAGTTTAGAAGAAAGTTTTGTTGCTTATTGTCCTCATCCTTCCTTTTATTTATTTTTAAAAAAACTATCTTCTTCGCCTTCCCCTCTTCCATGTATAAAAATTTTATATTTTATTATATTATAGTCCAAATTTTTATTTTTTAAATATTTATTAAACACAATCCTTGAGTGAAAACGAATTGTTTCGTTTGCTATCATCCGATTTCATTGAAAAGTCTCTTTTTCATTTTTGTCCCTTATATAAATAGATATGTACAAAAATATTTTATAAACACTTTATATTTCTTCTCAATTCACACACACACAGAGCGGAATCTCGCGATTTTTAGTTTTGGGGTTTTGGTATAGTAGTGATGATGGTTTGCCACATCCTCCTTTTTCTTTTTCCTATCTCTTCCTTTTAAACATATTAAAAATACCCTCCTACCCCTCCTCAAAAAAATTTTTTTGTTGATTATATTGCATTTTAAAGGAGAGGGGAGGGAGATTGACGATAAATTTTGAGAGAAAAGGTATAAATAGATTAAATTCGAGAGCAAAAAGCAGCAACATATCATAATCATCATCAACATATCAACAAGCGGAGTCGGTGTTAACGGCAGTTTATTTTTAAGTATAAGGAACGATTTATATATTTTATGGTGAGATGATATGTTGATAAGGCGAGAATTTGGCTGAAAATTAAAAAAAAGTAGAGGGGGAGAGATTGGGGGTTTTAAAGTGGGGAAAGGTGTGGTAGTAAGTGATTGGTGGGCCGGATGGATGGGCAAAAATTTATATATTTTAGATAGATAGAGAGAGTGGGGTGGATGTTGGATAGGAGGGAAGGGGAAGGAGGAAGATGTTGTTTGTATTTGTGTGACGGTGATGGCCGAGAAGTTAAAGAAGAAGAAGAACAGCACCACCACCAAAATCTCATTAACTTTTGCTCCCCCCTTTTTTTCTTCTAATTCCTTTTCTTTCCTTTTTTTAATCGCTTAAGATTGGATCCACCTTTTCTTCCCATTTTTCTCTTTTCTCTTTCATTTTTTGATATAAATTTAATGCCTTGACAACAAAAAATGATGATCATCCCTTTTTTAGTCAGCCATTTTATTTTATCTATCACGGACAAGTAGAAAATCGCGTTTTTCTTTTGGTCACGCCATTATTTGATGATATAATTTGGTCAATCTTGACAATATTTATCAAATTTATTTAAGGGGATATTACATATTAGGACAAAACAATTTAGAGACGTTGAGGTGTAGTGGGATAAATGCACATTCTCTTCACCAAAGGTTGAAGGTTCGAATCGTTTCGAACGGCAAAATTTTTCACAACGTCCAGATTTTTATTTTTTTAAAATCTTCTCTTTAATCTCACTTTTAACATTACTCAACAATTTTTTTATTTTTTTTGGCCTTTTATTTTTTTGATTAAATTGTTGTAATTCTCCCTTTAAATATCGGCTATACAACTTTAAAGAAAAACGCATATTATCAAAAAAGGTTTTGATGTGTTCAAAAATTAAAAAAAAGAAAATTTTTCTTTTTCTCTTTCAAAGACTTTTTCAATCCAAATTTTTTCCCCTTTTTTTAAATGATTTCTAATCCCATTTTTTTGTCATTTTTACGTTTAAACCCCCCTTCTCTACTTACGTTTCTACCAACTACACTTATACTCTTCTATCTATCACAAAACTTATTCCCCTAATTCATTCATCTCACTCATCATATTCACTTTTTTTAAAAAACTTGATTATACTGCTACCAAATATTCTTTATTTTGCAAATGGCAAATAATATAATGATTACGTTTGTCCCCTTAAAAAGATTCTAAAGAATTTCATTACTTAATCCTTTTATTTTCTCTCTAATTTTTAGTTCTTTAAGATGTGTATTAAACTTTGAACTTTTTTTATCTTTATTAAATATTTAGAAACTGTACAAATACTCCTTCACATTTGTTTCTTTACATTTTTTATCTCTCTAATTTTATCTTGAAATTGCGCAATATTTTTTCCGGAAAGTATATTTTATTTTTATTTCTATGTATAAGTTCCGGAATATTTTTTATATTAATCTCTAGTTGTATCTCTGAATTGTGCAGTCTTTTTTCCGGAAAGTTTATATTCTGCATGTTCTTCCGGAAAGTATATTTTGTTATTTTCTTTTTTCTTTAGGTTCCTTTTTTCTTTAGGTTCTTCCGGAAGTATATTCTCTATTTATGTATATTTTTGTAGATTCCGGAATATTTCTATATTAATCTCTAATTGTATCTCAGAATTGTACAATGTTTTCCGGGAACATTATATTCCATTTATAAGCTCTGGAAAACTTTATTTCCTTTATATAAATTTGCCAAAATTAAACTTATTAAATAATTTTTTAAATTTTCTTTTTTTAAGGTTCTTCATCCAAAAAAGCCTTCAAAAAATCAAAATTGTCTTTCATTGAAATATTTTTCTACTTAAAAAATATTATTTTTTCTCCTTGCTTTCTACGGGCTTTAAGCCAATTTAAATAATTTATTGAAAAATATGGCGCCAGATATGTTCCCGGTGCGTGTTCTTGTTGAGACTGTTCGATCACAACATTGTATTGGATGTGCTCATGATGGAAATCCTTTGGTTGACACATTTGCAGTTGTTGGTGGACAAACAATGCTTTCTCAATTGGTTGAAACGGTGCTAGCTGCTTTGGGATTACCTCAATTAATACAGGATTCGAAAGGTAAAAAAATTAAGGTTAAAAATTTTTGGGGACAATTCTTTATATATTTTTTGATTAATTTTATTCTTTTTGGGGTGTATCTCCTTAAAAATTAGAGTTTTTCCACTATCCATCTTTTTTAGCCTTCATTTAGGTTCCAGTCATTGAATTAATTTTCATTTTCTCCTTTTGAAAAAATTTTTTTTGGTTTTGGCCTTCTCTTTTTTTTAGTTTAGTTGTTTTGTGAATATCATATAGCCGCCAAAAGCAAAAAAAAGGGGGGGGGGAAGACACACTGGGGGCAATATGTAGGGGATTGGAAAGATAGTAGAAAGAGGGAGAAGGAAGAGAAGATCCACTCGCTAAAAACATTGCTGCTTTTTTAGAATATAAATATTTTCGATTTAGCGATTCAATCCCCCAAAAGATCGAAGGATTTTAAGCCATATTAAAAGATTCTTTAAAGAATTTTATTTTAGCTTTTAATGTAAAAAATATTTGTGATCTTTTGGATAAATCCTCCTTCGTACCATTAAAAAAATTGGATCGCCTGTCCAGATTAGATTTTAGAAAAAATTTTTTTTGTATTTTTATATTGTTGGCCGTGACACGATGATCACATTTTCTCTTCTTTTTTCTCTCTCTATCCCCCTACATTTTTTACTATCCACAATCCAAAATATTCAGGCTAAAATTGAATAAAAAAAGAGGGGATGTGAATATATAAAATGCTCTAAACCAAAAAGTATTTTTAATAAAAATATAAAAACTGTGATTTGCATATTTATATGTTTATATAACGGAGGGGGATTTAAAGGGGGGAATAAAGAAAAAAATAGATATGTTTAGATTTTATTAAAAATGGATTTTTTTGAAATTTTGGGGGGATTTTTAGTATGTGAATTGGGGGAGAGATGAAGGTTGGATGATTGAGGGAAGAGAAAAAATATTTTATTTAAGCTAAAAAATGGAGGGAATTTGATTAAAAAATTAAAAAAAAAATTAATTTTAATCTAGGTCTCATCCAAATTAATGGCTGGAAACCTATATCCTTTGAGGCGATAACAGATAATCCTGAAGAGTTGGTATCAAATTTATTTCGTGAAATTTCAACACATATGACACTTAAAATATTGGCTAAACAGTAAGTTTATTTTTTGTGTTTTTTGAAAATTTTTTTTTGAAATTTTTTAAAATGATTTTTCTACTTGACTAATTTTCTTTCATCTCTTCTTTCCTTTATTTTTCGATATCTCCTTTATTTAATTTTTCTAAAAATTTTTTTTATTTTCTTGTTTATCGCGTGATCCTTTCCTTATTTGTATTTACGTTTACCTTATAAAATTTGAGAAAAAATGGGGAAAATAGGAGAAAGACGGGGGATCAATTTGGATCAGCGAGGCAAACTTTCTCTTTTCTCTTTTCTTTACGTTCACAAAAAAACCATTAAACCTCCCTCCATCTTCAATTTATTTATCTTCCCTCTTTTCTTTTTTAATATTGGCCCTGATAAGAAAAGGATGGAGATGTATTTTGGATAGGACAAAGTAAAGAAAGGAAAGGAGGAGGGAGGGGGGGGGGGGACTTGTTTGGCCAAAAAAATTTTTTTCTAATTTCAAAATAGTTTTGAAGAAAAAAAACAATTCTAAAATTCTTTAGATATTGTAGTTTAAATACAGAAAGAGATTAGAAAAGATTAATAAGAAAAAAATAATTTTATTATTTTTAAACGATGATAAAGAAAATTTTTTTAACTAAATCGGCTTTTTAGAAATTTTAAAAAAATGAATGAGAAGAATTAAAGATAAAAAAATTTTAAAGGGCAAAAAATTAAATTAAAAAAATAATTTTTTAAAGTTCACAATCTGAATCGAATGGTCAGTGTTTTACAGAATTAAAACAAAGACTTCTTAAAACTGCTATAGAACAACAACCACGTATTTTGACCACAGCAAATGGACAAGAAGTTAAAGTAACAAAAGTTTTTCTAGAATTTTAGAAATTTTTTGACCCCTCAGCCGGGAGCCCTACCTTCCGCAGCCCAAAATTTTCATTTATTGTATCGGGATTAAAAAAGATATCGATGGTTTTTTATTGAAATTACGGTGGCATAGTGGAATTTTGAAAATTATGGGGGATTTTGCGAGTACCATAAGGAGCCTGTATTCAATTAAAAAGTTTTTTAATTTTAAAGGAAATTCTTCAAAACGTCATACAAAACGACCAACAATGTTCTGCTTGGTCTAACCGTGAACAAATGCAAGCAGTTAATGAATGGTTGGAACAAATGGCTACACAACAAGACGAAAATAATAAAAAGAGGTTTTTTTTGATGTTGAAAATTAAAAAAATTGTTTTTAAAGTTCACATTATGGAACTCGTTTTAGTCCATTGAGTGAAATGGTTGGTAATTTTTTTTAAAATTAAAAAATTTTTTTGTATCTATTTTAATTCATGAGTCCAATGGAATTTTACAAGTTTGTCTATCCGAATCTGTTAGCCGGATCTTTCGTTTAAACATTTCCTTTAAATTATAAAATTTTGTGTGGAAAATTTCAAAAGTTCACTGGAATTATAATCTAGAACAGCCCGGTTTAACTCTGATTTAAAAAATTTTTTTTCTACAGCCTCGTTTGGAACGTTGGTTTCGCTCAGATTCAAATCCTTCAAGACAAAAATTAATTAATTATATGAATATTTTAAATTCTTCCTCATTTCGTCGTGTAAACAATAAAGTAACTTATCAACAAATTTGTAATTGGTTTGCAAATCAGAGGAGAACAATGCAACGTTTAGCAGCACAACAACAACAAGCTCAAGCAGTACAAGCAACACAACAATCACAATTACAGCAACAACAACAAAGACAATCTTGCTCTTCAAATTCGTCTTCGTCTGGAACTGCTGTAAATGGAATTGTTGGAAATAATGGAAGTGGAGGAGGACCTTTAGCTATATTACCGTTAAATGCCACTGGTGTTGGTAATAATAGTAATAATATTGCTGCTGTTGAAAATCAAGGTTTTGTGATTTTGATTTTTAAAGTTTATGAGACCCTTTGATTTATTTAGTAAAAATTTTTTTCTATTTTTTAGGCTTGAATTTAAAATGATTTTATTTTTCGTTTAATATTCCTTTTGTTTTTCTAGTTCAAGAACAACAATCACAACAGAACCAGTCTTGCTCTTCCGCTTCATCTCCAGGAGTTGTTGTAAATGTTGGAAGTAATGGAGGAGGAATTCATTCAATGAATAATCAACCTTTGACTACTTTAATGACTTCAAATGCTGTTTCTAATGTTGGTGGTGGAAATGGAGGAGGAGGAAATATTGAAAATCAGAGTTTGTTTATTTTTTGAAATTTTTTTCTTATTTTAAATTCGAAAAAATTGAAATTCTTTTGAAAATATGTTAAAAATTTGCGAAAATATTTTTAATTTTTAAAAATCAAAGTCTTTTGGCTCGAAAATTTTTTTGAAAAATTTTCAAAAAATTTTCTCTATTTTTTAGCTTCACTTAATCATCAACATCATCAAAATTTAAATAATAACAATTCCAACACAAATTTATTTTATTCATTAGCATCAGCACTAGCAACAGGTAATATGGATACAGCAATTCATTTACAACAAAAAATGGCTTCACTTTTTGCTTCTGGATTAAATAATTCAAATAATAATTGTGATGGAAAATCTGTGGAAAATGACGAAAATAATGTACATATTCCTTTAGCAAATGGTCCTCCAATTGTTGATATTCGTTCAAAATTTGTTGATAATAATGGAAATAATTCTATGGTTTTTTAAATAATTTTTTAAGGAAACAAACTAGGCACTTGCTCATTAAGTCTTATTCTATAGGGAAGAGAGAGGGGGGAGGGGGTACATTAAATGGGATTAGGGTTGCGTATTTTTGGATATCTTCGTATATCCGAATCTACCAACCAATTCCAGTTTTTCTGAGCACGGATGGAATAGGGTAGTCAAAAAGTCAAGTTGTATTTTGGGCCTAATTCTGTTTTTTAAGTCAGCAGAGAACCGAGCATTTTTTTGGTTCGGGTTCAGATATCCGAAAATTTACCAAGAATCAACAATCACTAATGTCTCGCCTCTTTTTTAAAATTTTATTTTTTATTAAAAAATTTTTCTTTGAAGGATTTTTCTCACCAACAATCTTGTTCTTCTACAAATGATTCTAATAATAACAACAATTTTTCTTCTGCTTATTCATTATCTGCTTCAAATAACATGGCAAATAATAATACAGCAACAGCTTTAATTAATAATGTTGGTTCTTCACCTTCATATTCTTCTATTTCACGTTAGCGAGAAAAATTTTTTTCTAAAATTTTTTTTAATTTTTCAGCAATAAAATTAGAATCTGGATTACTCAATTTTAAATTAGAAAATGAATTTTCTTCTCCACCCCCACAGCAACAAAATATTGATGGACAAAATAATGTTGGAACAAATGGTGGGAATGGTAATTCTGCTAATCAATCTAGATCGAGATTAATGTTTGATCCGTTGAGTGAATTGGTTTGTTTTCTTTATTGAAAAAAAATTTTCAAATTTATTTTTGTTGTTTCGTCAGTCGAAAGGGGTTAGATTGCTCGAAATCTGACCCGAGAAACTTTCGAAAAGCCCCAACTCACACACCTTCTCTGTGGTATTTACCCGGAGCGTTTTATATTGCCAGAAGCTTGTAATGCCAAAGCCCCAAAAGCTGTTGAAATGCCAAAGCGTGGAAAAAAGCTTGTAATGCCAAACCCCCAAAAGCTGTTGAAATGCCAAACCGGGGAAAAAAGCTTGTAATGCCAAACACCCAAAAGATGTTGAAATGCCAAACAGTGGAAAATAGCTTGTAATGCCAAACCCCCAAAATATGTTGAAATGCCAAATGTTATTCCAACACAACGGGGGATGTTGTTCCAATGACGGGAGATGTTGTTCCGACGATGGGGGAAGTTGTTACAATGACGGGGGATGTTGATCCGTCAACGGGGGAAGTTGTTCCAATGACAAGGCATGTTGTTCCGACGATGGGGGAAGTTGTTCCAATGACGAGGCATGTTGTTCCGACGATGGGGGAAGTTGTTCCAATGACGGGAGAAGTTAATCCGTCAACGGGGATCAACATCACACTTCCCCCATCACTGTAACAACCGTTCCCGTCATTTGAACAACATCCCCAGCCGTTGGAACAATTTTCCCCACAATTTGAACAACATTCCCCGTAGTGCCGGCCCCTCCCCGCATGCCCGGCCTAGACTTTTTCCAGCAAACATTCAATTGGAACAACAATATCCTTGTTGTTGGAACAAACAAAAAATTTTAACAACAAATTCTATCAGAAATAACAAAAAAAATTTTCAGTTTTGTATTTATTTGGCATTTCAAGCTTTTTTCCATGGTTTGGCATTTCAACATATTTTGGGGATTTGGCATTACAAGCTATTTTCCACGGTTTGGCATTTCAACAGCTTTTGGGGGTTTGGCATTACAAGCTTTTTGCATTACAAGCTTTTGGCATTACAAGCTTTGGCATTACAAGCTTTGGCATTACAAGCTTTTGGCATTATAACATCATACCGTATTTACCCACACGTATTTCCTCATTAAGTGTCCAGTTTTTTTCTTCCATTGCCTAAATTCGTTTTATCCGGCTTCTTTTTACTTAACCATCGAACATGATTTTTAGAGGAATAAATATATAGAACCTTTGATGATTTTTTTGAAAGGGTATCAATAAATATTACTTTTCCCCAACAAAAAATACATGTGGAGAAAGTCTTATACCTTGACAAAATAATAATTTTTATTACAAAAATTTTTTTATTAAGCCAATTCTTGAACGTTGGTTTGATGATAATCCACATCCAGGATGGTTACAAATTGAACAGGTTTTTTTCTTAATTTGTTTTAATTTCTCAAAAAATTTTTAAAGTACACTGACTATTTAAATTCAATGACTTATCGACAAAATTATCCACCAGTTTCTACACATAATGTAAAAATTTGGTTTAAAAATAGACGTGCTAAAACTAAAAGGTTTTTCTTAAAAAATTTTTTTTTAAATTGTATAGCAATTCGATATCCTTTTGGGATTTTTTGTGGTAGAGCCTTCGGGTCGGGGTTTCTTGCCAAAAAAAATCGTCGGGGTTTCGTGAGCCGGGCAAGCTACCCTATTTTTTAAATGATAAAAATTTTTAATTTTTTTAATAAAGGTTGTTGAATAATTCTGAAGCTAGTGGTGTTGTTGGTGGTGGTTCTGCTGCCTAATTATTAAATTAAAAATTGGTGGTTATAAAAAATTAAAGGGAGAGATGATGTTGATATTTGGTCTTCAACTTGAAAAAATCAAAGTTTATATTTAAATTTATACTTTTTAAATAATTATTATTTTGAGACACCTTTCAATCTTTTAAAAAAAAATTCCAATTTTTTTTTGACTTTCCCATTCCTTTTTTTAAATTGGTTTCTTGATTTAGATCATTTATTTATGAGATTTTTTTCTTGGGTAATGAAGAATTCTTTTCTAAAATTTGGATTTAAATTGGATCTAAATTAAGGTGTATCTTCTCGCTATTTTTTTAAAATATACAACTTATTTCTTTTAAATGTTGTAACTGAAATGGAAAAAAAGTTCAGTAAAAAGTCCAAAAAAGAGTCCAGGCCTAGGTATTTTCTGACCTTCTGGTTTTTCCTGGACTACAGGCCCAGGCTTTTCAAAAACTAACAGAAAATTTAAAAAATCAAAGATTCACATCAGTTACAACATTAATTACTTATTTTCTAAAGTGGCTTTGACCTCAATTTTTATATTACTTATATATTTTTTTTCAGGGCTTTGAGAGAGAGACCTTTTTATAAATTAAAAAATTATTATTTTTTAAACACAAGGTCTATAATTTTTGACAAAAATGTTCTAATTTTTTCTCTTTTTTTTTAATTAAAAAATTTTTTTTTATATTTTTAGCCTTGCCCGATTTCTTTTAAATGTTATTTTATATACACTCGTGCTCAAAAGTAATGATCCCTGGGTATGAAAATTTTTAAAAAGTGATAATTTTGAAATAGAAAGGGTAAATGATTTACTTTCTTTTTCATAATCAAAATTAACGATGTTGAGATACTTTCCAAGGAAAAATTTTCCCCAAAATTCCAACCCCGGGATTTTCTCTCAACTCTAAGTGGATACCCTTATTTTTAGTGTGGCCAAAAGTAATGATCCCTTTTTAAAAAATATGTTTAACCATTAAGAAAAAAAATCCACAAAAATTTTAGTAAAGATGACTAGTAATAAGAAGTTAATATATAAAAAGAATAGTCCAATATCTACTCTTTTCTTCGAGATATTGACATCTCGATTTCAACGAGAAATAGGGGTAATTTATTTCAAAAATTATTTTTATCTTTTTGATATAGGAATTGGTTACACTTTTATGCTTGCCTGAAAGCCAGTAAAATTTGCTACAAGATATAGTTGTTCAAATTTTCTGAAAAAATTTATCTATCGTGTTGGGGAGTGACAAACATACAAGGCGGCAAAAATCTCTCATATTACCCCATAAATGGTTCGTGTTGTATATTGCTTATTACCTAACTCGAAAGATAATTTTTTCAGGAAGGTAGACTTTAAATATTTTATAGTGAATTTTATTGGCTTTCAGTCAAGCATAAAAGAAAATTTTAATCGCTGATGTGAGGTGACGAAAATATTTTTCAAACAACTCTAATCCCATTATACGTTGACTTTTGAGTGTTTTAGATTGTCGAGATTACTATGTTGTATGTAGTTAATGAGCTCGATTTTTTGGTTATGCTTAATATCGATGAATGTATTCACTGGAATTTTTTCAAATTTTTGTCTATATTTTACTATTGGTTCCCGCTAGGGATCATTACTTTTGTAACCCTAAAAATAGGGATATCCATTTAAAGTTGAGGGAAATTCATGGGGTTGGAATCTTGGGAAAAATTTTTTCCGTGGAAAGTATCTTAACATTGTGAATTTTGATTATGAGAAAGGAAGTAAAACACTTGCCCTTTCCATGTCAAAATAATCACTTTTTAAAAATTTTCATACCCAGGGATCATTACTTTTGAGCACTAGTGTATACTTAAATTTATTTAAATTTATTTTGTTTTATTAATTTTACTCACTTATACTTATTTTAATTCTTATAAATATTATAAGAAAATTTTAAAAGGGAATCGACTTATTAAAAATTTGTATATTTTTTTCAATTTACTTTATAAATTTATTGAAGTTTTTTTTAAATTTTTTACTCTAGGGGCCTTTTAGGGCCTTAAAATTTGAATTATTTTTTAACGCTATTTCATTATGTTAGTCGACAAAATGGTATACATGAAAAGGGTACTATTACCAAAATAGTACGCGACAAAATGGTACATCAGCAAATTCTTGTAAAATGGTCAACTATTCCTGTTCCATTATGTCGGTTTATCTCCTTATTACTAATTTGTGATGTACCATTTTGTCTGACCATACTCTTACTGTTAATTAGAGAAATAGGTTATGTAAAATATGTTGTGTCAGACAGTAAAAGTTTGAAGTGCACTGCAAATGACCAACATTATAAAAAATCCTAATTAATTTTTGTGGCATATTTTTTGATTAATCAATTTTTTAGATTAGCTTTTAGTTTACTTATTGCTTTATTTAATTCTTTATTGTATTATGGAATTACCTAATGGCCATGCTATTCGCCAAAGACGAATTGGAAGTGTTCGAGAAATGGTCCAAGAAGTTGATGCTTTTGTTAAAGTAACAGATGATGTTAAAGAAGAACCAAAAGCCGTTAATGGAATTTGTAAGAGCATTTTTTAATGAATTTATATTGATTTTTAATTTATTTCTCAGTAACTGTCCTCAGCTTTACTTTAATTTTTGTTCTATTTATTGGAGAAATTCACAATTATTTTACCAATGATGAAGTTGAATATCGATTTTCTGTTGACACTGATGAAACGTGAGGAGTTCTCTTTATTTTTATTCAAACAAATTGTTTTTTGAAGTAATCCAATGTTGGAGATTGATATGATTGTTGCTTCACCATGCAATAATTTGGCTGTTATGCCGATGGGAGTAGATTCAGTAGAGCCGACAAAAGATGGAACGCATATAAAGAAAACTCCAACAAGGTTTTTTGTGTGTTGAATTTGTTAATAATATTTGGAAAAAATTCCGGCAAATGTCCAGGCCCGTAACTAAGAGGAATGAAAAAATTAAAAACCCCCTTGAAAAAATCCTAGTTATGGGCCGTCCCGGCAAGGGAACCTGGCTTATAAATGAGTCGGAAGCTTGGATTTTTTATGTCATTAACTGAATCGGAGTATGGAACATATGACGGAATCTTTCAAAAATTTTCTAAAAATAAAAATTAGGTATGAAATGAATGAAGAAGAGGAAAAATTGTGGGAAGCATTAAAACGTGTCCATCGTGAACATTTTAAACCAGGAACTCCATTGAAGGGTCTCGATCAGGTTTTTATTAGAAAAATTTAATCTTTTAATTAATTTGAATTTAAAGGTTAAATATGTTGGCAGTCATATTGAAGAAGGCTTAGAAATGGCAGAAGAAGAAAAGGAGCGGTTAGAACGTTTAGAATTGGAACAACAACGAGCCAAATTAAAAGAAAAGAAAGGAGGTGATGATGAAGGTTTTCATGAAGAACACATTATTATGATGATTGGAACTGGATTGGGCGTTTTTCAAATTATTGCTGCTGGTAGTGAGAGAGGTATATTTATAGTTAATTTTATTGTGTCCAGTCTTTGGAATTATAAGTAAGAAGGGAACTCGGCTTTCTAGCATTTAAAAGCTTACTAGGTTGAGTCTTGAGATCTACTAAAACGGAAGTTTAAGCAGCACCCTGTTAGATCAGTATGTAGAGCACCTGCACTTTGTGAGCGTAAATACTTAGCAATAACTGCCAAGATCGCCTGGTCATGGCTTAAAATTTACTCCTCACTATATTTTTACTTGACTTTTGAAAGGTGGAAGTGATGAACTCGAAGAGGGAAGTGCTTGCCGAATTAGTGGAAAAGTTCCAGTCCTCAAAGGAAGTGGTGATCGTCTTACAATTACAATTGGGAAATCTTTGCCTATCGGAAATATGATTCAACATCTTGGACCTAATCAACGTTTCTTTCTTTTTTAAAGTTGTCTTTAAATAAACATTTTTTAAGATGGAAATATTTCTCACAGAATAGAAAAGTTTCATTTTGGCCCACATATTTGGGGTTTAGTTTCCCCGTTGGCTGGAAATGAACAATATGCTTCTAAACGTTTGTTTTCTTGTTTTTTTTTATTTTTTGACTTTTTTTCTTCAGCCAGTACAGTCTACAAATATTTTATTAAAGGTTTCTTTTTTATTTTTTATTTGTTTTCGGGGTGAGCCATAATACCAAACGCTGAAATACCAACCTCCCAAAGATGTGGGAAATGTGTAATGTGGGAAAATACAAACATATACCTATGTATGTTCCATTCAATTGAAAGGTTGTTAGCAACACGCATTTTAGTATTTCGTATTGTCTTCTTAATGTTTGGTATTTCGACGTTTTTGTCGTTACATCGTCATATAATTTAAAATTTTTATTTTTTCTAGTTGTTCCAACTCGTATTTACAGTAAAGGACTTTTATTTGGTCAAAATTATTTGAGTACATATCAATATGCAGTTACTTATTCGGTTTTTATTAGACTTGTTTTTTTCAATATTTTAATTTAAATTTTTGAAGAAACACGAAGCTGAAGGTGATGAACATATTCACGATTCAATAATTTTTGATTATGAATTTGTTGCTACAGCTATTGAAGTACATCCTGTTTCTATGTTTGTTTTGTCTTTAATTCGAAAAATTTTTTTCAATTCTAAAGGTCCTTATTACAATTATCTTTACGTATTTGTTCTATTATTGGAGGTATTTTTGCAACTTCAAGATTTTTGGAAGCAACAGTTTCTAAAATGGTTACTCTGCTACATTTTTAGTTGTTTTTTTTTTAATTTCTTTTTATTATAAAAATTTTTTCAGTTAATTATTTCCTATTTTGCTATTATTTTTCCTTCATAATATTTTTTTTTAATTCAAAGCGATTTTTTTCGTTTATTTTTTTCCTGATTTTTCTTCTAGCCTTTAACTCAAAAAATGAAATTTTTTTGAAAATTTTAGATTTTTTAAAGGCTAACTTTATTTTTGAGAGTCGAAAGGCTTTTATTATTATTGTCAGATTCAAAAAGTGTTATTTTTATATTTATGGTGCTTCTTCAGAAATTCTTTTTAAAATTCTCTCGAAATAATTCTGTTACGCATTCTCTCTAACGGGTCTTTTTTGTTTTTTAAATTTTTTTCTAAATTATTTTCTTCTCTTTTGTTTTTATTTCTTTGTGATAAAAATACACTATTATTAATGTGATTTTGTAAAATTTTATAGTAGAATTTTTCTAAAAAAATATTTTTATTTTAGAGATTTTGAAAGGATATTGCAATTATTCTAAAAAATTTTTTTAAACAGGAGAGGATGTCAATAACAGTTTCAGCTGCTCAACTTGGTGAACAACAACAAAAACAATTTAGGTTTTATTTTTAAAATTCAAAAATTTGTTAAAAAATTTTCTTTCTTCAGTTATTTACCAAAAATAATAAATGGAGGAATTGCTGGAATTGTTGGTGTAACTTGTGTATTTCCTATAGATTTGGTCAAAACCCGTTTACAAAATCAAAAAGAATTGCCTAATGGAAAGGTTCAATATCAAGGAATGTAAGAAGATTTAAAAAAAAATTTTTTTTGACGAATATTTTTAAGTTTGGATTGTGGACGTCAAACATGGAGAAATGGGGGGCCTACTGTTTACAGGTTTTTTTGTTGGTTAAGTGGTTTGGCTGGGTGATTTGGCTTGGTTATTCTCTTAGGTTTTAGCCGGGTTTTTTGAGTCGAGTTTTTCCTTTAGAAATTTTTAAATTTTTTGTTCCTAGATGGGTTTTGGTTTTTTAAAGAATTTTTAAAAAATTTGCCACACGAGAATTGTTTTGTTGGTTAAGTGGGTTGGCTGGTAATTTGTCTTGTTTATTCTCTTAGGTTCGATTCATTAGAGTAGCGGGTTTTCCCTCTTGAATTCAAAAAATTTTCTTCTTGCTAGATGGGTTCTACATTTTTAGGCAACCTAAACTATTTTTTAAATAACCTAGAATTTTCTAAAAATTATTTTTTTAAAGCAAAATTCGTTCATTATATTCTGGCTCTAGTGTAAATATTTTGTTGATAACTCCAGAAAAGGCAATAAAATTGGTTGCTAATGATTTTTTTCGTTATAAATTGGCATCTCCAAATGAAAAGTTTTTTTTTTTAAAATTTAAAAAAAATTTAAAAATGAATGTTTTTCAGAAAACTTTCAATACCAAAAGGAATGCTTGCAGGTGGTGCAGCAGGTTTTTGTCAAATAATTGTAACAACACCTATGGAATTACTCAAAATACAAATGCAACGTTTGTAAATTTTTTTTTAATTTTTAAAAGTGGATTTAAATAAGACGGGGGTGGTTTTGGGGCACGCTGAGTTCAAGTTCTAACTTAATTTTAAAAAATAAACAAACAATTCCTTTACAAAAAGATTTATTTTAAATTAAAAAAGAATACAAAAAAATTTCCCGAAAATTAAAGAAAAAATATTGCGAATATCGCTCAAAAATATTTAAAAAAGTAAAAGAATGTTTTTCCAGAATATTTCTTTTTGTTTACATCTTCTCATCTTCCTTCTAGTCCTTTTTGTCTTCCTTCTTTTCTTCAGCCGATTCTTTTGCCTTCTCACCTTCAATTTCTCCTTTCTCTCCAACAATTTTAATTGGTATTTTAATAGCTTTTTGTTTTTCTTGCTTCTTTTCTGGTTTAATTAATTCTGCTGTAACATTAAATTGTCCATTAGAATCAACGCTGCATTCAATTGTTTCCTTTTTAATATTTTTTGGTAATTGAACACGTCTAGTAAATGAACGATGAATTGATTGATGTTCGTCTTCTTTTTTATGTTCTGCAGTAATTATTAATTCTTCTCCATCAATTTTAACTTCAATTTCTCCAGGTCGATAATCAGAAGCATCACAAGAAAATTTGAATAAGGAATCGTCTGTTTGAAGGATGTTGCCGAGTAAATCGTTACTGAAAGAAAAAGAATTTTAAATTAAATTTAAAAGTTATCTTTCCTGACAGGGTTCGAACCCTTAACCCTTGCAAAAAATTTTTTGAAAATTTTTCCCTGTGGGGTGTGGAAATATTTTTCAAGATTTAATAATAAAAAATAAAATTCTTTCTTACATTTGATGAGTTCCATCATTCAAAATTTGTTCAAATGCTCCATTCAATGTTGGCCAATAAATTGAAACAGTTCTTGGAACATTAAAAAAATCCCCAAAATCATCATTACATCGACGTAAGGAGGAACGAGTTCGAGGTTCGGCTACAGGCCAGAAAAATGGGGAAGAAGAACACAATGGCATTTTTTGATTGGTTTTGAGAGTTGAGTTTTTTGAGAGTTTTTTGTTTGTTGCTTGAATTTTTGGAATTGTTGGACTGGGAAATTTTAGGCATATTTATAGGGGAAAATTTGGTTAAGAAATAAATTTTCTAGAATATTGTGGAAATTTCTAAAAATAAAAAAAAGAAAGGAAAATGAGTGCAAATTTAATACTTTAGAAAGAAAGGGAAGGTTCTAGAATGTTCTAGAAAATAAAAAAGGAGACGGGTGGTTGTAAAAAAAGAGAGCCAGCTGACGATTTAATGAGCGCAAATTTTTGGCGTTTTCTAAAAAAATTTTTTTAAGGAGGTTATTAGAGTCTTGGGGGCTTTGAAATTTTTAGAAATTTTTTTTAGCAGAAATTTTTCTGAAAAATTAAGAAATTTTTTTTCAGAAGCGAGTTCAACAAGCAAAACATCAGCAACAAAATTAGCTTTAAATCTCATAAAGGAAAAGGGAATATTTGGCTTATACAGAGGATTAGCCCCAACAATGGCTAGAGATGTAACATTTTCTGTTATGTATTTTCCACTTTTTGCTGCATTGGATGCATTAGTATGTCTTTGAATTTTTTGAAATTTTTTGGTTAATTTTTTTTTAAAGGGGCCCAGAAAATCACCCCAAAGTGGAGATGCTGTTTTTTATGCTTCCTTTCTTGCTGGTATTGTAGCGGGTGCTATAGCCTCTTTTTCAGTGACTCCATTGGATGTATAAAATTAAAAAAAAATTTTTAATTTAAATTTTTTAAGGTTATCAAAACACGAATTCAATTAATTGAAAAATCCTCAACAGATTCACCCCAATATAAAGGAATATTGGACGCGTTTAGGTTAAAATTAAAAGATATTTTTTTAAATTTCTTTGTAGGAAAATTTTAAAAAACGAGGGCCCTCGTGCTTTCTTCAAAGGTGCAGGTTGCCGAATGTTGGTTATGGCCCCACTTTTTGGTATTGCCCAGATGGTATATTATATTGGTGTTGCCGAATTTTTACTTGGACGTGAAAAGAGTCAACATATTTAAAATGACTGTAGGTTCTAAAATAATTTCTCGGTTTGTTTTTTTATCTGTGATCTTTCTTAAAATTTTATTTTCTAATATCTAAATCATTTTTTCAATCTTTTCACTTGCAATAATGTGAATAAGGGTTGGCGGTTCGGAACCGTCTCGAATTGAGGATTTTTCATTTTTGGATATCCAAAAAATTCGGTTTGGGTCGTTCGGGTATCCGGAGATTTTCCAAGAATCGACAACCCTAAATATTAATAATATTAATAACTTAGCCGACATTTATGTTAGCGAAAAAATTAGGTGGACAATTATATTCTTAAAGATAATCCCTTAAATAATTTTGGATTTTTTCATTTCTTTTTGTTTAATATTTTATTAGTGTCCAGCAAAATCGTCTTTTTTCGGGGGCGGAAATATTTCAGAGATTGCGAAAAAAAAACCCCGGTTTTGGGATCTGGACTCCGAAAAGCACCGCCGGACACTAATGTTTATTTACCTACACAAATTATATAATAAATAGATTTTTATTTTTATCAAATTTGTTTATTTCATAAATATTATTTTGAATAATTACTACCTTTTTTGATTTTTCTTCGTTAATTTTTTTATTTTTTAAATTAAAGTTTAGGGTATTTTGCAGAAAATGGTTGCAACAATTCCAACTCTTCGCCTTTTTTATCGATTATTTATTATCAAAAGAACAGCAACAAGACTAGCTTCATTAGATACCTCTATAGCCTCACCATCATCTTCTTCGCCAAATAAATTTAATCGTTATGATACAAATTTGAAATTAGTTGAAGCTTTGAACAATGAAAATTTTGATCAAATTGGAAGTCCATTAATTTTGGGAAATAAAACACAGGTTTTTCTTTTATTTAAAAATAGTGCTGGGTAACTTCCTTAGCTTAGGGAAATTATAATGGGTGGGGGGAGGGAAGTGGATGGCGCCGAAGACTCTCCCTGGTACTGGTCTGGGTATTTGGCAGGAGCCTGTTGGAGACCTGATTTTTATGTCTGTAGTCGAATCTTCAAAACTTCCAATACCCAGTACTTTTAGAATTAAAAATGAAAAATTTTTTATTTAGAAGGATTATGTCGAACTTTTTCGTGAACAATTAGACTCTGAAGAAGCGTTTTTTACAATGGTTTTTTTATTTCTTAAATTAATTTAAAAAAAATTTATAGATTAAAAATACAACTCGAACAAGTGAATTGGAACCAATGGAAAAATTAATAGAAAGTTGGGAATGGAAAGAACATATTGAAGAAAATTTGAATAGAATAATTGCAGAAAAGCCTATGAGTAAGGAATGTAAGGAGGTTTTTTTGTTAAATAAAGAAAATTTTTGGTAATAAATCTGAGGTGGCACTTGGAGTTCTCGACAAGACTAAATAAATCTAATTGTTAGACTAGATTTTGATTCCATTTTTATAATATGCCGGCTTTAGGGGAGAAAACTGGACTGAGGAGAGAAATTTTTATTAATTTTTTAAATTTTTACACAGTGAGAACCTTTTTCAACAATATCGACACAAAAGAATGTGCAGATAATCTATTATTATTACTTCAATCAATTTTATGTCGTGGACAAAGATCTGTTCCAATAGTTGAATTAAATAAAATTTTTCCAAGAATTATAATTAATTTATATAGAGATCCATTCTTTAGACTTTTATCTGTTGAATATAAAAAGGTTTTTTTTAATTTTTTATTAATAAAAAATTTTCTTTTTTAGAATATTGAATTATTATTTAAAGAATATATAAGATATTATTTGGATAAAAATATTTCAAAAAGATTTACAATACGGGATTGGTGGTAAGCACATATTTTCATTTTTAAAAATTGAAAGACTGCAAAGTCAGTAGTTATGTTGCAGTAATACCTAAGTCCCTAAACTACTGAAATACCAAACTAAAATTCCAAACTTCGGCATTTTTGTCATTAAAGCACGACGCTACGGGTTATCATTGGGGATTTTTTTTATATATTTTTGTAGGTCTCTTTTTTGATCGAAATTAACAGAATTTTTGGGCCTTAAAATTTTTTAAATTTTATTTCTTTTTCAAAATTCTGTTATTTCAAAGAATATAAAAATTTTAATTTCTTTTACTAAAGGTACAAATGTGCTTCTCAACTTCAATTGCCTCCAGATTATTTTCCCCAATTTGAAGAATTTTTTAAAACACCTATTCAAGATGTGAGGACTTCTACAATATTTTTTATAAAAATTTCCAATTTAGATTTCCAATTTATTTATTTCTTTTCTAATTGAACATTGTGAATTTCCACTTTATCGAGGAACAAAAAATGAAAGCAACAACGGTAAAAAACGTTGGCAACATGCTTTTTCTATTGGAGAAGTTCAAATTGAAGAATTAAATCCACATGAAGGATTGGGTTATAAAACAAATTTTTGCAAAATGCTAAAAGTTCATTATCATATTTCGGAAATTTATTGTTCTAGACATCAATTTGAATATTTGTATTTTGAAAGTCATTTGTTACCTATGAAGGTTTGAATTTTTTTTAATTTTTAAAAAATTAAAAAAATATATTTTGAAAGGTCCCTCCACGTCCGTGGCTAGACAGAGGCAAATGTGGCCCAAATTATTTTTTCAAATCAAAATTAATTCGAGATATGGACGAATATCCACATTTAAATTTAAATGCTGAATTATTGGATAAACGTATTGAAAATAAAATACAAGCTAGACCTGTTTTTGATGCTTTGAATGATTTGGGTTCTACACCGTGGAAAATTAATGAAGTAAGAAAATTTTTAAACTTTTTTAAAGGTTTAGTTCACTTAAACAATATCCCTGGATTTTTTTATTTATTTGGGGAGTTTTTAAAGAAACGCCCATTTTCGGTACACCAAACGTCGAAATACCAAACTTCAAGAACCGCCGAAATACTAACCCTACCCAAAAAGTTTTGGTATTTTTGCGGCGTTTGAGGGACTTGATCTGATTTTAGAGCCGATCGTTAACTTTAAATTTAAATAAGAAGAATAATAATTTTTAAGGAAATGCTTGGACATATGATGAAAGCATTAGAAATGTCTTATAATTCAAAAAATGCTTCATTTCTCAAAAAATTGGCAATTCCTAGACATCCAAAAACTTGTTGGATTCCTTTGGATTATGATAGATTTAAAAAGCAATATTTAAAAAAGAATAAAGAAGTTGAAGGAAAAAGCGAAGAAGAATTGGATGAATTTATTAGAAAAGAATTTAATCATAAAAGGGCATTAATGACTAAAATAAAGTTGGTTTAAATTTTTAATTTTTTTTTTGTAAAAATAAATTTATTACTTTTTATAGAAATGAACAAAACTCTCTTTGGTGTTGGCTAATTTATCGTTTAATTTTGGCAAAACATTACACTAATCAAGATATTTATTTTCCTCATAATTTGGATTTTCGTGGTCGTTGTTATCCAATTTCACCACAAATTAATCATATGGGGGATGATTTAAATAGAGGACTTTTAAAATTTGCAAAAGGTTTTTTTAATTATTAATAGTCAAATTTCACTATAAAATACCCCCAAAATTAGGTCCACCTTAATTTAAGATGGGCGTTTTTCTTAAATTTTGATAGGTAACTAAATAATGTTGGCTGATCCTGAGAAATTTTCGGATCCGAATCCACCAAACTTACTACTGACATGGTGTTAAGGTTGGCGTAGTAGGGTCGATCGTTTACTGTGGGTCCGAATTTGTAAATCCTACAAGGTAAAGGGTTACCCCCGATTTAATATACGCCTCATTATAGTAGGGAAGATTTTTAACCTCAAAGAGGTGTCTAAAATTTTTTCTTAATTTAGGAAAACCTTTGGGCGTTGATGGTTTTCGTTGGTTGAAATTACACTGTGTTAATATTACTGGAAAATTAAAAAGAAAACCACTTTCTGAAAGACTAGAATATGCCGAAAAACATATTAATGAAATGATTGAATCTGCTGAAAAACCTTTTGAAGGTTTTTTAATTTTTAAATTTCAAAAAAAAATTTGTTTTGAAGGAGGAAATTGGTGGTGGGAAGATACTGAAGAACCTTGGCAAACGCTTGCTGCTTGTATAGAAATTAGAGATGCAATAAAAAGTGGTGATCCGCACAAGTTTTGTAGTCATTTACCTATACATCAAGTAAAAAATTTTTTTGAAATTTTTTAAAAAAATTTCAAAATTTTTTAGGATGGTTCTTGTAATGGTTTACAACATTATGCAGCACTTGGACGTGATCTTAAAGGGGCGGTTGGTGTGAATCTTGTACCTTCTGAGTTTCCACAAGATATTTATACAACTGTATTGGAAAGGTTTAAATTTTTTAAAAAATTTTTTGAAATTTTTAAAAATTTTCTAGGGTTGAAAAATTTCGTAAAGAAGATGAGGAAGACGTAACAAGTAAACATCATGAAATTTCAAAAGAAATGAGAGAATTTATAAGTGGGCCAATTGAAAGAAAAATAATTAAACAAACGGTTTTTTAGAAAATTTTTTTTTGAAAAAATAAAAAGTTATTTAAAGGTAATGACTGTAGCTTATGGTGTAACTCAGTATGGGGCAAGAGAACAAATTAAGCGACAATTAATTACAATTGATATTCCGGACAGAAATAAGGAGGTTAAATTTTTTAAATTTTTTGTTCAAAAAAATTTTTTTAAAGGCTTCCCGTTTTGCAACATATTTAACAAAGCGAACATTTGATGGACTAACAGACGCTTTTGAAAATTCAAAGTTTGTTTCTTTTTAAAAATTTTTTAAATTAAATTTCAAATTTCTTTCTAGAAATTTAATGATTTGGTTTAAATCTTGTGCTGGTCAAGTCCTAAAATTAAGACAACCTTTAGAATGGGTTACACCTCTTGGTTTACCTGTTGTTCAACCATATGTTACTGTTGAACAAGTAGATGATGCTCTAGCTTTTTTGCCGATTCGACATAAACAAGTTTGTTTCTTTCAAAAGTCTTGCTGGTGACTTTAATAGACACGCTGAATGCCAAACCTCCAAAAGACGTCGAAATTCCAAACTTTCTTTGGAAGGGTTTGGTACTATGATATTTCCAGTTTGATATTTCGGAGCTTTTGGAGTTTTTGTCTACTTGAAGACAAAAACTTTCTGTAAACATTCGAAAACTCAATAAAAAATTTTCATTTAAAGATGAATGCTTTCCCTCCAAATTTTGTTCATTCACTTGATTCAACTCATATGATGCTTACTTCTCTTTATTGTCGAAAACTTGGAATAACATTTGCTGCTATACACGATTGTTATTGGACACATGCTTGTGATGTTGATAAAATGAATAAGGTTTTTTGGAATTTTAAATCTAAATTATTTTGAATTTTTAAAGATTTGTCGAGAACAATTTATTGCCCTACACAAACAGCCAATAATTCAAAAATTATCTCAAGTAAGGAAAATTTAATTTTTTAAAACTTATTACTAAAAATTTTTTAAAAATTCATTCAAAACTTTTTAGTCATTCAATTCAACATATTTAACGGATTCTATCCGTGAAAAAATGCCAGAAAAGCTTGTAGCTGATATAAGCAATGTTTTTGATTCATCATCATTAAAATTAGGAGAATTAGATATTAATGAAGTACTAAAGTCAACGTACTTCTTTTGTTAAAGTTTTTTTGTTTTTAATTTTTTGTTAATGAGAGAAAGATTTCTATTATTTTAGAGTATTTTTTTAAGATTTTCTCAAGGAAAAAATATTTTTATGACAGTCAAAAATAACATGTAGGAGAGAAGCAACGGTAATTGTAAAAGAGAGTAAAATATTTTATAACAAAAATGGTTTGAAATTGCGAATGTAATATATAATCTTAAAATTGGATCGCATTTCTTTTTTAATCATCCCACCAAAAATTCCAGAAGCAAAAAATTCCAAGTATTCAATCTGTTTGAAAAATTAAAACTTGTTAATTAAGGGGTTAAAAATGATTTTTCTGAAAAAAATACCTTGAAGTTAAAGATTACTGAGAGAAAGGAAATGATGGGTCAACCTAATGAGTGATTGGGTATAGAAAAGTAAAATCAGTTGGGAGAAGCAACGGAGAAAGTGTCGGTTTTGATCTTAAAAAGTATGGAGTAGGAAAGGGGTAGAGAAGAATTGTTTTGAAACCTTTTTTTGAAAAAACCTTGAAAGAAGCAATTTCATTTTGTGTCTTTGAAACCTAACAAATTATATATGAAAAATCCTCATGACACATGGGATTTTTTAAACCTCATTTTTTGGTAAACATTTAATGCAACAACAAAACATCACTGGTTTCTCAATGCAGGTCTGAGAGAATATTTTCAAGAGGATGATGATCATTTACCTGAATATATCCATTGTGTTTGAGTAACCTCTTTCTAACGTCGCGATTTTGAACGCGGAGAACGTGAACGTGATGAACGGCCTTTGTGTCGAGGAGAACGGTCTCGTGAACGTGAACAGTCTCGGTGACTTAATAAAAAAATTTTTAATGTTTTAAAGGTATGTGAAAAAGTTAACCGTTTGTGGTGCTTCTCGTCATGACGTCTGTCAGATTTGTGCGACCCCGAATCACTCTTGTGCGAACCAGTACGATCTCGGTGGTGGTGTGATGAGTGTGACGAGCTCGAATGATGGTGACGACGCTCTGGACTCTTTGAACGTGAACGGCTACGTGAACGGATTGGCGAAGTTTCCTTGTCAAGTTTTTCCTAAAATGAGGGTTTGTATTTTTGAGTAATTAAGCAGAGGTAATTTGTGAGCCAGGTAGAATAGAAAACTTTGGGAAGGCATAGGACCCTCTTCCATCAAAAACAACCATTTTAAATCCCTAAAAATTTCTAAATCCTTTTTAGAACCCGTCAACAAGTCCAACGTCAAAAAAAGAACCTTGAGTTCCTCAATTGTCTCAGCAACTCTTGCAAAGCCCAAATGCTGTTTTCCTTGCATATGATCATCAATTCTTAAAAACAAAAAAAAATATTAAAATCAAAAAACAACAAAAAACCGTTGCTGACAGTCTCCAATAATTAAAAAGCTTCCACAGACTTCACAAATACGCATTGGTTTTGGAGCTAGAAGAAAAATGAAAAAGAGAGGTGGGTGAATAAATTTAAAATTAAAAAAAAGAATACCATTAGGATCTTTATAGCCAGCCGTATATTCAGGTGGTAAGAAAAGCTAAAAATAAAAAAATTATTTTTTGAGCTAGAGGGATTTTGGGTTCTACACCCGAGCAGGGATAGTTCAGGTTGCCCGAAGCCCAGACTTTTTTAAAGGGTAAAACCAGAGATTCCCCATATTTTCTTCTCCAAGTGCTCCTAGCTATAGAGAGGATAAATAAATTTTTATTTTTCTATTTATCATTCTAAAATTTATTTAAAATTCAAACCTTCCTCACAGCCTCCAATTCTAAATTAACTTCTTCTGCTCTTTTTACATATCTTTGTGATCTATCCAAATCTCCTTTTAATCCAGCTTTTTCAGCAATTTCAACATAATCTGACATTTCTTTTTCTAAACGTCCAATTTTTTCATTTAAATGTTTTTTTGTTGATTCGTCCATATTCTTTAAAAAATTAAGAGAAATTTTTTGTTAGAAAATTATAAACCTGTGGCCCTTGTGTTAATGCCAAACGTTCTTTATTCTTTTCAATTTTTCTTTGCATATCATCTTTAATTCGAACCAAAAAATTGTAAAATTGTTTTTCATAACCTAACTTCTCGTAAAATTCACTCTTTCGATAAGCAATTCGAAGATTACTTTTAAAGAAATTTATGTAGGAAAAAATTTATAACGTGTATACTCAAACAATTACCCCAAGTACCTCTCTTGTTTCAACCTCCGCAGAAGGTAACTAATCGAGAGAGGGCAATTTTTTGCTTCTTTAGGAGGCGATAATAGGGAGAGTAATTCTTTGAGTAAATACTGTATATTAACATAAAAATAGGTTCACTTACTCATCATGGACATATTTGCATGATCCTTTAAAGAAAAAAATATTTTTTTCTTAAATCATTTTATTTTAAAATATTACCCAAATCAGCTTTTGTATTTGTAAATTCTTCGTGTGGGCAAAATCCAGCTAAAAAGAATTTGCAAACATCGGCATCCTTTAAATAAAAAATTGAAAAAAAAATAAGAAAACTTTTAAAGAAACCCTAAAATTGAGGTCAAGATTTTTGTCCTGATTCCGGCCTGGACCCATCAATTCATTCAACATTGCAGCAATTTGATCTTTAGCACTCATTTTCAAATTTGTTTTCTGAAATTTACTATTAAACTTTCCCGATTTTTTAATTTAAAAAATTTCAATGGTTCTCCTTTACTCTTTATCTTCTTCTTTCTCTCTCTCTTATATTTCCATTATCTTTTTCTTTTATTTTCAGTAAACACTATTTACATTTTGCCAATACCATATTTTGCCAGTAGGGCTAAAATCCACGTTTTGCCACCAAAGTTTTTGGCAAAACGTTGATTTTACGCTTATTGGCAAAAGATGTTGTTGGCAAAATATGGCTGAGCGATAAAAAAATAAACACAAAGAATTGACACTTCATTGCTGATTTTCATCGCTAACATTCATTCTGTAATTTTTAATTTTTCAGTGCCAGTATTTCTTTGCGAAATTTATGGTGCCGTGTGATTTGGGCAGTGGTGAATTGGGCAGTGAGTAATTTGGGCAGTGAGTGATTTGGGCAGTAAACGTTTTTTAAAAAATAATTTTACACGCAAAAACACTTTGAGTAACGTTAGAAGAATAATTTTGAGTGATTTGGGCAGTAACTTAGAATTTTTAAATTATTTACACAAAAATTCAAAGAACCGCACCCCTTTTTCATTTTGATAACGTTTTAGGTACAACATTACCCTTTGTTGAAATCGTCTTGGTCTCAATTTTGACGTTTCCCTAAGTGATAAGTAGATTTAAGGTGTGAAAAATTGAGAAATAATTCATATTTTAAGTTTTTAGGTCTCAAGATAGGTCCAAAATATCCGAAAAAGGTCAAAATAGTTTTGGAAAAATATGTTCAAATTTTGGATTTATTTTAAGTTAAATAAAAATACCTGGAATTTTTCTTATCAATTTTAAATAATTTAAAAATTCTAATTTACTGCCCAAATCACTCAAAATTATTCTTCTAACGTTACTCAAAGTGTTTTTGCGTGTAAAATTATTTTTTAAAAAACGTTTACTGCCCGAATCACTCACTGCCCAAATTACTCACTGCCCAATTCACCACTGCCGTTTTCACCAGACACGAAATTTATAGCTTTAAATGGCACTTGTTTATTAATGGATTTATTTTTTAGTTTTTTAAAGATTTTTTAATTAATCCTTTTCAAGCTCTTAGCTTAATTTCTCAGTAATCTGCTAAAAATACAAGACAAGGTCAAAATCATGTGAATATGCCATGATTGAGTACATATTAGAAAAATGCCCTCCTAATCTAATCTACCCATTTTAATAATAATTTTTTCATCTCTGCGATAATGTTCTTTCCTTCCTTTTCTCACATTAATAATTTGTATAAGGTCATATACATATTTTTTCATGACACTTGAATGAGGTTTTTTGCGTAATTATTTAACTTGAGCCAATTTTTACTCTACTGAAACTCTCTCTTAAGTAAATGCCTTCATAAATAATTACCCTCTCCAGCGAGAGATTAACAATAGCCTCGGGGTAATTATTTAAGCACGGTGATCTTTTAATCCATTTTTATCTTAAAACAATATATTTTCTTTCATTTTTTCCTCAATTTTTTACACTAAAAATCCAGGCTTCTTCAATTCTCACACACATATAAACACCCTTTTACCTTTCTTTCCTCCCACACAATTTTTTATATTATTATACATTTATATATATTTTCTATATACTATTCATTCTTGTTGCTCATTTGTAAGAACATTGTGTTCCTTTTTTATAATTTTTTTAAAAAAATAATTTTTATCGGCCGATCGGTTGTTGGTGACAGAGCTCCCCACAAAAGCCTTTTTTCTGCAAAGTGTTGATTTTGCTTGGATGGGCACTTTAATGTTCTTGTTTTTGTTGTTGTTGCTGCCAGTCATTGCTCTCCAACAACGGCAGGCCTTTTCTCTTTCTATATACTCTTCGTTTTTCTCTGTTTTTTGAAAATACCTCTTCCAAACAAAAATCATCCCCATCAGAATTATGTAAAAGCTAATTAATATCAATATTAAATTAAAATGTGTGTTGATCTCTTTTGTAGTTATCAATATCAGGGATCTATCCGATCGGTAAAATTCAGGAATTCCTGACGTTTTTTGGCCGAGATCCCGATTTTCCAAAAGGGAATTTATCTTTTTTATGTCGACTAGATTTGTGATATTTATAGGTCATATGGAGGATCTAGCATTAAATTTTTAACTGGCTTTTTTCTGCTTTCTTCTGGGCCTGGAAATTTAAAAAACTTTAAAAATAATTTTATTTTGAAAGAAATTTCTGGACCCTACTGGGAACCTTAAAAAACTGAATTTTATTTTGGAAATTTTTTTCCGATCTTGAGGCCTATCATTATATATAGTTACGCCGCCTTAATGGCAGCAGCAACCTTTTAAAAAAGGTTGCTGCCTCTGATTTTTCTAAACTTTTTATTGACCTTTATCTACTTGATCTTTGTATTTATTTCAAAAAATATTTTTAAATGTTGATCTTCTGGCTTCCAACTTGTTTTGGGTCCCCTTTCCAATTGTTTTCATCCTTAAAGCCTTTTGTACATCCCGCGGTGTCCCTTTCAATTTTTACCCATTTTTCTTCCATTTTTTCAATGTCCCCTTCCTCTCTCTCCATTTTCTTTCTAATTATTCAATTTTTACAGTTCAAACTTTAAAAAATTTTTTCAAAGAAAACTGGCGACTAACAAAAACTCTTTTAAATTTTAGAAAAAAACGGAGAGAAAAATGTGAAATATAGGCGCTGTGGGAAAGTTTTTTTTGGTGAAATTCAGTCCTATTTACAGCTTCTTTTTTTAAAGATTCATTTAAATTTAGGTTTAAATGGCTACTCTATAAAAAATAGAGGATTTATCCATTTACTCTATTTTCTCAAAAAAATTTTTTCCTAAACCGTTCGACTTTTCTTTGTTTTTTCTTCACTATTCTTCACGTTTCTTCATTTTCTTCTTCAATTTTTCTTCTTCATCCTTCATCTTCATTTCTTCACATTTCCCTCTCCTTCTTCTTCCACTCTCGAATCTCTTAAATTTTATTCAAAAATTTTTAATCAATCTTGGCATCAAAAAATGATGGAAAAGGACAACAACAACATTAATTCTCTCTATTTTTCATTTAAAGGCCATAGAAAAATTAAAATATTTTTTTAAAGGAATCAAAGAGATTTACTGAAAAAACAACAATAAAAACAAATTTTAAAAGAATA